GTAAAAAAAAAATATGAACGAGAGTTTAGGAAAAACCTGTAGTCTTATCAATCACTTGAATGATAACAATTGAAATGAAAGAGAGTAATAGGACTATCACAAAAGTAACATGTGTTATATTTAAACGAATGGGTGACACGACACGCGATCAGAACATGACAGTAAAGCAAAGACGTAGGGAAATGTCAAGTTACCCCGTTCGGAATTTTATATTAATATATTAAATTAATATTTTTGAATATCAAAAATTTATATTTGAATGTTTATAGAATTTTGTGTTTTTTTTTTTTTAACTCAGAACCTTATTGTTTATTGTCTTATTATTGTGAAAACATAGCAAAAAAATAAATTTGAATCGAAAAAGTCATTCAAAAGATGAATCGAGTTATTTAAAAATAAAACTTCATATTTTCACGTGGTCATTTTCTCTCTCCTCCACAAAATTTTGGCTTCTATTCAATTGTTTCGTAAAAATTTTATTTCTAAAACTCTCGTGACACAATTTAAATATGCTCATAATTTTATATGAACAAAACAATTTGATGAAGAAGGTTAATTAATTATTTTTTTTTTTAATTTAAATAATTCTTAAATCGATATTATATATTTAGATTTGTATTAAAAGTATTATAATTGATATGATGAGAATATAGTGACGTTGGTATGGAGCAGATCTTGGGAAAACAGATGCCCACAATTATGCCAAAAATAAAATTTTCAAGTGTAGCTATGAAAATATTTTAACAATAATTTACATTTTCTAATGGGAGTAATGAGAATTTCTAATGTATTAAATGACACATCCCTGATGAAGATATATTAACAATTAATGTGTATATTACGCATACAAATATATGATTCTAGAATTATTATTCTTGTGGATCATTGTTCTGAGGATTCTTATAAATAATTATTATTCTCTAAATTTGAATAGATTTTAATTTTAAGAAAATTGTATTATAAATCAGTTTTTTAATTTAGATTTAATTATTTCTTATTTACAGAACCTCTTATAAAAATTCTCCCGTCTGTACTGAAAAAAAATGTATATTTGATTCAAATAACCGGTTACTTGACTGCTATCAAATATTTACTTGAACCAAATAATTTTTTTGAAAATAACTGAATTAAATAAACTGTATTTGAAACAAATACCATCTCAAATAGTAATTATTTGGTAATCAAATAAATATTTTTTTCAGTGTAGTTTCAGAATTAATAATTAAACATTAACAATATATTATATAAAAAAATTATTTCCACTCGAGGGGAGAATATTTGTTTACAATTTCAAAAATAAATTCAAACGAAAGATTAGAAGTATAATAACTTAAGTTCAATTTGAATCTGTGTCACCGGTAACAATTACATATTATTGCCATCAAAAATAATCAGGTTAGACGCATATTCAAATGTGACGTAAAAAAATTTATTTTTTGTATTTAGTTTAAAAAAAAAATATTTATCTGAGTTTAAAAATAAATTAAATACATTTCACTCCAATTGAGTGTAATAATTTGCAAATAAAAGTGTAACTACCTCTATATATAGGAGCGTACAAACAAAAAAAAATTTTCGGGTATCTCTAAATTCATAATAATACAGCTGCGACCTTTATATTAGAAATCCCCTATATAATTCAAAAGCACCCTTACCCCAAAAACCTTTGTAATGAAAATCGATTTTCATAGAAGTGTGCTACCGGCAAAATTACAATTCACATGTTCCTCAAACTTTTTACGAAAATGTTTCGCAATTGTGAATTAAATTTTGTGAATAACTTGAATGATCCAAACGTCACTTTAATAGTTTATTTTAAGAGCAAAAATTGGCACCTCACTTTTACTTTTTTAGTCACAAAACTTAAAAAAAAAAACAAGTGAGCAACTTTTAACATTTCGCACATCAAAATTTTGTTATATTATTAGAATTCATTATTATTTTCTCAAGTATATTAGTTTATTTCTCATTAAATGATAATTTATTTTTAATTTTCCTGCAGCATGAGGAAAGTAAAGAAAACAATGTAAAATTACGAAAGCATGCAATTTTCTCTCTATAAATAAATAATAAATTAATTAAAATAATTAATAATTAATAATTAATTGAAAGAACAAAATAAATGAGAATAAAAAAAACAGTGTTTAATAATAAGTAAACAATCAAAAACAATGCACTCTTTTTTGTTTGACATAACAATCGTCGACTCACCAAGTTGTGTGAGTACGTTGACAATTTGAGAAAATTTTTGATATTATTATTTGCGCCTAAATTCAAACCCCAAGGGCCGATTTTGAAAAAAGTGACGTTCTTTTTTTTACGTCAGGCACACAGTGTGTCACACTTATCACTATTGATAAAACAAAAGGGAAAAAAAAAATTAGTAAAAATAATAATGTATTGCGTCAAAAGACGCTAAATTCACACGCGCGCGTGATTATCATGCCGCTGATGCTGGGACGATTCGGGTTAAATGATCGAATAAAAACGTTCAGTCTTGTGGGCTACTCGCGTAAAAATGAGGTGCCTCTTTTACGTCGCGACGTCAAGGGCATTCAAGGTCGCAGCTGCGCGTCAATACGCAGGTGCGTGATTGTTATAAATTTATTTTTTTTTATTTAAATAAATAAATAAATATTTAAATTAAATAATAGTAGATTTAAATAAACATTAAAAAATTTGCTTTTTCTTCTATTAAATCTACATGATGACACATGTTGCTCCAGTGGAAAAAGAATTTATTTGATTTAATATTATTAACATGGATTAGATAAATAGATAAATAAATAATATAATAATGTAAATAATACTATATAATAATAATAATAATAATAATTCTTTTCCTTCGTATGTGGTTCATTAGTCACGTAGTCATGGGCTTTAAAAAGAACACACAAAAAAAAATTATTGAAATAATTTGTAGTCTAGATATAATTTTTCATTTTCGTTAGAGATAAAAAAAATCTTACATAATCTAAGTTTAAATTATTCAAAAAATCCACTAAGAATCGATGATATTTCATACATTAAAAAAAAAAGTTTTTTGAAAAATTAAAATATAAAAAATTACAGACATAGAAATCTACCTTACCAACTGATGGTAAAACAGTTTTTGGAAAAATGAAAATATATAAATTACCGACATAGAAATCTACCTTACCGACTGATAGTAAAACAGTTTTCAAAAATGAAAATATAAAAATTACCTACATAGAAATCTACCTTACCAACTGATGGTAAAATAGTTTTTGAAAAATGAGAACATATAAATTACCGACATAGAAATCTACTTTACCGATTGATGGCAAATTTTTTGGGGAAAATTATAGGATTTTTTTACCATCAGTCGGTAAGGTAGACTTCTATGTTGGTAATTTTTTGTTTTCGTTTTTTCAAAAAACTTATTTTACCATCAGTTGGTAAGGGAGATTTCTGTGTCGTCAATTTTTATATTTTCCTGTTTCAAAAAAAATTATCATCAGGCAGTAAGGTAGATTTCTGTGTCGGTAATTTTTATATTTTCATTTTTCAGAAACTATTTTACCATCAGTCGGTAGGGTGAAATAACCCTAATGGACGCGTAGCTCTCGCAAATTAAATTCGATTTTGCAAACGCGCATTAAAATGAAAAATATTTATTTATTTATTTATAATATTGATATAATTATAAAAGAGAGTTTTTTATTACTTGGTAAAAACTGCTATTTTAAGGATTAAAACTTAATTTAATACAGTGAAACCCATGTATATCTTACTTGCATAATTCGGATTTCCGCTTACAACGGATTTTTTTACTCATCCCTTCAAATTCGACATACATGAGTTTCACTGTATGTATTATTATATTAAAAATTATTTAAATTCCAGTATATATTGTATAAAGTGCAGAGAAGCACAACAGGTTGCCCTCTTTTAGGGTACCGAGAAAAATATCTCATTTTAGTCAAACTAAATATGAATTAGTATATTTAAAAAAAATCTTTATGGAAAAAAGATCTTTATCTGGAACATCGATATGTTTCTCTAGAATAGAGAAAACTTTCGCTGTTTTAGTGAAACATATCGCTGTTATAAGGAAATTTATCGCTATTCCAGGTGAAGATATTATTATAAATGTTATTAAATATATAAAAATAAAAAATATTACTTGGAAAAAAAAATTTATTTGATAAATAAAGTAAACGTTTATTTGAATCAAATAAATTTTTTTCAGTGTATAGCTATTCTGAATTTTAGACTTATCTTAAAATAAAATTTCTTTTTTCTTGTGATATTGTTATTATAAATTATTTATTTATTTATTTCGTTTGTTTTATATTTTAAACAAGAGAAATCTCATATACACTTAGTGCAAATATTGACATTATCCTTTTATTTTTTAATTTAAAGATATATTCGTATCTTAAAGTAAGATTTTCTTTAATTAATATTTAATAAATAAATATTTCGAATGAATTAAGACAATTTTTGTGATATTATTTTAAAAAAAAAAAAAAAAAAAAAGTGCCTTAGAAATGTTACGTTCCTGTGATTGAAAGCACATACTAGAAAGCTCGTCTCTCGCGATGGCGCAACATCGTCGCGCGGCTCGCGTGTGCCGCAGATCGTACCGCATTGCTTTGCAATGTGTGTAAGTGTATAGTTATTCCCGCTTCCTTATTTTATAACGTATATACAAAGAGTCTTACTCAGTTCCGACTGAGTAGAAAAGAGGAAAAGAATAATCTCTATATATATAATAAAGAGAGAAAGAGAGCTTCCAGCCTTATAACAAAAATCATATTAAAAACAAAAATATTATGAATAATTCGACATGAGGCGAAAATTTAAATATATACAATACATACTATCTGTATTACAGCTGAAAAATCTTTTCTCATCCTCCCTATAAATGTTTCTTCAAAAATATATTAAATTATTGTGCACATCGATTTTCAAAAATCTCACCTAATATTCTCCAGGAATTTACATCACTCTCATCGTCATCTTTATCAGAAATCATGAATATCCGTCGACTTCCTAGCTTCATGTATCACTATAAGATTGTTGCTATTTTATTGATATCCGGCCTTTTTTTAATTGTTTATCTCCTCATTTATTGGGGTATTATGTGCACAAATCTTCAAGCCTGGCGTCACGTGTCCAACGTTGTGAGTAAATTTCTTTTTTTTTTTTTTTTAATTCACTTCTTTTATTATATCTAAAAATAATGTATGCACAATAATTTAAATGTTACGCGATTCAAAAATTAGATAAAATTCGATAAATAATCGCGGCAATAGTGGAATTTTTATTTTGTTTTATTATATAAAACTTGCGCTTTCGATTTTATATGAGATTTTTACTAGGTACATAGATTGAGTGAGAGAATGGTATTGAGGGTCAAATCAAAATGCGCCCGCGCCTTATTATTGGGTGAAATAGGGGTGGGATATATAAAGTTCAAGAATTTCGGAGCTTCGAATCCATACATGCTTGAAAGAGTTTTTTATGTTAAATAAATTTTTTTTTTTTTTAAAGAATTATTATTTTTTTATACTAAAATTGAAACTAGTTTTCTTTATACTTTTTCCATTTTTTTTTTTTTTTTTTAATGATTTTATAAATTATATACAATAATGTTTTTTTGTAATATAATTTGTTTGTTCATCAGAGACATTTTTTCGATATAAATTTAATAATATTTTGATTATTATCAAATAAATATTTACTTGAACCAAATAATTTTTATTTGAACTAATAATTTCTCTATTTGAAACAAATACCATCGCAAATAATAATTATTTAAAATATTTATTGGATAATAGTTAAGTAAATAATTATTTGAATTAAATAAATTTTTTTTTTTGTCAGTGTAGTATTATTATAATTATGTATTTTAATTTAATTATATATACAGTTTTAATTCAGTATATTTGGTGTCTCAATTGTTCCAAGAATTTTTTAATTTATTAAAAACTGCAAACTCATGAACGATTGCGATTTCATGAATATCTTGTGTTGGAAATTAAAAAAAAAATAGTCATTCAGCATATTCAACTCTTTAATATTAATTAGCATTGAATTTCCCAATTTTTAAAGATATAAACAAATTTTTTTTTATTTAACTTCCGTTATCTGTATGTTACATTACTGTTATATTCTGTTTAGCTTATTCATGCACTGAAAAAAAAAATTATTTCATTCAAATAATCGGTTACTTGACTATTATCAAATTTATTTGTATCAATTTATTATTTGAGTCAATAATTTCTTTACGTTATGAAAATATCAGAAAGTAAAGAAATTATTGGTCCAAATAAATTGTAATAAAAATTATTTGGTTTAAAAAATATCAGAGTAAGAAAATGAAGTCATTTTTAGAATTTATATGAAAATGCACATAAATTTTTTATTTAAAGAATTATTTGTATTTTTGACTACTATTAAATATTTTTTTGTGTAATAGTTTACAATATTTATACAATTTTTTTTTTATTACCATATGCTCTTTCCACTGAAAAAAAGGTTTGGTATTAACAACCAAACGTTTGGTTGGTATTTAAGCAACCAATTTTATTTGTTGAATCAACAAAATTTTGGTTGTCCCAATTAGTTAGGAGAACAAAAAATTTTTTTTCTAATTTTTGTTGTGTCAAACAAATTTTGATTGAGACAATTAAAATTTTGTTGATTCAACAAAAAAAAATTTTGGTTGCTTAAATACCAACCAAACGTTTGGTTGTCAATACCAAACCCTTTTTTTTCAGTATACATATTAGTATACCAGGAAAACCTTAAAGCCAACTTTTGTTTTTAACTTTTAAGAAGCGAAAAGGGTTTTAAAAACCTTTAATAACTATATGAATGAATCCCTTCAGGCGAATTTCAAAACTTTTTTGCACAAAAGAAACGCATTTCTTTGTTTCAAAATTATTGCCCTATACAGGAGAAAAAAAACATGATTTCACGCTTAAAAGAACATTTCACAAATTGATTTTAAAAATAAAGATTTAATAAAAAATAATTAAAAAAATTTTTTTTTTGTTAATTAATTTTATTTAATAATTAACTTTTTCATAATTTATATTTTTATTTATATTTGTAATACTGTTCAATATAAATATTATTATAAATTAATAATTTATCATTATTAGAAATTATTATTAAATTATTATTTTCAATTAATTAATTTCTTTTAATTCCAGTGCAGCAGGCACAACTCTGGAAATGCTGTGGGTATTCTCTGTTCTCCACTGTGTAACAGACAAGGAATACATTCTCTTGTTTGTGAAACTTTACATGCGGGAAAAGAGGCTGTTTTTTCAGCACATTGGGAAAGCACTAAATTAGTTTTTAAAGCTGCAAGGTTTGTTTTTATTTTTCAATAAAAATTTAATTTTTGTACTATGGCATAAAAATAATTTTTTTTTTTATATTAATTAATTATTATAAGTTTTTTTGTTTAGAACGGAAATAACAATTGAACAAGCGGAATCACTTTTATGGGAGGACGCTAATGGTTTAAAGCATTATCCATCGGAATTGGAATTTGCCAGTATGATAAAGGATGTGGTGTTTAATAAATTAAATTACAGCATGACGACACATCAACTCGAAAGATTGAGTCGTTTACGAACAAGTAAAATTGAAACGGAAATAAAAAAACGACAACTAGAAATGGAAAATGTTTGGCCATTGTTACAAGAACAGGAATATATAATGACAATTTTATTTGAAAATAAAGATGTATTTCCACAATTAATTGGTACATGCGGTACATTTTATGCAGTTGAATATATTCGTCCAATTGAAACGCCAACGACAATATTGGCATTATCTGATTCAATGCCAGAATGGGCAAAAAGAGTTAAATTAGCTGTTATGATTCTTGATTTATTACAAGATTTACAAACAGTATTTAATGAACCTCTTTATCTTTGTGATGTGAAAATTAATCATTTTGGTTTACCGCCAGGTGGACAGAAATTAAAATTTCTCGATCTTGATGCAGTTTTTCCTAAATCGGTGTTAAATAAAATAATTAACAATAATAAGGAATGCGAAAGAAATGAGGATTGTGATTATTTTGATTGTAGATCGATATGTTCGAAAAATAAACGCTGTGTATCACCGGTGGCTAATAATAATTTACAAGTTGGTATTTTTTTTTTTGGTTTTTTTTTTTTTTAATAGTCAAATATTTTATTATTTATATATTTATTAATTTTTCTTCTTTAATTTCAGATTGTTTGTGAAAAAATCTTTTTGGGTTGGACAATATCGGGAACAATTATTATTCCAGGATTATTAATGTCTGAACATACAAGCGATTCATTGGCAATTCTTTTGAGACAATGTGCAAATCCAAATGGAGATATGTCACAATTGGCTCGAGCGGCTGCTTCAGAAAATGTAAAATCACGTTTATATAATATTCTAAGTGAAATGGATAAGAAATTATCTTCCTCCTAGTGAAGAATATGAATATATTAGGATTTTTAAATTGAAACGTAATGAAGATTATTTTTTTTTAATTGAAAATAATTTTTAAGTGATTTTATTTTTTTTTTAATTGAATAATTAGTTCTTAAGAAGAACTTATTGAAATCAAAATAATTCGAATTGTTTCGAATTTTATTAAATCGATTCGAACTATTTACGCGCACATATTTGTAATATTATAGTGCAACGCCAATTTAATTAAGGGAGCCATTTTTACTAATTATTCTAGTCAACATTTTCTTAGTTAATTTACTGTAGTTTTTTTTTAAAGTAAAAAAAAATGTAAATAGAATATGTAAATGTAAATAACTAAGAAAGTGTAAAATTAATGATAGATTGAAATTTTTTACTTTATTTAAATTACATTTTAGATAATTTTTTTTTTAAAATTAATATTTAAAAATATTCAAAAAAATTAATATTTATTATAAGTCTGCTCAAAGCTAGTCCAATTAATTATTATCTTTTAAAATATCTGATGTTTTTTTTTTTTTTAAAGGAAAAAACACTGACTGTAAAGTGTATTTAATTTAAAAACTAACATTTTTTTATTTTAATGTACTTAATTTAATTTTTTATTTTTTTTTATACAATTTAATAATATATTTGCAATTTAGTGTAAAAATATTTGCTACTTTTTACTTATTACAATTATTAAAAGTAATTAAAAAAAAATAAATAATTAGTGCAATTAAAAAAAAGACTTATATAAAAATTGACATTGAATTTAGGAAATATTAAATTATTTTCTAGATACTTCTATTTAATAAAAAATTTAAAAAAAAAAAAACTGAAGAATTATGTATTTTTACTCATATTCTTAGAATAATTGAAAATAATTTTTAAAACACGTTATTTAATTTAAAAAATGATTTTGATAAATAAAAATTAGATTTTTATTATCTTTATAATAAAGTAGAATTTAAAAACAAATGCATGATTTTTCATTATCAATTTTTGATTTATTAGATTTTTATTAAAAATCGTTATAATTTTTGTATGTTAATTATTAATTTCCTTATTTTACTACAAAAAAAATGAATTTTGAATATAAAATTACAATATTAAATATTGTTATTAATAAATTATTCTCATAAATAATATTTTTAATAAAATAATTGTAATCTTTTTTAAATAAGTAATTACCGTATAGCAGTTTGTTTTTTTTAAATTTTTGAAAAAAATCCCGGGGTTTTGAAACCCGTTTATTGGTTACAAAAAGAAGGAAGGAAGTCATTCTTGATATGTTTTTATAGTTCATGGCAGTCGACATCCGTCTGACGTTGTTCTCCATTTACTCTCCAATTTTCGTCTGCACCCTGTTTGCAATCATTTTCCAAAAACAGATTAATTAAATAGTGCAATGAATTGGAAATTTGGAGAATATCAACCGGACTATAATCCGAAAATTCATGGCACTTACGATCCTGCTAGATTCTATGGAAAACGTGAGTATTTATTAAAATATAATATATATATTCCATCATTATTTGAATGACAAAACTAAAAATTTTCTCTTTTTTTCTAGCTGATACACCTTTTGGGGAAGTAAAATTGAAAGATTTTGGATCTTGGTTTAGTCGTCGTGAAAAAAGTCCACAAGCATTTGCTCAATTAGTTTCAAGAGGTAATATCTTTTATATCAAAAAATTGATTTTGCTAAATTTAACTTTTAAAGTTGCATAACCTCCAAATGAATAGATCTTTTGAGTGTATTATATAATAAGTTAAATAAATTTCAATAAAATTGAGAAATAATTTGGATTTTAAATATAGATTAGTAATAATATTTCATGTAATAATTATTTTTTGTTTTTATTTTTTAGGGTGGTGGCGTTGGCAACATAAATATATGTTACCTAAAAATGCATTATTTGTTGGACCTATGCAAGTAGTTTTTGCTGGAATGGCATTATTTTACTGGATTAATTACGGCAAAATTAGTAAGTATTATAATTATTTAATTAATTTATTATTAAAAGTTCTGTTTTCAATTTTTAACAAAAGATATTAAATTTCATTTTTTTTTGAATTGTATAAAATTTTATTTCACGTATTAATCTTTTTTTTTTTTTTTGCAGAGCATCACAAAAACTACAAGTACCACTAAAAATCATCAGCAACATTTTACAATCATAGAACAGTTCAGAATGCAAATAAATTAATAAAATGTATATTAAATAAACTTGAGGGGAAAAAAAAATTGTATTCTCACCTAACTGTACATGTTAAAAGTGTCTCAAGTTTAATTTATTGCCTCGTTTTAAATATAAATAATTGAATCAGGACATATCTTTATTTTATTTATAATTAAAATTACTATGAATTATTTTTTTCTGATTTGAATTTGACAGATTTTCCCGCTCAACAATGATCGAACAGAAGACGTCCAATCAGCGGGCAGAATGAAAATATTTTAAAGCACATTGTTGATTGGTTGATATATTCAGGATCGTATTTTTTGGTGGCTTAAAATCGGCCAATAGGGCGAAAATCAGAGGACAAAACTCAGGTTCTTGAGCAATATGGCTGTCAGTATAAATTTGATGCTTGTAACATGCGTTTCTCTCTGAAAAATTCAATAATTGAACCGCATTGCTATCGAATACAGGAAAACACGCGGCGTGATGTGACTTTTGGAGCATTAAAACATTGGGAAACAGCAATGAGGGTTAGCTGAAACATTTATTCTGCTGTCAAATAGTATTTCAAAGAAGAGGTAAGCTTGACAACAAACTACTGTTATACTCACAAACAAAGTTTCTATCTTTTACATCCAGATGCCAATTTATAATTTATAATCTCTTTAATCATTTTATCATTTTGCCACGTTAAATTTTTCACTCTCTCTATTCAATTTTTTTCTTATACAACACATTTTACAATATATATAATAAAGACGCGTCCTTTTGGATCGAGTTTTCTTTATATACATCATCAACATCTTGTTTTCCTTTGGAACTCAAAATACATTAATTTGTTTTATTTATAAAAATATCATGTGTTCATTGAATACAATGGAGTTATTTTTAAGAAAAAAGTAGATATAAAGTAAATGCTACGTAATATGAGTGAATCTGCACATTGTTGTAATAATTAAACATGATTATTCATTAGATGAGACATTGGGCGTAATAAGGAATTTCATATTTTCTATTTGAAAGTAATTATTTCGTAGTACATTCAATTTATTGCATTGTAAATAATGACATGCAGTTGCAATCTAGATTGATAACAATTCATTATTGATACTACATTATTATTTAAATGTATTACATTTTTGAGAATTATATATATATATATATACATAAATAAAAGTGTATAGCTATATATATAATTTAATTTATGTATATATGCGTTTCGAATTTTGAAAGAATGATTTTCTCTATTATAGTCTATCTAGGTACGTACAAACCTTGATTTAATATGTAAACAGATTGTAATGATGACACAAACAGAAAAGTAGAAAACCAAGAAAGTTTTAGATAAATCACATTTAATTCTATATACATATATTTTATAATGAATTAAATTTATTAGAATATTATAAATAATATATAATTAAAACAATAATAAATATATGATAATGCTATTCTTTTAATATGTCAAAATCATTGAATTCTTGGTATTTATTTAGAATTATTTTTTTTTCGTAATTGTCTTCTGAAGTGAAAATTATTTATATATATATATTTAAAATATCGTACATTGTTTCTATTTGTGTTTTTGTAAAGATTTTTTTTTTTTTGCATTAAACTTGATAATCTTTATTAGCTTGCAAAACCATTAACTGAAAGTTTACTTAAACTCAAATTGATAAGGTTTTTCAGTCTTACGTGGTATTTCATTTACTTTGAAAAATAGTAGACAAAAAGAAAATAGTTAAATAACGTAAGTTAATGGAATATTTACATAATATGCTACTATTTAACTGTTAATTATATATTATGTGTGTTTAAAAAAAAATCAGAGTGTAAGAAAGTCAATTTTAGAATGTATGAATTGTCAATTTTTTATTTAAATAATTATTTGTATTTTTGATTAATATTAAACGAATTTTATTGTTTGATAATTAATTATTATAATTAATATTAAATATTTGCTTATTTGACTATAGAGGAAGTATCAAGTAATTTTTTTCTTAATTTTTGCTGATTACTGATAGAAATATTAATTGGATTTTGTATTAAAATAATTTTGCTGGATTTTTTTTAAACATAATCAATTAATTCATATATAAGGTTTTACAGACACGTGTCCATTTAACAGTATAGAATATTATCCCGCAGGCGCGATAAGTTAGCATGATATCTCAAGTCAAGTTATTCAGTTACTGGAATATTGTCGGGATAGCAGTTTGTTTAGCTTTTAACGTAATAGTTGGTTACATTCGCTTTCGCTCGCTTTCTTCCTTGACTATATAATTATTTTATAAATTAGTAAAAGTTTTTGATCGCTCATTAGCTAAATAGATTATTTTATAAAATTTAAACAAAAAAAAAAATCATGAAATTTCAGAAAAAAAATTTTATGAATGATTAAAATTTACAAAAAAGTTTATTTAAAAAATATGTTGTGAAAACGTTTTTTTTTTCATACAACATTGTGCATTATTTTAACACTTATCTAAATTTAATTTTTTTAAGTATTCATTGTTTTCATATATATATTTTTTTCTTTTAACTATTTATTATTTATTTTCAGATATTTGAAAGTATCGGAACCAGTGTTTCTGATAAACATGACTTCAAGGTACGTTAATATGAAAAAATTAAATATGCATAGAAAGATAAACCAGTTATTAAATGTATATTATTTTCATGCAAAGACTTGTAATTTGAAGAAAAATTGCAAATATCAACTTCTAATTTTCCTTGTTATTAAATTTATTTAACAAAATGTTTTTTATTTTTTAATATAATATATTACTGAGTGCATTAACGGGGAAAAAAAGTAATTTTGAAAAAAAAAGTTTTTAGTTCAATATAATAAAACAAAAAAATATTCATGTCAGAATAAAACGTAAATCGATATTTGATACTTATCGCCCTAAACTCTTCTAATAAGAAATAGGGGAAAATATAATGGATTTATTAGCTAAAAATTATAATTATATTTAAAAACTTTTATTATTTATATTGGAAAATTTATTTATTTTTAATTAAAAGATTTAGTTTGAATTTTTTAAAATTAGTGATTTTAACGACTTGATATTTTGAAAACATTTCAGAAGTTTTAAAATTGTGGTTTAGCAATAAAAGTTAAGATCCTAATTACTTTTCTGCAAAAAAGAAATAAAAATTGTGGTTAACCATTGATGGGTCGAGGTTTAAGAATTTTTTTTTAAAAAATATGCTAATTTTTCTATAATACAAAAACAAGAAAAATTCAACGACCAACAAACGATGATCTCATTCGGTTTTAATAATGTTTTCATATGAGTACACAGCCGGTGGTCTGTGATTTTTGTTTATCAATGCGCGAGTACAGACGTGTTTCTTTGTTATGTGCACGTAGTATTTCATTTACATTTTGAGAACAGTCGGCCTTTTAACAAATAAAGAGTTCTTTGTGAAGTAGAAATTGTAGAAATTTTTTAACTTTGGCAGATTAAATATTGTACAATATTTAACTGTATATTTAAATTCTCACGTCTCGCCTCTAAAATGATATATTTCTTTTTTTTCAGATTAGATAGGCTATTTATTTTATTAGAAACTGGAACAAATGCTGTGACAAAACGTGCAGCCGCTCAACAATTGGGAGAAGCTCAACGATTACATCCTCACGAATTGCATCATTTATTAGCTAGAGTATCGGTTTTATTGAAATCGCCACAATGGGATACAAGAGTATCGGCTGCACATGCGGTTCAAGCGATTTTATCTCAAGTTCCACCTTGGAATCCAGAACCCGTAAAAGAAGAGCCAAATTCAAGTACGTTTCTTTATTGATAAATTAATTGAAAAATATTTTTTTACATTGAAAAATATGAAGAACAAAAAATTTTTTTTTGAATTCTTTTTGTCGTAAACGAAATAAAAATAATTTTCCGGGAATCGTTAACAAGGAAAAAATATAAAATATTCCAATTATTTAAATAGCCATTAATTCAATAATTCCATTTATTTATAGAAAAAAGGGCAATTTCATTTTTTATGTATTTATTTAAAAAAAAAATCGAAAGAATATTATTTGCATTTTCAAAAAAGTTAATAGTCAGCGCATGATTAAAAAAATTTTCAAATAAATTTGAAGTTAAAAAAAACATTAAAAAAAAAAAATGATTGCATTAAAAAAAGGAAACAAACATATTTTTATTTACAGTGTTACAATTTTTTATTCGTATATTTATTTTTTAAAAACAATAAGCATATAAATTCAAAATTGTACATTGTATAATAAAATATGTAATAACTATTTATCATTGCAAATGAAATAGGTACGTAAATTGTAATAAAAAAAAGAAAAAGAAATTAACATATCTTTTAAATGAATAATAATTGATTTGTAGATAATTCAAAATTGCCACAACGTAGAATGAGTAATGCAAGTCGAAAATTAAGTTTACATGATTTTGATATGACACAAATATTGGCAAAAAGTTCTCATCTCACTGGTTCTGAAGGAAATGAATACGATATTGTAAATGAGGAACAATCATCATTGATAAATCAAGAAGAAAAAATTGCTGCCAATTTAGGTTTACATCCAAGATTAATGGGTGTTGATGCTTCTGAATTATTCACGGCCGAGGATTTAGCACCTGTTGTACCATTACCTGTTTCAAAAAACGCACCCATCAAAGTTTCCATTGAGGAAACATTGGGTCAAGGCGAAGGTCTCAGTCGTCGTGAAATGAACAGAGCGAGACGCAAGGTTAATTAGAATTCTTATCTAACTGCCTCGAATTCTTTCTCATTTAAATGCTTTATTATATGATAATACGGAAATATAAATATACAGGGTGTCAAAAATGTTTCTTTTTTTTTTTGAAAATAATACGAATATTAAACAGTATTTAATTATTATATTTTTATTTCAATTTTGATTTTTTGTTTTAAAATTGTAAATTTATTTATTTCAGGCTCGCCAATCAATTTCAAAACAACGTTCGAGAGATCCTGAAGAAGGACCTCAGGATCTTAGTAGTACTTGTAATAATCAATCTCAATTAAGTAATAGTGTAGAAAGTCCGATTAAAAAAATAAAATTGGAGGAAACAATCTCGGAAGGTTGGTGGAGTTCTAGTTCTAGTGAATCGGGACTATTAGTGCCTGATGGAACTGGATGTTGGCCGGAAACAGCAATAGATTGGCCTCTTGAATCATTTGCTGAAACTTTATGTCAAGATCTGTTTAGTCGAAAATGGGAAGTGCGTCATGGAGCCGCGACTGCATTAAGAGAACTCGTTCGTCTTCATGGCAAAGGTCTTGTATAATTTACTTTATTTAATCTTGTCTTTATAAACTCTTCAATTTATATTCGAATTTACAGGCGCTGGAAAATCTAGGGATCAGACAGAACAGGAAATGGATGAAAGTCATCGAAAATGGGTTATCGATGCAGCATTGCGTCTTCTTTGTGTTTTAGGATTAGATCGTTTTGGAGATTTTGTATCGGATCAGGTTGTTGCACCAGTACGTGAAACATGTGCACAAGTATTGGGATCATTGATGTTATTGATAGCAAAGGAGAAATGTAAAGATGTGTCGAATAGTGATATAATGGGTATTTTATCGGTTATATTGAAACTTTTGAAACACGACGAATGGGAAGCGAGACATGGGGCTTTACTTGCATTGAAATATTTATTGGCAGTGAGAGATGATCTTTTAGATGATATTCTTCCAAAAGCTTTTCCTGATATTATGAAAGGATTGGCAGATCCTGTTGATGATGTTGGAGCTGCGGCTGCAAGTGCATTAATTCCAGTAGCATCGGCACTGCCACGTTTACTTGCTGCTTCTGAATTAGAAATGGTGGTTGAAAGACTTTGGCAACTACTCAAGGAGCAGGACGAATTGGCAGCTGCTTGCAATAGTTTCATGGGCCTACTTGCTGCCATTTTATCTTTACCCGCTGCTCGTGCTTGTCTTAAACCTCAACCATTGTCTGAGGTAATTTATCATTATGCAATTTTCTTTCTAAAAATGTATTTTTTTTTATCTTTCTATGATTTTATTTTTAAGGTTTTGCCTCGTATGTGGCCATTTTTCAATCATTCGAGTTCAAACGTGAGGAAAGCAACTTTACAAACGTTGCAAACATTGACTGGAGACGACGGCGATAATGGAGAGAAAAGAAAGGAACGTTGGGGCGAGGGTGGGAGTTTAGTTTTACAAGAAGCTCTTCGTCATGTTTTCCAACGAGTATTAATTGAACACGTGCCTTCAATTCAGGAGGTGGCCGAACGTGTTTGGGAGAATCTAGTCGTTCGAAGTGATCTCGAAATGTTATTACACGCCGCGTGTCCATTAGTTAGTACTTGGCTTTGTCTTGCCATGCAACCGGAACACGTGCCCTTTAATCTCAGTCTCCTAATGAATGTAACATCAATAACGCACAAAAATACAAAAACAAATCAATCAATTTGTGATGGTGTATCGGATCCTGCTAGTGGAACAAATAATACACATAAACCAACATCAGAATTAAAAAGTTATTTAGGAGGAGTTGAAACAGTTTCTCAAAATACAAGACACGCAAATGTTGTACGTGCACGTTGTATGACATCAAAAATGCTTGGATTACTTTCCAGTTATCTTGTAATGCCCGCACCTGGTGTTGTTTACACACCGGAAATACCTAGTCCTGCCCTTTGTTATGCCAAGGTACTCATGGCGCATCTTAATTCAAAATCTGCACTACAAAGAACTGTTGTCGGTCTCACTATGTCATATTGGGCAGCACTCGATAATACAAATTTGCCAGACGTGCCAGAAATTCTCAGGTAAGAAAAATTTATTCCAAATTATAAAAAAAAAATTAAAAAATCAGTTTAATTAAAATAATTGAAAATTTATTTTTCAGTGATAAATTAATAGCTTGTTTAAATGAGTGTGTCTATTATGACGAAGTGGCGGGTTCATTCACGCGATTATTGCACGAGAGTCGAGACTATTTAGCAACATTAAAACACTATAAAATACCAATACCCGTGGAGGTTAATACAAGTGGTGTATTGACATTGGATCAAATAACAGTACTTGCAGCGAAACCAGTGCCTGGAGCAATTATTAGCGGAAGTGCCGAGAGTTCGGTATCATCGGGAATGGCTAATAATCCAGTAATTGTGAAATTAAAACCAAAATTAGTTGAAAGTTTGGAAGAACGTCGCCGTGGACTTGAGAACGGTGCAAATAGTACATCAAAACAACAACAATCATTTAATGTAACATCAATGGCTGCACTTGCTGGTGCTGCAACAATGCTTAAATGTCTACCACAATCACCACAACCATTAAATCCGGTTATAAAACCACTCATGGAATCAATTAAACGTGAGGAGGATGAGGAATTGCAAAAATTGACGGCTAAAAATTTAGCACATCTTGTTGATTTTTGCGTTGACAGAAAACCATGTCCTAATAATAAGGTATTTTAATTTTATAATTATTTTGTATTTTTTTATTTTAATTTTTTTTTGCGTTTACAGATAGCAACAAATTTGTGCACGTTTTTGTGTTCGGATGTTGAATTTACACCAAGAGTAACTGGAGGAGCAAATTATGATCCATTTGATGGAATTTTGACATTGAGTAATAAACAAAAACATGCTGAGAGAGTTGCTTATGGTCGTGGAATTTGCGCTGGAACTAGCGGTATGCGTGGACCGGGTCGACCACCAGCCTCTGATATTCCTTTAGAAGAATTACTCGCCTGTGAAGAAGCCGATGCTAAAGCTGCTCGTATAACACGACGTGGAGCAACATTTGCCCTCACAGCTATTGGTCAGTTATTTTTTTGCATGTAAATATAAAATTAAAAATAATTTTTCCAATTTTTTTTTTTTTTTATTATAGCTACATTATTTGGTGCTCAACTACCGTCTCGTATGCCACATCTTTGGGATTTAATGATTCCAACAATTATAAGAAATACTGAAACGACAGGGAAAAATTTTCAGGATAATAATTTTCAAGAACAAGTCAATCAATTAGTGTTTAGCCTACAATTGCTGGAGATAATTGTTCCAAATGTAGCTCAATCCCTACTACCTCAAGTTATAGAGTGCCTTCCATATTTATGTATCCTGTTAGCTCATCCTTACAAAGCAGTAAGGCATATGTCATCACGCTGCATGGCCGTCCTTTCTTATCTCGATGTTGACAAGGTGAAAAAGAAACATTCTTTTATGATTAAAAATGTGTTTTAAAAAAAAATAAATTTGAATTTTGAATTTTTCAGACAATGCCGTATATAGTTCGTAGTGTGATACCATTATTAGAAGCAACAAATGTTGAAGATGGAATTGATCGTGCGAGGCCAAACAATGTGGATATTCGTCGTCAAGGAGCGGCTGAAGCTTTAGCTTGTCTTATTGAAAAATTAGAAGTAAGAATAGTACCATACGCTGTATTATTTATGGTACCTTTACTCGGACGGATGAGTGATCAAAATCAATTTGTAAGATTGACATGCAGTTCAACGTTCGCTACTCTCGTTCAATTATTGCCCTTGGATCCTGGCGCAATCGCAGATACACATCTTGTGTACGTAGCCAATTTTAATAACGAAAATTAATATTTTTATTCAATTGATAATTTTAATAAAAAAAAAAACAAATTCATTTTTCAGAGAGGAAAAAGCTCAAGAGCGACGATTTTTGGACCACCTTCTTAATCCGCACAATATTCCGGATACAAAAATACCAATAAATGTTGTCGCAGAACTTCGATCGTATCAACAGCAGGGTTTAAATTGGCTTGACTTTTTAAATCGTTATCGACTTCATGGTGTTCTTTGCGATGACATGGGTTTGGGTAAAACTCTACAAACATTGTGTATTCTTGCATTGGATCATCATAGAAATCAACAGGCACCGCCAAGTATTGTTATTTGTCCTCCGACATTAACAGGTAAAATTTTATTTTTAAAAATAAAGTTTTAAATAATTTAATTTAATTAATAATTTTAATTTTTTTTTGCTATTAAAATAGGTCATTGGGTGTATGAGGTGGAGAAATTTTTCACAGCCCTTGATCTTTCTGTTGTTCAATATTCTGGAGCGCCACCGGAACGTGAGAAAATAAGATCACGTGTCACTCAATATAAACTTGTCGTTGGAAGTTATGATATTGTTCGTAAGGATATTGAATTTTTTGAATCAATACAATGGAATTATTGTGTTCTCGATGAGGGTCATATTATTAAGAATGGAAAAACAAAAAGTGCCAAGGCCACAAAAAGACTGCACGCTTATCATCGACTTATTCTCACAGGAACACCTGTACAAAATGATGTTTTAGAATTGTGGTCACTTTTTGATTTTCTAATGCCAGGTTTCCTTGGCAGTGAGAAACAATTTGCTGCCAAATATTCACGTCCAATTTTAGCGTGTCGTGATCCAAAGGCAGGACCAAAGGAACAAGAAGCTGGAGCATTGGCAATGGAAGCGCTTCATCGACAAGTTTTACCATTTCTCTTGCGTAGAAATAAAGAGGATGTTCTTAAAGATTTACCACCGAAAATCACTCAAGATTATTATTGTGAATTATCATCGTTGCAACGAACATTGTACGAGGATTTCCAATCGAGACATTCGGCATCTTTGATGACAAACAATTCTTCAATTTCGGTTGGTGTCAAAGGTCATGTATTCGAGGCTTTACGATATCTGAAAAATGTTTGCAATCATCCAAAATTAGTTCTCACTCCTCGACATCCTCAATATCAAACGGTAAGTCAAATGATTTTTCGAAAAATAAATTTATTTCTAATTTTCTTTTCTTTTTTTTCCAGATTTCCGCCTCGTTACAGCAACAAAAAATTAATTTATCCGATATTGAACTTGGTGCAAAATTACCGGCTTTAAAGCAATTGTTACTCGATTGTGGAATTGGACAGACGCAACAGCAAATGAATCGTAATTTAAATGCGGCGAATGATAATCAACAACAAACACAACAATTAGTGAGTCAACATCGTGCGTTGATATTTTGTCAATTAAAGGCAATGTTGGATATTGTTGAGAAAGATTTACTTCGTGTTCATTTGCCAACTGCCACATATTTACGATTAGATGGAAGTGTACCCGCTGCACAGAGGCATTCAGTTGTTGCACGATTTAATGCTGATCCTTCTATTGATGTACTTTTATTGACAACACAAGTCGGTGGACTTGGATTAAATTTAACTGGAGCTGATACTGTTATTTTTGTTGAACACGATTGGAATCCAATGAAAGACTTACAGGCAATGGATCGAGCTCATCGAATTGGTCAAAAAAAAGTCGTGAATGTTTATCGACTAGTAACAAGATCAACAGTTGAAGAGAAAATAATGGGTCTTCAGAAATTTAAATTATTAACTGCCAACACTGTTATTTCAACGGAAAATTCTTCATTACAAACAATGGGCACTGATCAAGTAAGTAATTCAAAAGTATTACAATTTTTATTTTAAAATTCTATTATTTTTTTTTTATGTCATCTTTTTACAGCTTCTGGATCTCTTCTCATTGGATAATGGTAAGGAAAAGAAATCTGATCGCAACGACGATATCACATCAAAGGTTAGTGCAGTGCCGGGGGTTAGTCGTACAATTCTTGAAATTCTTCCCGAACTCTGGGAACAACAACAATATGATGATGAATACGATCTTGATGCGTATTTGTCAACATTGAAAGGGGACATTCAACTATAATTTATCATAATGAAAAAAATTTTCCAGACAGAATTAAACACAAATAAAGCGTTCCACTTCAATTATCAATGTCAGAATGATGACATTCTAAAAAAAAAGTATGTATATATTTCTAACAAAAAAAGAAATACAATTTAAAAGAAGGCAAATATTTCCAAAAATGTCGATTATATGAAGAAGAATGGAATATATTTACATTTTTACAAGGAACGTTTATAAATGATGTCATTCAAAATTTTGGACCCCCCCCCCTCAAGGTATCTTGAAAACATATTTCCCTTTTAAGTGCGTGACATCATTTATGAAAGTTTCCACATAAAATTCACAACTTGAAAATGTTAAATAGATTTTTTTTCCTTTTTTTTCTCTCTCTCTATCTCTATCTTTTATATTATTATATTTTTGCCACGGGTTTAGTATCCCATTTCTTAAAACGAATACTCTTTTGTAGGTTTAGTTTTGACTCAAGTCTGATAAAATATATTTGTAAATTTTTTTTTTTTGTTAAATTGCGCAAAAAAGGTAGCAAATAAGAAGAAAGTTTGTAGTACAACGAATCGACTTAGTCCAATTAAAAAGACATGCCTTTTTAGCGTCGAATAACACAAGCGATTAGATTAAAAAAATTTATAAATAATTAATTAAACGTAAGTTCTTTCATTATTTATATTAACTTATCAAAAAAAAAAAAAAAATTCAATATACTTATTATTTGTACCAAAATGGAATTAATTTACTTGCCCATGTATTTTTCAATAGAAAAACAAAAATAACGTCAATTTATTTTTTAACTTGGAAAACTAAAAATAATTGAACGTTTTATTGAAACAATTTTCCAAATAATTGAAAAATGTATTTATTCTGAATATTAATTCTATAAAAAAAAAAAAGCAACTACCTATACAATTATTGAAAATTTTATCATTCGTTCATGAAAAAGTGGGAGAAATAATTTTAAATTGCAATATTTAAAAAAGAGAACACCATATTTTGAAAAAATTGTACACTTTTTTTGAATGGGGAAAACTTTTTTTTCTTTCTTTCTTTCTATAATTTTGATTTATACTGGGGATCCAAATTTCCAGCAGCGAAAATATTTTGTGGATCCAAATGAATTTTGGCAGCACGATAAAGTGAAACGCCAGCGTTTCCAACAGCTTCCGGATAAAATGCCGCTCTCATTTTACCAACACCATGATGATGTGACAATGAACCCCCATTAGCTAGAATCTCTTCTCTTGCGTGCTCTTCAATTTCCTCATAAACTTCAACTGGATTATTCAAACCCATATAATTGAAAGCCATATAAAAATAAATGCAACAACCGGCGTCATATGTTTGTGTGACTCGACACGAGACCAAATAGTATTTAATTCCTCGCGTGGTAATATCACGAATTATTCGCGTTTTAACATTACGACACAATGAATAGGCACGATTCCATGAAACAGATGTTTCAAATGATTCTGAAACAACTCCATAGTCAAGTCCCAAATCGCGAATATAAGCAATAACAAATGTTAACGTATAACCACGTTCACCATTTGTTTCACCAGCAGGAATACCATTGAATTTTTTGCCAATATTGTAAATTTTTTGTTCTTGTATTGCCACATCGGCATTTGAATCGCTTTCAAATAAAAGTGTCGCGACACATATACTATCCCAATTGTAGCCTTTTATTTTTGTAACGTAAGCGTGTTTTAATCCCTGAAGAAGGAGACCTCCCCATCCGGTTTCCGGTCTTAAGGCTTGACCAAATTTAAATTGCTCATTGTCCATTAGTCGAATACTTGCCGGTTGACATCGTTGTTTTGCTACCTGAAATTTAATTTTATTTTTAAGTAAAAAATATTTTTAAATAAAAAAAAATAAAATATTTTTTTCAAATTATTTTTCTTACCTCTCGCATGGCAGAGACTCCACTACTAAAATCCGGGAACACAATACTTCCATATTTTACAATTTGTGGCAGTGGTCGAATTTTAAAAACAACTTCTGTTATTACACCGAGTGTTCCCTCGCTACCAAGAATCATTTGATCAAAATCTGGTCCACATGACATTCGCGGTACTTGAAATCCTTTTTCCAACGTCACTGCAGTGTCATCAATTCTGCCAGTGACCATTCTTAATCGAACGACAATATCCTCGATATTTCCATAGACATTTTTCTTCATTCCACTAGCTCTTGTTGCGACCCATCCTCCCAAACTGTGTAAATATTTTTTCAATTTAAAAAAAATTGTCTATTTTTTTTTTTTTTAGAAAAAAAAAAAATTCTCACCTTGAAAATTCATACGAGTCCGGTTCATGTCCAGATGTGAATCCTTGTAATCGAAGTTCACGTTCAAGATCTTGACCAATTATTCCCGATTCACAACATGCGAGTAAATTTTCCCTATCGAGCCACAATATTCGATTCATTTGCGATGTGTCAAGTGAAATTATTGTTCTTTTTTCTTCGACGGGACAATTTGCAGCGCCACTGACACTTGTTCCACCTCCAAATGGTATACATGCCGCATCATAATCGGCGCAAATTTTCACAATTTTCTCCACATCGCTGTGACATTCTGATTAAAATAAAAAGCAAATTTATTATAAAATTAAAAACAGAATTTTTTTTTTTTTTGAACAAAAAGAAAAATATTTACTTGGCCAGAGAATGATGTCTGGTATTCTTTGGTATGTGCCATGTTTAAGCATATAAATTTCTCGTAAAGTATGTCCATGAGCCCTAACTAATCGATCGGTACCCTCTATCGAATATTCAATTCCACTTTGTTTAATTACATCAAATAGTTCTGCTGATAAAATTGGCTCCGGATAAGTTTTTGGTAATTCTTGAATATCACGTTTTGAATCTAAATCAACGTTTAATTTTTCTTGTGCCCATACTGTAAAGTATGGTAATTGCTTATTGCCAATTGAATATCTATAGGTAACAAAAAAAGAAGAGAAACAAGAAATCAATAAAACCTGACACTGACATTTCTGATCCTCTTTTACATACATAGTTTTTTTTTTTTTTAAATTTTTAATATTACATCTACATTGATTTTTACTTTACTATTGAAACTATTATTTATTAAAAAAAAAAAAAATAGAAAACAAGTTATCTTTCGTTTTCATAATGGAAATTGATAAGAATCATGTCAATAACTGTTATATTTAGTTCTATCGATAAAATTTTCTGATTATATTACAATATATAAATGAATTTTTAAAGACATTTAATGTTGAGTAGAATTTTTTTTTTCCCAACGAATTTTAAAAAATATGAACAAAAAACAGACTAGTAATCATATTTAATTAAGATTACATAAACCCTATACGCCACTCAACCTACATATTTCCATTCACTATGAAAATATTCTATGTTAAGAAAAGTATAAAGTACGAAAAACAATATTTATAGACACACATTTAAATTTTTAATTTAAATCTAAAACTATTTTAAATTATATTATAAAAAATTAGAATAAATAAGTATATAAAAAGATAATTAAATTATATTATAAAAAATTAGAATAAATAAGTATATAAAAAGATAATGAAATGAAATTTTAAAAAAATTTAAATTTCAATATGAATAATTAAATTTAAATAGAAAGGAATTTTCTAAATACTTCCTTATGATTTTTGGTACATGAAAATCGACAATTCGCATAAATTATTTGACTTTGTTTTTTGTTTTTACTTCATTACTTTCACTTAGCATATTAAAGAAATTTAACAAGTGACGCATTTTACAATATACGAAAAATAATTGGTGAGAAAAAAAAAATTTACAGCAAGTTTTTTTTTTTTTTTTTTTATCAACATCGATACTTTATAATTCATGAAACGAAATATATCCATAAAACTGGATTGTTAAATAATTTTTATTTTAAAGGCTTTCATTATTATATATATTATTTTTTGCCCAAGTCTTTTTCTAATCATAAAATGTTTAGAATAGACCTATGGTATCTATTTGAATACCTACGAATATTTAAACAACGATTACCACATACACATAAGAGTCGCCGGTCGGGCAAGGAAATGATTTCAACATCTAAGTAAACACTATTCAACTGCAGAAATTTAAGCCTTGAATTACCCAATTCAAATAAATTTTTATGTTAAATTCATTCATATATAATAATAAATACAAAAAAAAAAGAAAAAAAATTCTCAATTTCGTATATATATATATATATATATATATATATATATATATATATATATATATATATATATATATATATATATTTTTTTGTTGAAATTGTAATATAAACATTTATGACATAATATTTGATTTTACCATTTGACATCAGAATTACACACACACTTACCGATTTCCAGTGAATTCGAGGACTCTTTCATTCAAGTTAACACTGAACCGCGAATCCTTATAGCCCCAACCATTCCACTTGAGCAAATCTTGTCTAAAGTAAAACACAAATGTGTAAATCAGAAAAAAATATTTTCCATTTAATTTAATATTTAAATTTTCATATTGGAAGAAAATAAAAAATTATTGCGATAAGACGGAACTGAATAATTAATTAATAATAAAAAAAAAGATAATTCAAATCAATGATTCAATTTTTTTAATTAATGTAATGTATATTATAGAATAATTATCTTTTATGAACTTTTCTAATATATAATAATTATTTTGATTTATATTTATTATATTATATTATATTATATTATTGTGTATACTTTTTAATACACTGAAAAAAAACATTAACCTAAATAACGATATATTTCAATGTTGTATTCTATATTTGGATATCAGTCTTTAAACATTTATCACAACATAAATTTACATTTTATGACAAACTTAGGTCGTTAAAATGTAAAAAAAAAAATTTTTTTTTTCCTTTCTCGACGTAAAGTGAAAAAAATATGATATTTTCTAAAAGAAATTCTTTCGCGGGTAAATTTGCATTCAGAGGCACGTGACTCTCGAGTAACCAATCAGAAAGTAAATATTGATTTTTTTTCAGACTCCTAACTTGCGGATCATATAACGCGTGTGTCTGGTCTGAAGCTGGGATTACAATAAGTCTGCTCCATTTAAGATATTATTTACACACATGTTGTACAGTAGAAACTAAAAGATTATTTTTTTTCAAGCTCTCTCTCAGTTAAAATTTTTATCAATACTTGACACATTAAATAATAATTAATTTATGGTATTAAAAATGATTTTTTCAACTATATAAAGACAATTGATTATTATTTAGTCAATATTCTTTTCCTTGACTTCAATTTGACGCTCAACATTCATTTACTTGAGAAAATGCCATAATAGCATGAGTCATAATACACGAGGAGTGGCTTTTTCTATATAAATTCTAATAAATTTCTCCCGCAGCAAATTTGACGTTTATTAAAAATAATTACAACGTACAAAAAAAAATCATGTGCATATAAAAACATATCCAATTATATAAAAAAAAAATTTAAATTACTCTCTTTTAACATGTAATTACTAAAAATAATTACAATCTATAAAAAGACTAAATTGGGGATGATTAACAATTTTCACTGAAAAAATTATTCAATTATCCCGAGAGGAGAAAGGATGTAATAAAAAAAAAAAAATTTAATTCAAAATATTTATCATAAACATGTGACACGGAATTTTTTATTTTTTTTAAATTTATTTTTAAATAAAACTAACCTGACTTTTGGTACGGCACTTATCACTTCTTTTGGTCCAATCAAATTGTTTGTATCAACCGATGTGTCGGTTTTATTTGAAGGATCAGTCATGTTTTATTGTCTTGTTATACAAAACGTTAATGAACATTAAAATTTTTTTTTTTAAATTCAATTTACGTTTAACTGGATATTTTTAATATACGCAACAAAAGTAAAATTAAAAATTTTATTATACAAGACACGAGAGGAACATCTGCTTCACTGTTCCAGCAGTCGACAGAAAATGCACCGGCTAGACAAATTTAAATCGATAAATAAAGACCCCGCCCGATGAAGGTCCGCCTACCACCGAGTCTGACCGAAGTAACAACGTGGGGGACTCAAGCCAATCACAATCTCCGTTTCTAATATTATTTAAAAAAAAATAAAAATAATAACAAATATAAATATAATAATTGTTATTACAATTGGAGCTATTAACTAAATTATTTTACCACTTTTTTTTTATTTTATTATAATTATTTGATTTTTTCTTCATGTTTCGAAAATATGTCTGTTTTTTTTAATAATTGGAAAAATATGATTTTTTTTTGCATATTTGGACCCAATTTTTGAAAATTTTTCATTTCTAAATTATCAAAAATATTATTCTATATTTTTTTTTTAATTTGATATTAAAAAAAAAATATTTTTTAAATTTACTAACTTATTATTATACATAAAAAATATTCTAGATATTTATTGTTTTACTTCAAGTCTTATCAGTCAATTAATTTTAGAAAAAAAAAAAAAAAAAATTTATGCAAACTATAAAACTCAAATGTTTATAAACGTTTGACAAACATTGTTGTAAGTTTTGATTTTTATTTTGAATATATTTTTTTTCGATATTATTCTCAAGAAAAGTAAATGTTGAGCAAGTTAACATCACCTTGGCATTGGTGACATTATACATGTTAATATTTATGTAAAATTTTCAAAATATTTGCATTTTCATAATGTGTCAAAAAGGAAGTTGATTGATATTATATATCATAAAATAAATTTTTAAAGAGTTATATCAATAAGAGAACACATTAAATATTATGTAAAGTTTTAATCAGCATAATTCAAAATATTTAATTTTAATGTTTTTACTGTTTTCAATTTAATAAAATATAATTTTAATTAATTTAATAAATTTGATAATAATTAAAATTAAACATTTCATTAAAAATAGTTAAAATTGTTAATATTTTTCAAAATTTTTTTTTTTTAATATTTTTTCAAAAATACTTTGATAATATTTCACAAACATAAACATTAAAAGTTTTTACCAATGATTAAATTATAAGTGATTTTTAATAGTAGTTTACACTAATGTCAAATATGTTCTCGCAAGACTTAATATAAAATTTTTAGTAAAAAATTTCAATTTTCCACATATTTCTGCTTTCTCATTAAAATCAAATGAAGGCAATATTTCGAAACACCTTTATCAAATATATATAATAAAATAAAATTCTTTTTAGAGAGAAATTAAATACGTCTTTGCCCAGAGGCAATATTATCGTAGAAGCCAAGGTAGTTTCAATGATTAATAATTTTCTCATTATTTTGACAGAAACTGAACTTGAAAAAAATAAAAACCTAAATCAAGGTTATCATGTTTTCATTTTAGAAATGTACAAACTGAAAATTTTTCTAATAAAAACACATATAATATTTATATTGCCATAAACTTATTCAAATAATAAAAATAGTAGTAAAAAAAAAAACATTATTATAAAACAACTTTTTTAAAAGATTGTTGAAAGAAGAAAATATAGAACAAGGCACTTTAAAAGAATAAAGAAAGATAGTAAATAGAAGATACAAAAAAATAACAAACAGTACCTATTTAATAAATCAAACCATCTATTTTTAGGTTATTTTATTAACCTCTCTTGATAATATACTATATTTTGATTTTAATTATATTTACTGTCTTTAATTATTATAACAACATCAAATTATTGACATATAATGTCTGAAGTTAGGTTATTTTTTTTTTTGATCGATTATTGAATTCTTGATTCCAGTGTTGCCAATCTACAATCTAAAATATGACGTCATTGTCCCAGGTGGTAATTTATTGTAGATATTTATTTTACCGACACATTTAAATGTCGGTAAAATTAATATCACAAAAATTACCACTGACGATTTAAATTACAGGGTTAGGTTAGATTATATGTCAAAACACGTGCACGTGGTCGTTAAAAACAATAAAGAAAAATCGTTCTAAATCCATAAAAATTTAACACTTTGATTAAAATCAAGTAAATAAATTACAAAAATGAGTGAAAAAATTAAATCAAAAGCTTTTAAACGCGCTAATAATAACATTAAGGAACGACTTAAAGATTTTTTTCTATTAAGTTATTCTCACTATACTGCGCCAGGAATTAATCTCATTCGAAATAAGAAGAATAAATCTTGGAATATTAGTTCAATGATTGGAATGTTTCAAGATTATCCTTACAATTGTGATCTTCCAAAACCTCTTTTGCCACCAGTTAAGTTAAATCGTGAAGGTAAATGCTTAACTGTTATTTAATAGCGTTATTGCTTTTTATAAAATAATTTTTTTTTAGTTTTGGTTGAAGAAGATCCAGCATTACAATTAATAACAACGAAAGCACACATGAAAAATGACATGAATAGACTTAAAAACTATTATTTAAAATACGAAAAGGGTATGGAATTTTTTTTTTTTTTTAAATTATAAACAATATCTAAATTCAACTTAATTATGTTCAAAATTTCTTTTAGTTATGCAAAAACTAAAAAGAGATGATATAAAATGGAATAAGAATAGTAAATTAAAAACTACAACTTTACCAAGGTATATTGCGGAAATTGCTGAAATTATTGAACTGGATCCGGATCCTTATTTTTCAGGCGTAAGTTTATAAATTAATACAAAATTCTTTACTAATTGTCTTAAAATATGTTTTTTTTTCTTTTTTAAGACCTACAATTGGTATTACACTGGAGGCACATTAAATAATATTTGTCATGGAAACGAAAATATTCTACTATTCCCCTATTGTGAAGAATTAAGTAAGATCTGTTTGATTTAATTATTTAAACATTTTAGAAAACGATTTTTTTTTAAATTAAGTTTTTTCAATACAGTTGCAACTTCCATGTCACTTTATGAAGCATCTGTATGGAAACCAAATCTACTAACTGCAGACAAATGTCAACTTGATGGCAAACTTTACGAATTAAGGAATACATTCACAAATGATTCATGTAATATATAACGAAATGTCATTTTAAATTAAATAATTATCTTTCGTATATAGATTTTTTAATTTTTTGCAGATAGAATTATTGGACGTTTTAAGAATCACTGTATATTATATAATCTTTATGTATCTAATTCTAAATTGAATTTAATTGAATTGCATAAAGAAATATCTTCTATTCCTTTTGTCAGTGCGGATCTGAATCCATTCAAAGTAAAAGAATTTAGTACAGTAAATGTTGAAAGACTGATATCAATTTGGGACGTGACGAAAAGGTAATGATTTTTTTTTTTTTGTGGAAAAAAAATTAATTATTTCAATAACTAAAGAATAATTTTATATAAGATTTATATTATTCTTAGTGTAATTAAAAAGAAATTTAATTTTGAATTGCAGGAAACCCATATCTAGTGGTAATGTAATAAACAGAAAAATCTCAGACGATAATTGGGGAAGTATTAGATATCAAAATATGGATCCCAATGTTTTAATTTTTACTGACAGATGTTGTGTCCACTATATTGATACAAGAGTGAGTTTATTTTTTTTCATTTTATTTTACCAAATTATTTATTTTTTTTTTTCTTTTAAATTTTGATTAGGAACCAATTGAACGACCTGCCCTGTCAATGTGTCCAAAATCAAATTTGGAAGTATGCGAAAATCTTTGTTATGATAATTCAAGTAGAAATTCATTTTGTCGATACGTGGGAACATATCACAGTTTACTTTTATGTGACAATCGAGTACCAGATGAATGTGTGCAACAAAAATGGACTCATCAATTTAAAGGAGCTCCACTTCTATTCAACGTTATCAACAAGTTAAATTAAATTTTTAAATAATTATTATTTTCTAAACTGAAAATAATTCTAATTTTTTTTTACAGAGGCGATCAGGATGTAATAATTCTAACGAGTCAACTTCAACGTGAAAGATCAATAATTCTAAATAATTGGACTAATGAAAATGATTCACAGTCTTACAGTTTACCCTTTACACCACCCAGTATTCTAGAAACTCTTCAAGAATCTCAAATGCAGGGAAAATGTTTAGATCCTTTAATGAAACATAGATTAGGACTTAGTAATGCAGGATGTACATTAATTCCTGATACTGAAGGACAAATTTATCTTTTTCTACAAAATTCTATTGGTATAAATTATTATTCTATAATAGTTATTAATTCAATAAATTTATAATTAAATTATAAATTAATTAATGGAAAAATATTTTTCCTATTTCATAGGTGATATTTTCTATCAAAATATAATGCACGAGGAAAATCTTGTTAAATATTCCGCGGAAAATTTACAAGCTTTAAGAGCTTTAGAATCTTGGGAGAATGCAATTCAAAAGCAAAGAGATACTGTGATACCACTCGTATTTTCTGAGAAAACAAGCATGAATCACATTTTTGAAAGTAAGAATTCATCATTTTTTCAATTATTTATATTTTTAAATAGTATTAAACATCATTTACCTTTTTTTCCCCCCGAACAAAAAATAGATTTAAAGCGTTCGAAATTGAAGTATACGCATCCTGAGAAAACTGAAATTTATATTGAGCCACGTTGGAAAGAATCATTGGAAGAAATGAATTCTTACGTGGATCTTTTAGCGCCTGAACTTTTGGCAGTTTGGGAAGTTAATGATAATGCAGTTTTACCTTCGACATCAGCTCCTCGTGATAAAGTTTTAAATTGGCTTGAAACCACTCAAGTGGCAGATGGTTTTACTCAATCAACAATGCCAAGTCAAGATATTGAAGTGTTGTCAATGCCTTTTCAATCACAAGAACTTGTCAGCGTTTCACAACAAGTGGAAATGGACATTTTTGAACAAATGTTTCTTCCTAAAATAAAGACAAAAACAAAATCCAAAGAAGTCAAAAAAAGGAAATACATTCCTGGTTTCTAGTTTTCTTTTTCAATTTCAACAAAATAAATATACATACCTGTAAAACTTTTGTTTATATAAAAATTTAATTTAAAAGTAATATATATATATATAATTCTGTATTTAAAAAACAAAAAAAATATTTAAAAAAAATAAAATAAGATAGAAATTATTTTTTTCAAACAAATGTTTATTATTTTTATGACTAACGATTTTTTAGAAAAGATGGTTTCCATTTTGTCGTAAGTGCTTTCGATCCGTCTTGTTGTATTTTTGCTTCATCTTCCTCTAATTGCACCTGAAATAAAAATTTTAAATACAAAAATTGTGTAAAAGAAAAATTTGCAAAAATTCTTAATTTCTTACCAATAATTTTCGCTGATTTTCTCTAAACGCTTCTAAAGGATTTTCAAATTGTCTGTAATGATTTAAAACGTCTCGAACGTCATCCACTTGTGAAACATGAATTGCTAAAACATTTTAATTTTTACATTGAAAATTGTTTTATTACTTATATTAAAATTTACTTGATTATTAATTTTTTCGTCATTTGTAAATATAATGATTAATTATTAATTTAACTTACTTTTGAGGAATGCTGCTAAATCATACAAACTTGTATCATCATCATTTCCAGACCATCGGGGAATTTTTAATACATTCTCTGGATGATATTTGACATTGTCACTATTCCAATCGATAACAATTACCTGATAAAAATATTTAATGTATAAAAAATAATCATTTTCTTTAATTTGAAATTTAAAAAAAATTAAACACTAACTTTGCTAAGATCTCTATTGAGGGAATTTAAATCTTTTACATGATGACCATCGACAAAACGAGTCGCATCTCTGACTAATCTGTACATAATAAATCCCTGCGGATCCAAAGCATCAAGAATTGGAAACACAGTCTGAAATATTAAACATTTAATTAGAATAAATATTAATATTATTATTAAATACTAATTAAAACCTAAAATATAAAAACTTTAATTACCATTCCCTGTTCAGCAGTAAAAACAACAATTTCAAATTGAGGTGGAGCAATTGCTTCCAAAAATTTGTCAACTCCCGGTCGTTTTTTAAATCTCCATCCAGTGTGATACTGAAAATATTATTAATAATTACCCCTTTTTTTCTTATTATTTCAGTAAATAATTAAAATATTTTTTTTCAAGTTTCCAATTTACTCACCGTCCAATCTGGATGAACTAGTAAATCTATTAATTCTAAAACTACAGTATATTGAGGCTGAATGTATGGATATTTTAAAGGATCAGGAAGTAATTTATCTCTGCTTGGTTCCTGAACGAGCTGTAAAATTGTTTTTAAAAATAAATTATCATCAAAAGCTAATAAAATTAAAAAATTAATTAAATTACCTTTTTATAGTAATTCAGTTCACTTAATAATCTTTTAAACATTTGCTCTGGATATGGTAAATTTGTGAATTCATCCTCAATTATATTCCCATGTTCATCGTATTTTGGTCTTGCCATTTCATAAACTAAATACGAACCCATTGTTCCCATGGATATACCACAAAAAGCCATGCAAAATTTTGTAAATTGAGAATAAGATTTATCTTTTTTCTCCTCATTCGTTTTATCCGAATCTTCATTTTTTTCATTGCCTTGATTTTGTTCTATTATTGGTTTTGCTTCTATTGGTGTTGTACTTGATTGTATATTTGTTAGACTACCTGTGATTTTAGGACCGGTTGCTGAAAACAAATTTTATTATAAATTATTGCCTTAAATAAAAAATACGAATTCAATAAAAATTAATAATTTAGACATGTAGTTAATTAAATTAATTTAATATCAGCCATATTTTATAAAATTTTTAGTGAAAAATAAAAGAAAAATAATTCCCATGTTATTTACTTAAAAAAACAGATTTAATTTCATTTCTAAAATAAAATAAAATATCTTGTAAATCATTCTTAATAAAAAAAAATCATTAGAAATATTTTAAAAATTGTTTAAATTTCAATATTTACTTCAGTAAATAAATAATTGTTAATTAATTAATGTCACTATAAAACAATTTTTTAAATAAGAAAAAATAAAAGTGAGGTTATGTTTCAAAATACATACGTTTTGTACAGAAAGAGTATTTTTGTGTTGATTTGACAAAAGTCATTCGTGAAAGTGATGGTTGAAGAGTGGAAAAAGTTGCAATTTTTGTGCCATTATTTATTTTACTTAATATTCTTAAATGCCTTGTCGCAAATGCCAACATTTTTAAAACCGTCTCGAAAACTCGGCGAGGAATTTTTAGTGCGCAAAATTTACGTATCCCCCGTATCAATTGATATTCCCGCATGTGAATTTAAAAGAAAAAAAACATATAACAATTCTTATAACAGAAAATTATATTTAAAAAAAATCAAAAATAATTTTTTGATAACAAAAAACATATTTTACAATTGCTTTATTTTATCATAAACTAAAAACAAAACAAAAATATTTACTAAACAATCAGAGCTCTTATTCGCTTTCAATTGTTTTTTCTTAAAAAAAAAAAAAATATATATAAACAATTAAATGTTCGCTTTTTCTTTAAAACGGTAAATAAGTAAATTGAAAATTAATTAAATATTTATAAAAATTTATTGTTATTTTGATTTCTTTGTTTAAAAAAAAAGGAAGTTCTATAAACAATTTAAAATATTGCCGCCTTTTATAAAACGGAAGTTATCACAGTCGGTAATTTCCTTATCAACATTTTTTTGCTAAAAAGCCTCGTGTCTGCTCAGTGTATTTACTGTGGAAACAGACTCCAATTGATCTTCATTCGCGGCTAAAGTAAAGTTTTTAATTTACTTTGTTAAACTTCGTGAAAACTAGTGCAAATAATTTTTCACAACCCTTTCAAAATTTCGAATTTAATTCATATTAATTCAAGCTACTTTATTTAATCATGGCAGTTCGAGTACAATTTGAAAATAATAATGAAGTTGGAGTCTTTTCTAAACTAACAAATACTTACTGTTTGGTTGCAATCGGTGGTTCTGAGAACTTTTACAGGTAAACAATAATTTTCATTCTATCGATTAAAAATATTTCAAATTCTTATTAATTTTTTTTTTTAATATTTAATTTAAAAAAGAAGTCAGTTGATTGACAGTTTTGTCACGTGTTCAGTTTTGATAATTTTGGCATGTTTACTATTTTGTTAATATATTAATCACAAACGCATAGATCTTTTATTGTTTTTAAAGGATAATTGTTTTTGACGTAATGAGACTTTAAATTATGTGTAATAATTGCATGAACAATGCTCAAGTGTCAAAAAAAATGTGATTAATATGATGTACGAAAATAAAAGTTAGGTTAGGTCTGTTTAATAACTAAAATTTATTATTTTATATAAAATTAAACTATTCGAAAATAATTTTTTGAATTTTTTTTTATGATACCAGTAATTATAATAATTTATTTAATTTCTTATTTCCTGTGAATTTTTATTATTTGAATAAAGGGCAATTCCGTTATTGCAAAATATTGCGAAATAAAATGTTTTTAATAGTGTCACAAGTAAATGTAACATTTGATATTATTATTTTTACTGGTTATAATTTCTTTATTATTTATTTTTCTTGAACTATTTAGATAGTTTTCATGTTATTTTTTTGCTTTTTTAATACAATATTTACATAAAATTTATAAATGATATTTAGTGTTTTCGAAGCAGAACTTGGGGATGCAATACCAGTTGTTCATGCCTCCATTGCAGGATGTAGAATTATTGGAAGACTTTGTGTTGGTTTGTATAATTAAAAATTTCTTGATAATTATAATACAAAAAAGAATAAATTTTTTAATAAAAATAATTTAAAAATTGTTTTAATTTATCATATTTTTCTAAAATTTTTATCCACATTTTCAGGAAATAAAAATGGACTTTTAGTTCCCAATACAACAACAGACGTGGAATTACAACACATTCGAAATTCACTGCCTGATTCCGTGAAAATACAACGGGTAGAGGAAAGACTTTCGGCACTTGGAAATGTGATTGCTTGTAATGATCACGTCGCTTTGGTGCATCCTGATCTCGACAGAGTAATTAACAATTTATTTTAATTTGAAAAAAAGGAATGTTTTCTACGAAAGTATTTGTTCTTTTCTCCTTTTTTTTAGGAAACTGAAGAAATCTTAGAAGATACGTTAAGTGTTGAAGTATTTAGACAAACAGTGGCGAGTAATGTTTTAGTAGGTTCTTATTCTGTTCTCTCAAATCAAGGAGGCTTAGTACATCCAAAGACATCGATTCAAGATCAAGATGAACTCTCTTCCCTATTACAAGTACCACTCGCTGTAAGCTTTCAAAATATTTACTCCAAAATGAATGTTAAAAAATTTTATTTTTAAAACAATTTTATTTGAATTTTTTTTTAGGCAGGCACAGTAAATAGAGGTAGCGATGTACTTGCAGCTGGAATGGTAGTAAACGATTGGATTTCATTTTGTGGAATGGATACAACAGCACCAGAAATCTCAGTTATTGAAAGTGTTTTTAAATTAAATGAAACTCAACCCACTGCAATTACCTCAACTATGCGTGCATCACTCATAGAAAGGTATGTCTTATTTAAAATCAAGATTTAATTAATTTATTGAATTTAATTTAATTCTTAATCAAAAAAAATTACTCTTATTTTCAGTATGTCGTGAGGAGAAGTTTTAAAGAACAAATTCTTTAATATAAATGCACTATAAGGCCGAAATTTACAAATTATGAAAATCAACTAAAAAAAACCGTTTTTGACTATCTTCTTGACACTTCTCTTTAGCATATTCATTTTTGAGTTTTCTTTTGAAAAATAGATGTGAATGCTATAAAATTTTATGAAATACAAATAAAACAAATTCTTTCTCTTTGTAAATTAAAGAAAATTCTATAATTATTATTTTTTTTTTAATTAAAAAAATTAATTCTAGGATAATTAAATATTAGCGTTTATCCAATATAATGACTTGAATGTATTTCATACAGGTTACTATCAAATGTCTGTGTATAATGTACAAACTATATAATTTAACCTAAAGCACTGCAAGGCACAACAATCTAATATAAAATTTATAAAGAGTCAGTTTAATGTTACTCTTTAAAATAAAAATTAAAAAAAGAAATAATGACACATTATTAAAAACTAAAAAGTTGTCGCAGTAATAATTAAATAAACTTGGCAAACAATTTCTTTACGCTTTGGTGATAATTTTTTAAAAACGAAAAGAAACTAATTTGAAAAAGAATCTTAATTATTACATTTATCGAAAATTATTAAAAAAAAAAAAAAAAAAAAAGATATAACTATTATTCTTAACAATTACACTTCAGCTAGATCTTGCATTAAATTTGACAAGCTAGCGTAATTCTACTTCTATATGTACATTAGTGTATTATCTATTTGTACAGTTAGTATTAATCATATATGTACATTATTTCACAAATATATCTCAAAATAGTATTGATTAAAGAAGTTTGCCTTGAAGCTTCAATTTATAAAAACAAATATTGAAACTCTTTCCTTTTTTTTCGTAACATAATCCATTATGCAAGGGATTGATTATCATTGCCATTATAAAGAAGTTAGTGTATTGATATCAAAAAAAAAAAAAAATTAATATAAAGAAATAATTTTTTAAGAATTTAAAAAAATAATTATATTTAAAAAAAAACCTTGTGTATTGTGCTGGAGGAAATTCTTAGTTTTTGAAGCTTTAAGAAAAACACTTTAGTTGAGACTAGAGGAGTGGTAATTGTTCAGCAAGTGCGAGTTCTTTTGCAACTTCCGAATCCGAAGGTACAACCAATGTTATTCCAGCTTGATACGAGGCAGGAATTCGTACATGTGATGCTCCAGTTATTACGGCAGTACAACTTCTTTCTCCCATTGTTTCACGGATCATATTGACAACTTGGCCTATTTAAAAAAACAATCAATAAACCCATAAATTAATAATAATAATAATGGCAAATAAATCATCTTAACCAGTTGATAATAATAACAAATATAAATAAAGTTAATAATATCAAATTGTAGAAAAAGACATTTTTTTTTAATTGTAAAAATTTTTTCTTACCTAGAACATTGAGTTTTCGCCATCTGTGATCAAATGACTTGATTGGTGATAAATCAGTTGTCGGATTCCAATGTGCCAAAACATCTGCTCGTCGGATTAATAAAACACTGGGGCTGATGAGTTGATGTCGCAAAATCTAATTTTAAAATAAAAATTGCAATTTTCAATTAAAAAAAAATTAATTGTAATACTTTTAATTTTGTTTAATATTAATTTTTTTCAAACCTGCTCTGGAAGACATTGAAGAGGATTCGTCATGTAAATTCCCGCTGGACCAACACCAAATATCATTTGATGATGCCAAGCATCGGGAATATTACAACCTTCTCCGCAATGTTGAAGATTTAAAGTTGCAATAGGAACAGCACCTACAAAAATAAAAAAAAAAATTAGTCTTCCTTTTAACTTTATATTTTAAAGATTAAAAATTTAAATTATTTAATTTACCGCGAGAAATCCAATGATGTAACCAATGGGATAATGAAACCTTCCTCTCGGGATAAAAGGCGAAAAATTTTGTTCCCAATGCACCGTTCGTTGCTAAATGTATACCTCGCTCTATATCTTTGTGTGTTGCACCGGCTAATGAACGACTCACCAAATATCTCGGTAATGGTGTACCTGGTTCTCTCAATCTTGTAGCAACTCCTTTAACTAACACCTCCAGTGAAAAAGGCACATCAAGTGCCATCTATAAAAAAAAAAAAATATATATATATAAATATTTCATAAATGTGAAATTAAAACAAATATATGCGAAACTCACAATTGCATTGATTGCCGCAGTTGCACCACAGGCAGAAGTTGCAATTTGTGTAACTTGTTTGACAGCCGCTTCCTGTTCACTCCAGTGCATTAATTTTTCAATTGGTGGTAAACCATCCAATCTCTCGTCACATAATTCACTTTCCTTTTTAAAAAGAAAAATATATTAAAAATAAATTTTAAATACTAAAAAGTAGATGAAAATATCTAGTCGTTTTCAACAAACCAAATTTGATTCGCTGCTTTGATTAAAATTCGTTTGCTTATTGAGCATTAATTTTTTAGCCATCATTCGATGATAAAGAGTCGAACTAAGATTAATTTTTCGTGAATTATCAGATGATGATGTTGATGCATTATTAGCCCAAAATTCTGCATCTACTTCTCTACTTTCACCTGGTGAAATTAAATCACCACTTGTATTGTGATAACCATAAGATTCTTGTAGGGGACATCCTCCACTTCTATGTAATCCTGTTGCTTCTGATTTTCCTATAATTTATCACTTTTTAATTACTAGTAACAAATAATTTTTTTTTCAAATACTACACAAAGGAATAATATTTTAATTTACATTTAAAACTTATAAAAGATACTAACTTGAACTAGTATTGCTACTAGTACCAGGTAACCATGATTTTTCCACCTCTTTAGAAGAAGAATTCCTTGATGTACTCGGTTGACACTCAGGAATATCATCTCTAACATTAATTTCAATTGGATTATTTTCCTGTGAAATTCCCAACATATCGTGACGTGGTACAACTTGAATTTGCAATATTTCCTGTCGTGAAACAACTTTAGCGTTACTCAAATCGTTCAATAAATTTGGTTCCCCTTCAATATTATCCAAAGAAATATTTTGAATATCCTCATTAATGGAAGCCATATCACTATCTCCTGTATCCTGAAAATTAAAGCAAAATTTTGTATAGTACCTAATCTGAAAATATTTTTTAAAAAAAAATAATGTAACTTACATGCTCGCAAGAAGGTCCAGGATCAAAATCCATTTCCAAAAAATCCATCTCTGGACTAGATCTATCGCTATCGTGTCTCTCGAGTTCTTGTCGGCGAATATGATTTAAATCTTGTCTAAAGTCTAATCGATTTTCAACACCGATATCGTCATCATCGTCACCTTTATAGGTGTAAATATACTGATCCTCCTCATCGGATAAATCACCCTCGTTCCCTGAACTTGAATCTCGACTTTCATTTTGTATTCTTTGAGCCTAAAAATTCAATTCCAATTAGAAATGTATTACGAAAAAAAATAAATAAATAAATAAAAACTCACCTTTTGTAAACCACTGGGACCAGCCACATCCTTACAACCATTAATATTATGTCTTAAAAAACATGTGCCCTGATTTGTAGATCCAATACTACCGCCGATATTATTTAAAACACTATTCGATGACCATTTATTCTCCATTTCTGGACTTGAATCTGAACTACATGAAACTTTTGGTGGACATTTTTCAATTTCCGATGTATAATCAACATTATTTCTCATATCACGATCCTCATTTGATGAATTTGGAAATGATTCATCTGTTATTTCACTACTATTCAATTTTCTCGTATTATTCTCTTCTAAAGATGAGGAATTATATTCATTTGAAATTAATTGATTATCTTGAGGAAGATTCAAATTACTTGTGAAAATTGTCGATTTATGATTTATATGATTTGATGATGAATTATTTGACGATTGAAACCTGAGATTTAGAGCAGTATAAGATGGAAGATTCGATGATGATGATGATGATATATCGGAAAAATGACCATTTTCAGATGTTTCAACATTTTTCGTTAATGGCAATCCATTTAATAATTTTATTGATGAATCATTGGATGTGGAACATTTATCAGATAGTGGAACATTATTGTTTAATTTTAATTCGTCTGATGTTGTTTTTGTTAATTTTGTGACACTGCAGAATTTTGGTTCTTGTACTGATGGTAATCGATTATCTGTTGAATTTTGCTGATCTAGAGTTATTTTTTCACCATTTACCTTTTGACTTTCTGAATTCATTGTGTGCAATTTTTAAAAAAATTACACGAATTCCAGAAATCCTGAGAACAAAAATAGAATTGTCGATTCATGTTCTTTTTGTTACTATTTAATATTTTTATTTTATTTCCATAATAACACTTATTGAAAATCAATTTCGTTAATTCATATCAAGTACAAATACTTTTTTTTATATATTTTCTACAAATTAAAATATAAAGTAATTAAAAATATTAAATATCAACATAATGCCAATGCCAAATATTAAAAACATGAAAAATGTCAATAAATTTGACAAAATTATTTAAGCAAAAATTAATATATAGAACAATTATCTGAAAAATGAAAATAAACTGAAAATATTGTAAGGTTATTTAGAAAATTAAAATTAATAACCAATATAAGACAAAATAAGAAATGATGAAATCAATTATCGAACAATAAAAAAATATGGTTATTGCCTTTTTTAAACCATTGCTTTACTTTAAGTTTGATCAATTATTGAATAATTAGTTGATTATTGCTTATAAATTAATTTCACAAGTTATACTTAAGTACCTTTGTATCTTTTTTTCTAAATTTTTAGCTAAAAATAAATCTTGTCATAACATCTTTTTTACACTACACTGATAACTCGCGCACCGTCTTTTTAAAATTTCATTTACATAATCTTCTTTAAACTAGTTTAAATTATTTTTTTCATTAAAATTTACATTGTACTCAATATCAGAATGGATATAACATTTATGAGATGAATCAACGTAATAATGATAATCAGCTGTTGAAGAGAATGCATTTTATTAATTGGTTCTACTGGTAAACTGGACAAAGAATCAACAATATAGTCCAATTAAAATTTGCCTTTCTACTTTCTGATAGGCGGTTTGAAAAGAATGTAAAAGAAAATTTGATTGGTTATAAAGTCTATCACGTCTCAGAATGGACAAAACAGATTTTATTATTTTTTGTCCAGTATGAGCAAGCCAATAAAATTCTGTTTTAATATTATTAAAAAAATGTTTCACCAATCAAAGAGGAAGATATGTTTTATTTCTTTTAGATCTAATTACAAAGTTTCCGTGTCCTTGAAAATGCATGTAAATTTACGTATTAGCGCCAAATAACAGAGTTTACAGGAAGTTTAATTATCTTGTAAAAAAAAGTTATTAATTACTTAAACAGAAATATTAAGATTCTCAATAAAACAAGACAAGTGAATTTTAAAGAATGTTTAAATGAATTAAAGTGCATTTATAACGTGTTATATTCTTGACCTCTAAACTTTCCGGAATTCTTTGAATTATTTGAAAAACGTGTTTTTGAAGTTTCCATCAACCATGCTTTCGTTATTTGTGATGGTTGTGTGTGATTGTTGTGATGTGTAGAACTTAGTTCGTGGTTGCAGTTGGTGGTTGTTCAGTGAACATTTTGTAGTCAATCGAAGTTGCGTGCTTACATTGAGAATTACAATAGATTGCTTTTTAGCAATATATAAAGAAGACTGAGTAATACAAAGTGTTAATTGAAATCGCTAAATAACGCTAATAATATTTATTTGCTGTTTACTGTAGAGGGTAAGCATAATACATTGTCATGTGCATTTCATTTTCCTTTCTCATTCATTAATATGACATAACCTATAAATGATACACGCCATCCCATCGTTAGATTGTCGACAGATGATGCAGATCGTCAGCAACCCGTCCGTACATATGGCTTCTTTTTTGCACGGATGAGAGTTGTTCTGTATATTATATTTTCATTGTTATTATTATCGTACTCTAATTGACACTATATATTTGTTTGAATAGTCAATTACCACTAGAAGATTAATACTCTTTTTAAACTTACGTACTTTCATGATTTTTTATATATATTTTTTGACATTCAACAATTGAGGTTAGTTTTTGAAAGTAAAAATTATTTTTTAAATTATTATTCAAACTAATACGCAAAAAAGTAATTGTTAGTGATGGAAAATGATATTTTGTATTGTAGTATTATTTTAATTTGATAATGTGATTATTTTTGAATGTATTCAATAATTTGTTTTTAAATCCGGTAAGTTGGGTGTTATAGGATTTACAACAAAGGTCATGTTTTTTTAATGATATGAGTTTAATCAAGTAAATTTTCATTTATTCTGTAACAATTGCAATTAATAATAATTCGTAAAACTATATTTCTTTCTTTAATTTTTGTTTATTAATTTTTAAATAAAAATAAAGATAAAAATTTTGAAAGTGTTTATAGAAATATAATTTTTTTTAAAAATTAGATATTAAATTAAAATATAATTATTATAGAAACCATCAAGATGGCTACAACGGAATCACTTGCAGAAGTAACGGATGTAGTTCAGATTTTGAGACAATGGGAAGAAGATCACATTTCCCCAACTTACGATCCGATTCCAACTTTACAAAGATTAGCTGAAATTATTGAACTTGAAACAGAAAATTATTTAAAAATGGATCCGGATCCATTTGATGAAAGGCATCCTTCACGAACTGATCCCGAATGTAATTTTGGTCACATATTGAAAGTGCTTTTCAGAAAGGAAAATTTTATGACCAAGGTTTGTCAATATTTATAATTATAAAATTAATGTATTGTTTAATTTTTTATTTATTATATTTTTGTTTGTTAGTTGATCAATGATTATCTTCGAGATACTTTTTGGGTGCGATCAGGCATCACTGGACGAGATGTAAGAAAATTAAACACCGCTGCGTGTCGTCTGATGTTAGATATTTTGCCCGGCCTTGAAACATCTGCAGTGTTTCAACCCGATATGGAAGGATTAATACACAGATTATTTTCATGGGCTGAAAAAAGTGTCGAACCACTTCAAAGTTATGCAACTGGTTTATTGGCAGCAGCAATGGAAGTACAGGACATTGCAACTGGATTTCGTGAGCAAAATGGTAAAATGGTGCCATTAATGTTGCAAAGACTTCACAAATTACAAGAAAAAGCCACCGAAGGAAGGCAAGCTTGTGCAAATACACGACCTTTTGCTCATTTTGGACAAAATCGTAATGTCCTACAAGATTTCGAGCACAAAGGTGTTCCGGGAAAGCGAAAAGTCAAGGATAAAAATCGAGAAAATGGTGTTGTTAATTCTTCATCAGAAGGTGTTTCACAATCACAAGAAAATACATGTGAAGATTATGAAGAGGAGAGTGGACAAAGTTCCGATGAAATTCCACCTAGTAAGAGATTGAAAAACAATGATGAACCCTCAACACCATTAAAAACGCTCGACAATTCTTATCCTGAAATAATGTCACCTCCCTTGTCAATTCCAAAATCTAATAATTTGTCCAACTCCCAGGTAACACCAATAAAAGGATTAAATAATCTTTCAACACCACCAAGGTCCAGTGGTACGATAGCAAGATGTAATTTATCTAGATCTTTAAATATTAGTAGTACGCCAAATAGTGTTGTTGAAGGTAATTCAAATTCATCATGGGCAGAAATGGAATCTTATGTAATTGGAAATATTCAAATTCATCCACCGACACTTGCGACAAGACAAATGTTAATTCTCAGATATTTAACACCAATGGGAGAGTATCAAGAATTTTTAGGTCATGTATTCGAACAAAATGCGCTAGAATTAATACTTAAGTACATTAATGTTCGTGAAACTAAAGACAGTCGATTGGCATTTGAATCATTAAAATATCTTGCCTCTCTTTTGTGTCATAAAAAATTTTCTATTGAATTTTTAAATATGGGTGGACTACAAAAATTGTTGGATGTACCAAGACCAAGTGTTGCAGCCACTGGTGTTTCTATATGCCTTTATTATCTTGCATACTGTGAAGATGCAATGGAACGTGTTTGTCTTTTACCAAAACATGTTATTTCAGATTTAGTTACATATGCACTTTGGCTACTTGAAAGAAGTCATGATTCGGGACGATGTCATGCGACAATGTTCTTTGGATTTTCTTTTCCATTTAAGGTGATTTTGGAGGAATTTGATGCTCAGGATGGTCTTAGAAAACTATTTAATGTGGTGAGTATAAATGTTAATTAAAATTGTTAATTAAAAAAATAAAAAAAAAAATTATGTATTTTAAAAAACATTCTAGATATCAACGTTGCCGATTTTAAATGTCGAGGAAGAGCCTTCTTTAAATGACGATGAAGAATGTGCATCTAGGCAAATTGTGAGACACGTCGCTGTTGCTTTAAAAAGATATATGGAAGCACATTTGTATTTAAAAGCGGAACAATTGCAAAGAGCTGAGAATGCTAGAACTGAACGCGATACTTGGCAGCCTTCTATTCCTCCATATAAGGTTTTTACATATTTTTTTATTAGCTTACAAAGTATTAATAGATTTATAAATTCTTTAATTTATAAATAATATAATATTTGTTTAAAAAATTGATTAAACATTTTTTTTTATAGGCATGTAAATTGAGCAGCGAAGAAGTACAAGCAAAAGTAGAGATTCTACAGGAATTAATGTCATTAAGAACATTATGGTTTCCTGTGGAAGAACTTTATCGTCTTGGTGGAATTACTCTTCTTCTCCAAATTATTGCTTTTGCTCGAGAATGGAATTATAGCGGACGGTGAATATAAATTATTGTTTATTTTGATAATTAAAAAAAAGGAAAAATGTTAATTTGGGTTTAAAATTAAAAATTTTATTTTTAAATTACAGAGTTCACGCCACATCCAGCGCTGAGACTGTTCGATCTTGTTTAGATGTAATTGCAATTTGCTCTGTTGTACCAAAAGTTATGTCATTACTTTGCGAAAGAGTTGACATGCCGGACATGTCTATGACAATGGCAATTAATTTATTATTGGCTGCTGCAGAATGTGAAATTATTGCAGATGCCGATGTTCAAAGAGCTGCGCTCCGAGCTGTTGTTAATTGTGTTTGTGCTCCAATTAATAGGGTAAGAGCATTAATTTAAATAGTAATTAATTTTTTTTAATTATTCTTTTAATTATCAAATTTAAATGGTATTATTTAATATTGAATATATTTTTTTTTAGGTGGGTGGCAATGTTGCCAGGTATTCTGTGACAGGGTCAGCGAAAAAGAAAACAAATCTGCATAATAGCGAGGAATTAATACAAAAAGTTTGGGAAAGTGTGAGATCAAACAATGGCATAATGGTAGTTACTCTATTTTTTTTTTTGTAATATTAGAAATTTTTAATTTTGAGATTTAAAATAATTTCTTTATTCAAAGGTTTTATTGCAATTAATGATGGTGAAAACGCCAATCACGGATGCGGATAGTATTCGTGCTCTCGCTTGTCGAGCACTTGCTGGCCTCGCAAGAAGTGAAAAAGTTCGACAAATTATCAGTAAATTGCCAATGGTCACTGATAATCTTATTCAAGCTCTTATGAAGGATCCAATACTTCAAGAGAAAAGGCAGGAGCATGTAATGTTTCAAAAATACGCTTTAGAATTGATGGAGAGAGTTTCTGGTAAAGCAAAACCAACTGGGGCCGAATATGAAGTTTCCCTTGTTAGTCTACATAGAGTAAGTATAATCTTAAAAAAAAAAATTTAATTTTTTAAATTTAAAATCTATTAAAATCTTGTTTTTTTAGGCGAACGTTGTTGCGCAAACGAGAATACAATATAATGAACAACAATTATATCAACTCATGTATCAGCATTTTGTATCGAAAGGTTTAATGGAAACAGCTAATTCACTACTGCGAGAAGCGAGTTTAGATTCGCCTGCTGTTATGAAAGCTGTAACATCCTATCAACCTTTTCATTACAGAAGTCCTGCGCCTTCAGGGGTAAGTCATAAAATATTATCATTTCGTATATATTTTTTTTATTACATTGCGTCTCTTTTTTATTTTCCAGCCAAGAATTGGTTTTTCGCCAGGTGCACCTGCTAATCTTTACAATACAAGTAGATGTGGTGCTCGTGAAACAACACCTAGAACAAATGTAACTCCCACATCTGGTCCTTCTCGTTTTATTAATGTATGCTCGAATGCATCTCCTTCACCAAATCCAATTCGCATAAAATTGGCAGATTCTCTTGGTCAGAGTCCTGCAACAAATAATCTTAGTCAACCAATTAAGCTACAAATTAATCAAAAGTAAGTAATGAATTAAAAACATTTTTTTTTTATTGTAATTAATTTTCATTTATTTTATCGCAGAAAATCCAGTCAAAATGAGAAACAACCTCTATCAACAGCTCTCACGAATTGTCAAATTCCACAACAATCACAGACAAATTCTTGTAGATCTTTGCAAAAACAAATTTCACGAGATCCTGGAGGAGGTGGTCCAGGAGTAGCTACATCAAATATGGCCACTGTTACTTTAGATTCTATTATTACGGAATATTTAACCAATCAACATGCCCTGTGCAAAAATCCAATGGTCACGTGTCCTCAATTCAATCTCTTTGAGTAAGATTCGAATTATTTTTCTTAATATTCAATTATTATAATAATTGTTATTTTTTTCTTAATTAAAATATGTTTTTTTTAGACCTCACAAATGTCCCGATCCATGTACAAAAAATTCAACACCATTGAACGTAACAATGCGAGTATCGAGGCGACCTTTAGGAATGGATGGAAGACGATTGGATAGAAGACATATTTATAGTCGATTTTGTCCTGTTAAAACTTTCAGACCGAATGATATTGATGGAACTTTCACCTCTTGCACTTTTTCGGTAAAAAGAAATAATTAATTGAATATATTTACTTTTTTTTTTTTTTTAATTTTATTAAATTTAAAAAAAAAATTTCAGCCATGTCAAGAATATCTTGTGCTTGGAAATTATGCTGGAGAAGTAAAAATGTTTAATGCTCACACGGGAACTGAAGAGGGAACATATCAATGTCATGAATCGTATATTTATCATATGGAATGCAATAAAAAAGGAAATCTTTTATTAACATCAACCGCTTGGCGAACACCAATGTCTGCACTGTGGAGTTTTGGAACATTTTTCGACATGAAATTACCTCTTGATCATGAGGATTTCGTTGAATTTGGTAAACTTCAAGATAGAATAATTGGAACTCAAGGGGAAATTGCAACAGTAAGAGAAAAAAAATTAATTTTTGAATTTAACTCAATTTTTTCTTTTCTTATTTAATTTGAAATTAATATTTTACACAGATATACGATATTACGACTGGAAAATTGGTAACAACTTTGACGCCATCAATATCGAATCAATATACCAAAAATCGAGCCACATTTAGTATGAACGATGAATTAGTACTTAATGATGGAATATTGTGGGATGTGAATTCGGGAAAGGAAATACATAAATTTGACAAATTGAATCAAACTCTAAATGGTGTTTTTCATCCAAATGGAACTGAAGTTGTATCCAATACTGAAGTATGGGATTTAAGAACGTTTCATTTACTTAAAACAGTTCCAGCGCTTGATCAGATGGAAATTATATTTTCTCCCGTAAATAGTATAATTTATGCAGTATCAATGGATCAGGAAAATGAAGATGAATTCCATTATACTACTTCTTTTAAAACACTCGATGCTTTAGATTACAATAGTATTGGTAAGGATTTTTATTAATATTTTGTTTATTTAAAATTTTTAATTTACGTTTTATTTTTTTTTTTAGCAACTTACGATGTCAAGAGAGGCATTTTTGGACTTGCCTGCAATAAATTTGATACGCAAATTGCAATCGTAGAAAATTTGGGAGAATTTAATAGTATACAGGAATCATGGGTAAGATTGTACGACGTTGGTAGGAGAAGAGATGATGAGGACGAAGCAGAAGAGGATGATGATGATGAGGATCTTGATGCGAGTGATGACGATGGATCAAACTCGGCATCAGATGACAATAATGGTGATGGTAAGGTTTTTTTTTTTTATTATTGAATTTTGTTAGTTGAGGCTCATTTTATGCTTGAACAAATAATAATTAAATTTTTCTAGTTTCAAAAAAAAACTATAATTTACTTTAAAAAAATAATTTTTTTAATGTGAAAATTCTGATGGGAATAAAATGCGTTTCACGTATTGCTTTTAATTGAAGAAATAAAATTATAGAATAAGTAATAATAAGTTTAACTTGTTAAGTGCCGTACATCGGAATACTTCAAGTATCGTGAAGCGTGTGATTGATGATTTACACAACACTCAGAAGAGTTTGAAGATTAATTAAAACTTGTAAAAAACACAGATCCTGATAATGCTGATCCAGGGAGTGAAGATAATAGAGATGATAACGAACAAAATGATGGAGACGATAACGATGAAGATGATGACAGTGGTGATGGTGATGAATCAGCAGATGACAGCATTGAATTTGCTTTAAATGGCGATTCAAATGATCTCTCGGATGATTTTTCCTTTTCCGATATGGATGATATAGAAATAATGTTCCCTTGAATAGAACAGTCTCTGGAATACCGTGGTATTTTATTTTTTCAGTGTAGATTCTTGAAGAGTCTCAAAAATTTACTGCACAAGTAAGCGCTAAATCTTCTTCTTCTTTTTTTTTTTTTTTTTTAAACTAAACGTGTTAATATTTATTGATTTCATTCTATATATTATATAAATATATATATATAGACTCAATTTGTTGTTGAGTTTTTACTTTGGAAGTCAGGAGTTAATAAGTCATGTTAATAAATTTTAGAATATAGTTGTCGTGATGTTCACGATTAAAAAATAGGCAATCGATAAATATTAAAGAAAAATATACGAAGAGACGCGTTGTTCTAATATGTACAAAATAAAAGGTCTTCAATAATAATTTCTTTGTTTATGATGACATTAAATTAATTTTATATTTTAAATGCATTGCACTACTGAAAAGTCAAGGGTTCCAATTAAAAAAAAAAAAGGAAAACCTTTGCCTAACCACGAATTTCAGATATTGTTAAGGATGAAAAGGAAAAAAACAATAATTAGTTACTTTTGAGATTTTTTTCAAATGAAGGAAGTCGAATAGGTACAGCAAGAAAAATAGATAGGATTTTAAAAATGTTACTTTTCTATACAAAAAAGTGAAGATGCAAACGTTGCTATTCTCTTGCGCTCATATAATATGTAAATGATTTCAATGAAAAATTTTTTCTATTTTACGTACATTCAGTAAAGCCAAACTCAAAGGATAACTGATTCATAGGTATTATTGTGAAATATAATTGGTTAGTGATCGTGATTAAATAAATATCTCTATAATGTATATGAATATAAATATTAATAAATATTGTAAAAAGTCTACTAGTTTTTTTTATCTATCAAAATAATTTATTAATTTTTAAAAAAATATTTTTTTTTTAAATAATAAATTTGAAAAATGGCGCCATTTCAACTAGAGGGCGCACGGAGTGTCAGGCGCCATCTTGCAACACGTGCAAGCGAGAAAAAAAACATTGTCCTCGCGGATGGTGGAGGATGGTTCCTCGGTACCGCCGGCGACGACCCCTGCACTTCGATCGAAACAAGTGTCTGTGACTCTGTATACAAGATGGTGGTACCTACCAGAACAGTCGGTTGATCGCTTGTGCGAAATAGTAATCTGTCATTTTTGTTCAGTGAATTTGTGAGTAATAAAAAGCAAAAGCGTGTATACGTAGTGAATCGAGTAATTGCAAGTCAGGATCTTGAAAATGTAATCAGTCTAAAGCCCAGTCCGATTGACGGAGCTCTGGGTTATATGTGCAGGCAAGAAATTTGCCGCGAGGAAGAGGTCAGTTGTTTCGAGCGGTGCCTAGTGCGCGGATCAGTCGGCCCAAGTCCTCGGAACGATTCAGTGCTACTAATAAAATTGGTGTCCTTTTTCACATCAAAGTATAATTGAGAAGAACCTCTTTGTTACGGAGAACAAATAATCGACAATGGAGCAAAGAGAACGTTATGATGAATTATGCAGACTCTGTGCCTCCTACGATGCCGTCAAGATGGATCTTTTCGGCCAGGAAGGCAAAAATCGTCAACTAATTGACAAAATACAAGCCTGCCTACCGTTTAAGGTAAGATTTGCTTTCATTTTCATTATAATTATAATAAAATTATCTCTTAGTTTAATTATTTTTTATTGTCAATTTAGAATTACAAAAAATATGATTGTCTAGAATTCATATCCGGATGTTATCTTATATTTCATTTCGAGATTCTTTCCTCTTGACTAATAAAATTCCCCTACGCATATCGAAAACGGCCTCGATCTTGTTCATGTCCGAGTTGAAGACATTTACCTACGTAGTGTATAGCCTCGTATCTGCCCACGTCCCTGTTCTCGTTTCCAGACTCGTCAGCCCCTTGCCACGGCTTACTTTCCAATTGTCATCGAATTGCTCAAAGTACGCATCGACGTGGTTAGGTATATCCGCGATCGAAGGCTAGCCTCTCGCACGGAAGACATTTTGTTTTTTCTACCTTCTTTTAATTTTCAGAGACCTGGTGAATTAATTGTTCAAATGTCACAATTTTATAGACCTAATTTTTAATTATAGGGGAAATAATAAATTAGATATTTAAAACAATTCAGATTTTGTAAAGATTGTCTAGTTTTTTTTTTAATTTTATTAATTTGACCCTTCGATTAAAAGTTGCATTTGTTGATAACATTTAACCTTGTTTTGTTGCTTCTTTTGGAAATTATTTTGTTAACCATGTATACTTATTAAAATTTTTATTGAAAATGAATATGTATTGCAAAAAAAAAGAGAGCTAAGTTTAGAACTTCATTTATTACAAATTGACACAATATTTGCAATTTATAAAAAATGTTTATTTCAGTTTACAAAACAGTAAAGGTGTAATTAAAATTTTGTATTCTTTTATATGATTTTGTTTCTTTATAGTCTTTTAAAATTGTCAGAAAAATTCTCTTCTTAAATTTGCAAAATTTTCTTATGTAATTTTCGATCATTTACGTGTTTTGGAGAAGATTTAATTTAATTGGGATTTTTAGATAACAATTTTTTAACAAAGAAGCATTTTGTATAATTCATTCTTATCAATTTCTATTGTGATATATCAATATGCATTCAATATTATATAAATTTTAATGAAAATTTTAGTTTAAATAATTAATTACATTTAACAATGTTGAAGGGAAAATAAATTTTTAATTAATTATTACAATTTCTTGTTACTTTTTGTTTTGTACTTTATTTGAAATATTCTTTTGAGAACATTATACCTAGAGATCTCAATGGAATAAATTGTTATTAATTTTGAAATGCACAACTAATAAGATTTTGAAATTTTTTAAAAATTTATTTTATTTATAGAAAACTGACGCTTCTTTGATATTTTGATTTTTTTTTTTTTTTTTTTAATTATTCATGAACGTGTGATATTTTTTTTTTTTAAATAAAATTCTGAAGTTTAAATCTCTTCTCCTGTTATATGAAGAGACCTCGTTCTTTGCCTTGACGAAAGTCCAGGGACCTTCACTTCTGTCTACGAATTACCTTCTCTGAAGTTTGAAATGAATCTTCTCCTTTGATCACCCTGTCTATATTGCATCAAAAAAAAAAAAAAAAAAAAAAAAAAAAAATCTTGCTTTCTTCTATAACGTAAATTCTAAAAAAATATATTGAGAAAATACCTGTATGAATATTATAATTTATAAATTTGACAATTTAATTGACTATATCTTGTATTTTCTATTTTTCCAGAGAATATTTTTATAATCAGTATTTTTACGTCAAGGTCTAACTTGGAAAAATAATTACCAAAGCGATTCTTAACTTCATTAAGATAGTGAATCTGATTCATTCACGTGAGATTTCTGGAAAAAAAAAAAATTAATTGTAAATTGAAGAAAGTGGTTTTTAAAGGAAAAAATAGATAGTTATTTTTGCGACACCAGGTACAAGTTGTAATCCGATAGCTTCCTTACAGCGGTTTCATCCTGTTGGAGTCTTCAGAGAAACTCACACAGGATTTTACCCCGTTGGGAACTGTCAAAGGCAACGGTGTTGACGTAAAGAAAGATTCAGTGAAGACTATATTGAATAACAGGAATATAGTTCAACAACATTTTAAATAAATGATATTTTCATGGAAGAATGAATTCTTTATTAGAAAATTGTAATACCTTTTTTTTTAAAGAAAAAAAAAAAGTAAATTTTAAAATTATTTAATTTCAAATTATACTTTTTTTTTATATCAATCATATTATTTTTTGAATTTAATATTTTTTACGATCAATTTTTAAATGATTATTAATTATTAATTTTTTCTTTTACAGTTATTAATGAATATTGAATGCCTTTGAAATAATTGAAAGCATTTATTTATTTATATTTGATTACGTAAGGATGATGAATTAGTCATATATGAAGATTATTGATGAAAGAAGGCAAATGTAATTTGTGAAGAAACGTAGTTGTCATTTGAACACCCGTTATAGAGAGGTGGAATTGAAGACCACGGAGGAGAAGTGAGTTGGCCTTTATCTCCGCAGTTCTGGGGCCGTGGCCAGGGCTCTCTTGGTTGAGCCGGGTGCGGTTGATCGCCTGCTACATGGAGAGACGCAGTTTGTCGTGCCTCTTCGTCACTCAATTGAAAAAGCGTCGGCGTCTCTCCTCGTCTCTGCTGCTGCCATGTCCGGCCGTGTCTTTTCCTTTCCCCTTCCTTCCCCCGGTCTCTCTATCTTTGCTCTTCTCTTTCTCTCTCTCTCTCTTTGTTTGCTGCTGCTCGGGGATCGCCCCCTGGTCCCGAGAACACCAGACCACTACCCGGCTTCCTGCATGGCGCATCCTCGTCGCGTTCTATACCGAATCACCAATACTATCATATTCTCTCTCTTTCTCTGTTTCTCTCTCTCTCTCTCTCTCTCTCCTTGCCAACAACAAAATCGGACTAAACTACCTGACCTGACGCTCCGCTGCTCCTTAATTACCTGCCTGGTTTTCACGTCCCGTCCTTTCCCTCCGACCCGACCTCTAAGGCATCACCTGGCCATAAGATTGCACCTGGGGTCTTTCTCTTTCTCTCTTTCTCTCTGTGTTTGCTTCATAAAACCCAAGAATCGACGAGTTTCTCTCCCTTTTGCGTCCAGACTCCTCGGAATATCGATAAAGTTACACAGGGGGGTTGGAGAGGCTCAACATCACGTAACGTGGGAATACGATCGACCTGAAATGTCCCTTTAAGATATTTGCGCTTTTTTTTTCTTTTTTTTTCTCCAATTATTTTTTTTCAAATTACAATTTAATAATAATATTTTTAAATTTAGAAATAAAAGATTTTTTGTAAATATTAGAATTAAACTATAATTATAAAAATGATATATAATAAAAATTATTTATATCATTTTTATTATTTAGTGCTGCTGAGTGATAAATTCAAAATATTGTAAAATTTTACAAAACACTGAAAATGAATTTTTTTTTTTTTTTGAGTCTTGCAAACTTTTTCATTGTTTCCTTGTTTACATTTACATAAAAAAAAAAAATAATTGAAGTGGAAATTGAAAGAGATTTAATATGATCACCTGGTATATATCAGTGACTCATTCCATACGAGTACACACACCTTGACCCATATAGTAAATAGTAAGGCATTACTTTCTCCACTACGGCTCTCGTTATCAATGAATCCTGGCGCTAGTGGTACTTTCAATTTCCCTATGAGAGATTTTTAATTGACATTCCTTAAATATTGATGTTGATTTTTTATTATAAAAAACCGATATTTGAAGATGGCTTGGAGTTTTATTATACATTTAAGAATGTATTTCTTTTTTTTTATTTGATTTTAGATAGCAGAGAATGATCGCCTACCAAAGTGTCTTTGCTATCGTTGCATGTACAATTTAGAAAATTTTTACGACTTCAGGACAGCGTGTGTGAATGCAGTTGCACTTTTAGAAAGGTGTCTACCTCATGATAAAGATGTAAGTTGTAAAATTGTGTATTTTTTTTTCTAATTATCGAAATTATTTGAATTTTTTTTTTTTTTTGAAAAAATATTTGAAATTTTTACAGAGAAATGATGAGAATCGAAGAAATCCACCGGAACATTATTCAGAATTACGAACTGAACTTCTTAAAGAAAAACAACATATGCCAATACTTATTCCAGAAGCCCCCGTAGTTAATCCAAATGCAGCGTTGGGAACACCACCGAGACTCAATTCTGATGGCGAAGCTGATAATGACGATGAAGAAATTTTGGAACAAAGTGGTACAGAAGAAGGTATATTTATTTAAATTAAGATCTCAATTTTTTAAAATACATGAAGTAAAAATTTAGCAATTTTTTACTTAAGAAATAGTAAAATTTTACTATTTTCGGAGTAAAAATTGTCAGAAACTACGAACATTTCACTTTTAAAGTAGTAAAAAGTTTATTTGTTTTTCCATTTTTTCTCTGTGTAAATAAAAATAATTTTTTAAAAAAAGCAAAATAAATTGAATTAATTACAGGAGTTGACGATGCAGAGGACAGAAAATCAGAGGAATACGAAATGGATATGGAAATGAATCCAAGTGATTTTTTGGAAATGACACCAATGGTTACAGAGGATATTGAAGATAATATAAGAGGTGGAATTGTATCAACGCGAACGCAAAATGCAAGACCATTGCATCATAAATCAGAGCAACATGAAGTTTATGTTTGTTCACTTTGTAACAAGGCATTCAGCTCAAAAGGTCATTTGTCGCTTCACGCACGAATACATGTTGGCGCAGGTGATGTAATCGGTGAAAAAGTTATCACTGACGATCATACATCATACAAAAGGCCCTATCAATGTGACTTGTGTTATAAGGCTTATTCAACTGCAAAACATCGATGGGGTCATGTTTCAACGACGCACAGGTACTTATTCTTTTTTTCTTTTTTTTTTCTATGTTAGATTATTTTTAACATTTTGTATTTTTTTTATCTTAATCTTACAGAGGACATCCTGCGGTAACATGTAGTTACTGTTCTCGCATTTATTCAACGAGAGGAAATCTAGAAGAACATATTAGATCAAGACACGCTGGTTTGCCACTTCCGCCGGAATTACCAGTTTCCTATGTACAACCGGAAAATAAATATCAATGTAAAACATGTCCAAAAATGTATACAAATACAACGGATCTTAATAAACACAGTCGAATTTGTACTGGTGTTCAACAAAAGGAATTGCCAAATAATTTAATAATAGAAAAATTGAAAAGAAGTCACATTGTTGATACATCAGATATGTCAAGTAATGAATCAACTGATGAATCAAAGGAATATAAAAATGCCGAAGCAAAACTTGCAAAAAATCCACAACTCACAATTCTTAAACAGGCACTTACCAAAGGTGATAATTTAAAGAGAAATTATGATGAGAAATATAAAATTAATTCCAAATCGAAGAAACAAAATGAAAATAGTGAGACTGATGTACAAAAACGATGGTACTGTGAATCTTGTTCACAAAATTTTAATTCTTTGGAAAGTTTTAAAGAACACGAACACACTCACGAAATGGAGAAACCATATTTTTGTCTATTATGCGAAAAGGACTTTGCGCAAAAATCAATTTTGGGTAATCACATTGTTACAATTCATGGCGTTGATCCAAATCCAATTCTTGAGAGTGATCGATGTTTGAAAAAGTGGAATAAAAAACAGGACACGAATGGTAAGATGAATTTAACAATTAAAAGAGAAGAATCGCCGGATGCAATTTTGGAAAACGATGAAGATGAACAACAACAACAACCGGAAAGTAATAAAATGATTGAAATTGAAACAGTTTTTGTGTGTGAAATTTGCACTCGCGATTTTAATGATAGAGCATCATTGTGGCTTCATATTCGTGCAACGCATAAAGAATTTGCCGCATTTGCATGTGGTGTTTGTTTAAAAATTTGCTCTGACAATGCCCAATTATTAAATCATGTCAATATGTATCATGGTGGTTCAAAACTTTTAATGTCAGAACAAAGACGCTATAGTTGTACAATTTGTGGACGACAGCATGATTCGCGTAAAAAATTAATAACACATGTATCAATTCACAATGTTGATCCTAGCTATGATCCCGCGAGTTTTGTTCAATTGAATAGCAATTATTATAATGAAAATTTAAATAGCAATGAAGGAAACGAACAAATTGATGGTGAAATTGAAGATAGTGAAAAAGTTGATTGCTATATTTGTTATAAATCATTTCCAAATGAAGATCATCTTATAAGACATCAACGAAATGCTCATAAATCCGATCCAGCTGTTGCAATTGGTGAATCGGCATCAAATGGCAATGGTCCAGGTTCAAATGGAAATGGAAATAGGGCACAATATCATTTATTTTTTATTTGTGAACTTTGTGGAAGTTCATATCCAAGTAAATGGGAACGTTGGCTACATGTCTCAAGTGTACATGGTAATGAGCCATCAATAAAATGTGAAAGAGAAGATTGTGCAAAAATATTTGCAACTAAATCATTACGTAATGAACATGCTCAACATCATATGATTCAAGGTAGTTCGCCAAATACATGTGAAATATGTGGAAAATTATGGGGCAGTCGTGTTGATTATTGGAAGCATGTAATGGGCGTTCATTCCGATACTGTTCCATTAATTTGTGGTGTTTGTCTAAAAGTATTTCCAAATGTTATGCAATTAAGTTCACATGTTAAAACAAATCATTGGCCATTAACTAATGGTGATTTTAGTTGCGATATTTGTGGAAGGCCTTATTCGAATAAATCAAAAATGTCAAGACATAGAAAAATTCATGGTCTCGATGGTGATGGTAATGCAAATCCTGATCCAAGTGAATATATGAATGATACAGGACGTTTTGATAATGGTGCAACGGAAGTTGATTTTAGTTGTGAAATGTGTGGAGATTTGAAATTTATATCATTGGAGGATCTTTGTAATCATCGAAGAATGACACATAGTTTATTTCCCTGTGATTTGTGTAATAAATGTTATGGACGAACGTCACATTTATGGAAGCATGTTAATCGAGTTCATAAAGGTCATAAGGATGTGACTTGTCGATTTTGTTTGAAAACAAGCGCATCGAGGGATCATTTAGCGGCGCATATTGCAAAAATTCATCGATATGAACCGGAGGTGAAGAATAATGTGAGAGAATCAATGAATCATAAAGTCAATATTCCTGAGGATGAAATTCTTCATCATTGTGAAAAATGTAATAAAGGATTTCATAAAAGATATTTATTACGACGTCATATGAAGGGTTGTCAGAATTATCGTAAAGATCCTGGAGCACTTTTGACACGATGTCGAGCTTGCGAGAGAATATTTAAAGACAGAGCAAGTCTTCAAAAACATATTGAGAATCATCATAGTAGTTATACTTGTCATTTGTGTAATGAAACAATCACATCAAAATTGGCAATAATGACACACAATCGTGTTCATCATATGAATCATCCAGATCTTACGTGTGATTATACTAATTGTAAAAAATTATTCCGTACTAAAGAGGATCTTGAATCTCATAAAAAAGATCATCGATATCATACATCACCGAATGTTTGTGATTTTTGTGGTGATACAGTGGAAAATAAATTAAAATTAAAAATGCACGTTTTGTCATTACATCGAAATGAAATTGGTGTTTCTTGTGGTGTTTGTTTAATTCCAATGAAAGATCCAAAAGATTTAAGAAAACATGTTGAGGATTCACATAAAGAAATTCTTTTGAAACCAAATACATGTCAAGTTTGCGGTAAACAATATGCATCAAAATGGAAAGCATTTGATCATACAAAAAAATGTCATGGAAAAGTTTTTAAAACTTGTAAACAATGTTTGGCTGTATTTATCACTGAAGAGGATATGAAGAATCATTATGAGCATGTTCATAATGTGCCTAAGGATCAATTAGCAACTTATGAATATCGTTTGGAAATTGGACGCAAACGTCATTATGATTCATTGGAAATTGTGATGAAAGAAGAACCAGAGGAAATGGAATTATATGAAGAGCCTGTTGAAGATTATTCAATGGATTATAAGAGAAGAATATCTGAATCTGATTACGATTATGATGCACGAGCTTATTATTCCAACGAGCAGGATGAAATTCATTCAGCAAAAAAAATGAAATTTGATTCTCGCGGTAAACATAAAATGAAGGATCACGTCAACTATGAATGTAGACCTTGTAATGTTCAATTTGAATCGAAGGAACATTTTTACGAACATATTGTTGTTTGTCGTAATCTTACAATTGAACAGAAAATAAATGATCAAGAATGTTATGTATGTAAATCATGTAATTCACAATTTGATTCAAAGGAATTATATCATGATCATCTTTTTGTTTGTCGTTGTCTGCCAATTGGTGAAGTTCCCAGTTTTTCGACATCAATTCTCGAAGCTCATTTAAAGAATAATAATCAAATTAAAAACGAAGAACATGATGATGTGGATAATTTAAATACTCCAGATTTCAATCTTTTTGAAGATATTAATATGCAATTATCAGGACAAAGGCCGGTGCAAAATTTATCGATAAAATCATCATCAAGTAGCAATAAATGTTCAAGAAAAGATTCAAGAAAAGTTTATGATGAATCAACAAACACTGAATGTACTTGTGAGGTTTGTGGAAAACAATGGCCAGCAAAGAAACATTTGTGGCAACATTTAATTCGTTTTCATCGAACGGAAGCTGCTGTTACTTGTGGTGTTTGTTTGAAATTGTGTAAGACCTATGAGGATTTAGCTGATCATTTAAAAGCTGCCCATCAAGCTTTATTATCATGTGAAGGAAATAATTTCACTTGTAAAATATGTGGAAGATATCATAATGCAAGAAGTAAATTATTATTGCATATGAGCATTCATATCAATTGTAAGAATAATCCAATGTGCAACAAATGTAAACGCAGCTTTGAAACTGATGATAAATTGAAGGAACACATTGGAAATTGTGAGGGTAGACAATCAGGTTTGGGAGTTCGGCACGATGCAGCGAATAAGGATGAAAAAGTTGAGAATGATGAGAAAGGAAGCGAGGGAGAAGAAAAGGAGGCAGATTTTGGTTCTGAAGGTGAAGAGAAAGCTTCTGATAATGATGAAAGTAGTTCTGATGATTCGGATGATTCAGAAACGGATAGTTCATCAAGTTCGAGTGACGATGATGAGGATGAAGATGATAATGAGAATGAGGATAATGAAAATGAAGAGAATGGAACTGCACCTGAATCAAGAACAACTAGTAGACTTGGAGAATTGAGTTGTACAAGTGATAGTGAAGATGAAGAGTCTGATAATTCGGATGATTGTGAAAATGAAATTAATTCCCGTGTAAAATCAGAAGAGGAAAAAGAAACAACAATTAAAGAACAAAAGGAAATAAGAAGAATTAAAACAGAATTGACATTATCGGAATCAGATACAAAGGATTCGACAGTTTTTGGAAATTTAGAAATGAAACCAGAGAAAACAATGGATAGTATGGATTATTCTGATGATGAGGGACCACCAGTTTTGAGTCCTATGATGCCTTTATTGCCTTCGCAAGATGAAGATATGACTAGTCAGATTAATGAAATGAATAAATTAAGTCCTATGGTAAATTTGGAAATGAAGATGGAGAATGATTTGAAAAATTCGAAAATAAATTTAACTGAAGCTGATCCAACAGATTCTGAAAGTGATGATGAAAATAAAATGTGTATCTATGAAGAAAGTGCACAACTTAAACAGGATATTTCGGGTACAAATACAGATGACGATGATGATCATAATGAAGAAGAAGAAGGAGAAGAAGGAGAGGAAGTAGAAGAGATGGATTTTCAGGTATAATATTTTTTTAGCAATATTTTATTTTTTTTTTGATTTAGAATATAAAAATTATTTTTATTTGTTTTTAGAATGAAATGAATCAAGAAATATTTGAAGATAAAGGAACACAAGATTCTATTGCAACGGAAGAAGAAAGTAATAATGAGAATGTCGAGGATGGAGGAGAAGAAGAGGAAGAGGGACAAGAAGCAGAGGAGGAGGGTGAAGAAGAAGAAGAGGAGGAGGAGGAAGCTGCAGAAGAAGAAGAAGATGATGAAGAAGAATTATATGAAGTTGGAAAGGAACAAATTGTAAATGATACAATTGAACAGTCAGAGATAATGTCCGACAATTTTGTAGAAAATTTTGACGAAGTCGAGGAGGGAGTTATAATTGAAGGAGCAGAAGAACTTCAAATGGAAAATAATGTTGAAATTGAAGGAGAATTAGACGACAATAATTCTCTCATTGAAGAAGAAATTATAGGAGAAGAAAATTATGAAGATGAAACTAATATAGAAGATATTAACAATGAGGATCATTCCATGCAGAATTTAAATAAAACTATTTTAACTGTTGGTAAGGATCTTGAAGGTAATCCTATTTTAATTCGTGAAGTAGTAACTGAATATGTTTATCAAGATGATTTTGATGGTGAAACTGATTATGTACAAGTTCCACATGATCAAAATACTTTCTTCAATGATGATGAAGAAGAAGTAGAGGAAGAAGAACAAGAAGAAGAAGAAGAAGAAGATAATCAGAGAATGACCGATGGAACTTTTGATATAAATAATGATGATGATGATGATAATAATCTTGATGACCAAAATATTATTGAGACAAATATTTTGACTGGTGAGGAAATAGAAAATAATGAGAAGATAGAGAATGAAAAATTAGATGAAAATAAAATTGATGATGGTGAATCGGAAGAGTCAAGAATGAGTGCCAAAAGTTAAAGTGTCAAAAACTCAAATATTTGACAAAGTGACGTAAGATGAGCTTGAGAGGGACCACGAAAACGTCACTAACCATTTCCTATGTACCTTACACAAAATCACACACACGTACTATTGTATAGTAAGTTAATTTAAATTATTAAGAGTGTAAATTTTTCGCTGGACAAAAAGGGCCCTAACTGTCACGCTTAAAAGTCGTATGGGCATTTTATTATTAAGGGAATGTTGACGAAAATATTTCTTATGTTGTGCTATGCCCAACTTTTGATTACATTTCTTACTTATATTGCGTTTTTCCATTCTAAAAAAAAAATTTTATTTCATTCCTGAACTCGTCTCAATTCATTAAGAGACTTAAAAAATCCCTATATTTATTTCTTTCAAGTAATTTGTCAAATATTGACTTAAGTATAGTATTTTAAGACGAAACTTGTAAAAAAAAAATATCGAGTAAAACTATTACTTGTAAAAAGAAACAATTTCCAGTTCCTGAATAAGTATATACGCGATATCATTTTCCAAAGTTTCGAAACAATTTAGTATATTTTACTTGCACGCAATTTGTGTTCTTTACTGATTGATTGATTTGTAAATTGTTAAAAAAAATATATATGCGAGAGAATGGACTTTTATAGTAAGATGTAAGAATTATTTTTGAAACACAATCCTTTTTATTGTGTTAAAAGTATTTCCTTTGAAAGTTTCAAGTTTTATTGTGGCTTCCTTTTGGTGATAAAAAAAAAAAACACTTTTCCAATCAGGTTCTTGTTTAACAAAATTTAACGAGTGAATGTTGTTTATCAATAATTTGCTCTATACTTCGTATATGTAAATAATGTAGCATAGAGCCAACAGTGAAAAAGCGATTAGCTTTATACGTGAAATGCAAAATATATTTAGAACTATAAATAAGGTATGAAAGGCAAAAATTATGTGTGAACGGTTAGATTTGCCTAAATTTTAAAAAGGCAGTTCCACTGATGTTATCAATTATGTTCTATTACATATAATTAAGATTTAATTTAATAAAAAAAAAAAATGTTTATTGTGATAAGCCACTTGCTAAACTGATGTATAAAGAATATATTATAAAGACAAAAAAAAAAAATGAAACTTCCAAATCTTTCACGGATAAAACGCAAAGGGCGTCATATTTTAATCACGCGATGAAAAAAAAAAATAGTTTAACTTATCATTTGAAAAAGATATATAGTTTGACACAGCCAAGGCTAACAATTGTTATATCAGAAACGAATTTTTGAATAAATGCCTGAGGTCATTTGCACTTATTTTATGAATTTGTCAAATTTTCCCCTTTTAATATCCATTAAATGTAATTAAACTGATAATTAAAATTGAAAATTTTTTATAAAATATATTAAAATTACAATGAAGTACTAAAATGTCAAAAAAAAAAATAGTAACAAGGTTTTTTTTTTATAATTAAATACTATGAACACCTGCAATGAATGATTCTACAGACGTTATTGGAGTCTCTGGCAAAATACCATGACCTAAATTGGCAATGTAGCGATGTTTACCAAAATTTTTGCCTATTTCGGTTGCACGATTTAAAACATTTTCCTGAAACAAAAATAATTTATGAATATGTTGTTTTTTTTTTTAGAAACGAAAAGATTGTATAATATTTACCTTAGTGTCAAACATCGCACAAGGATCCATATTTCCTTGTAAAGTAACATTATTTCCTAATCGTTCTCTGGCTTCCTGAATATTTACAGTCCAGTCAAGACCTATTACATCATAACATTGATCCTTCGCCAATAATTCCAATGAATCTAAAGTGGCTCCTTTTGGAAATACAATCTAAATATTGACATATAAAAAAAAAATTGATTATAAAAGAATAACATTATAAAATTTTAAAATTAAATTAAAACATCAAAATACCATTGGAACTTTTGGAATATTTTCAGCATCCAATTTTTCTTTAACTTTCTCGCTGATTTGTTTTAAATATTTAAAGGAATATTCTTTGAAGAGTTCTAGATTGAGAAAATTTCCATTGCTTTCGAATACTTGAAGCAACTATAATAAGAATTTAATATTTATAATAATTAAGAAATTGTAATTTATTATTTTAATTATATTCTTACTTGTGCTCCTGCTTTAACTTGTAACACAAGATAATCAATAATAACGTTTGTGATCATTTGCAATAACTTGTGAGAATCTTCTCTATATTTGTAAAGCCAAGGACGAGCTTTCGACATCATGGAACTTCCACCTCCTTCTATCATATAACACATTAATGTCCACTGTAAAAAAAAAAAAAAAAAAAAAACGGTCCCATTAAAATAATTATGTTCTGGATTTTTTTAAATTTAGAATTACTTCATCATAAAATGAAAATTCAGCTTGTGAAAATGTTTTTTCAGTTCTAAAATTTCGAAATTCATTTTTATTTCTTTGAAATATATTAAAGTATTTACTGGAGCTCCAGAGAATCCAATTAAAGGAACTTTTCCTTCAAGTTTATGACGAGTTAGTGTTATTGCATCTCCAACATATTTTAGATCAGTTTCAACATTTGGTAAAATTAATCTTGACAAATGTGTTGGATCTAAAAGTGGATTTGGCAATACAGGACCCTAAAAAAAAAAATTTCTAACTATATATGAAAATGAATAATATTCTCAAGAGAAATAAATTTAATATAAAAACTACAATCACAAGTAGTTGCATCGAGTTCTAATTAAATAAAAAAAAAAATTCTGTTATTATTTTTAAAACTTTTATACTTACAACACCAGGTTTCATTTCCACAATCATTCCCATTACTTGAGGAATAACCAAAATATCAGAAAATATAATACTAGCGTCTAAATCAAATCTTTTTATTGGCTGAAGTGTAATTTCACAGGCAAGCTTTGGTGTTTGGCAAATTGTGAAAAAATCATGTTTTGATCTTAATTCTCTAAATTCTGGTAAATATCTACCAGCCTGTCTCATTATCCAAACTGGAATTTTATCAACTTCCTCACCTTTAGCTGCCCGAAGAATTCTATCATTTTTCAATAAAGGAAAATTATGTTCCATCATTCTGAAAAAAAATATATATTTTTTAGAATATCATACACAGAACAAAGAATTGCAGTAGATTATTTTAATTTTTGTGAAGAAAATAATGCCAGTCATTCTAAGAATGAATTATTGAGCAAAATTTTATTTTTTGAGAAATATCGTCATTTATAATAAAAAAAAAAAAAGAAAAACTCTTAACCCGAATGACATTAAAATTTAAATTAAATTTAGTTACTTATGATAGAAAGAAGAATAATTAAGATTGAATTACTATGATTAATAAAAACAGGACTTTTTGCACATTTAACGAATTAATAATAAATATAGAGCAATGAATTAAATACCTTAAATTTTTGCCGAATAACCTCTTCAGACACGTGTCACAATCAGCTGATCGATGACGTACTGAAGTTTTCCAATTTGCCAATAGATGGCGCTGTAGGGCAAATTAATGTTTTTTAATTATTAAAAAACAAATAAGAATATTTTAAATTTATTTCTATTTCAATAACATTTTCGAAAACTTTTTTTTGGGAAAAATGTACAGAATTCGAATTTTAATTGTGACAGTTAAAAAATGTAATTATAACAGTATTTATAATGTATAAGTAATTATTTATATTAAGTAATATATCATAAAACCGGTTAAACATATCCACGTGCATAAACTTTTGATCTCTCTAAACATCTTTAAAAAAATAAATCTAAAGCAAAGTGAGATTAACATTATTTTATAATATTAAGCAGGTTTATTAAATTATCATTTTTTATTAAAATTAATTTATTTTTTATAAATTTTCTAAACTTAAAATATTTTAATTTTTTTTTCTAACCTCAAAAATTGAAAATTTATTTAAAAATTGTTTCAATTATATATAAAAATGTAATTCATAATTGTTTAAATATAAATATTAGTTTTAACGCAAAACAGTTAAAAAAAAGAGTAATTTCCTAAAAATATTTTAAAAAATAAAAAAGCTTTTAAGCTTTTGATTTAGAAGCTTTTTTTGCGCGGCGCATGTGCTAAAAATTAAGATGGCAAAATTGCAATGAACGTAATAAATGTTATACATGTATATTTATAGTGGGTGGATACAGTATGACGCAGCATTTGACAAAGTGTAAGATGAAATAAATTCTGGAATGAGAATAGAAACATGCGCTGATTGACATTTGACTTCAGCAAATTTTCAATATACTTTTGTTCAGTCTTATTTATTGTCTCTCTTATTCAGCACACATACCGGTAATAAAAACATTCAAAATTTCTATTTAATTTAGAATAAATTTATATAACCTTTTTTTTATTATTATTATTATTATTATTGTGTATTTTTCCTTCTAATTTTTAATTTTATTTTTAAGCAAGTAATTTAACAAACATCATTCTATGCGAAAAACAAAATCTAAAGTGAATTGCGCCTGTGAGAGAAGGGGATGACCTCAATTTTGCTTTTCTATCACTTTGGCATCACCAGGAAGTATGTAATCTTCAACCGTGCATTCAACAACTTTTCCTAACTTTTCAACAAATACTGTAAGTAATTTTCTTTTGTTATTTATTATTTATTTAATATAACGAAAAAATTATTTATGATTAACTAATTGATTATTATAAATAGATTGCTACTTGAAATTAACTTTTATAGAATTATTGTTTAGTTTAACATATAATCAAATATTTATAATGTCTAAAGAATTAACAATTTTGAAATGACATTTATTTTTTTTTCTTCTGATTTTGAAAGACAATATCAAATGTTACAAAAAAAAATTGAAGAGAAAATGCGAAGTTTATATTCGTTTTTCCTTAATTACATTTAATTTCGTTTTTTTTAAAAAAAGAATAATAAATAGCATTTTTTCTAATCATTTAAATTTAATTGATGATCTATCTGAGTCATATTCGTTTTTTTTTTTGTTGTTGTAATTGCAAAAACAACAATGTTTTTTCCGCGTGTGGGTTAGAAAATATATTTTCTTTACATTAATAAAGTAACGTTATAAATTTAATTTGAAAATATGAATTCATGTAAAGTAAGAAGTTTTTATTCAAGCGTCATAATGTATATATTGGATACTGTTATATTGTAGAATAACAGGATATAGCTGTTATATTCAGGAAACAAGTATGATAGCGTTTTAAATTGCAATGTAACTGATAGCATTAATCTAGAATCGTATATATAATATTAAAAACAAAAAGAACTGTCGTTGAAAATTTTTTAATTACTTTTTTTTCCAGAAAGTAGAGCAAATAAATTCTTTATAGAAAATGGGAATAAGATTGCATAATGAGTATCAGCAATAAAGTAATTAGGTAAAATTATATAGTTCGTAATTGGTGTATATATTTCGAATTTATTCGTAGAGCAATTTTAGCGGCATAATTTTGTAATATAATTAGATACATATTGCACACGTATATATATATATATATATATATACATTTCCTTTATAATTTTCTAATATTGGAAAAAAATTTAATTTAAATGTTAGTTGAAATAATTTTTTTTACTGCAAAAAACAGATTACATTGTAAATGAAATTTTAAATACAAAAAAAAAGGTTAATTAGAGGCTTTCTTTTTAATTTTAAAGATTAAAACAAAATTTTTATAACTTCTTATTTTCTCAATAATTTCAAGATATTTTCAATGTGCGGATTTTAATAAACAGTTACTTTTATGTAAAAAAGAATTAATGTTTTCATAATCAGGTAATTTGATTCATATCGTTTATTTTTTTTTGTCACCTGAGGAAAGATTAAAAAATATGTTATCCAGAGGAAAGTTGTTTAATTATTATTTAATTACATATTTCATTTAAAGTCAATGGGTACTCTTGTTTTTAAACAAGAGTACTTTGTTTAATGCAAAAAAAAAAAAATTATGTGCAGAAATCATAAGAAGTATAATTTATTGCACGCAATATGATTTTCTATTTAATATCCGCATGCAATTTAAGTTTTTTAGTTTAAAAAACTAAATTGTTTATATTTACACTTTCTTGTGAGAAATTGTTAATTTGACAAATTGTTTTCCCTATTCTTGTATAATTAATTTTTATTTACATACATAAAATAAGGACTTTTTTTATGTTTTTTATTTTGTTTAGGAAAAAAAGGACTATAAATTTGAAAGTGACATACTTAAGAGAACGATATTTTAAATTGTCAGACTTTTATACACGAGGATAAGAAAAAAAAAATGTGATTTCCAAAGAAAACGCATTTTTCTTGGCGCATTTCGAGTAAATATTTTCATTTTAAAGAGGAATGTTTTTGATAAAAAAAAAAAAAAATTCCGATAAGGTAGAATAATGATTTATTATAAATTTATTGGTATTTTTCTTCGCTGTTTTTTTTTTTTTGTAGAAAATAGAAATAATTTTTTTTTTGGCAAGTGCCGTTTCGGCTATTGACCTTGATGAAGACTACTTATCAAATATATTTATGACGCACTAACGATTTTTAATTATTTCAGTACGTGAACTGATGTGCACGTCTATAAGCAATGTTAAACGTTTAATTTATTACGATACGGACGTGCACAGCCTTGATCACATTTGACGTCAGGGCCTTTAACACTTTTCGAATAGAGACCAAACGAAATTTTTATATTATTTTCTATAACTGTTTTTCAAATATTACATATTCTCATTTTTTTTTTTTTTTTGTATATAATTTCATATTAAAATAAAATGTGCTCGTAAATTTTAAATTTATTATCTGAAATAAAAAATAGAAATGTTTTTATTAACTACTTATAATCAATGTGAAATCATAAAAAAAAAAATTAGCGCCTGATTACAAATCATTAGAGAAGTTTTTTCTTTTTTCGAACACATTGTTAGTTTTATTATTTCACGTTTTTTTCAATGACATATGTGTTTTTGTAGTTGCGAAAAATATTTGCATTTGAATGAAAATCTTGAATTATTTAAATATTGTCATTAATTTTAAATCAAAAGAAGTTTTTGTTGAATTTGTTTATTTAGAGCAGAACAGTTTTTTTTTATATCTATTGCAATATTATTATATATAGAAACCATAAAATCATTTTTATCTTAAACCAAGGACGGATAATATAAAACTGGCTTATGGTTTCCTGATCAATAAAACTTTATATTAATTTTTTTTTTTTTGCCATAATAGTAAAAATATAAATACCTTAGGATTGTATAATTTTTATTGTAAGTAAGGAGAGAAACGTAATATGTAATGTACTTGAAGGTCGATCACGTAATCTATTATAATCTGTGATCTAAAAAAAAAAAGTTTCATAAAAGGTCATCAGAGAAAATTCAGTTATTATAGTGAATTAATAGTAATTAATCGGGTATAATTGAAATGTAATTTTTAAATTATAGAATTATCGAGATTGATTTAATTTTTTAAAAATATAAAAGAAAAATTATAAATTGTTATTAAAAAAAAATTGAAACAATTGAGAAAACAGTGTCGCATAAATAAAGTAAAACGTAACGGTTAAGTAACGCATTAAAATTTAACAGTAAATATGTATTAAATATTATTTTCCTCGAATTGGATTTCTACAACATCAATCTGTTTGTTTATCAACAAAAGTTAAAAAAAAAAAATTTTCCAGCAAAGTTCAAGAAAATTGCAAAAATGCGAATGATATTTTGTTCTTAACTCGATAGTGATTCATTCATCAAACTCTCTCATTGACAGTAAAGAAAAGAGAAAATATTTAATTCGTAAAATTATACTTTAGGACTAAATAAATTATACAAAAAAATTTAAATAATTTACTACTTATTCTCAATTTTTTAAATTCAAGCTATTTTTTTTTATTTTTCATTCTCATTACATTGAATTAAAATTTATTTGAACAGTGCGCGGCACATATTCTGATGAATATTTCATCTCATGTCATTATTACATAATCCAAAAGGGTTGATGTTTTTTTTTTCTTTTTAACAATTTTTTTAAACTTTTTAATATTCTTTGCAAGATTAATAACGATTTGAATTTCTCATAATGTAGATTTTTATCTTCTTTAAATAAATGGCAATTTTCTTTAAATTTTATAGATTCATAAAATAGTTTAAAAAAAAAAAATTTTTAGAAATTGACAATCCAACAGCGTTTAATGTCAAATCTCAGAAAAAAAAATCTTTGACCTCGAATTACTCATGGCACGTTTTCCAACATTTTTTTTTTTTTCTTGTTCGTAATTGAACGTGACACATAGATGTTCATATTATCTTTCTTCTTGGAAGACACACACGTTTAGGAAATTCGCATATAAAATATGAGAAAAAGATTCCATCCTACTTTAAATTTTCAACTGGGCATTAAAAAGAGAAAAAAAAAATTATATACTCATATCAGATTAACTCAAAGGGAACCGAATTTTTATAGATTTGCAAATCACTATACATAAACCGGAATTTCAAATAAATGCGAATTTTTTAAGTGACTTTTGAAAAAAAAAATTATGATTTGATTTTATGCCAACAATCTTGAGAATTTATTCAAGTACTGTTAGACATGTCTACTTTCAAGTGAACATTTTACTAAAAATCAGCCGAAGAGAAAGCAAGTTTTTTTTTTTTTTACAAAATATAAACAAAACAAAAAAAAAATTTGAAATATTGCGAAATAAACATTATATGCATAGATACAGTCGAACCTGTTGAGTCATTTGGAAGGATAAGTTTAACAGTTCAATGATCTTGAAAGAAAGCGTGCCTTGCAAAGTATATTCGTTTCTTACAAATAACACACTTTCTCTTTCTCTTCGTTTCTCTTCGATAATTAAATTTTAAAAAATTGCTCAGAATTGATAAAAAAAAAAAAAAAAAAAAACGCATTTGTTGACCTTTTTAAATTTTATTTGAAACTAATATTAATTATATGTTTCAGGTATACAAAAAATCAGGAAAAACTACAAATTCTCTCCCTGAAGAACCGAGGAAAAATATGGAAGAAAATTTCAATGGTTTCCATTCTGTAATTATATAGGTAATTATATATTTAAAAGAAAACGATAGAAAATATTTTTTATTTACGATTGTAAATAAAAAAACTATTTTGTAAAAATTGTGGATTCGGAGAAAATTGAGAAGAATAAAAACAATGTTTCTTTGAGATAGAATCTTGTTTCTAAAGATGATTATTTAATTAATCATAAATATTATCTATGTTAAATAACGATGGATATACTGATTGATATTGATTATTGTTGGATTTGTATATAGATGATGATTTCAATTTCGATATCATATGCGCTACGAACCTGCGTACTAACCCCTTCACAAAGAAGTCTTGTAGAAAAGCTTGGACGATGGCAACTACTCGTCAGTAAACGCTAAAGTATTCGCAAGTTAAGTTGTCATTTGGCCATTCTCTGGTCGTTTGAATTTAAGGAGACCGGCTTTATTTTTTTATTACACTTACGTGTTCGAATTTGTGATCGAATTCATCAATCGAGACATTCGATAACACTTCACTTCAGTCATCAAGTTCTATTTCTTCAATTATCCCTCGCGCACACACAACCGGCAGTGTATATTTATTTTCAATTTGAAACGTGGGAAATAAATTCATTTCCGTTCTCATCGCCTTGTGACATTTCAAAAATTCAGGTATTAAAAATTTTTTAATTTAATTTTCAAAAATTTATACAGTGCAAATTTTTTCAATTTAAAAAAATAATTTGGATATTGCAATTTTCTAATTAAGAATTATTTTCATTAATAATAATTAAATATGAAATAATTATATTCTTTAAATAATTAATTTCTTGAGTTTTAATTATTTTATTAATAATTAATTTTATAATATTATTGTTGTATTATTTAAACTCACAAATCAGTTATAAATTCTTATTCAATTATAATTCAATATTCTTTTTAAATTATTTATATTTTTTTTAACAATACTTCAATTATTAACGACTATAACGTGACATAGTTATGTGTATAATTAAAATGTTGCCTTTTACATGTTTGTCCCTGAAAAAAAAAATTATACTTCTGACAGAAAAATTTTTCATTAAATTAGAGTTTTTTCAAATTTTGATGAGAAAATTTTTTCTCTAATTTGCAATTAAAATTTAATTAATTTTTTGCAAAACATTTTCAATTTTTTTTTTTAAAAAAAACTATAAAAGCATTTTTACAAAAAGTTTTAGAAAAAACAACTTGACAAATATTTTTCGAAGTATTGAAAAAGATTTTAAATATATTTTAAAAACAGAAGTCATTTAAAAAAAAAAAAATGAATAATTTAAAAGAACCTTGAATTCAAATACGTTTTGTATATAAAATTTGTACTAAAGAATATTCATTTTGTGTTTGTAAAAAGAAATTTTCGTTTACTATCTATTAAAATTCAAATGACTGTTGTAAAAGAAAAAGAAGTTTAATTATTCTTTCAAAGAATAATTTAAATTTTCAAAGTTTGAATATGTTAAAAAAAAAGAAAAAAAATATATCAATTTCATTAGCAATGATCACATTTGAAAAAAGATTATTTTTAATTTAAAAATTTATCAATAATCCATGCCCTTAGACAATTGAAAATTTTTTCATTGTTGATATATGTAATTCTTTTGTTATCTGGAATGTATTATCTTTTTAGAAACCGATAAGTTATATCACCTTAACAATTAACGTAGAAATTATATTAGAATGCGTTTTTTTTTGCATTTCTTTTAATTCGTTATAAATAGTTCGTTATGCAAAAAATTTCCAAATTACCAAAATTTTTTAAAATTATTTTAATAATTATTTTTATAAAATTGTTTCAATAAGACATTAAAAAGAAAAAACAAATCTCTGTCTAGTCATTGAGAAATTATTTGACAAAATTTTTTGTTGCATAATGAAAATAATTGATACTTCCGTAAATCTCATAAGATGTGAAATTATATACATAACGGTATTATAGTAAAGTTATACAAATAACATTCGCAGGTCGTGACATTGATTTTGTTAGAATTATCATCAAAATGACATTAAAAAAATGTTAATTCGAGACATTCTTTTATATGGGGATATATATATATATAAATACCAGATGAAATCGAGAGTTCCAATATTGCGGTCAATGTAAAAATTTTACCTCGATCTTGTCCTCATATCTTATTAGGCATATAAATGAAAAAAAAAAATTAATTTACATAATATAAAAATTATTTTTTTGAATTATTTCATAAGCAATGTGAATTTATTATTTAAAATTTTTTTTCCTGAAGATTCTGAATAGTTCTAGGACATTTGGCATATTTTAATTCGTGAAAAAAAAAAATTAATCTCTATATTATTTAATTCATTTATTTTAATTAATTTCGAAGGACTGATGACAAAAAAAAATGTTTGTTAAAAAAAATTAGTTTTCTTTTTTTAATTGTAATAGAAAACAAAATTTTTGTTATGTCAATTTTCTCGAAGCTTCCTCAGAGCTTTAATCATTCTGATTACTATTATATACTGTATAGTAGTTTTCAAAATACATCATTGTCTACAAATCCAATGATTACAGTCTGCGGCCCTTGACTTGAATGTTAGTGATAACTCCACGAACTTGGACTTTGACATACTTGTGGATGAAGAACTCTATTATCAACAATTTTTGTTATTCTTTTTGTTTGTAACCTTCACACTTTTTTTTTCTTTTAAACGTTTACATGAATCCTTTTGAAAACTTTATTATAAAAAAAAAAAAAAAAAAAACACACTGCGCGGTAATAATTAATTTCAACTTATTATTTTTCAATACAATATTAATCATCCAACTCACTTTGGTAATTTATGTATTTTACATACATGAACATAACAAATGCCAAATATATCTTTTAATATTGTTTCGTTGAAATCGACACTTTTTTTTTCCTGTATATTGTTGATATTTTTCTTTCGCATAGTGGGGAAAAAAATCTTTAGGGATTTATCGGTCGTTGTAGTTTGCTCGTTAAACATTAAACAAAACACATTGTCGACTATTGTTTTTATCTGTCGAGTTTTTATTTATTAACTTCATTTCCAATTTAAAATGATTGATCATCTCATGTTGACAGTAAAATTAATTAACTTTTGACTTTCATTGATACATTAGTTTATGTTTTTTTTTCCACCAGGTTGTAAGTTTCATTGTTTTTTTTTTTTTTTCTTTTGCAAATTTACACTTTGGAAATTTTTTTTATTAATTTTCTGACGCATTGGGAAAACCTAATGCGATAAAGAAGGATGCAAAAAGAATAGTGCAATTTAAAGAAAATATACATTGTTTCTAATGAGTGAATAATGTAATTTTATATAAGAGAAAAATTGTTAGATATTTTCTATAAAATAATAAATTTAATAATAATCATAGAAATTTGTTATAGGAAATCATTAGCTGATGATTTTTTTTTGTTACATAATAATTTTTTTTTTTTTAAAGTGAGCCATGTAATATTACAATAGAAAAATTTAACATATGTAAATACTAATGAAGGTGTTCTAAAACACTTCCGGAAAAAAAACATTGACAAGTTCTATTAAATTGTTATAAAAATAGATTTACGAGAAAAACGGTCTTTAATATTTTTTTTTTCTTATTTTCATTACAAATATTTGCATAATTGTAACTTGACAGAAGTATGTTGTGAAAGTTCTATATATTTACAGTGAAATAAAAGTAACAAAATGATTTAGGTTTAGGAGTCAAAAAAATTCGATGTAGAGAGAGATTTTAAGATTTCAATCTTAAAAACTTGCTTCAGAACCGTCAAGAAGTTATTTCATCTTCTTTTTTATTTTCTTTTTTTTTATTATCGTAAATCTTGGCAGAAAGTTTATAATTTGAACGTGACTAAAATTAAATTTCGGAATTATCACTCAAAAATGAAAAATTAATGAAAAAAAAAAAGAATAATAATTTATTGTTAACTTAAACTTTTTTTTATTATTAACAAGCACAAATAAATGATTTAAGAGTTTCTTTTTTTTTGATGGAGAAATATTGCAATTAATAAGAATTATTTCTCCGCCAAATTGTATTGAGGTTGAAACAATTTACAGCTCATTGTAGAGAAAAAATTGACTCAAGTACTATTCAATTTTATATATATACATATGTAATTTTACAAATGCGGTCGTTGCAGAATTCAGAAATATTAAACAACTTTCTCTCTCTTTTATGATTTCAGAACCTGGACAAGATGCAAGTTTGATAAAAGAGACTTCCATAGAGAGAAAAAAAAAAAAAAAAAGAAAAAATTATTCAGAAGTGCGGTCATGAATCGAAGCAAGTGAGAAGAATTTTTGATATTTGAGGAAATTCGAATTAATTTTTTTTTTTTCAACATCATCATAATGACGTCGAATCATCATTGCTCGCCTTCTCGATCATCTTTAAGCTGTTGCCAGGTGGATAATACTAGTCAAAGCGACGTGAATGAGACATGCGTGCCTGGAAATAATAATTATTTTATGCAAGAGAAACATTCGTTTCCAAAAAGGCCGGAAGTTGATTTATCCTTTCGGAATATTAGGTACAGCATCAAGCAATGGAACATCCGAAAATTGAAACCTGGTAAAATATGTTCAATATTTAAAAATTATTTTTTAATAATTTAATCTCAATTATCGAGTATTTAATAATTTTTCACAGAGTAATAAAAGACTAGGTATTTTTTTTTTTTTTTTTTTTTTTTAGGAAATTAAATGCGAGTTTTTTTTCAATAAAAAAAAGAGTAATGACAAAATTGAAAGGAAAAAAAGTATCTACAATGATGCAAGGAAAACTTTTCTTGCCTTTTTTTTTGTAATCCACACATATAATGCGAAGAAAATAATTAAAATGTGAAATCGTCTTAAAGATTCATTGTATTATTCATAACGAAACAAAGGAAACGCTTCACAATAGCTTGTATCGTCATATTGTGGCCTAAGGTTAATGAGAAATAGAATAATTATATATTTTTATTTTCAAGAAGTATGAAAAAATTTTCAAGAAAAAAAAATTTTATCATTTTCTATTTAGACTCAAAGAAAAATATTTAAAAAAAAAATAAAGGGGGATTAAAATTGTGGCGTTTCAAATCAATTTACAAGATCTTTTTCCTTATTTATTATTTTAAATTATATATCCGGCTTTAATTTGACAGAAAATATTTAATCAAGGGTTATCAAATACGTATATGCAGTTAATTTTTCTTTAAACGATGTTTAATAAATCTACTATCTTATGCATTATATAACAAAAATTGAGCATTTGTTTTTTTTTATATATTTATAAACAAAAAAAATTACATCCGATGGGAAAATTGCACTTTCTCTAACGTCTCGTGAATCGTTATGAATAATTGAAAGTATCTTAAAAGACAGAGATAACAAATTTTTTTTTTTTTTTTTTGAATTACAGCAATCTTCACCTTGAACTTTTTCTTATCACAACCAATATACAGTCAATCATTGGAAGTTTTTAGTAAATTTTTTTGTTTATTATTATGATTTAAAAAAAAAAAATTGATTGAATGTATTTTTCCCTAATGTTAAATTTATTCGTTTTTTTTTACCTAAAATGAAAATTTATACGAAATCGGAACTTAATTAGAAATTAATAAAATCTCTTATATTAATATATAAATAATGATTAATAATAATTAATAGTAAATTAATTGAAAATATTTAATTTTGATAGTCAAACAAATATATATTTGATGTGTTTGTTATTTGGTGTCCTTGAACTATTTGATAATCGACATTTGTATAAGTGATATGTCTATTATTATTGCAAAAAAAAAAAAAACTTGCTTAGATTTGGTGTCGCAGAATTGATAAGCGAATATTGACCTAAATTCTAATCGTCTCAACATAATTAAGATTATTTCACCAAAATAGCTTATTACCTAAAAATGTGATCACATAAGTTACAGTTCTTTTCCTTTTTTTTTTTTTTTTTTTTTTTTTCATTCATTAGACTAAAAAAACAAATTTCAAGAAAATGAATAATTTCTTGATAGTTTTGAAATGCACTGTTGTTTGATTTTGCATCGAATTAACAAGATGAACTCAACATTTTTTTCAAATCGCTGTTATCGTTCAAATTTGTTTTTCATTAGCGCTTTCTTAAAAGAAAAAGAATTTAATTCTAATTAATGGATTAATATCCATTTTTTTTATTTTAATTAGAATTACAAATTTAAAAAAAAATTGAATTTTTATTGCTAATTATTTAAATAAAAATTCTATTTTCTGTTCAGTGAAACTTCTGACTTTTTTTTAACTTTCCAGAATAAAGATTTGAATGTTTGCAAAATACCTATATTATTATGTTTTTAATATCATCTCGATAATAAAATTTCTTATCATTATCGTGCAAAAAAAAAAAAATAAAAAAATTGATTCTTACGTCACTTTAACTAGAAAAGTAATTATGCTTTCGGAAATGCTGCTCAAAGTCCATATCAAGTTTGACACAAAATGAACAGATGTCATCTGCCTTTGCAAAAATGATTAAGCATTCGACTCTTAAAGTTTAATTAATTTCCTGTCGAATCACACATAGATTAAGTCAAGTAGAATTACCTCATTGAGTAATCAAACGCAATTATGTAGTTCTTTAATGTAATATACGAGTTATCATTCAACTTTATAATTGTGAAATATCTATAAACGATAAATTATTATTTTTTTTTTTTAATTAAATAGATTTTAAAAATTGAAAAAATTTCTTTTAATTTAAAAATATTTTTAAAACAGAAAAAAAAATTTAATATATTTATGTGTTTACGAGAATGTCGAGAGTTAATTCTTCTTTTTTTTTATTGTAGAGCCCAAAGAGATTCTGCATGGAGTCAGTGGAGATTTTAAAGCAGGCGAATTAACAGCTATCATGGGACCTTCCGGTGCTGGAAAATCAACACTTTTAAACGTCCTTGCTGGATTTACGTAAGAAACACATTCTTTTTATTCTAAATTTCCAAGTGGAATAATCTCTATCAAAAAATCACTGAATCATTAATAAGAGTTATTTTCCTAGAATATATTCAGTATTTCATTTTAAAATTAAATTTTTTTTCTATTTTAATTTGTTTACATTAAAATTTTAATTCCCTTTAATTATACATGAATTTTTTTTTTTAAAAAATCACAATTTTTAAAGTACAAAATAAAAAATTTGTTCACTCTTGAAGTATACAAATATTTGTCTATAAATATTTTTATTATTTATTTAAATTAGTTACAAATAGAAGATACGAAAGTCAAGTAACACCTAATGGGTTTACAAAGCTCTCCATGCAATAAACGTGATTCACATTTTTATTATTATTATTATTATTTTTTTTTATTACATAATTGGTAGGAATCGATTCCAAAACGCATTATCTTAATTAACATAAGACAAGAAAACTTTATTGCTTGTAATTAGTTTATCAGAAAATTCATGTTAAATACTTCATTGAATTGATTTACACATTTATTTATTGATTCATCTTTTATTAGTTTTCAAGATTAAAGATTTCAAGTGCTGCATTAAAATCATTTTTTTATTTAAACATACGGGTAAAAAAAAATTATTAAAAATTTCTTTTAATTTTTTTTTTCTATATTAAAAATGTTTATATTTTAAAAAATAGATAAAAATTTAATTAAAATTGAATTATTGAAAAATAGAAATTTTTTTTATAGAGCTAAAATACTATCGCTACTTACTCTTTTTCAGTGTATATTATTCATTGCTGATAACAAAATGACTAATGCAAATCAAATGAAATAGTTATAGCGTCATTGGATCCAGTTTCAATAAAAAAAAAAAAATTGATGCGCAAATCTTAATAGATTTTTATAAACCTTTTGACATACACGCGGAGGAAAATAAATTTTTGTAATTGTTGTGAAAAGTAGGAAAAAGTTGACAATGACTAATGATTACCACCTATTATGTGTCAAATGCCTTTTATTGAATTAAATTTTTTTTTTTCATTCTTTATTTTTCTTTTGAATTATCTATGATATTTTATGTCAATTTATAGGTCAAGATTAGAAAAAAAAAATTAAATAATGAAAAATTAAAATCTCGTAAATAAATATAAACTTTAAAAAAATATATAAAAAGAATTAAATTAAATTACGAACATAAGACATTTTAATGGAAAGAAAAATAGTCATTTTGTGAGATATAAGTGTAGTATAAATTCAAAATTATGAGTAATTTCCATTGTTATAAGGATTATTGTTTTATGTAATGTTCACTGAATACGAAAGCACTGAATACTGAATAAATAAACTTTTATTTAATAGTTTCTTTACCAAGAGACATTTTATTAAATATACAAAAAATAGAGATAAATAAAAGTTGATATCTTATATATATAAAAAAGTATTTAGTAGTTGAAAATTGTACAATTTGAATAAATATATTGTCATGCATCTCATATTTATTTAATTTAAAAGCATGTCATTATGTCAAAGTTATTTCCAGTTACATTTGAGCTATTTTACATTCATTGTATATAAATTTATTGTTGAAAATGAATTAAAGTTGATGATATTCCTCTTTGTAAATTATATCATAATTTCAATGTCAGTTTGTTTTAATTAAACAACTTCTTACATAATTACATTATCTTGTTAGAGTACATTGCAGATAATTATTGTGATAATTAATTGAATAATTAAAAATATATTTTATAGAAAATTAAAAAAAAAAGGATCTAACTTTAAGAATTCTGTCACGTTTATCTTCCTGGCTGTCCCAAATTATTACGAATATTATGCAGACATAAAATGCACAATAATAATTGAGTGCAACGAACTGGGGTCTACGTGACAAAACTCACGACCCTACGGCAAACCCTCGGGTTCAGATCTTAACTCTTTTGAAATCTGTTCTTAATCATTTGTTTTTTGTTTTTTTTTTTTTTTTGCGACAAAATATTATCAGTTGGAAAAATTTTTGTATATAAATAAAGAAAACAATGATTATGACGTCTGTTATTATTATTTTTTCTTTTTTCAGTGTTCAAGGTACTACCGGTGAAATCCTAGTGAATGGAAAGAAACGAGTACCACACAGTGAAAGGTGGAGAAGAACATCGTGCTACATACAACAAGACTCTTTACAAAGAACGAGACTAACGGTGGGAGAAGCCATGACTCTTGCCGCTCACCTCAAACTCGGCTACACTATCAGCTCTGCTTATAAACACACTCAGGTGTGTTAAGATTTTTTCATCTTCTATTGCATATAATTATAAAAAAAAAGCACAAAAATTCACGCGTCAATTTCCGATAGATTTCTTCATTGTTTGCATTTTACCATTAATCATTTTTATAATGATTTATATGATTTCCCAAGAAATTTACATAAAAATTTGTATTATTGGTTTTTAACTTTACAAAAGGAATGTAATAAGTTAACAAAAAAAAAAAAAAAAAAAAATAGTAAAATTTTATGTAATTTGCGAAAGTCTATTTTACAAATCTTACAAAACTAACATTGAAATTTCAAATTTAGATTTAATATTGCAAAAATCGGTAGAATTAATTAATCTTTGACTGTTGCAAAAAATAAAAAAAAGTAAATAAAATTAGTCAACATTGTGTATTGATACGAATTTTTATGAATTATTATAGTAAAACAGATAAAAATGGAATGAAATAATATCAAATCAGCTATAATAGTTGAAAACTTGTTTTTATGTTAAATTGTATACAAAATTTTACTAAACTTGTTTTATTTTACGTCGTTAATAATGATACTGCACTTGATAGTATGACCCCTCATAAAGTAAGAATTATAGATAAACATTCTTAATTATGCAAAAATTAACAGTCTTTTGCTCCACGTGTATTTCAATGACCAATGATCATTACTTTTATTTTATAAATGGAAAACTTGATTTTGAAATTATTAACAATCTCTTTTTATTGACTTTTTCATATTGCAATATAGATTTTAAAAATAAAATCGTTTATTATAATTTTTCTCATAATTTTTTTTTTTTTTTTTTTTTTTTTTCATTAGAAGTCTAATCATTGAATTATTCTAATTTTGGATATTTTTAATTGCGATCGATTTTTTTGGTTTGAATTTATTCGTATCTTCTTTTATGACACCGCGACTGGTTTTTGTTTTATATGTGAGTCTTATACGCATTCACAGTGGGTTAATGAATTTCAACACTTTCATTTTTTACTGATATATTTGAGAAGAGGTATAAAAAGTAATTTTCAATTTTTATTACAGGTTTTGGAGCTACTTGAAATTCTTGGACTTGGTTATTGCTATGATACTTTATGTGGTCGATTATCAGGTGGTCAAAAAAAGAGACTTGACGTTGCTATAGAACTACTTAGCAATCCTTCAGTATTATTTCTTGATGAACCTACAACTGGTAAGGTTTTTTTTTTTTAATTTTTATTTCTATTTAATTGAATTTTTTTATTGCCTGTAGAATTTTTTAAAAAATTCTTATATTATTTTCTAAATAAATTAAAATTGACAAAATATATTAATATTTTCAGGCTTGGATTCTGCTTCCTGTAGCCAGTGCATTGCTCTCTTGCAACGATTGGCAAGAGTAGAAAGACGAACTGTTGTTTGTACGATTCATCAACCTAGTGCTCTGCTCTTTGAAATGTTTGACCAACTTTACGCCGTTGCCGAAGGTCATTGTATATATAGAGGATCAATACAATCACTAGTACCACATTTATCATCCGTTGGAGCCGACTGTCCACCTTATCACAATCCTGCAGATTTTTGTACGTATTTATAAAATAAATTAGCTAATTAATTTTATTTTTTTTATCTAATATAGTTTAATTTTATGATTCCACTTTTTTCAAAATTATATAATGACAATATATGACATTTTCCAAAAGTATGTCATATTCTCTTTTGTTTATATATTGTTACTTGAGAATATATGATTTAATGTGTTATCAAAGTTGAAGAAACACTAAGTATATTGTTCGATAACTGAAACAATTTTATTCATAGATACGAGATGAACTAAATATCCCATTATTATTTTTAATATTTGAAATTGAATGATAATGACGTAATAATGAGAGTCGTTTTTTTATCTCGCTCCAGTTACGATTACATGCTTAATTGACATAATTTTCCATTCATTTTACCCTTGTTGATAGTAAAGGATGAAGATAAAATATAATTCCTTTAGAAACATTTGGATGCCCCAATACCCTAGAAATTTTATCTAATAAATAATTCGATAAATGCAGCATTTGTTTGAAAGAAATAGATTTTGAAAGAGGTGAAGGTCACTGTAGCAAATATCTAATAATTATTTATTCTCTCAACTCACATAATTTGAAGTATAATAAAAGAAACTTTTTTTTTTTATATTCTTCATGACTAGAAAAAATATAAAAAAATTTAGGGAAAAAAAACAAAAAAATAATTATCATATTTATTTCAGTATTGGAAGTAGCGATTGGTGAATACGGAATCTCAGTAGATAAATTAATAGCAAAAGTTGAAAGTATACCCAATGAGGATAATACATTACCTGCAATAAAATCAAGTGCCGATGGTAATTATTTTTTTAATATCAAAAATTGCTTTTTAATTCCTTTTTTTTTTAATAAAAATTTATTTATAATTAAATTATATTTTATGAGAAATAATTTTATTTTAGATTTAGATGATAATATTTCACATGAAAAAGCACCACCACCTGCAGGATTTTTGGCACAATGTTATTTACTTTATAAAAGGCAATTGATCTCATTAAAAAGGGATTATACTTTAATGGTGATTCGTCTTCTTTGTCATTTATTGATTGGCGTGATATTCGGTTATCTTTACAGAGGAAGTGGATTTCGTGCAAATGGAGTTTTTGCTAATTATGTATACCTTTACGGATCACTTTTATTAATTGTTTACACAGGAAAAATGGCCGTTACTCTTGCTTGTAAGCATTCAATTTTTATTTCATTAGAATTTCTTTTTAAATTCTCACTTTAGTATTAATTTATAGTAAATTTAGAATTTTTATTAAATAAAATTTATATTTTACTAAATTTTCACTAAACAAAATATCTACTTAACGGAATTTTTAATAAATCGTTTTTAAATTAATGGTTATATAAATATTTCGCCGCGATTTTTAAAATTGACCAATCAGAAATTATCAAGAATATTTTGATTGGTCAATTTTAAAAATCGCGCCGAAAATAGAAACGGAAGTGGAAAATTTGGAACAAATAATTCTTGTTATTCAAAAATTCGGCTCAATCGAAATTTTTCTACATTAAAATTCGAAGGAATAAAAATTTCTATTAAATATTAGATTAAAAAATTCTAATTAATTTTTTTTTCTTTTTGGATATTGTTTTTTTTAAACCATAGATTTAATGATTAATTAATGATTGATTATTTATAAAAATAATCGGTTTTTTTCAGTACATATTTAAAAATAATGCTTATCATATTGAAATTTGAATTCATGAATGATACATTGTCTGAAAATGTAATTATTTTTTTTATTTAAGAATGTGATATAAAATTGTAATTTTAGATAATCATTTTAAAAAATCAGGGATTTATATCTTTATTTATATTATATATTTGTTTTTTATATTTAAATTGATAATTTTTTTTTTTTGCAGTTCCATTGGAGATGCAAATATTGACTAGAGAACATTTTAATCGATGGTATCGACTTGCTCCCTATTATATTAGTTTGCTACTAATTGAAATACCATTTCAAGCTGCTTGTGCATTAATGTATTTGTCGGTTAGTTATTGGTTGACAGGTCAACCAGTGGAAACACATCGAATTGTTTATTTTATGATTCTAAGCATTTCTGCAAGTTTAACTGCACAGGCGTGGGGCTTTTTTATTGGTGCAACAACTCCCGTACGAGTACGTAATTTTATACAAATATATCAAATTTTAATAATTTCAATAAAAATTTATTTAATTGAGTTTAAAAAAAAAAAAAAATTAATAAATAATATTTTTAATTCTAGATCGCAGTTTTTGCTGGTCCAATTATTGCTGTTTTATTTTCGGTTTTTGGATTTTGTATCCGTTATATGGATACACCAAAAGTTTTTCGTTGGATATTTCACATTTCTTATTTTAGAGCTGGATTCCATAGTTTATTGGTATCAATTTATGGCTTTAATCGTAAAGATCTAAAATGTGAGGATTCAAAGGAAGCAATTGCATATTGTCATTATAAAAAAGGGCAAAAATTCCTGAGTGATATGGAAATTGCCGACACAAATGTAGTGAATAATTTGGTTTTAATAATAGGAATTGGAGTGCTTATGCATCTTTTGACTGCAAGTGCACTTTGGTGCAAACTTAATAGAAGATGAGTTTAATGAAAAATGTATTTGCCCAGTGGTTCAGTATTCGCTTAAAGCGTGTGCTAGTCTCGTCAAGAGCAATTGGAAGCTAATTACGAGAAAGCTTTTTTTTTAATAAGAAAAAATAAGCAAAAATATTAACGAAAACTATTTATAACTTAATAGTAAAAAAAAGCTCTTAAAGCAGTCTTAAATATTGTAAGTTTTAATTTTTTTTTTGATATTTTTTACTCGTAAGATGTGTAATTTTAAATACTTGACACTTAAAAATATTTAAAACTTAATTTTCAAGGAAAATATTGACATGCAAATTATGAAGTTTGCATTGAGGATAATTTTAAATATTACGTGACTTAAAAATATTTTGGTATTTGAGACTGCAATGTTTAATATAAAATTGATTAAAAAAGAAAACAGTGAAGAGAAACCAAAAATTGATTATAAAGAAATAGGAAGCAATTATTATAACAGTGATTTTAAATAATTGTAAAATTTGTTTATTTTGTGGACCAAAAGTGAAAGTATATATATATATATATATATATTAATTATTTTTTTTATATCGATTGAAAGTGAATTTATACATAATTCTATTTGTGATACAGAATCTCATTAGAAAAATGAAAGTTTTAAGAAATTTAAAAAAGAAAGATCTTTTATCCTTGAAAGATAAATAACAGTGACTTATGTATACTTAACTTAAAAATATGATTCATTAATTTTGAGCGCATAAAACAGGGTTGGTTCTTTATACTTTTTTTTTTTTTTTAATTGAAAACTAACGTCTTTATTTTAGCTCAAATGTAAACGAATCATAATGATTTTACTCCGCTATTTATTTTTGTACATATTAAAATTATTATACTTTATAGAATTAAGTTTGAAAATACAGAGTAATTTATAAATTATAGTGAATGTATTATTGCACTTTAGAAAAGAAAAGTTTTGCGACTTTGTGATTGTTTTTTTTATTAATTTTAAGTAAAAAATTAATTTTCTAACTTTTAAATATTTTTTTTTCTAAATATTTGATAATTAGCATTTCTATTAATGACTAAGTTTAATATCTTATTACTGTTTTTGTAATATATTTTTTTGCACTTCTTAAATTATTTTAAGAATAAGAGAGAACTTGAAAGTTTCATCAGTTATTTTCTACGTTACGATTTTTTAAAAAATCGTTTTATAATTGTATATTTCATAATAAAGGAACATTGTCTGGCAGAAATCGAATGTTTTAAAATATTAACCATATCTAAAAATTTATTTTAGATAAAGAAAATTGATTTTAAATTAATTTAAAATTGTATACATACATACATGTAATCCGGTAAATCATTTAAAAGGTGCAGAACAATGACATTGTTTTGAAAGCATAACAATATTTTCAATTATATTATTATAATTGTTCTTGTTCAATTTTTATCTTTATTATAAAATTCATTATGATTAGTATTAGTAGTTTTTTTTTAAATTCTTTTTAATACCATTCAACATATGTATTTCAATTTTTTTTTATATATGATATCGTTTGATATGAAATTATCATGAGACACTTATCTCAATACAATGTATTTTAATTATTTTAAATGCTTTTACAATCAATATTGATAATTTCTTTTTTTCTCAAATTGGTACAGGTATTTTCTGCAATTATTTGTATTTAAGTATAAAGGAAGTGATTTTTAATGTCAAATAAATTAAAGAATATGGTAAAGTATATTTTAACTCTATAAAGAAACAAAAAAAAAAAAAAAAAAAAAATGCAATTAACAAGGACAAAAATTGCAAAAATGGAAAGAGGAAGCAAAATATAACAATTTAATCTTATCTTTATATTGTATACTCTCTGTATCTTATCCTTCTTTACTATTTGGATTTTTACGTCTATTTTTTTAATTTTTTAAAATTGTTATTAATAAAATGCAAAAAATGTGTGAAACTGAAATTTTTTTTACTATTTCATTATTTAATATTTATTTAAATTAAGTTCATATTTTTTATGTAAAGTATATAAAAAATACAAAAGAAATAAGTTTTTGAACTTTTTTAAAAAATTTATTACAATCTTCAAAAACCACAGGTTAAAGATGTTGAAATAATGTTTGGTATATGGAAGTAGAAATGAAGATTGAAGGTAAGCAAGAAAAATAATACCTAAGCAAGAATGGAATGTTTAAAATTAAACTTAGGATATGTGGAATATAATATGAAACAAATTAAAATTTATAACAATATAATATTGTTGATTAAAATAGAAAGAAAAAAATTTTTTTTTTTTTTTAAATTAAAAATGAAATGTCTAATCTTCTTTTCTTTCATATTCTATTTTTACGTTTGAATGTGTCGAGAGTAATAATAAGTGTAGTGCGTGTATTGCTCAGTGTTGATTCGTAGGCGGACTGAGACGGACGTTTCACACCACACTCTCTTATATTGAATATACATATATATATATATATATATATAAAATTAATATTGTTAGACAATCTAATTTCACTTTTCAAATTTTTTTGTTATCCATTCGAAAAATTACACTTTACTAAATACACACTTAATTAATTCCTTTATTTTAATTAATTAAAATTTTCTCAAGGTTTGATTATTAAAAGAATTTATTTTTATCTCAAACACCTTTTGTCAATTCCTTCCTTTTAATATAACAAAATAAAACCTTCAAGAATTCAATATGTGTCTTGAATTATCTGCGAGAAGAATAAAAAAAAAAAGTGATTTCAAACAGTGAAAATTAATAATTTGTCATTATTAGTGAGAATTTGTTTTTGTGATTATAATAAGTGTTCTAAGATGAAAATAGAACAATAGTTTATATTCATAATTAAATGCGCATTTATTTATGAGGAACGTGAAATGCATCTGTTTGCATTTGAAAATAACTGTGAAAAATGATGTATAATTTTTAAAATTTTCAATAATGACTGAAGTTTGCCAAAAACCACCGAATCTCAAGTTAAATTTAACTCAAATTAAAAAAAATGACACCTTCAATGATGCTGGATCTAATCAATTTAATAAATCCATTAATTTGGTATTCAACAATATTACATACAGTGTTCGGACAAATCTTTTTTCTAAAAGTATGATATATTTTTTTCATAATATTAAATATAATAATTATTTAAATATTGAAAATCAGAATAAAAATTGTTTTAACAATAATATATATATGGATTAATAAATTTATAATTGTTTCATTTCTTTATAGAAAAAATATATATATAAAATATTTGATAAAAATGAGGATATCTTCTCGATAAGGGACATATTTATAAAAATGTCTGTTTTTTTCTTTTGTAACTCCTATATCTTATCCCTATATTATCAAATCTAAAGAATAATTAGTTGATTATTAATTTTCTATATATCCAACTATTATTATCTATCAATGTTTAAGTATATAGTCAAATCTTAAAAATTTGTCATTTATGATAAAAAGAAAAAGATAAAAAAAAAACTACTGAAAAATAAAATTTTAATTTTTCATAATTTAGAAATTTTTTTTTTACAAATTATAATTTATATCTTGTTGATAGTTTTTGTTTTAAAAATTTCTTGCTTCATTAAAGCGATTGTGATTCAGAGTTTGGTTGATTATTATTCATACACACACAAGTATGTGAAATTATTATGCATATATAAGTTTCATAATAATATTCAATGGAGTTTCATTTGATTTTTACATTTTTTTTTTTTCAACAAATATACAAGATGTTTTTTAAAACTTATTTCCAAAAACTGGATTTTTAATAAATATAAAAATAAAGCGCAGATTTATTGGTACAATGAAAGACATTTATATTAATTCAATATTTTTTTTAAAAAAAGACTAGAATTTATTGAATAACAAGAACACATTTTTTTTTTAAATACTTTTTATAATCTTCTTTTATATAAAATGTTTAAAAAAAAACTGTTGATCTTTTATAATGATCTTCTAGAGAGCGTAGAAACTGAAATAGTTAATAAATCAATGATGACGGATGATGTTTTTCAGATTTAGAAAGAATTCGTTAGTTAAGATAAAACTCTGAATAATGATAAGAATAAAGTATTCATATTAGAGTGAGGATTATATGAAAATCAGAATTAAATACATAAATTGTGAAAAAAATTAATATTACAAGTCTCTGATAAAATACCCTTTTTTTTAAATATTTGATAAAAAAAAAATTTTTTATTTATCTTTAACAGAGATGTGAACATCAAAAAAAAATTTGATTATATTATCTATTATATGTATCTTAAGAGATCTAGAAGAATTTTACACACATTGCAAAATACGACACCAAACTTCAATATTTTAGAAATTAAAATTAACTTTTCAGCTTTTTGTTTCTCTTTCAAAAAAAAAAAATTACTTTTTCCATATATAATTAAAATAAAATACAATTTTTTTTTAATTATCAATAATTTTTACATTAACGATTTTACTTATTGTGAATATTTTAGACGCGACTTTGATTGTCATACATAAATCCGCATTGTTCTTTATCAACTTCTTGAAAGTTTGTGATATCAAAAGCCAACGACCAGAAACATTTATAAATAAATAATAATTATAACGAATATTTCAATTATTTTTTTCCAATATAGATTTTTAGAGCAAAAAATCTTAAATTGCAAGACAAAATTAAGAAATAATAATATTATTATTAATATTAATTATAAAAGAAAATTTAACAAATTTTTTAATTTTATTTTTTCAGAAAGAAAAAAATTACTATCGGAAATTTCTGGAGATTTTAGATCAGGCGAGCTGACAGCAATTATTGGTCCATCTGGAGCGGGAAAATCCACAATGATGGATATTTTAGCTGGATTTACGTAAATATTTTCAAAAATTTCAAAAACAAATTTGTTTTCATTTAATATATTTTTTTTTTAATCATGTATTTTTTTAAGTACTGCTTTTTTGAAATATAATAAAAAAAATTAATATTTTTATTCTGTATTTTAGGACATCTTCTGTTACCGGAAATATAACAGTCAATGGAGAAAATCGTGATTTAACATCATTTAGAAGATCATCGGCCTATATTATGCAAGATGACAATCTTCAACTTCTATTAACTGTTCAAGAAGCAATGGATTGTGCTGCAAATTTGAAGCTCAATACATCATCATTAGAAAAAAAGCAAACTGTAATTTTCTTTTTTTTTAATTAAAAATTAAAAAATTTTTTTCTTTAAATTTTATTTATAAAAATTTAGAAAAAAAAATAATAATAATTTTTTTTTTTTTTGTAATTTATAGGTTGATCAAATTTTAGTTGCCATGGGTCTTTCAAAATGTAGAAAAACTCGTACTGATAAATTAAGTGGAGGACAGAGAAAAAGACTGGTAATTGCTTTAGAATTAGTTAACAATCCACCGATTATGTTCTTTGATGAGCCAACAAGGTAATTAATTTTCTTTATATTTTCTTAATGTACTCTTTAAATATCATTTGATTTAAATTCAATGATTCCATTTTCAGCGGCTTGGACAGCGTTTCATCCAAGCAATGTTTAGCTTTTTTAAAAATGTTAGCACGTGAGGGTAGAACAATAATTTGTACAATACATCAACCAAGTGCAACTCTTTTTGATATGATCGATCATCTTTATGTTGTATCCCAAGGAACATGCCTTTATACTGGTGGGACAAAAACTTTAGTTAATTTTCTATCCTCATTACAATTACAATGCCCGACATATCATAATCCAGCAGATTTTGGTGAGTTTGTTAACTAGAAAAAAAAAAATTTTCAATAAATTATAAAAATATGAAAAAACATTTTTTTTTTTGGTTCTTTTTTTCAGTATTAGAAATATGTAATGGAGATTATGGTGATATAATGAAATTAGTAAAATCAATAGAAAATGGTAAAAATAATTCATGGAGATCACCAACTGAAGACGATTTAAGTAAAATACAGCAGCTAATTAATGGAAATATTATGACACCAATTGTATCACCAAATCTTCCAACACCTGTAATATTAGTAAAAAATAAAATTAAAGGATTAAATCACGCAACTGGATTTTGGATGCAATTATACATTTTACTCAAACAAAATGCAATTCGACTTTCTAGAGATAGAGTAATTTTTTTTAAATTCTTTTTATTAATTTTAATATAAAAAAATTTTTTGATTAAAAAAAAAATATATATATAAAATAATAATTGAAACAAAAATTCTTTTTTCAAATATAGGTTCTGACCTACATGCGACTTTCAATGCACTTTATTATTGCAATTTTAGTTGGAATTATTTTCTTCAATATTGGCCAGAATGCTGACTACGCTTTAGATAATTACAATTTGCTTTTTTTTAATGTCATGTTTCTCATGTATAGTGCATTTAGTGCAGCTCTTATAACATGTAAATAAGACTTTCAATAATTATTCTCTTATAAATTTCAAATATTACTTTCACCAATTATTAAATTTACATAATTAATTAAAACATTTTTTTTCATTTTTAAAAATTTTATTTAAAAATTAAAAAAAATTCTAATTCTTTTGTTATTAAAAAAAATATTTTTTTTTTTCTCTTTTAGTTCCCTTAGAAGTGCCAATATTAACAAGAGAACATTTCAATCGTTGGTATAAACTTCGTTCTTACTATTTGGCTAACAAATTGGCCGACATCCCAATACAAATTACAGCAACATTTATTTATACTTTAATAGTTTATTATATGAGTGGCCAAGTACAAGATGTAAAAAGACTTGCCCTTTATATTTTTATATGTATTGCAATTACACTCGTTGCACAAAAAATAGGTCTTATTATTGGTATAGCAATGAAATTACAGGTAATATTTAATTGAAATTAAAAAGGAAAAAATTTTTTTTCATTAGAATTTTTTTCAAAGAAATAAAAAATAAATAAAAAATAAATATTTTTACAGTATGGTGTAATTTTTGGACCGCTGATAATAATGCCTTTTACAATATTTAGTGGATTTTTTATTCACATGAATGATGCTCAACCATATTTACAATGGTTATTTCAAATTTCATTTATAAAATATGGTTTTGAAGGAATTATGGTTGCCATTTATGGGTAGGAAAAATTATAATTACACGGAAAAAAAAAAAGAAAAAATAATTTTCAGTTTAATAAAATTTACTAATTTTGTAGTAAATTTTACTGTTTCGTAGTAATTTTTACTATTTCTGAAGTAAATTTTACTATTTTTCGAGTAAAAGTTGCCAGAGATGCGTAAAAACTTCGGACAGTTCCCGTTTTATTATTAAACTAGTAAAAATTACTTTTTCTTTTTTTTCCGTGTATTTTAAAAAAAAAAATTCTACTAAAATACTAATTTTTAATTTTTTTTTTAGATACGATAGACCAAAGATGCGATGCACTTCAGAATATTGCCATTTTTCTCATCCTAAACAACTTTTAAAAGAAGTTGGAATGAAATATTCAGATTATTGGTATAGCATTGCAATATTAATTTTAATTTACATTATACTTGATACTAGTGCTTTTTTAATATTAAGATTAAGGCTGAAACAACGATTTTATCGTTAGTGATATAAGAAAATGTTTCAAAAATTTTATATTTAAATAATTAATTTCATATTTTCATATAATTTGACGAATTTTTTATATTTTTCTTTATATTAAAAAGACAATTTTTATGGGATTAAATAGATTATAATTATAGCAATTTATGTTCGAATAAAATCAACAATAAACAGTTGATAATTTTTTATTAATAAAAATTTATACCTAATTGTATGGTTTATTAAATTTCTTTATACTCAAAAATAATTTTAAGAAAATCTATCATTTTTGAACTTTTGTACCACAGTTTTGAATTTATTAGTTTTTTTTTTTTTTTTTTTTAAATTAAAAAAAAATAATAATGTTTTCAACAATTATAAATATGAATAATTCAAAAATTATAGAAAAAAAATATATAATACTAATTAATTTTTTAACTAAACTGTGTTTTAATTCATTTTTTTCAAAGCATGTAAAATAATAATAAAAAAAAAAAAAAATCAATGAAATTATACACATCAGTCTTTTTGTAAATAGTGTCCATTGATTTTAATTGATGATGTTTATAATCATTATTTCATATATATTTCATTCCCCACCATTTTATAAGATAATTTTATATACTATCTATCAGTAAGCGGCTGATTCTCGCGGCGAGTCGATTCCTTCAGTAACAGTTTTCAAAGAGACAGTAAAACTACTTTCACTTGTATTTTTTTTTTTTTTTATTAAGAGCTCAACTTGCGAAATCAAATTCTAAAATGTGTTTTCTCTCTTATATTTATAAAACGCAGTAAATATTTCAATTAAATACAAACAAAAATTATTATTGGAGTAACGTTATATTATTATAAGTTTAAAGAGATAATTGCAATGGAGCAAAGTCCTGACAATTCAGATGAAGTGTTAAAAACAGAACAATGTGAAGTTGATTTAGCTTCATATCAAAAATTATTGACTGAAAATAATGAAAATTATGATGAGAAGAAAAAAATTTCCATTGAATTTATAAATTTAAAATATCGCGTTGAATATAAAAAAGGTTTGTTATAAAAATAAATATATGTGAAAATAAAGTCAAAAAATAAATTTAAAAAAAAAAAATAATTATTCAATTATTTATTATTTTACAGGAAATTTTAAAGATATTCTTAATGATGTTTCTGGTAAATTTTTACCAGGAAGATTAACAGCAATTTTAGGACCTTCTGGTGCAGGAAAAACAAGTTTGCTAAATATTCTAGCAGGAAGAAAAAGAATAGAATCTCAAGGTTGTATTATTATGAATGAATTGAAAATATCATCTCAAACTTTACAAAAATATTGTTGTTATATTCCTCAAGAATTTGCATTAATGCCACTTCTTACAGTAAAAGAAACTCTTTTAATAGCTGCAGAATTAAAATTAAACAGTACATACGATTTACATGCACGAGAATTGGTAGTTAGTATTTAAATTTTATTTTAATGAGAATATTATTTTTTTTTTTAAATAATTAAATTAAATTTTTTATATTTTAAAAAAAAAAATTAATAATAATTTGAATATTTAAGATAAATGAAATTGGTAATAAATTGAATTTGAGTGATTGTTGGAATTCAACTGTAGAAAAATTAAGTGGTGGAGAAAAAAAACGTTTGTCTATTGGAGTTGAAGTTATTACAAGTCCATTAGTACTTTTTTTAGACGAACCAACTAGTGGTCTTGATAGTGTTTCATCGAAACAGGTACGTCATTTTTTTTTAGAATTATACTAAAAATTTTAATTTTATTTTAAAACGTAAAAAAAGAAAAAAAAAAATAGTAACATACTCGAAAATTACTGATTAATAACTGCATAACGCTAATAGAGAATCTCATGAATATTTAATTGCAAGTTTATTGCGCACATACAATCAATTAACAAGCCTTGAAACATTTTTTTTCGTCTATTTATTAAAAAAAAAACTTTTTAACCAAATGGATTTTTAAAAAAAAAAAATTTTTTTTAAATTCTTATCAAAGATTTAAAAAAATTAAATTAATTAAAATTAATTTGCAGGTTATTGAATTGTTACATTCATTGTCACAAACAGGCTGTACAATTGTTTGCTCTGTTCATCAGCCCAGTAGTCAATTATTTTCTCTATTTGATGATATTCTCATTCTTGGTCAAGGGAAATGTTTTTATTGTGGTCCACGAGATAATATTGTTGATCATTTTAATGAAGCTGGTTTTATTTGCCCTAATTTTTACAATCCTGCAGAATATGGTAAATTTTTTTTTTTAATAATATTTTCACTTTATGATTTGTATACCTATAATTTAAAAAAAAATTAAATCACAATTTAAAAAAAAAAAAAAAAAATTCGTTAGAAAAATTATTAAATTAAATAATTATATAATTTGTTTCAAGTCATGGAAGTCATCACAGAGAAAAGAGCTGATTTTTCAATTTTAGAAAAGCTTCATGCCAATAAAAAGAGAGAAAACATATTTTACAGTGAAACTAGTAAGTCGATGATTTATTTTTTCTATATTTAAAAATGATAATTATAAAGAAAAATTTCATGAGATAAAAATAAAATTATCTTTAAACATTTAGAAAATGATAATGATTCTAATATAAAATCACGGAGGTATGCAGTTTCCGATTGGATTCAATTAAAAGTATTATTACGACGTTCCTTCATTTGTATACGACGAGATAATGTAAGTTTTTTTTTCTCATTTTTATTTTGCTATTTAATAAAATTTAATAATAACGAAATATTTTTTTTACAGACCTTGACAAAATTGCGTTACGTAACGCATTTAATTGTAGCCCTTTTATTGGGAGTAGTTTTTTACAAATTTGGCGAAGTTTCAAGTAAAGTACAAAGCAATATTGCTTGTATATTTTTCATCATACTTTTTCTCTTTTTTGCAAATTCCATGCCGGCTGTTCAATTGTGTAAGAAATATATGAAAAATAATATTTTGAAATTAAATATTTTTCAAATAATTTATGGATTTCTTTTTTTTTTAAATTAAGTTCCTACTGAGGCAGCAGTTTTTGTTAGGGAAAATTCAAATAATTGGTATTCACTTCATATTTATTATATTTCTAAAGTCGTCTCAGATCTTCCCTTGCAGGTAAAATATTTTCTATTATTTATATATTTTAAAAAAAAACAATATTTAATTTAAAATAAATTATTGCATTTCAGATACTTTGTCCTTCTAGTTTTTTAATAATTGTTTATTATTTAACTGGTCAACCGTGGGAAGTGACAAGATTTTTCCAAAGTTGGATTATTTGCATACTATTAACAATTGTCGCACAATCTTTGGGAATTGCTACTGGAGCAGCGTTTAATACTGATGTATTTTTTTTAAAACTTATTTATTTCATTCATTCTTATATTTTTATTTAAATTTCAATTTAATTAAAATTTTTTTCAGATTGGAATGTTTTTAATTCCTGCATTCAATATTCCAATGTTTCTTTTTTCTGGATTTTTCTTAAAATTTGGAGAAATGCCTTATTGTTTTCGTTTTTTATCTGAATTAAGTTATTTCAGGTAAAATATGTTTTTATAATAAAATATAATTTATAAAACAAAAATAATAAAATAAATATATTTTTCATTATTTATAGATATGCTTTTGAAGGAATACTTCAAGCGATTTATGGATCAGATCGTCGAATTTTTAATTGTACAATTGAGATGTGCATATCACCTCGAAGAATTTTAAAACAATTAAATATGCCATCTGTAAATTATTTAACTACTAATTTAGCTTTAATCATTTGGACTATTATTCTTCATATTACTATTTATTTAGTGCTGAGATGGAAATTGCATGTCGCTGCCAAATAATAATATTTTTCCACAGAATTAGTTTAATTATTTAAAATTTATGTGAATCAAGAAATTATTTTTGTATTTTAGAATTAAAATGTGAGTCAAAAAATGTATATTTTTATAATAAAATATATTTTAAAAGTTTCTAAAAAAGAAAGCATTCTTTTAAAAAAAAAAAATTTATGATTCATGATTGAATGATAAATTTTACGAATATGATAATAAAATACTCAAGAAAAAAAGAAAAGAAACGTAAATAAAAATTGAAGGTTGAATGATTGTTTAAAGATTAACTTAAAAACGAAACGTTTGTTTATCAATGATATATACATAAACGTACAAAAAATTTAATTTATCACTTTAAACATCTCTTTATAACAACTTTTCTTTTAAATCTAAAATATTAGATATTATGCAAAAATAAATAATAACGGACCATAAAAATATATACTGGCTCTAATATAATTTGATTTTAAAAGACCCATTTCTTTTTTCTTATTACTTCTGATATAAGTTTTAAGTCTTTTAAATTGATCTCATAATTTTCAATATGAAATACAAAGAAAAACGAGATCTAAATTATTAAAAAAAAAAAAATTGTAGAAAATTGTCGAATACATAAGTTTCAACTAAAAATTTGTGAATAATAAAAAAAAATCAATTATTCGAGTATTTTGTTTCCAAAGGAATAAAAATTCTCTTTTTTTTTATCTCGATGCCATAAGTTTCCATCTTAGGAGAACGTATGCTGAAAAACGTGTAATGAAGAGTATCACAATGAGAGCAATAACATCATTCCAAAATTGATCGTCTCTCATGGCAATTTCACTTAAAAATTTTCTTGGATATTTATAATGGCAGTAGTCTTTACAGGCAAGTGTCTTTCGGTTCAGTCCATAAATTGCATTTATGTACCTGATATCAAATTAATTGTTCTTATTATTAATTTAATATTTAAGCGCTTATATTTAATTTTTTTTTTTAAATATAATAATTCTTGAAGTGTTATTTAAATGTTATTTAAAAATAAGTTATTTTAATATTATTTTGTTATTTTGTATTTTGATTTACCATCAAAAGCAATTCTTATCAAAATAATTAATAATTTTTAAAGAAAAAACTTACCCCTCTAATCCATATCGCAAATAACTGACATATGTGCCCCATTTCAAAAAACTTGGCATATCACGTAAAGTAACACCAAAACCAGCGAACATCATCATTGGTACAGAAATAGTTGGTCCCAAAAATGTTCCATTCTGAAAATTTTTATTTTCATTTTAAATAAATTATTATAAATTAAAAAACAAATAGATTAATTATTTTTAGACTTACTACTACATTAAATACTGCTCCGATCATAAGACCAAAACTCTGAGCAACAAAAGATACAAGTAAACTGATTGTGAAAAACATAGAAAATCTTGTCACATCAGCAGGTTGAGCTGACATAAAATAAACGATAAATGAAAATATTGTACAACATAATATTGAAACTGGAATGTCTATTATGTTTACAGAAATGTAAAAAGCCTTTAGACTGTACCATCGATTAAAATGTTCCTTTTGTAAAATACTCATTTCAGTGGGAACTGTAAAAATAAAAAAAAACTTAAAATTAAATAAAATAATTTATGATTAAGCAGAATTTTAAATGTAAAAAAAACAAATTAAATTTACATGTTAAAATAGTCAACATCATTGTGGTCATCATATGATGCATAAGAATACCAAAAAGAAGATTATAATTGTCAATTACACGTTTTCCATCATTTCCTGCTTTAATGAAAAGAGATCCGAGCATAAGTCCCGTGCAAATATTTACAATTATTCTCAAATGGGTCAAAGTCTGAAAATTTTATAATTTAATATTCAATTTTTTTTTGAGAGAGAGAATAATTAAATAATTTAAAAACAAGTTACCTAATAATTTAAAAAATTTTATATCATACATACCGGATCTCTTTTAACTTTAATCATTCCTCTGCCAAGGAGAACTTTTAATTGATGTAACTGAGAAGTTGCTTGTAAACTTTCTTCTGACTTTTTTTTCGGATTTGATGCTAAAATACTCTTTTCATTTTTACGATCCTCTTTTTCCGGAAATGCAGCTAAATTGACAAATTTTAAAAGTCGAAATCATAAAAATAAAAAATAAAATAATAAAAGAATTGAAAAATACCTCTCAGTGCCCTTAAATCTAATAAATTTAGCGATTTGTCGAACCACTGTAAACTTTTTCCATTTTGTGTTCCACAAATCATTGATTCCACTTTGTCTTCTCCATATTCTCCACAAGCCAATTCAATTACTGAAAAAAAAGATATATTTTTTTAATTTAAAGAAAATTTATTTTTCTATTAAAATTTTTCTGACTTAAATATTTTTACCATAATCTGCTGGATTATGATACATGGGACAGGGTAATTTAACACTCTCTAAATATGGAACTAATTGATGAACTGCTCCTTGGTATAAACACTCTCCGTCAGATAATACATAAACCTAAAAATTAATATAAAGTGACAAGAAATGTTTATTTAAAAATAATTCTCTAAATTACATTTTATTTGTATAAATAAATTTATTTTCCATTAAAATTAACGTTAAAACCTAGTTACCTGATCAAATAATTGAAAAAGAGAGGCACTTGGTTGATGAATTGTGCACACAATTGTTTTTCCTTGAGAAGCAAGAAGTTTTAACAAATTTACAACTTGCATACAAGAAGAACTGTCAAGGCCTCTAAAATAAAAATAAAATTTTATTTTACGGAAAATAAATATATGAAATATTAAAATTTCGTTATCATAAAGTGGAAAATATTTTTATTCTATTTTTATGGTTTGGTGTTTAAAAGAAAAAAAAAAAAAGAATCTCGGTAAAATTTTATTATCAAAATTCATGCACTACACACACACAGAAACATTGAACTTACGTTGTCGGTTCATCCAGAAACATTACAGTGGGGTTGTTGACCAGTTCCAGCGCAATGGACAATCGCTTCTTCTGACCTCCACTTAATCTTTCTGCTTTAGTTTTCAAATTTCCATTTAAGCTTAGGGTGGTTAAAATTTCATCTATCTGTGATAAATTGAATCAAAAATTATATTTTATATTCTTTATTTTCTATTAACTCGTATGTAATTTTAAATTATATAGTAAATTCTAATTTTCCCGAAGATATATTTTATTTATTTAAATTAATTAAAACCTACTATTTTCTTTTTTTGTTCTACTGGAGTATCGGTTCCCAATTTGAGATCAGCAGCAACTTTCATATTTTCAGTGACAGTCAGTAAAGGCTGCAATCTATCATCTTGAGTAATATACGCACTACATCTGTAAATTTTTGTTTTCAAACATTAAAATTATGTTTAAATATTTTAAAATCGATAAAATTATTATAAGAAGTTATTTTTTTAAATTACAATTTTTTTATTTCTTCTAATATGAATGTGTAAGAGTAGTAAAAATGTTGAAAAAAAATTAAATTATAGAGTTTAAAGAAAATTACAGGGAATTACGCTGTGACATAATTAATTGATACTTTCAAGTACCTAACATAACAAAAAAGTAATTATAAAGATTCAAGTTCAAATTAAATATATATATATCATTGTAATTGCAATTTAAAAAAAAGAAAAACATACCTTCTGAATGAATTCAAATCACGAATACGACCATTAACGTAAACAGTTCCTTGGACACCAGTTATTCGATATCCGGAAAGAATATCGAGTAATGTGGATTTACCGGCTCCAGAAGGACCCATTATGGCAATCAACTGCTTTCCCGGAAGTCTCCCATTGATACCATGTAAAATTTCTTTCGTTCCTATTTTCACAAAGAAAAATGAAAACATTCAAAAAATTGTTTTAATTTGAAATTAAATTATAAATAACACAATTTCATTAATTATTAAAAAATTTTTTAATTATTTCAAAACTTAGGTAATAATAATAATAATAATAAATATCGATAATTTAGAAATTAAAAAAATCATACTTATAAAATTTATAAGACGAAAGATAATAAATTTTTAATTGTTTAACAAGAAAAAATATTAATTTTTCCTTGTATAGTTAGAAACCCTCTCTCTTTAGATTATTTAAAATTTTATTGATTTATAAACATAAAGACGAGTAGAAAAATTAATAGTCACTGATGATAATTATTCTTGTGATATTCACAAAGTTTAGCATTAAAAACTAAAATCATTAAATAAAAAAAACACTTGACAAAATCGAACAAAGTTCAAATTTTTTTTTTCAGCATTAAAATCGAATATTACTTTATTTTTACGTCTTTGATTTATTACTTACTCAATGAAAATATCTTTACTAAATTTATAAAATAAATATTCAGAGTAACTATAAAAATAAGTATTTAAAAAAAAATACCTTTCCGAAATCCTAAGGAAACATTGTATGTTATATTCTCGAAAGTAATGTCCATGTAGTCATCTTTTTTATTTAAAGAGAGTTGAGGATTTTTATTACGTTCCATTTCTATTTCCTCATCTTTTTTTATACTTTGTTCCTGATATACACTACAACAGGTTGAATTTTCATTTTCGTCAGGGCCTTTTGATGCTTCATGCATTAAAACCTCCATAATTATTCTTTCACTTTTTTCACTAGAGATAAAGATGAATTTTTCTCAATTAGATGAAATCGACTGTCGCTTAAAAAAAGATTACCAATCTGAAAAAAATTATATATTGTCAATTGAAATCATATTGTTTAGCTTTAACTGATTAAATATATGTGTCGCAATCGTAAAAAAAAAGAGTGGGGATCTAGATCTTTGTCATCAAATTATTTTCTTTAATATTTTTTTTATTCTTTATTATTATTTTTTTTTTATATTTCGCTTTTGTCAACAATTTCCTATTCATAAAACTATTAATGAATTAATTTTTTAAATAATAATTAATAATTACTGTTTAAATTTTTTTTTTTTTTTTTGATAAGACATATTTAATTTAGTTTTTTTTTTTTTTTTTTTGTTTGATGAATCTGATGGTCAATAATCAAGATTGAAGGTCTCAGGTTAGTGGACTTGGATTTAAAGTCCATTTTATAACAGGTAAAGGTGGATTGTCTAGATTCAGGTTTAGTCACCGATTAAGATTATATCCTCTTGGCATCATTTTTTGTAAGACTGCGTATAAGACGGCCTTGGTTTAAAAAAAAGTATATAAACATTTTTCACTTCTAAAGTCTATTAATTTCACATAGATGCACTATGAATTGTAAATGGCTTATTTATTCTCACGAATCTTAATCATATTTACATATTTAAATTTCATTTGCTATTGCAGAAAAGAATTTTTTTTTTTTCATTTATTTTAATTTACTTCCTTCATTGTCATTATTATCATTATTTTTTTTTTTTAAATAATTTGATAAAATGATTTGATAATTGATATTAAATAAGAATTTTTATGAAATAAATCTGATATTGAATGAATGTATATATAAGAATTTCTAGGCGAATCTAGTTTCTCATTTGAAAATCAGTAAAATGTGTAATAATTAGACAAATTGGCACACTTTTTATTTAATGATTGCGGGGGGATAATTGCACGCGACTTTAGCAAATAAAAGCAATTGATAACATTATTCTAGAATTCAATTGGTGCCTATACCAATAAGACTTTAGAACCACGTGCATTTTAAAATGATAACAAATGATAACGGATGGTGGTAGTGATCAAAGTCCAAATAAATTATGATTCATATAAAGTCATTATATTGTTACACGTTTGAATTTGAACCTTTTATATACATATATATATATATTATCACCCTAGTGCATTCATATCGTGTAAGCATGTTTACAAAAAAAAAAGAAAAGAAAAAAAAATTATGGTCACTTTGCCATTGCAGTGATAAGAGAAACTAGTGTATAACAAAATGAATATGATTATTCGTCCTAATGAAACTCCTTTGTGTTTCCTACAACGCATCGTTTACAATTTTATTATCTTGATGATTATTTTAAAATATTTATCAACATATTTATACCGCTATTATTAATTTTTACGATTGATTGATTAAACATTTTTTTTTTAAATTTATAATCAATTTTAATAAAATTATATATTTTTGAATAAAATGATAAATCAGAATTAAAAAAAAATAAATAAATCAATTTTAATTAAATAAGAAATTTTTCATTATTGTGATGGATTTGATATATTATTCTAATGTCGACTTTGTTCTTTAGATAAAAGTTCAATTATTGGTTATTGATAATTTATTGAATATGAATAGTTTATGCCAATCAATTTCATAAATATTAATTTAATATGTAATTTTCATTTGTAAAGAAAAATAAAAGAAACAATAATTAATTAAGCTAGTGTTAATTTATTTCTAAACACGTTTGTTAACAACATAATAATGGTTTAATTGCGAAAGTAAATCTAACTAAACTTAAATACTTTTATTTAAATTTTTTCTTATGAAATTTAGAAGCAAAAATAGTTCTTTTTAACGGGAATTACCTAGAACATGTTTAAAGTTCAAATATTTTTTTTTTCTGATCCTTGTGATTTATCAATATTTTTTAAGGTGTATAAAATTTACATATAATTATCCGAATTTATGAATATTTTAATCAATTTTTCTTAAATGAATTTTACTATTTTATAATTATATATTTTATTTAATATATTAATAAAAAAAATATTAATTAATAAATTTTGTAATAAATTATTGTAATTTATTCATTTTTATAAAATATTATCTACTATTTTATAGTAGACTGAATTTTCGAAATTTTTCTAAGTTAAAAAAAAATATTCTTATATTTAAATAAATATAAAAAAAAAATCTAAACTCAATGTTATTGTTTAAAATAAAATGACATATTTTTTTTTATAGGATCACTGTCAATAAATGCATTTGTCCTACATTGCTGCTTTAGATAAATTGAAAAACAGAAAAGTGCGTAAATTTATATGGACAAAGTTCATAATAATACATTACAATGCAATGGCATCTGGAACATTAATGAACTTTTGCAATGATTTTAATTGATTTCTTGACAAGATTTGAAATGAGGATGTTGACAATTAAATTTTAAACTCATACCGGCCACACAATGCATAGATATATATGAATGCAATTTAATAGGGCACGTTTATACAAACAGTAAAGGTTGACAACACTCTGATAAAAACGATTGACGATCCTTTCTGATGTGGACAAAAAATTAAATACTATTTTACTAAATAGAAAATTATTTTTTTTAAATGTAAATTTAAAAATAAAAAAAAAAATTCTAAACTAATTTATAACGTTTAAATTTGTAATTATAAACATTTGAAATAAAAGAAAATAATACAATTAGAATTATATAAAATTTATAAAAAGTTATTATAATTAAAAAATAGCCTTCATGACTAATTTCATAGATTTATGATAAATAAGACAAAAATTGAAATAAATTATGTCGCAATTAAGATTAATTGAAAAAAAATTAAATTGAAAATAATTTTAAAACTCACCACTTTATTTTCTCTTGCAGAACATTGGTCTAGATTCCAATTTGGATCACTCAAAATAGAAAAATGATCTGCCTAGGATAAAAATAAAATGATATCACAGTGAAACATAAGTTACAAGTGAAATGTCACAAAGTAGTTAATAAATAAGTAGATGAATCAATGAAAAGTGATTCTGACTACTGACTACTTACTACTGACGGTTCATCCCAGAATCCAGTACACATGTTCTTCCATCTTACCTCCCTTCCTATCAATTCCCTTCTTTTTTCTCTCGTTTCCTTGTCCTCTTGTGCCATCCCCTCTCTAATCTCGAACTATGAAAAGAGATAAATAAATATCACAAATGATCTATGTGATATTGAAAATTGTTATTCTATCATCATAATTATGCACAATAATGAAAAAGGGCTTTTTTTATTTATAAGCAATTATTTTATAAACTGACATTTATTAATTTATACTCGATAATGTTCATTATCGTTATCAATGTTAAAAAAATGAAAAATTTTATGTTTTCAAAAAAATAGAGAGAGAGAGAGAAATTATTTGCTTTTAATGAATCAATTTTCTATCGAAGTAAAAAAAAATTAATTTGTACATAATTTTACCATTAAAATGATTCTTTTATATTTACTTTGTAATACAGAAAAATAATTAAGAGTTTTCCTCGATCCATTGAGATTTTTTAAATAAAAAATATAAAATTAGTTAAACAATTAACTAATAATAACTTTTAGTTATAATTTTAATAATATTTGTCTTTTTAATTTTAAAGCTGAATAAGCCGATTAAATACTTTTTATAAATAGAAAAAAGATTATTTAAAAATATTGACTGTCAATATAAGATATCAATATTATTAAAATAAGTAATATATGTACGTAAGTTTGTTAGTCATTGACCTGTTAAGATCAATATTGGTTACCAATGATCTTAATATTCAGTTCAATAATAAAACGTCAATTTCAAAACAAAGTTTGTGGACCTATTTAACGTTGTAAAAAAAATATAATTTAACAACAAACTGGAAATAGTTTTATTAAAAAACTAAATGAAACAAATATATATTTTTTAACACAAAAATTCTTGATCCGCTATTATTATCAAAAAAGGAATATGCGACAACGATATTACTTGTTTTTTTTAAACATAAATATTATAAAATAAACTAAAAAAAAGGCTTGATCTGATAAAACCTACACAAATATGAAAATGTGCGTCAAGCTTTTAACATGATTTAAAAAATATTGTTTACAGGTTAAAGATCGTTAGGTGAAGTATTACATATATAATTACATTTGTTAATCACTTTAAACGTTTTTTTTCGGATAAACATTTATTATAAACATTAAAACATTTCTCTTTACTTTCTATTATTTCAAAATCTAAATCAGTGGAATAATTCCTTCAGTATTTTAAGTACATATTTTGTTTACATTCGTGGGAAATTAGAATTATATATTTTTAAATTTAATTTTTGATAATACATACTAATTTAATTATAAACTTTTAAAATGTTAAAACTAATTGAAATTTTACTCTCAAAAACGGTTAAAACAATAAAATTTATAACATGCAAAATGTATTGCAAAAATCGTTTAATTTTTAGGTTAGATACATAAACAAATCTATATATATTAGTTTCTCAATATTTGACGCTTATATAGATAAATTAGTAATTTCATATTTACCATAAAATAGAATAAATAATATTTAAACAATTACACAATTTACTTCTTCTTATTGTTTATAACTGATAAAATCATGCCAATTCTTGGTCCATATAATGTATTTTTATAGAGTGGGAGTATTCATTGTTTACGAGAGATAGAGTTAAATTATTCCTTTCATGTTGGTATGACATGAAAAATTATGTTGGTATTTCTGCTGTAACGCTAAGAGGTTAGATATAGGAGGAAGACCTCTGTTTTGAAACAATTAATAAAAATAAATAAATAAATAAAACAAGTGAATAAACATCTTTTATCTAAATTAAACAAAATATTCATTGTTTACTAACAATGAGGAAAAATCCAAATATTTTAGTGACAGGTGATTAAATAAAAAAAAAAAATTATTTTTAAAACAAAATCAAGGTTATGTTTTTAAAATAAATAAAATTTTATTATATACAGGAACACCAGGTGTTGGAAAAAGTAAATTATCCGAAAAATTAGCAACAAGAACTGAATTAGAATGGATTGATGTTAGTTCTTTAGCGAAAAAATATAATTGTCTAGAAGAATTTGATGAACAATATCAATGTCAAATTTTGAACGAGGATAAGGTATTTGTTTTCTTTTAAAAATTTATTTCGGGGAAAATTATTTGTTAATATTTATTTTTATCGGCTAAGTCATTTTTTTTTCTTCTAAAATAGTTACTCGATTTAATGGAGGGTTTAATGGAAAAGGGAGGAAAAATTGTTGATTATCATGGAGCAGAATTTTTTCCCGAACGTTGGTTTGATATTGTTTTTGTATTAAGAACAGACAATACTGTTCTCTATGATCGATTAGTTGCCAGAGGTTATAGTGGAAAAAAATTAGAGGACAATATAGATTGTGAAATATTTCAAACTATACTCGAGGAAGCTAAGGAATCGTATAAAGAGGAAATAGTTTATGAACTCACTAGCAATACACCAGAACAAATGGAAAGCAACATTAATAGGATATGTCAGTGGATTCAAAAATGGAAAATAGATAACGAAGGATCGTAAAAGATATTTATATATATATACATTTCCAATTTATTTTTCCTTGAATAATTTCAAATCCTTGAAAACATAAAAATTCACTATCACAATTTTTTTTTAATTACATACTCATATACATAAATATTTGAATATTATATTCAACTGAGAACTATTATTTACAATATATTTATCTACTTTTTATTCTACAATTCCTATATCTTGCTTAATTTTTTTCAATCTATTTTCAATGCTTGTGTAGTATCTCATTTTTATTAACAATTGTTTTGCTGTCTCAACGTCCTGTTTTTTAAAAGCCTCAGCAATATTTCTATAAAATAAAAATAATCAATTTTTTTAAATATAAATTATTAAAAAAAAAAAAGAAGTAATTACTTCGTTAAATCAGCTAAAGTTTTTCTATTTTCCTCAATTAATTTAATAGCTGTTGATTCGTCTTTAGATGCTCTTTCAATTTCTTCATTTTTCTCTAAGATATCCATTAAAAATTCTGGATTCATATTTGTTGTACCTTCCGGAAGTGTTATATTATTTAAATTTAATAGATATATTCCCCTTTGTAATGGATGTGATAATGTGTAATAAGCCTTATTTATCAACGATGATAGTCTCTCGGATATTTGCTTTTCTTCCTATAAAATTTAATAATTCTAATACTAAAATAACAATACTTTGGAAAATATCAAATTTAAAAGAAATTTACCTCAGAACTGTTGCTAAATTTATCAGGATGAAGTCTATTTTGCATTTGTCTATATTTTTTCTGCAATTCATTTTTATCTATATTAAAATCTTTTTTTACTCCAATAATATCAAAAAATGTTAAATCCTCCGGCATTTCCTGTAGGGATTTACATTTTGAACAAAATAACTCTGATTTAAATGTAAATTTGCAATTCCAACACTTTGATAAACTCTCGCTACAATAACCCAATTGTTTTGTTTTATTCGAAGCAGCTGTTAAATTTTTTATCGCGTGACAAGAATGATAAATACGACAACAGTCTTGTGTTTTTGTAAATTGTGCTCGACATTTCATGAGATTTAAAGTTGCTCCAACTATTTTTGAATTCATTTTTGACATTTCTTTATTAATAAATATATAACCTATAAAAATTCATAAAAGACGCATTAGAAAATAAAATTATAATAAATTACTCCTATCAATAAAATTAATATTGCTCAATAGATTTATATTATTTACAATTGAATAATTATTGGAATATGTAATTTAAAAGTATTTAATCTAATTAAAAATCTAAAAAAAAATATTTGCGTTTAATAAAAAGTTTAAAAAACACCTTTTGCAATTTTTTTTTATCACTGTTTATCAGTATTACCAACTGTATAAAGAAAAAAATTATCAAAACTTCCAATTTTTACCGCTTAAGTTTAAAAAACAAAACAATAAATTTCCTAAAATTCATAATTAATTTTAAAATATGAAAAAAATGTTTTCTTCCAAAATTTATAAAATTTATACATACTGTAGAAAAGAAAAAAATTTCTCTTATTTATTTTTAAATGGCAATGGTGGGACGTGGGAAGATTTAGGGCGAATTCTCATGACAGCAGAATTCTCATCTTATGGTGCATTCACAGTTTCAAATTTAAAGTAATCTCGTATTTTGATTGGACAGATTATTCTAGTACATAATTTATAACCAATCGTGTATTTGTATTTTAGATAGATTGGACAAAAAGCTGATTCCTTTTCTGATTAGTTGTTTCTGCTATGAGTATTATAAATTTTCTGGTCAGCGCATTGTGTATCACGCTTTGTCGACTGGCGTTTACAACAAACGTTTTTGTGTTTATTAAAGTGTGAATTTTCAGCGTGCGGTTTTTATTGATTTGACGCAAATTCGTCAAATAAATCTTTTGGTGTATTATAATAGTGTATGGCAGTTAACCTCATTGTAATAGAACAATCTTTTTCGTCATTTTCATAATGACGGTTGTGCAACTTGAAAAATATATTTTTGTTCGTGACAGAAGCACAAGACTTGACTAGTGACAGTACAGTGCTGTAAACATTGTAAGAGTAAATAATAAATAATTGGTGTCTTTATGTTCATTTGCGTTAGATTGATAAGTGCCAGATAATAAATGTTTGTCGGGGATTTGTTCTAGTATTTTTTTTCAATTGAGATTTTAAAATATTATAATGTCTTGATTGATTGTGAATGTATTAGCTTTTTGCAATAATTCAGTTTTGTGTTTGACAAATCAGAGGTTAGAATCAAGGCGGACGGTTTCCTTCGCATAGTGAAGCAAAGTGATTGTTTTCTGACGCGTTTGTATAATAGTTTAGATTTATTTTTGTAAAGAAACGAATTATAGGTGTTAATTAAGGGTAAATTTGTTAAAATTCTGTGATTTTTGTTTGAATTGCGGCATCACGAACAAGTCAAACTGTTGGTTTTTGTACGGGAGTGTTAGTATGGTTGGTGTATGAAAAAATTATGTGATCGACGGTCATTATGGCGGCACCCATGTTAAAGTGGAAGCGAATCTCAAATCCTGTCGGGCCACAACCAAGACCGCGTCATGGACACAGAGCGGTTGCTATCAAGGATCTTATGGTTGTTTTCGGCGGGGGTAACGAAGGAATCGTCGATGAACTTCATATCTACAATACAGGTAAATATTCTTAACAGATGAAGTTTTAGCGCGCATCTTCTGAACAATTCCCGCGATCCAATATGGCGACTTGCGTTGACAAGGACATCACCGGTCATACCCGGCACAAATTCCTAATTACTTTAATTTCATATTATTGTTATAATTATTGATTATTGATTTTATTCTGTTTTATTTGTGGCATTCTTTTTTTTCTATTTTCCATTTTCTTTATAGACATTTATCTGAGACATTAAAATTGCCTGACATTTTACATGTTTATGTGTACGGGAGCGGCCATTGCAGCCTTTTGCCCCACTCTACTTTTAGCAACGCGCGGCGTTCCTCTTGTACATATATTCCGGTCCGGTCTCCAATTTCTATTTCTTGCCTGTTGCTGTATGGTTGTTTAACAATTTTTAATTGTCCACAACTTTATATTTTCATTATTTTTTTTTTTCTCAAGTCTAAACACGTTTTTCTTTTTTTTTTTTATCTAAACAGATTAACCTATAAATATATTTTATAGATTTAAAAAAGAAATTAAGATTGTAATTTTTTTTTTCAGCAACAAATCAATGGTTTGTACCATCAACAAAAGGAGATATTCCGCCAGGATGTGCGGCATACGGATTTGTCGTGGATGGAACAAGAATTTTAGTCTTTGGAGGAATGGTAGAATATGGAAAATATTCTAATGAATTGTATGAGCTTCAAGCGAGCCGATGGGAATGGAAGAGGCTAAAGCCGAGACCACCGAAAAATGATCCACCACCGTGTCCTCGACTTGGTCATAGTTTTACACTAATTGGAAATAAAGTATTTCTATTTGGAGGTTTAGCAAATGACAGTGATGATCCAAAAAATAATATACCGAGATATTTGAATGATCTTTATACACTGGAACTTCTTCCCAATGGTCAGACTGCTTGGGAAGTGCCTCAAACTTATGGCCATGCACCACCACCAAGAGAATCGCATACCGGTGTTGCTTACACTGATAAAAAGACTGGTAAATCATGTCTAGTTGTCTACGGTGGTATGAGTGGTTGTCGATTAGGTGATTTATGGTTTCTCGATGTTGATACAATGACCTGGAATAAACCTGTTGTTCATGGTCCAACTCCATTACCTCGTTCATTGCACACTGCAACGTTAATTGATCATCGTATGTACGTCTTTGGTGGATGGGTCCCCCTTGTCGTCGATGATGTTAAAGTAGCCACACACGAGAAGGAATGGAAATGCACGAGTACTCTCGCATGCTTAAATCTAGGTAATTAAAATAAAAAATTCATAATTGAAAAATTAGACATTTATCCAATTGTTTTATATTCACATAGAAACATTAACATGGGAACAATTGACTGTCGATTCACTCGAAGAGAATGTTCCTCGTGCACGTGCTGGACATTGTGCTGTGGGTGTTCACAGTAGATTGTACGTATGGTCCGGTAGAGACGGTTATCGCAAAGCTTGGAATAATCAGGTAATTTATTATTATTATTACTGTTAATTTATTAATTTCCCTATCTAATTTGAAAATAACTTTTTAGGTATGCTGCAAAGACTTATGGTATCTCGAAGTGAGTAAACCACCAGCTCCATCACGAGTGCAACTTGTTCGTGCTTCAACTCAATCGTTGGAAGTCAGTTGGAATCCAACACCATCGGCTCAATATTATGTATTGCAAATACAAAAATACGATATGCCACCAACAAGTAGTGCTTTCCCAACAACAACAACTCCAACAGCAGCCGCTGCACCAACACCAACGACGACAACAGCACCAACAACACCAATATCGTCAACTCCAATTTCCACAGTTGCTTCTTTACCAAGTACGGTTACGGCCGCGAAGGCAAATATCCCACAAGGTATTCGTGCTTCCGCTGCTGTTCAATTTCCAACACAAAAACTTATAACATCGACTGTCATTAATAAACCAGCAAGTCCAATTACACCACGAGTTGCCGCCAATGTCATTCGAATTCGTTCGCCATTAGTTACAACAATAGCTGCCACCACTGAACAAACACCACCAGTCAACACTACAAACACTGGACAAACACCAGCGGCAATGTCAGGTATTGCCGCATTAGCCGCTGCCGCTGCTTCATCACCCAAAATAAGTATGAACAACGTTCCAATATTACCACAAAGCGCAACTAATACAATACGCGTAAAGGGCGTACAACCTGGTCAACAAATACGTTTCGCAGCACCAGGAGCAACTGTTTTACGTGCAGCTACACCACAACAAAGTAAACAAATCATTTTACAAAAACCCGGACAAAATATTGCCGGTCAACCGCAAATTGTTCATCTTCTTAAGACTGGGCAGGGTGTTGTCACCATGCCAAAAGTTAGTTTAATTCCTGGAAAAACAGTTGCCACCACAGGTGCTAAACCATTAAATCAAGGACCAACGATATTGAGACTCGTTAATCCAAATACTGTTGCCGGTTCAAAAATTCTCACAACAATGAAATCATCGGGTATTGTTGCAATGAGCAAAGGTCAAAGTATTGCCGGTAAACAGACAATAATGATCACAAAACCTGGTGGTAATGGTGGCCTCGTTGGTAGAACTAATCAAATAATTGTCGTTACCACTGGCTCTGGATTAAGAGCCGTACAAGCCGTTACAACAACACAAGCTGGCGCTGGACAAGGAGGAACTATTACAACACCCGTCAATGTTTTGCCATTGTCAGCCGCTAATCATGTGACAAATCAACAAGGTGTGAAAATGATTGTTGTCTCATCGGGTGCAATGGTCGGTGGCACTGCTGGTAAACCAATTACAATTACAGTACCAGGTCAAGGTGGAATTCCCAAAACAGTGACAATTGCAACAAAAGCAGGCTCACAACAAGCAATTTTCAATCCGGGGAAAAGTCAAATTGTTACTGTTCCACAAATGCAAAAGAATGCCGTAAGTTTCATTTCGAAATTTTTTTTTTTTTTTGCCAAAGAAACATTTGAATTGTGTTTTCTTTTTTTTTAGGAGGCCGTTACTATGGCTGGAAAACCGGTAACTTTACAAATGTCTGGAGGAATTGGAGCTAAAACTGTTACCCTTGTACCGACTAGCTCTTCAATTGTTACTACTTCCGGCACTGCAGAAACTATCGACGCAACCAAAGCGCTATTTGTCCCATCGCAAAAACAACCATCAGCTTCTTTAGGTACGTATTAAAAACAATCACTTTTTTCGAAATTATCTAGGAAAAATTTATTTGATTTTAAATAGAAATTTACAATTTTGTTGGATTTTTTTTTTAATGTGTTATTTAATTGCAAAGTGACAGCAACTACATCTGATGGACCAGCAACAACGGATGCGGCATTAGCTGCACTAGCCGCTGAGGCAGGTTTAATTGATCCAGTTCAAGAGCCATCGGGTGGAATTTCATTTATGGTAGCTGCTGAAGATCCATCGGAAAGAGATGACAAGGCTGATGATGGTTGTAATGGAAATGAAGGAGTTGCACAGATGGATGCAGGCGAGCCAATGCAAGTTGATGGCGATGGAAATTTTATAATTCCACAAGTTGATGGTGCTTTTGATTTATTTTTATCTGAGGACGAGAACAAAGATGCAGAATCCGATGGTGAACAAGCAGTTGAAAATGTTGCTGATCCACCAGTAGAAGATGAATCCCAAGAAAGTGAAACCGTTCATGAAAATGAAGCACCCAGTACAAGTGAGACAACGGAAGAGAAAGAATCATCGACAAAAGAGGCGGATACCGAATCAACGGCAGCTACAAGTGCAGATTTAATTACACCTGATTCTAATATGGAATCGGAGAATGCAGTCGAAGGGGAAATTAATCCTGAAGTGACAGCGGCGTCAGCTACTGAAAATGAAGAAGAGGAAGCAAAAGAAGAAGAAGAAGAAATGTCTGCACTTGAAGTACCTAGTGAAAGTGATATGCAAGTAGATCTCAATTCTGAAGCATTGCAGGAGCCTACAAAACCTGAAGAATCAGCATCTGAGGATATTGAACCGCCAACGGGACTATTGGAAGAATTGAAAGAAGATGAGAAAAAAGAGGAAACGAAAGAAGATGAAAAACTTGGAGAGGAAGAGCCTAAAGATGAAACGAAAAATGATGATGATGAAAAAGAGGATCAAATGGACGAAGCTGAATTAGAATTAAAATTACCAAAAGACGATTCTGAATTGGAAGATGAATGTACACCGGGTGATAAAGATACTGAGCCGGATGTATTACAAGATGACAACGAAGCTGAGAAGGCAATGGATATCATGGATTCGACGACAGAAGCTGACGATGAAGCTAATGCTGTGAAACTTGAAAAAGAAGAACAACAACAACAAGAGGATGAGGTAGATGAACCAATGGATACAGATCCTTTACCCGAGTCTGATGCAGTTGACAATCTTGATAAAGATACCGCTGAAATGGTGTTTGTTGATGAAAAACCCAAAGATCTCTTACTATCTGTTAAGGAATCAGAAGCAAAATCACCCGTGACAATTGTACAAAAACCTGTTGTACAATCAACACCCATACAATCCGCGGTGATTGAAAAAGAAAAAGAACCCGAGACTTTAACAACGAAAGTTGATAATATAATTAAAATAGAACCAAAAGAAGCTGTTAAAGTGAAAAATGAACCTGTTAGAGAAGAGAAAAATGATGAGAATGGAGCTGAGACAAATGATGATTCAGCTGCATTAACCACTTTGGCGACTGCAGCTCTTGGATCCACTGAAACACCCATTAAAGTTAAAGCCGAACAGGTAAATTTTATTTCTTTTTTATTTTTATAATCTCTATTAGCTGTTTTTAAACAATTTTTATTTTCAGCGCGAAGAAAAGAAAAAGGAAATTCAATGGTATGACGTTGGAGTTGTAAAAACAACAAATTTCACTGTTCAACATTATTATCTTCCATCAGACGACGCTTTAGATATAAACACTGCATTAACGACGGATATTTTCAAAAATAAAGTTAAAATTCCTTTGGAACCTGGTACAGCATATAAATTTCGAGTCGCCGCTGTCAACACATGCGGTCGTAGTCCTTGGAGCGAGGTAATTGAAATCACAAGAATATTTTAATTCTTTTTTTTTTTTACATGTATAGAATAATAAAAAAAAAATCAAAATTTTCAGGTGTCCGCTTTTAAAACGTGTCTTCCTGGATTCCCTGGTGCCCCGAGCGCAATTAAAATTTCCAAATCATCAGAAGGCGCTCAACTCTCTTGGGAGCCACCGCCAAGTAATTTGGGCCCAATATTGGAATATTCCGTCTATCTGGCAGTGAGAAGTGCAAGTGCGACACCGAACAATACTGGTGAAGCGACAACTGTGGCAACGACACCCACACAATTAGCATTCATCAGAGTTTATTGTGGACCCACCAATGCTTGTTCAGTACCAAATAGTTCCCTTAGTGCGGCTCACGTTGATACAACAACTAAGCCCGCCATCATTTTTAGAATAGCTGCCAGAAACGACAAAGGTTATGGACCCGCAACACAAGTCAGGTGGCTTCAAGGTAAGAATCTTTTTTTTCCTATCATAATTCGAAATAGAAAATTAATTTATTAAAAATTAAATGATCTTCCTTAGATCCTACCACGACAGGAAAGAGCAATCCTCAAGTTAAGAGACCTGTGACGGATGTTAGACCTCATGCAGGATCGCCAATGAAGAAAGTGAAGTCAGAAGTCACGGGTGATAATTTCTCGTGAGCTATTTTTGTCTCATTGAATTAATTGGAAAATGAAAAAGGCCCCCCTTATTAATTATTATTATTATTAAATGTCCATTAGTATCGAACCAAATAATGTCAACAAAAAAAAATTGACATTAACTTCAGTTTGATACTAATCGGATGCATGTAACAAGAACATAGGGAAAAAAAAGTGGTACGCGATTCGTTAAAAAAAAAGAAAAGAAAGAAAAAAAATTGCAAAATGTCTTCATCTTAAAGTACTCTATTAATGTAATATGATACCACGAAAATAGTTTTGTCCATCAAAGTCCTGGATCACGAGAAAGACGCTAGAATATATTTTCAAGCATTAACAAGACTTTGAGGCAATATTTTTTCCTCAATGAAGGGAATCCTATCTTATTCAGTTTACATTAATCTTTTAATTTTTTTTTCTTTTTGCAGAATCAGAGCACAAATACTTATATATATAAATATATATAATGTAAAAGAAAGTCACTGCACTGTTTCATTAATTAAAGTGTTATTTCTGGTGCAGAAAAAAAATAGCAAGTCTTAGGAAGTAAAAAAAAAAATAAAATAAAATAATAACTTTTTCTTTGAAAATAATTTTCATTATGACAAATACGATTTGAATGTGCTTCTCGTTGCTTATTAAGATCAATTTATTGTTTAAAATGAATTTGCTCTGTCGTTAAATTGTAAGGACCTTTTTTACATATAAATCGTAGAAAAGCTTTGGATATTATGTGTTTTTTCAATTTTTTTTTCTTCTTTTTTTTTATAATAAAATTTATTACAAAAATACTAAGTGCTGTTTAGAATTTCAAGTTACATTTCATTTTTTTTTCGTCAATTATGTGAGAAATAATTAATAATGAGAGGGGGAAAAAATAATTTTGCAGTGATTTTACTATTTTTTTCTTGCTTGACAATTAATTGAACAAGAATTTTGCTGGTCATTTTACATATACTGAAAGAGTAAAATTACCTTTCAATATTGTTATTTTGTAACAATATATAAATATATTTTTCTTTTTTGGGGGAAAATATAAAAAAACGTCCGTTTTTACCAATTGAAAATTTCAATAATTTAAAAAAATCCCTTAAATTCATATTTAGGATAATTTTTAAGGCTTATATTCAGAATGACAAATGTAAAAAGAAAACCTTGTAAAAGTCTCATCTTCTTTCCAAAATAGCCTTTACAAAATATTCAAAAAAAAAAAAAAAAAAACAAAAAAAAAAGAAAAAGAACTAATAATTGTGAATTTACATATGGGAAGAAAATAGAATTCATAATTGAAATCTTTTCGACGCTGTGTTTTAATATCGCCGTTAATCAAATTTTCTGTATATTCAAGTTCTTTATCGATATATATTATTGAACTTTACAACGCAGCGTAGAAAAAGATATTTTCTCGTCAATTCGATTTCTATTTTCTTCATTTATTATTATTATTATTATTTTTTTAATGAAAAAAGGGGGAAACATTTTAAATAATTTATTTTCTTTTTAAAATGAAAACAAAAAAAAAAAAAAAATTTTTTTGTACTCTATTGAAAATTTTAATAATTTCTCGTTGATTTTTGCAAGACGTAAAAATAAAAAAAAGAACATTTTAAATCTTGCATAATAAGTTTACTTAGATTATAAATATGATTTCTTGTTTTATTGATAAATATTTGTAACAATTAAGTCCAGAGAATATTATGTTAACGAAGATTTTATTATGTAGGTAATTTTCATTTCGTCAGAAATTTAATATAAGTTTTTTTTTTCTTTTTCGCGCATAAACATTCTTTTTATCATATTTAGGGCGTTGGAAGAATATTTGATAATAAAAAATAAAAGAAAAGAAAACATGATTCATAATTGAGGAAAAGTGTCGTTCTGTCAAACAATTCCATAGGTGGAGATTAATCTACTTTTTTTTCAAGCCCACCGTTTATAATAAATACGTATGCAACATTTTTTTTTTTTTTTTTGGGATTGTTGTACTAATTCATGATGGATCGATCAGCCTTTACAAATCACAGTCATTATGCGCTGTATATGTAAGTGGCATATAGAGTAATTTATACATATATAAATATATATTAGCTTGTAAGAAAAAAAGACCATTGGCTAGAATGAAAAAATTGGTTTTGTGCGACAAAAATATTTACGTGATAACAATATTTGTATGACGGTAATTATTATACAGGTCAGAGAATCAATTAATGTTGTATTCAAATTTTCGTTTTACCCTTTATATCCTTATTAGTTTTTTTTTTAAAATAATTTCCTTTTTTTTTTTTAATTTACATGATTCTTTTGTTTTAAAATTTAAAAAATTTCAAATATAGATTTTTTATAAAATACTATTGGGTATTGGATAAATTACAAAAAAGAAATAAAAATTAGAAGCCTTTAATTATTGAAGATCTTTTTGAACAAAATGAGAATTATTACAGGAATGCAAACGCCAGTTATTTTCTTTTTCTTTATATATATATATAACTTATAATTTAAAATCATAACATAACATATTTTAACATTTGATTCTGTACGATAATAATTTTACATTAGATCAGAAATAGTTAACAAATCAACATTTTCTCATTATGTTCTCTATTTAACACCTGGTCCATATGACTTCACACATTAATAATTATTCTTAGAAATTGTCTCGTTATATTTTGGCAACACCGACAAGAGCTGGCCTTACTATTCTTTCATGGAGTTTGTAACCAACTTTGGACACTACAACCACTGTTCCTGGTTTTTTGCCTTCAACTTCCTGTTAATGAAAAATTTTATTTAAATTATTTATATTAACAATTAATCGTCAAATTTTAATTACCTGCTGAAATAAGGCTTCATGTTGATTAGGATCGAATTTCTCGTCTAATGGATTTAATGATTCAAGGCCATGTTTTTTAAATACCTATTAAAAAAATAAATATATATAAATAATACAAATAATTAATTATTGCAGATATATATATATTAGATTATTACCTTGTGCAATTGTGCTTCAGTCATGGTTAAACCTTCGTATAATGTCTTTAAATGTGGATTACTCTCGGTTAGTTGATCTTTTGGAACGCTTTCTGTTGCTTTACCTAAAATATCAGCGACGTCCAATAAATCTTTACAAAATGATTGAATACCAAAAAGTTTTGCATCTTCAATTTGTTTCATTAAACGCCTTCGTAAATTTTCACTATCAGCAAGTGATCTTTTGTATTTGTCATTTAAAATATGATTTTCTTCTTTAAGATCAATTATTTCTTTATTCAATAATTCTATTTCTGTCGTTAATTTTTTCTCATTTTCCGAAAGTTCTTGACTAGATTCTGATGTTTCTCCAGGTTTTTGCTCTTTTGCTGCTGTACCTTGATAATATGTCGATGATGCCGAAAACGTTTTAGACGAACTGTTAATAAAAAATTTGTTATGAAATTAAAACTATTTAAAAAACATTAATATTACATGTCTGAAAATTGTCACTATAGATGACAGATTTAATTTTTTAGAATTAAATAAAAATTAATTATATATTTAAGTTTTATTGTATCTTTTTTATAGAAATTAAGTAACCTCATCGAAATCGTTAAATGCACGTAATAGCTATAAAGATAGAGAAAAATTATTTTTCTTTAGGAAATAAAAATTCTTACCTAAATAAAACGTTCCTACTAATTTGACAAATATTTTCAATTGTTAAACGCCCACATCTTATTGCAATTGGTAAAACAGTAAATGCCATTCTTATTTTTTAATTTTAATCCAAAAAAACAACACACGTGAGAATTCCAAAAATGATGAAACCAAGATTAAAAGAAGGAAAGATACCAAGAGAAAGAAAGATAATAAAGCTAAAGTTTAAATCACATGACAAAAAAATGCAACTTAGGTTTGGTTTATTTTTCACAAACCAATGAAAATCGATAACTATTACTAGAAATAGCCAATAGTATTCGGTATACACAATTCGAACCAATGAACAGCGAGCATTTTAAACTTGCGAAAAATACGTATCTTAGGATAAATTTTTGAGATATCTCCGTAAATACTAAAACGTTCAAAAATGTGACAAAAATTAGTTTTTCAACCCTGACCGGTAGAACCTAACCTAACCATCAATTTTGCAAAACCTAACCTATTGTTTATTTGGTGTGAAATCGAGCTGTCAGAATTAAAATCCACCGTTTTTTGGTGGAAACATTAAAACTTATAAACGTTTTTGAAGGGATTAGGAAATTCGTGTAGACTGACCATAGTCCACGAATTATCCAAAGTCCCAAAAATTTAATTCATTTTTGATTAAATTCAGTTTATAAAAAGAACCGGGTCGTTGGCCGCACCCAAGCGAATACTCGTATGATTCATACAATAAAAAAAATTTATAGTTTTTACATCAATTTTAAAAATATAGTGAAATTTTGTTAAATTATCTTTCTGAATTGAGTGCAATTTTTTTTTTTTTTTTTTTTTTTTTAAATATTTGACTTCTAACTTGGAAAAAAATGACGGAAGTGTATAATTTTGGTTTAGATGCGGTCTCCTGTCACGCATGGAATAAAGATAGAACTGGTTTGTAGAATGAAGTCATGTTTTACGATAAGATTGCTGTATCATTCTTTATAAATGTTTATGTAAAATTGTAATCAATTTTTTTCTATTCAAATATTGAGATATTTAAAGAATTATACGAATTATTGTAAAAAAAAAAAAATTTGACAATCAAAATTTTAAATATTATAGAGGTGGCAGTATCTCCTAACAATAATGAGGTTCATGTTTATAAGCATCAATCAATGGGATGGAAACAATTGCAAGTAATGCAAGAACACGATCAACGAGTAACGGGAATTGATTGGGCTCCAAAGACAAATAGAATTGTCACTTGTGCAGCTGATAAAAATGCTTTTGTTTGGACACAAGACGAAAGTGGTAAATGGAATCCTGCATGGGTTTTACTACGAACAAATCGAGCTGCTACTTGTGTGAAATGGTCACCATTAGGTATTATTTAAATTTTATAAAATAATTTCTTAAATAATTTATTAATGAAATTAATAATTTCATTATCTAATTATTATTAACTATGTAAAATTTTAATTTTCTCTTAGAAAATAAATTTGCTGTTGGTTCTGGTGATAGAATTATTTCCGTTTGTTATTTTGCCTCGGAGAATAATTGGTGGGTGTCGAAACATATAAAACGTCCTTTACGTTCAACAGTGACGGCAATTGATTGGCATCCAAATAATAAAGTGCTAGTCGCAGGATCCACGGATTATAAAGTTCGAGTTTTTAGTGCTTGTATCAAGGACATGGAGGATCCACAAAATGAAAGTGCCTGGGGAAACAGTGGACTTTTAGGAAAATTATTTGTCGAGTTTCCCAATACTCCAAATGGAGGTGAATTTTCATTTTTATTTCCGTTTATTAAAGCAAAAAAAAAAAAAATTTGCTAAATATATTAAAATTTTTGTTTAAATTTTCAGGCGGATGGATTCATGCTGTTGCATTCAGTCCATGTGGAAATAAAATCTGTTGGGTTGGACACAATTCATCAATATGCGTTGCAGATGCTACAAAAGGAAATGCAGTTGTGAGATTATATACAGAACATCTTCCATTTTTAAGTTGTACATGGGTTGAGTCAAATTCAATTATCGCAGCGGTGAGCTTTTAATATTATTAAATTTTAATATAGAAATTTTAATACAAATTCTAAAAATTATAATTAAAAAAAAAAAAAATTAACAGGGTCACAATTGTATGCCAATGTTATACTCGCTTGATGATAATGGTCAAATTTACTTCGCATCGAAGTTGGATAATACACAAAAGAAAGGTGCAGCCGGATTATCAGCTATGAGAAAATTTCAATCTCTCGATCGTCAAGCAAGAGTTGAAAATAATGACAGTGCTCTGGATAGTATTCATCAAAATACAATTACATGCGTACGAAAATTATCCAATTCAAGGTTCAGTACAAGCAGTTTAGATGGTCAACTTGTCGTATGGGATTTAAAGGTACTTATTTTTATAATATTTAAAAATAAAATTAAAAAAAAATGCAGTCGAACTTTTATTTAATTTAATTTAAAAAAATTAGTTAACAATTTTTTTTTTATGTTATTTGTATACAAATGTAATAATAACGAAAGTTCGATTGTAAATAATGAAAAATCAATTTGTAAAAAAAAAAATGTGCTTTAATTTTCAAGCTCATGGAGAACTCAATGGCTGGAATGAAGATCGTCTGAATAATTGACTTTTAATGCAATATCCAAAACAATACTATTGCACTGAGTGCAATAATGTATAAACATAATAATAAATGTTAACCACTTTCTCAATTAGTGGTTTATCCGTTCAAAAAAAAAAAATGATTATTATTCTTTTTTAATTCAAAAACGATACTAATTAATATTACCTATTCCAGAATTTTTCCATTATAAATAAGAAGAAGAATTTTTGTTTAAACAATCGAAAAAACATTTTTAGAAGTCAACAAATTTTTTCAGTATTTAAAATGAATTAAATTTGAAAATTGAGGATAACGAACACCCTTTGACTATGTACTAACTTAGTGTCAACGGCCTGTAACTGTTTGGTCATCATTGAAGCAAAGAATAAAGGGAATATTTATAGCCACAGACAGATTGTAACATGAGTAATTTGGTGTAAAGTCTGTGAGTTTGATGAATTTATTTTTAAAGTAAGAAAAGAAATTTTTTTAAATTCCTTGGAAGAAAATTGTCTTTTTTTTTAAATAAAGAATAATTGTAAAAAAAAATTATTTTCACAGAAAAGAAAAAGTGAGTGGTTTTGTGAAGAGTCAGGTGTAAAGTGGTTCGCCTGCGGTTAGAAGTCAAAATGAAACGAGTGGCCTAGGAGAAGGCAAGTTGCGCGCATGTTTTAATAGTTGGGGGTGCCTTAAATCTACCCAACGCTCGCTCTAGAAAACCACTGGCTTGTCAATAGTGGGGGGTAGCCGGACAAGTTCAGTGCGAATATCGATTCAGTCTCGCGCAAACCACCCCCGAGTTCTATTGTCGAGCCTCGGTTATATACAAAAGACAAGAGAGAAAGAGAGAGCACCTCGACGCCGAGCCGCGCAACTCCCTTGTTTTTTTATGAATCTCGACGCTTCACACCTTCATGTAAACATAGTATACTTTGAGACTTTTAAACTTATCTTATAAACAAACAAATAAAAAAAAAAAAAAAATTCTCTATTAAAAGTTCATCGCATAATTCAGACAATAAAATAAATTTATATTGATTTGCTCCAAAAAAAAGAGGTCAATTTGTGCAGTGCAAGCAGAGAAACCGGTCGGTTTTTAAATAATTATCATTTTTCAAATTTGTTTTTTTAAATCAATGCAAAAAAAAATTTAATATTTTTCAATTAGAAAAATTTATTTTATATTAATAAATTGAATTTTATTTTTAAATACAAATTTTTAAAATAATTTTTAAAAATTACTATTATTTTTTTTAAGTATTGGTTTGCAAATTTTTTTTTTTTTTGTTGAAAACTATTTAAAAAATTGAAAGTTCAAGTGGATTTTTAATATAAAGTTTAATTTTATATTATTTCCGGTTAGAAAAAGGAAGAAAGGAAGGAAAGTGTGTCTATCGAAGGAAATCGATGTGAGGCCTATCGCTGGGCGGAATCTGGTTTCCTTGAATATGAACGTTCGTCATCACGAGGAGTGAAGTTGGGTCGAAAGCGTCTACCCTGTGTGTTGATAGGAGCGAATTATGAGGGGTGTATTCGATTTCCTCGAGGTAAACGCTCATGGCAGCTCTTGACTATAGAGTGATATAATTCTCTCACGGGGAGAAAAGATAAGAAACGGAGAGACAAAGGAGTTGAGAGAGATGTCGTCGATATCTGCGCAAGGAGTCGTTGAGAGAGCTAGCGCTGAGCTGACGAAGAGGATCAACGGCTTAGGGCTTCGAGCTTCGAAACATCATGGTTTGTATTTTTTTTTTTTTTATCATTACAGATTCTCTCTGCAGTGCGAGGATTAAATAAAAGTGCCGTTCACTGTAGAAACAAAAAAAAACTTTTTTTTTACTATTTATTGATTTTAAATAAGTAGAAATGACAAAAAAATGTAATTAAATATCTTTCAATAGAAATTTTCTTGAAATTGAAAATTTTACTAACTTCAAGTCTAATTTTTAATAAAAAAAAAAAAAAAAAAATTTGAAAAGAATTTCTTCCCTTAGGCTCGAGTTTGTAAAAAAAGATTTCCAGCAAATATTTAAAAATGATTTGTCAAGACCTCTATTCATAAAACGTCAATATATCTCATTGGATTACGTGGCTAAATTATAAAATAAAAGGTGTTGATTATCCTTTTTTTTTATGTTGTCAATTTTTAGAAATTATAATCCTAGAACTGAGTTTCTTAAGAAAATTTAAAATTTCAACATTTTGCAATAGAAAATTTAAATTATTCAAATGATATAAAATTAGTATGCAAGAAAATGATTAGAAAAAATTGAAAAAAAAAATAGAATTTAGTAAAATTACTGTCCAAGGGAAATTGTTAAGAAAAAGAAAGAGAGAGAAATCAGAAAACATTGAAAATCACTGTCGAAAAATAAGAGATTTTCAAGTTTATTAAATTACCAAATGAGATTACATATACAATTATTGAAAATTGAAACTTAAGGGAAGATTGAAGGTCTGCTTGATAATTAAAAATTTTCCAAGTGCCACTTGTTTAAGAGCTTCGATTGTTCAAATAGAAACTTGAACACATAGCATTTTAGTGCAAATTTGACATTAAACAAAATCGATTTTTTTTAGGATTTAAATTTTAAATATAGATAGTCAGAAGGCAGAATTTTAATGGGTCGATTTAAAGCTGCGTCTCTTGAATTTCAATCAGATGGTGCAATCGACCCTTGTCATGGGCCATATACTGTGTAGTTAATAGCGCAGTAGCAATGCAGTATTGCAATTCAATGACCTTTCTTTTGTAAAACAAAAAAAAAAAATACTAAAAAACAAATCGATTTTACTCTTAAAAAATATTTAATTGAAATTTTTTAAACTCTATTTTCTATACTAGAATTTCAATATACAGAATAAGTAATATTATACTAAGAAATTTAATAATTACAAAATAAGTCAAATTCATTATTAAATAAATAATTAACTAAATACTTCATTGAATTAATATTAATTATTTATTTAATTATTAGAATTTTATTTAATGTATCCGGTATTGAAAAAATAGAATCTTTTTAGATTATTGATGTTTCAATTTTTACACATAAATGTAAATTACCAGTTGCCTTTACAACCTAGGGAAAAATCAACATATTTACTCACTTATTGATTTGCACGTGTGCCCTAAATAATGAATAATTCATATTCAAATTATTTTTTAAAAGTTATTTTCGTTATTATTTAATGTAAAAAAAATAATTTATTTTTATTTTGTTCTTTGATGTGAAAAATAATAAATATCAAAGCCCGGGAGTAATCAAAACGAGACTTGCACTCGCAATATTATAATTTAAAATTCCAATACCTATATACTGATAAAAAGTTTAATTTAAATTTTAAATTCATCCCACATTGCAATTACAATAGAAAATTCTTTAAAAAATAAAATTTTCAAAAAAATATTTTTCTTTTTAATTTGTGAAAATAATTAAAAAAAAAAAAATTTTAATTATTTTATTAAATTTAGAATCTAATAATTTGCCTCAAGTTTATTATAATTTGCGGATTGGTAACGGCAATTTCTTTCCTATAACAAGATTGGATTTCCGAATAAACCGTTTATTCCAAAGCGGAAATAAATCCGGTCAGGGATAATTGAGGGAGTCGAGAAATCCTGGATTTGAGCCAGCAGGTGGGAACACGTTCAATTTCTCACAGAAAGCAAATTCTATTTCAATATTTACATTTCTCTCTCTCTTTAAAAAAATATATATATATATATCGAGGAGATTTCAGCTGATTAATTAGATATTTACAAAAAAAAAGAAAATTTTTAATTATTAAGATATAAATTTTCAATTTTTTTTTTTGCAATAATGAGTTAATTTTCTGAATTTAGGACTTGGCTCTAATTCCCAGTTATCAGATCGACTATAAGGAAAACCGTAATTAATTATTATTAGAGCGCAAAGTCTGCGCCTAATTCTTGACTTGATCGCATTAATTCGAGAAATTCATTGAATTAATTTTTTTTTGCATTTTAATTTTTCTTTACAATATTTTTATTAAATATAAATTGTTTATTTATTATTTGTTTAATAATATATTTTTATTTTATAAATATTTTTCTATCTACAATTTATTTTTATTGATTTACTGATAGCTTTCTTTTTATTAAGTTTGTTGTAACCGCAATCAGATCAATATAGAGGTTTCAATTATTTTTGGGATAGTAGTCGTAATTGAAATTGTCTTTGTATTTTTTTTTTTTTTTTCTTCTTTTTGATCTTGTTTATATTGGAGGATCCAAACGCGTTGTTCGCACTACTTCCTCCAAGGCTAGATAAGTAGCTTGAATAGAATTCAGTCAGGAAAAAAAAAAAGTTTGGCAACTTGCCGAGTAGAGAGAGCACGCTGATAAAATCAGCAGGAATTTCGTCTGTTTCGTCACGTTGTTTTAATCAATTGTTTCAGAATATGGACAATTAAATCACATAGATAGAAATAAATCTCCAAATTTAAAAAAAAATAGTATTTTTCTAAAAAAAAGAAAACAAAGATTGCTTTTCCGCAGAAAGAAATTTTTTTTTTTTAAATAATACTTTCATCTTCAATCTTCTCTCTATATTAAATAAAAATCACAAATTCAAAGCTTCTTCATTTCATCATTATTTAAAAAAAAATCAAAGCTTCTCATTAAAACAAATTGAAATTGCTCTTGATAAAATACATAAAGAAACTGAAAATCAATTTTATTTCACAGAGATAATGATGACAATTAAAACTTGAAAATCCAATAAAAAAAAAAAACACGACAACAAAAGCTGAAATTATTTTCCTTTGGATTTTTCTCTTCGCTTTTTTCACACACAAAAAAAAAACGAATCCTTCAGCAGTAAAAAAGAGGTTTGATAATTCGAATTTCGAAATATGCACCAATTTATAAGTTTCGAATATATGAATTTTGCAATGATATGTACGATATACACGATTTTTAAAAGTTTTTTTTTATTAAAAATTTCGTTCTTTTATTTATTTATTTATTCTTTTTGTCGAATATTAAAGGTGAATAATTTAATTTTTAATTTTCTATAATAGGTGGTGGAAAAACAAGTGTCATGGAACGTGTGACAAATGTTTTTTGTGGTGGAGGAGCCGTGGCTTATACGAGTCTACAAAGTGCAAATAATGCAAATACAACGCCAGAAAAACCAAATAGAAGTGTTCCATTACCTGTGAATAGTACAAGCAATATGGGAAATAATAAAGCATTAACAAATAATCGAATTGAATCGGCTTCCAATCGAATGAGAATTACAAGAAATCGAGGAAAAAATGTTCCACTTGCCGGTGGTGGCACTGGAGGATATACATCACCTTGCACTTGGGAACAACTTATACAAGACGATCATTTTTTGAGTCGATTTTTTCTATATTTCAATGCTACTGAAAGAAGAATTCTAGCTCAGGTATAGAAATAATCAAAAAAAAATTCTATTTAGAAATTTGATTGAAAAAAAAAAAAATTATTTTTCAGGTTTGTACTCGATGGCGTGATGTTTTGTACGCGAGACCAAGACTTTGGGCTGGATTGGTACCAGTTGTAAGATGTCGAGAAGCTCGTGCAATGGCATCAAGTTCACGTGCTCGACTTTATGCATCTTTAGTTCGGAGAGGCTTCCATTCTCTCGTATTATTAGGAGCCTCAGATGAGGATATTCCAGAATTAACGCACGGTTTTCCTTTAGCACAAAGACACGTTCACTCGTTATCATTACGCTGTTGTGCAGTCACTGATAGAGGTTTAGAAGCACTTCTCGATCATTTGCAGGTAATTGGAAAATTTAATTTTAAATAATTAAAAATTAATTAATTAGAAAAAAAAAGCTATAAAGCAAAATTTTGAATTTAATTTTCAGGCTTTATTTGAATTGGAACTTGCCGGATGTAATGAAATAACAGAAGCTGGTCTCTGGGCTTGTTTAACGCCAAGGATAGTTTCATTATCATTATCCGATTGTATTAATGTAGCAGATGAAGCGGTGGGTGCTGTTGCACAACTTTTGCCAAGCCTTTATGAATTTTCCCTGCAAGCTTATCACGTAACAGACGCTGCACTCGGATATTTCAGCGCCAAGCAAAGTACATCTCTCAATATTCTAAGGCTTCAAAGTTGTTGGGAACTTACTAATCACGGTGTCGTTAATATCGGTAAATTATCATTGATTATTTTTATTTTTTTACTAATTTGACTTTAATTAATATTCATTTTTTTTTTTTATTCCAGTGCATTCGTTGCCAAACTTGACTGTTTTATCACTATCGGGATGTAGCAAGGTAACGGACGATGGAGTTGAATTAATAGCAGAAAACTTGCCAAGACTTCGTTCGCTAGATTTGAGTTGGTGTTCAAGAATCACTGATGCAGCTTTGGAGTACATTGCCTGTGACTTGAATCACTTGGAGGAACTCACATTGGATAGGTATTTTTCCAAAAATTTATTGCCTATTAGATTTTACTTCTTTTTTTTTTGCTGAAAAAAAAACACGGAAATCACAAAGTGATTATAAACTCCAATAATAAAACAAAGAATATTCAATTTAAAAAATAAATAAAGCATAAAATATTAGAAAAATAGAAGTGAAGAAAATAAAAAAGAAAAACAAGTTTAAAAAAAAAGTGAAGATAATAAAAATAAATATCGAGGGGGAAAAAAATTCTTATTTTCATAATAATTATTAGAATTATCGACATAATAATAATTATTATTGAAGTGTAAAAAAAAATTTTCCAATGATAATATTATTTTTCTACATTTGATTGAATTAATTTTGTAAACTTCCGGCTTTTTGTTACACGACTTTATATGTACTAAAATAGTAGAAAAAAAAGATATTGCCAAGTATTTCTATTTAAGGATATGTTGCACAATGTGTAAATTGTTGATCTCGAAAAACAGGGTAATTCGTCGAAGCCAATTGAGTCTATGCCACGTTAGTAAACGCATGAAATTAAATTAACTTTTCACACTTATATAGTGTGTAAATTGTGTGTTGAGAAGCTCGTTAGTTGAATATTTACAATTCCACTTTGTACAAAATGTGATTTGTTAAAAAAAAAAGAAGAAAAATCACAATAAATTTATATAATTATAAATTCTTTTTCTAAGCATTTTGAAATTTTTTAAATTCACTTTTTTATAAATTCCTAAAGTATGAATAAATGTTTTTGTAAAAAAACCTTGAACGAAAATAAATTTTTAGAAATATTTTTAGTGACATTCGTCAAATTTTTGCGGCAAATATAAATAAAATGGCAAAATATGAAAAATAATAATTTTTTCTCGTAGGTGTGTTCATGTAACTGATATTGGAGTTGGATATATTTCAACAATGGGTTCTTTAAGTGCATTGTTCTTAAGATGGTGTTCTCAGCTTAGAGACTTTGGTCTTCAACATTTGTGCGGAATGCGTTCTCTACAAGTTCTCTCTGTTGCTGGTGAGTTTTTCGAAAATATACACGTATAAAATTTGAAATACTTTCAATTGAAAAAAAAAAAATAATAATAAATAATTTAAAAATATATTTTAATAGATAAATAATTTCCAATTTCTGTAAGTAAATTATTTTTTTCAGGATGTCCATTGTTATCAAGTAGCGGTTTATCAAGTCTAATTCAATTAAGGCATCTTCATGAATTAGAATTGACCAATTGTCCAGGAACATCAAGAGAACTTTTTGATTATTTACGAGAACATTTGCCACGTTGTTTAATAATCGAGTAAACAAAATGAAAATTAGACTCAAGAAAAGACTTTGACTTTTGCGTTTATTTTTAAAAAGCGTCTCTCTTTTCATCATACAAAAAGAGTATAAAGATTCGTTCGGAAATTAAAAAAAGAAAAGAAAAGTACAAAAGTGCAAAAGCTTCAAGACAAATTTTAACGCATATAGTAATTAGAGAAAAATGACTTGCCGTGACCGATTTAAAAAAAAAAAACGTCCACGCGAGAAATCCAATAAAAAAAACTATTCAATATACAAAACAAAAGAAATAAATTTAGCTTTTGACAGTGTGTGAAATAACACGATTTTAAAAGTAGTTGATAGTTATTTTTCACAAACGTGCAATTATTCTAATTTTTTTTTTATCATTGTATCGTATATATAATAATATTTATTTCGATTGAGTATAGAATTTATCTCGTGTGCTCCCAAGTATTAAAATAATCTTATTGGAAAATTTCAAATGAAATTTATTTATTAAAAAATTCATGATGAAGCAAGTATACCATTAATTAAATTATTGGAAAATCATAGAAGATAAATATTTAATTTAATCATTAATTGTGCAGTGTGATGACCACTATTTAGAATCTGTGATAAATCTAGTTTTTTGTTTTTTTACTTTTTTGGTTATTCATATTTTATTTCTTTGGATATTGTTTATATTATAGTTTTATTTAGTTTTGTTGTAAACTGATGCTCATCCCTCCATTATCGTTATGTCATTTAATCATGCTAGTCAAGTAGCTTGCTTATGAGCGGCAATCTAGGAACATAATACCAAGAGAGAGAGAGAAAGAAAAAAAAAACACACATTCCAAAGCATGTTAAATATAATCTTGTAAAGCGGTCTTTGTTTTTATCGTCAGTTTGAACTTCACGATTGTTAACCATAGATATAGAGTGAATCTAACAATAATTATTTTGTTGCCTGCGTTTTCATATATTTGTACAAATTTTTGAATGACGTTCTGTACCAAATTTATACATATATAATATATATATATATATTTAAGCTTAATTTTAGAAAATACATAGTTGCACTTAAAGACGATAAAAATAAGGAACGCGCTCATAATCCTAGATGTTTTACATGGTCGATCTGACAATACACGACTTGTATTCAAGAAAAAAAAATGACTTAACATTGATGCTTATTAATAATTGCATTTGTCATTTTATATATGTAAAATTCATAATCGTATATGGGAATTCAAAATTTAATTCACATTATTCATTGTGCTCGATTTTCAATCAAATCGAATTTAAAAACACTAAAATTTTGTTTTCTTTTTTTTTTAAACTTAATGGAAATTTGAATTCCCATGGACTTAAGGTAGTTGTCATTACGAAAATCGCAGTAAAAAAAGTTTCATATCAAAAAGAAAGAGATTTTAAAAAATAAAAATTTTTTTTTTTGAAATAAAAATTACTTTCTTTAAAATCTTTTCAATTTTTGAGAGTAAACTTTCAACATTCACAAACTACCTTAAATTTTTATCTTCTTAGTGTTCTGTAACCTTAAGATATTTCCGTACTGAATTTTTTTTTCACGACTATATCATTCTAGGCGTTAGCAAAAAAAAACACGCGAGATTATAAATAATATCGATAAATATATTATTTTGTGTGTGAAAGTTGTTAATAATTTTAATAAATCATAAAATCGATGAGTGTTCTTAACTTCAAGATGTTTTTGTTTGCAAGTTTTTTGTCATTCTAAAAAAAAAAGAGACTTGGCATCCAGAATTTCATGGACAAAAATATTGACTTTGATGTAGTCAAACGTGTTCGGGAGCGCGATTGCAATTTTCGAGGATTACAAGAAAAAAACAATGTCCTTTGTAAATACTGTACAAAACATTGCCGAACACATTTCGTTTAATGATACAAAAAAAGAAATGAAAAAAAAAAAAAAAAAAACAAAAGTTACACCCGTTTATATGGGATATCATGCCGCATTGTGACTCTATTTCGAAGAGTAATTAGTTTTAAGAACGAGCAGTTAATGAGACAGAAATACGTAAGAAATAAAGACGTGATTAATGATTTACTATAAAATTTCTTTGAAACCTCATCAAATATATTCTCCCATTAAATTTTTGCAGAATATTACAATTAAGTTTAATAGAAAATAATTTTCATACTGTTATTTAAATTATAAATAGAAGCAGTTTTATTTTGTATTTATTTCAGAAATTAATTTCTTTGAAACTATTTTTCAGTTCTTAATTTTTTTTACAACTCAAAAAAGGATCTCCATAATAACCTGAAGGACAGGTACAAACAGGTATGTGATTTTTTACTATACAGTGTGCATTGGTTGCACAAGCTTTTTTACAAGCATCGATACATTGATTTTTAATACAAGCCTTATTTGTTGAACAATCAACGTTCACTACAAGAAAAAAAAATAAACGTATATTAATAGTTGAATCTATTAAAAATTATTCAATTAGCTTGTATAATTTTAATTTAAAAAAAGTTTTCCAAGAAAAATAATTTAAATTGAATAACATTCTAAAAAGGAACTTTAGGGTGATAAAATGAATTTCATTAAAATTTTACGTAGCCATACATCCTAAACAATTTTTACCCAAAGTACAAAACAACAACGCTAAATGAAAAATTGTTGATTTCGTAATTATCATCTTTCAATTTCTGCTGTTTGCACATTTATAAACGAACTATATTTCTTTTACAAGAAACTTTAAATAAATTTTTACAAAGTTAAAGTTTCAAGTTTATATTATCAAATTATCAAAACAAGTTTTAACTTTAAACATTTTTTTTTACGTCGGGAAATAGTGCTCTTATCTTATATTGATTAAGAAAAAAAAAATCTGTTTTCTAAAATAATGTCATAGATATTTTTTAAATATTTTAATTTTCAAACATAATTCTATTTTATGATAAAATTTCTCAACGGATTGCAAATAATAATTTCTGTAAATATTTACAAATTAAAATTGAATTTATTAAATTAAATTCATTATCTCTTTTAATTTGTTAACTATAAAATGAATATAAAATAAATAAATAAAAATTCCTAAAGAATAAAAATCTGATTAATGATTAAATTATAATTTCATTGAAACCTGATCAAGTATTTTCCCACCAGGTGAGACAGCCTAGTCCCGGTTCATCGATTGCTCCCTGTAAACATAAATTTCCATTATATTAAAATTAAAAATTTTAATTTTAAATTTAACATAAAATGTATAACAAACCATTAAAGTATAAGGTGAAATGTTTTTCGTCTCTGATTTTTCTGTACCACTTGCTACTTGTCTATTAGCAAGAGATGGTGATGTTTCGTTAAATATTTCATTGAAAACTCTAAATCGTATAATTTCATCTGTTAAAATGTTTACATTAAATTAATATAATAATGGGTTTTAATATTTATTTTTAATTAAAAATTTTATTTACGTTCATCCATAAATAGATCGTGTTTGTCACCTCCCTCAACTTCATATTCCCAAACCCAGACGCGTTCAGTTTCGTCAAATCGTGATGGATGCTGCAATTTATTTGGTGGAATAATAATATCTTCGAAGAATCCCAAAGTTACTGAAACATTTTATTTTATTAATTATAAATAACGTGTTTTAACCAAATCTATAAAAACTTAGTGTTTTAAATTTTAATTAATTTGTTTTTTTTTTAAATACCATGTACTCCCTCTATACTGCAATTTCGAATTTTGCCAATTAATATTTCCTCCATAAATGGCCGAAAAACTATAAAACGAAAGGAGACAGTTGTGTGAGAAGAACCATCTCCTGGAAAAACGTAGGATTCCTCAATTTTTTCAATATCGTGTAAAGCAATACAAAGACCCACATTTGGATAAACCTATTAAAATAAAATATTAGTTTATAAAAAAATTATAAATTAATATATAAAAATATATAATAATTATAAAATATTAATTTCTACTTACCTTATTAGCAAGTTTTCTATTTAATTCATCAGTGACAGTATCATTTAATTTTTTTTGGAAATTCCATGGTTTAATTTTAACAGTATCTTTGAACTCGGTAAGAACAAACATAATTATTAAATTTAAAAAATACTATTTTCTTTTTATATATATATACAATTTAAAAAAAAACACGTGCAATCACATTGTAAACGGGTTTTTAATTTTTTTAAGGTTATGTTACAATGTTGACATCTCAGGATGGCGCAAGCGCATGCGGACTTTTAACAACCCGCATGCGTTGAATCTCGTATTCTTATTGGTTATTACTAGCAGGTTTTTTTTTCAAATAAACAATAATAAAAAAAACCAAATTGTTTCTTTTTATTTTAAAAGCATGAATCATCAATATATTCAATTGAATATAATTAAAATTCCAGAAGTTTTTTAGTTATAAATAAGTATTATTAAATAGGAATAAATTATCAAGAGAGCTGTACCAAATTACCAACTTAATAAAAAAATAAGTTAGAGAGCTAACTTCATGGATATGAACGCGGTTCATGTCAAAAATTCAGTCGTAATAGGTTTATTTTTAATACGTAGTGTGTAAAAAAAAAAAAAAGATTGAAACAATAAATTTTGTAAAGAAATATTTTAAAAATTGAAGTCATATTTGCAAATTTGCCTTCCGCGTTGAAGGCCTGGTTTTTGGGTCCGGGACTTGCCCGTTGGGCCGTCTCGGCCCAAGAGGAGATGTCTTTGCGGGCTGCAGCATATCGTCTTATACAAAATGGTCGGGTTGTTTTGCAAACCCTTAGAAATCAAGAACACCACGTTAATAGCTGCTACTATCGAGGACAGCTTAACAAGATACACGTCTCACAAGTAGGTGAGTTGTTATATTTTCTATTTATTTATTTTTTTTTTCACTTTTTTCCCACCATCCTCGAAGGTCATTATTTTTGCAACGTAATAAATTGCCTTGTGTAAACATATTATCAAAATTGTCATACATATAGATAGAATTCAATGTCAAATTTGCAAAACAATGTTTCTTATTTGTTATTTAATGAGATTAAAATCAAAACGGTAAATGAAAATTAGAAAAAGATGGTATATTTATAAGAATTGAAAATAATTTATTTTTAATTGAAAAATTATTTTTAGGAAAATCCCAGGGCCATGTGCCTCCGGGTACCGGTACTCCAACTACTGGTTGGCGTCTTGGCTTTCTGGGGACTCAAGCACGACAATTATTCGTTGATAATATATTAAAAAGAGTGACAAATAGTTTAGCTGCAAATTTACGTCGTCGAGCAGCAAGTCGTTTACTTTTTGGAGATTCGAGACCATTTTTTGCTCTAGTCGGTGTTTCTCTAGCATCCGGAACGGGGATACTGACAAAAGAAGATGAATTGGAAGGTGTCTGTTGGGAAATTAGGGTAAATTTTTTTATACAATACATTCGAGTATTTCAACATATTGCATAATTTTTTTAAATTTATTTCAGGAAGCAGTATCTAAATTACAATGGAATAAACCGCAAAACGATAAAAATTATGAAACCACCTTAATTGATGATAGAACAACAAATTTACAAGATTTCGTTATTGGTCCATTAATAGCGAAAGGTTGTTCAGCTGTTGTTCATGCGGCACGTTTACAAACTAATAATGAAAAAGAAGAGAATAATCAGCTTGTCATTGATAATAATAGTAAAATTTCTATTTTTCCCTTGGCAATAAAAATGATGTTTAACTATGATGCAGAATCGAATGCTATTTCAATTTTAAGGGCAATGTATCGTGAAACTGTACCAGCGAGAAAACATTATCAAAATGAAGAATTAGCAAATTGGGAACAATTAATGATTGATAATAAACGAGTATTACCACCACATCCAAATATTGTTGCAATGTATTCAGTATTTGCAGACAGAGTACCTAATTTACCAGGATCTTTAAAAGCATATCCAGATGCTTTGCCCTCGCGAATCTATCCAGATGGTTCGGGAAGAAACATGAGTCTTTTTCTTCTTATGAAGAGGTATGTTTTTTATAATACACGTGACGTCTATAAAAAACTTTTTTTTTACCATTTTTTTCCAAATCTTTAGATACGATACAACATTGAAACAGTATTTCACCGATCGGAATATACGAACTAGAGAGTCAATTTTATTATTCGCGCAATTATTAGAGGGAATCGCTCATATGAATTCTCATGGTATTGCTCACAGGTATTGTTTTTTTCCTTTTAATCGTTTAATTACAAAAATATTTCTTTTAATATAATAAAAACATTTTTTCAGAGATTTAAAGAGTGATAATATTCTGCTCGATTTATCAGAGGAACATGATAATTGTCCATCGTTGGTAATTACAGATTTTGGATGTTGTTTGGCTGATAAAAGTCATGGATTATATCTTCCTTTTAATTCTCTCGATATCGATAAAGGTGGTAATGTCGCATTAATGGCACCAGAAATTGTAAATGCAGTTCCAGGACCATTCACAAATATAAATTACACTAAAGCCGATCTTTGGACGGCGGGAACAATTGCTTATGAGATTTTTGGTGCGAGAAATCCATTTTATTTCGATAAAAATGAATCGGAAAATTTGAAAAATTATAATTATAAAGAAGAAGCTCTTCCACCACTTCCAGAAGGTGTTCCATCGATTATTTCCGCTTTAGTAAAAAATATGCTCTCACGAAGCTTATACAAAGTATGATAAAGAAATTTTTACATTGTTTGTAAATTTTTTTTCTCAAAAATTTTAATAATAAATTTTATTTTTAGCGACTGAGTACAGAGATGTCAGCAACGATTATACAACTATATCTCTGGGCACCAAGTTCCTGGTTACAAAAAGAGGGCAAAATTCCATCCAGTAATGAGGTATATAAGTTTAATTCTATTTTTTTTTTAAATTTAATTTTCAGATTGAAGTAAAATAAATTTCATTTTAAATAGATTCTTCAATGGCTTTTGTGTTTGACAACAAAAGTACTTTGTGAAGGTCGAAGAATGTCGGATGATATTCAAGATGATTCATTAGAAGAAAATGAACTTTATTTCGAGCGACGAAATAATTTTCAACGAAGTCTCTCGACACAATCATGCGGTCGTAGAACAATGCCTGAATATCAGCTTATCGCAAGTTTTCTCAGTAGAGTCAGTCTTGGAAATGTCAGAGATGGTTTAAAGTGGATTCAAAAAAATGCATAAACTCCTTCGAATTCGAGGAAATAATATATAGTACTAAATAAATTAAAAGTACTTCACAGAAAAAGAAATATATTTCAACTTTCGTAGAGCATTGAATCAAGCTTTCTCGAAAATATGATAAAAAAAAAATTTATTGTGCTTAACGAAAGTGATTTTTTTTTTTTCATAAATTTGTTATCAAACTTTATTTTTGATACTTATAGAATCACAAAAGAGAAAGAGAAAAATCATCAATGAAAAAGAATTGATCTGATAATAATAAAAATCGTTTTTCAACGGAAATTATCGAATTTTTAAGAATTGACTCTTTTGTGATTCAGGAGCCTTAAATAAAATAAAAAATTATTTAAGTATTTATTTTCGAGAAGAAAAAAAACAATTAAAATTTTTTTTATAATTGTACATTTATTGTTACCCGTGAATATTTTCGTGATAATTTCATGTTAAAAATTTGTGAGAAGAAACACATAAAAAAAAATTTTACAAAACCTATCAGATACTTAATTTTCATATTTTCTTTTCTAAGGAATAATTTTCAAATCAGCTTTTACAAGATTATATTTTCAAATTTAATAATAATATCGTCATTCTTAATAATATATGTGATTGTTTATTGAATTATTTATTCACAATAATTTCAATAATAGTGATAAAAAGAAAGTTAAATTTGTATAAATTAAAAATCAGAGTGTCTTTTAACAATATTGTTCTAATGAAAATAAAATTGTACATAGAATTTGAAAATAATTTAGTTTATTTTATTCTTTTCACCTTTTCTTCTTTTTTCCAGAATTAATGGTTCTTTGACAGTCTGCATTTTAAATTTCATGTCTTCTAAATTAAGATTTTTGGTATTTGCTAAATCTTCTAAATAGAAAAGATACTCATCAATAGTTAATGCTCTTTTTCGAAATTTAAAGAAACACAATCCAGTGTCAGTTGTTGTTAATTTATTCATATCCAAAATTCTTGCTTTGGTCAACCATTTGTCACTTTGAGAAAGTGGAAGCAAGTTTTGACCCACTGAATTTGAAATAGGATCCATTTGACAGTAAGCTTTCGAAAAATTTAAATAGAAAAAATATTTTACTATATAATTCAGTTATTTTTTTATTTTTTTTTTTGTAAAATTTTATAAATAACACCTTCAAACATCTCATCCAAAGGTATAATTTCTTCTTCTTTTTTTAAAATGTTTTGCATTTTTTCCACAATTTTGAAAGAATATAAACAAAATGACAATAGATTCGACAGCATTTGTTAATTCAATATCAAGTTTGCGCATGAACATTAAAATTCAGTTTTCTTAGTTTCAAATATTTTGTACTCAAAAACTATTATTTATTTTATAAACAATTTATAATATCTATGTACAATTTTAGTTTACCAATTTTGGGTTTTTTTTTTTAAATTTTTCTTTAATTTCTCATTTATTTTATTCAAGTTTGGAATTTTTTTTAATAATAAAATTTTAATTTAATTTAAAATTGATTAAATTTTTATTTTCTCAACAGAATATATATATATTTACAACGTTGTGCCAATATTCTTGTCATCATTAAAAATACACATTTCTGTTAAGGCTATTTATCTATATATGTACAAAAATAAGTAAGCTTTAGTGTCATCATATGAATTCATGTGCCAGTTGTTAAATTATCTTAAGTGAAATGACTATTCCTTAAAATCTGATTCCTATCTAAAATACTGCATAATTATTCACTAATTTAGAGAAAGAAGATATGATGTTGTTGGTAATACTGCATTATAGTTGAAGAGGAAGAATGCAAAGAACATTGATATCAAAAAGATGTCTATAAATTTTTTAAGGAAAATTATTTGAGTTAAATATGAACTATCTTTTTTGTACTTTTTTAAAGAATCAAAATTAATTCACACTTAAATTACATTAATTAATTAATGTTATTGATTTGTTTTCAATTTAAAAAATTATAAATATATTTATTTTTCACAAGGTCAAATATCTTCTATAATATGGATTAATTGTTATCGAATACTTTAAACTGATATAATTGATTATTTACTGACATAAAATTAAATATTATTTTTATTTTAAAGTATTTGAGGTTATGTATTCAAATTGTTCTAGAACTTTTAAATAGATAATTAAAAATATCTTCTTAATTTTACTTATTAAATATTCAAAGGTGTTAAAATACCTTTTATTAATTAAATAAATAAAATAATGTCAAAAGGATACTAACAAAGTGTCTTTCCCATTTTTCAACCATGTACAATTCTGTCACAAGTAAATATCTAAAGTACCAGTAGTGAAGGATGGTAGATATTTTGTCAATTATTTTAACCATTTTCTTTAAATACAATGCGTAATTTTTAAATTAAATATCTCAATTATTTATTTTTTTATGAAATTTATAAACTTTTGACACTTCAAAAACACTGTGTGTGTGTGAAACGTGTGAAATGATTAACTGTCTGAAATTGTCTTTGAATGATTTAAAATCTTTGGAGTAATGAATGATACTTAAAAAAATATTGAAAAAAACAGATGGAAAATTTGAAAATCCATGTATTATAAAAATAATTATATTATAAAAATCGGGAAATGAACACATTTTGTTTTTTAAGAATTAAATAACATAAAAATAGAGTCAAAACTCTTATAACATGAAGTTGTCAACGATTTATACTGATGTTAAAACTTATGTAACCGCCTTTACATATATACATATGTATATACTTTATCTACAAGGACGTGGAATTCCTGACTTGCTGTGGATTATAGGGGTGTCATTGAGAGGTTATCGAAGAGTTTGCTTGAAACTTATAAGTTTCATTGTATTTTAATTTATTGACTAATATTAAAAATGTTACCCCGTTTTATAAAACCAACGATCTCTGTTGCTCAGAAAGGAGCACAACAATTATCAACCAGCGCCAGGGTATGTAAAATCAGGCCTATTTTAACATCATTTATAAAATAGCTTTAATATTCAAAATCACTTAGCTCAAATTTCTATACTTCTAACACGTGTTTTGATTTCTTAACTGAAAACCTAAAAATACACTATGAAACTAAAACCTACATTAATTGATGAATTTCTCTTTTTAAAATGTTACCAATATAGGTGAAAAATGTTATGCAACTATGATTCTCAATTTACAATACTTTTTCTATATCATCTAACAATTCATTAACAATTTCAATACACTCACTAACGAACAATCCACTTACGAGAATAAAATACATACTGAAAACAATTGACGATCATCATATAGAAATAAATCAATTCATTCAACTGTTTCAAGAATGTTTTAATTGGAGCATGCTCCAATTTTGAGAAAAATGTCAAGATTTAACTAAGAATATGTAAAAATACGATAAAATATTGTCAATATTTTTTTTTTTTAGCATAATGCAAAGGTTGCTGTTATGGGTGCAAGTGGTGGCATTGGCCAGCCATTGTCACTTTTATTAAAAGAATCATCCCTTGTGACTGAATTATCTCTCTACGACATTGTCAATACACCTGGAGTTGCTGCTGATTTATCGCACATCAACACTGCTGCTAAAGTCAAGGCCTACAATGGTCCAGATCAGCTGCGAGATTCTCTCAAAGGAGCACAAGTAACTATATATATATTATAATTTGAAATACGAGAAATGTAATAAATTTTTGTATTTGAAAAATTTCATTTTTAAATTAAAAATATTTTTAGGTCGTCATCATACCAGCTGGAGTTCCACGCAAACCTGGAATGACTCGAGATGATCTTTTTAACACCAATGCATCAATAGTCCGCGATCTTGCCCAAGCGGTAGCTGAAGTAGCACCCAAAGCATTCGTAGCAATTATTTCAAATCCTGTAAATAGCACTGTGCCAATTGCAAGCGAAGTTATGCAAAAAGCTGGAGTCTATGATCCAAATAGGATATTTGGCGTGACAACTCTTGATATTGTTAGAGCAAACACCTTCATCGGAGAGGCTAAGGTGTGTGGTAACAAAAAAAAAAAATAATTTTTTCATTTAGAACAAGATTTTTCGAATATTTAACGACCTTGAAAAATAATCTTTGATTATGAGAGCAAAATAACTAAAGAGCAAAATATTTTTTAGGGTCACGATCCACAGAAGGTGAATGTACCAGTGATTGGTGGTCACAGTGGAATTACAATCATTCCTCTAATTTCGCAATGCAAACCATCAGTTTCTTTTCCTCAAGATCAATTGAAAGCTCTCACGGAAAGAATTCAAGAAGCTGGAACGGAAGTTGTTAAAGCAAAAGCTGGAACTGGTTCCGCGACATTATCAATGGCATACGCTGGTGCTCGATTTGGATTTTCTCTTATCAGAGCAATCAATGGCGAGCAAAATGTTGTTGAATGCTCATACGTTAGATCAAATGTCACAGATGCCAAATATTTTTCAACACCAATTCTTTTAGGCGTAAGTTAATTATTTTACTAAAAGACTAATTTAATTGACTTTCATCAAATTAAATTAATATATATATATATATACTAACTAAATAATACAACAATAATAAATGTAAAATATATTTCTTTTTGTAGAAAAATGGCGTAGAAAAGAATTATGGATTAGGAAAATTGAGCTCTTTTGAAGAACAACTCTTAAAGAATGCTATTCCAGAGTTAAAGAAAAATATTCAAAAGGGAGAAGACTTTATTAATAAAAAGTAAACATGTAGACGAATTTTAACGAAGAAGTACACTGAAATTGTAAAAAAAAAAAATAATACCAATAATATATTCCCGATAACCCTCAGTTGACTGACAACAATAATTCGCAGCATTTAATGTCAATACTGCACCTCAATCATGTATATGTAATTTCTTGTAAAATACGATTAAAGTTTCCTTCTGGATTATACGTTAACTCAATTTATTTTAATTTTTTCTTTAAATTCTCTACATTAAGAAACAGTTTTTAATTTATTAAATTAAGAACTTTAAGTTTTTCAAAAATTCAATAAAATAATAATTATATTAATAGAATTTAGAGAATTCTAACTACCTAATTGAACATCAAGAATAAAACTCTCAAAACAAATGCTGTTTACATTAAATATTAAAGCTTTTAATGAAATCCAACCTTCAAAATCTTATTCAATTACAAAGTTTTGTTAGTGTAAATAACGTATCTTGATTTTAAAGTCAAGATTGTAAATAAATAAAATGTCAGTAGTGATTAGGACAGCGAAAACTGGTTTTCTATATTAGAAATAAATTCAATTTTTTTTTTTTTTTTAAATCAACATTTTGAGTAGAAAATTTTAAAAACTTGCAAAAGGCAATATTAAGCATCAAGAATTAAAATGACTCGAAAGAAGAATCATAAACGATTTCGTCAACAGAAAAATAACTTATCTAGTACAAATGATCAATCGCCTTTAATTGTATTCCAATCGCCTGAAACTGAAAGACAAAAATATCTTCTCAATTCTGCAGGAAGAACTCCTGTAAAAACGCCGAAAAATTTTTTCTTCGAATCTAAAATTGAATATCAGAAACAACAAACACCATCAGATGATTTATTTCACACACCATTAAAATTGGACGATTTGGATAAACTTTTCAGTCCTACATTTGCACCAAAAATTCCTAAATTGAAATTAGATTTTGATATTCCAGAAAATGATTCGGATAAAGAGGATTTTACAGTTGATTCCACGACAAAAGAATCTATCACAAAACAATTATCAGGTAAGTTTGAAATTGAAAAAAAAAACATTAATTCGTTATGTTCAAAATTTTAATTGTTTGATTTTAAAATATTAAATTTCATGTTTCAAAAGAGTTTGATAATAATTTATTGGAATCGGAGGCTCAAACTTCGAAATTAGAGACAAACGCAAATTGGAACTATTCGCATATTTTACCAACATTATCACAATTGGAATCATTCAAAGAATTTACATCACCTGAATTTTTACAAATAACAACAATTGAAAATGATAAAATATCAAATGTCGACTCTAGAAATAAAATCAGTGAATGTGAAAGTGGTTATGATAGTAATTCTCCAACAAATCAAAAATTGTCTACATCTCATGACAAAGAAAATAATGAAACTGTAATTCATTCTATTTCTGCAATGAAAATAATAGAAAATAATGATACTCATGAGAATCAAATTCCATATTCAATCAAATCACAGGAAGAATTTTCTATTTTACCAAAATTATCTGAGGTGATACCACAAAAAAAATATTACACTAATACGTTAATACTAAATTCACGATGCATATTGTTTAGACAATCAATGTTAATTTTTAATAAATTAAAAATACCTTTTCCAAAGATAACAGAGGTATGTTGGTGGATAACAAGAAAAATAGGCGATTTCATGAAACAGGTAATTCTTACAAATTAATTTTTCTTCAATTTTTTTTTTCAAATACAGTGATTATTTCTTTTAATTTCCAGATTTTCACACAAGTACCTAAAAATAAAAAATCTCGGCTAATTTCACAATCAGAATTAATACCTGTAGAAAAACAAGATATTAATCAAATCTTGTCCACTATTCGATGTGAAAATGAGAAAATTTTAACTGTCTTTTCTTCAGAAATAAAACATTTTTCTAAAGAACTAAATCAGGTAAATTTTGTTATGAAAAATATTTTTCAATATTTTATAATATATAAATTATTAATACACCTGTATTATTGTAGGTTCAAGTAACTAGTGAAATTACAATAAAAACCCTCAAAAGTGAAGTATCATTTCTTCGTGATGCCAATGAGAAATTAGTACAAAATAGTTTCACACTAGTTGAAGAATTAAAATCGTTACATGAAACTTTAAAAAATATGCAATTCACTTCAAAAAATTCTTTACCAATATCTCAACCTTTAATTCAAAAAATTTCTAACACAATACCAATACCTCCACCACCTCCATTACCTACATCTTCAATTCCATTTATTCCACCACCACCTCCTCCTCCACCACCTCCCCTTCCCCCATCATTTTTCCTGGGACAAAATGCAAAAACCCCAACAACTCCTAAAAGCAGCAGAAAATTCAAAAAGAAAACCCCGTCCAAGAAAAATTCATCAACTTCATTAAATAGACCCAGTATTACAGTTGAAGATTTACTAAAAGTTACTTTGAAGAAAGCACCAAACAATTCAAAGGTCTGTTATTTTTTTTTTATAGTTTATTTTCCATTTTCAATAAACGCAAAAATGATAATAAAATTCAAAAATTTTTATTCTAAAAAATTTTAAAAAGAAAATTTTTTTTTTAGGAGAACATGAGAAGAAATTCATTGCCAGTTCAAAAAGGTCCATTAATTTCCCTTGATATGTTACAAAGTGTCAAATTGCGTTCTTCTCGAAGTAGAAACTGTAATTTCACAACGAAATCGCCTAGAAGTCGATCGGTAATTTTAAATAAACGATCAAAGTCTAGTCCAAAAATGTCACCAGCATCGTCAAGATCAGAAAATCCTTTAGAAAAAATATTAAAGCAAGTTGAGTTAAATAGACCCTCAAGAAGAAAACCCCTTATGTGTCTAACACAATGCGATACAAATTCTACTCAAAATCAAACTCAAGTTCCACAACTTAATTAAAAGATAAATTTAAAAATAATTATTTTGACTCTGGTTAAAAACCAATAGAAGATCGACGATTTAAAAAAAAATATATATATACATTTCTCTGCGAGGATGATGATATTAAAAAAAAAAAATTCTATTTATCTCTATGAGGAGCGAAAAAACGCAATGTGAAGACACATTCAATAAAGAAATATTTTGATAGACAGTTGTATTCATTTTATTCCTCCACGTGTGCCTTTTACAATAAATTTTTATTTCGGTGTATTGACTCTAATACAAACCTAATTATTTCATGAATTTCAATTACGATTTGTCTCCCTTCTATATATAAGAGATTCGCGAAATTTCATAATTTTTTTTTGTGCTAAAACACATCAAGAATCTATCTTTCGTTCTATCTCGCGTTTTCTCTCACTCTCGCTCTATGATTTTTTTTTGTTTCTTTTGAAATTTATATTCTCATTGCCCATACACTCCACATTCGCGATTAATTTCATTTAATTTTTTTTTGTTTCTTTTATGTAATTGTACAATCATCAGTTTTCACCTAATGCAAAAGATTTAATATAGCTTAATTAATCTCGCTTGACGTCTTATATGCAATTAAAATTATGAATATTCTTACTCATAATATTATTAATATTTTATTCAATGTTATTTTAATTCTTTGTAATATAGTTGTTTTTGTTTTTTTTTTTAAATGTAATTATCAATATTACTGATATAATACTTAAATGCAGGGGCACGCGACACAGTTTAATATTTTATGTAACGCTTTGCACTCGCCTCTTCGCATACTCGATTATTATTATTTTTTTTATTATTATTATTATCTCGCATTATTTGATCTCAGTCTCAAAATTTTCAAATTTGCCGATGAAAATCACGCATTTGATCAGGGTGTGTAGGGTCAAGTTTCTTGCTGTAATAATAAAAAAAAAAAGTAATCTTTCAAATATTTTCATTCAATTTTCACGAATTAATTTTATTGATCAAGTTTAGTAACAAAATAAACATATATTTAGATTAAATGAAAATCTTTTACAAATTACTTAGATATTTTGTTAATAAATTTTAGTGATTCAATAAAATTTATCAACAAATTCGAGTAATTACATAATTTAATACGATTTAAAAAAAAGAAAAAAAAAACCCAAATTGATTGTCATTAAATTTGATTGAACAAGTTTTTAGCTTTTTTAAATAATAAATAGATTTTATACATTAAAAAAAAATTATGGTTTTCATTAACAAATTTCAGTAATTTCGTAAATTTTTGTAATTTAATTATTATAATAAATTTCGATAATAATTGATTATATTGAGCATGCGCAGGAGGCAATTCATGAAGCTTGCACGCGTAATCCAGAGTTAAAATTCGAATACAACGAGTCACTCAATGTGTTAAATAAATTGTCAATTCCGCAATTGTATTTGTTTCATTTTTTTTAAGCAATTGAAACTTGATATACGCTTTACGTTATAGTCGCGTTTAAAAAAAAAAAAATTTTTTTTGATAGCTTTCGTAGAAAAGGAAATCTACAGATATTGTCTTGATTTGAAAATAAAATTTTCAAAAGTAAAATTGTTCGAATTGAAAAAATAATAGGTATTCGTAAATTTCAGAGTTCAATAATGAAAATAGAAGAGAGAGAACAAACCAGAGTACAGAGAGCCATTTATTCTGTCATTTCTCGTACCACAGCTACCGATACAGTTTACATAAAAGACGTATGCAAACGTACATTCTCGTTACAGGTCAACTAACATGCTAAGTTTTGGTATCAATACAATTCTACAAGAAGTTGATTTTCAACGACGAAAGGTTTCCTTTGACATTTTCTAAATCGATTCGAACATCACCGCTTCCAAAAATATAAAAAAAAAAAAACTTTTGAGAAGCATAAAAATCTTACGAAGCTCTTTTTTTATCTTCCTTAGCTCCTGAATTTATCTCAGATTACTGTACTTTCTTTCACAAAAAAGAAAAAGGATTTTTTTTTTAAAATCGATTATCTAAAAGTCAGTTCTGTCAGTTATTTTTTTTTTTTTCATTCTATCTTGGTCTCATACAAACATGCGTCAACGGCAAAAAACCTGATAAAATATTACTCGAAATATAATGGAAACATTTATATATAAATATATATGTGAAGCAGAATACAATAACCTGTAATCAAGCAGCAGGAAGACTATTCGAGGAGGGGGAAATATGTTTTGTTTTTCTAAAACTGTGTCGTTGAACCAATTATTATAAAGATTTTGTTTAGTGAAAAGAAATTACACATAGGATATCGATCGTAGATGTGATACGCTTATTTTTTTTTTGTTTTTTTTGTTTTGTTTATTCGCGACTTAAGAAATACTGGTGATAAAGTACTGACAATCTATGCACATTATATATATATAATATAAAAAAAAAGAAAAAAGAGAATGCGAATTCGACGACATGACATCGTTTTCACCGCAGCAAAATACTTGCACTAATTTTTTTTATGTAGCTCATAAAAGTTCTAAAAATACATAAAAGGAATTTTTAACCCTAAGAAAAAAAAAACGTTGAATCGATGATGTCATTTAAATGTTCGACGACTCCCACTGATTCAGTTAAGATTAGAGAATTATCCGAAGTTTTTTTTTTATGTTTCATTATAAATAAGAAATGCAGCCGTTCAAGAATTTTAATTCGGACATACGCGATGCAAATCCTCCGATGCGTTTTTTTTTATTGACAATTATAAAAATTGCCTCACTAAATGCTTGCAATCTCACTATTTCGCAGGGTGCGTGTCGTTTTTTTTTTTTTTTGTTTTTAAATTACTTGATTTTTATTTTCTTGTTGCGTGCTCCATAACTCAACATGTGATTGGATGATTTTTTTTTATTATTACTTTTTTTTTTTGTATTTTTGTTTTTGGAGTAACCGTACGTGCGTACATAGGGTCACGCAATTGCTAAAAACCTTCCCTCCCCACCCCGACCTCCCACCTGCTCAATTGTTTTCTTTTGCTTAAACGTTATTAAGAGTTTGTTTTTCTTGTGTTTCATTTGTATACGCAAATAACACTCACTGCAGCTAAAGTTACGATACATCCGGATCTTCCACATCTTGCAACTGTTCTTTCTGTTCGCCTTCACCTGTTGGTCATTCAATCAAATCAGTTTCCATATTGTTAATAAAAGAAAATATATATATGTGATAATTGAAATTAAAAAAATCTAATTTTATTATTATTGAAGGGACACAAAGGATAAATTTAAGGATAGGAGTCTTACTAAATTTAAGAGTCAACGGTAATGGCAGTACCACGATTTTCATCAGCAGCTGCATCTTCAGGTAAGGATTCTAAATCGTAAAACTCTTTTTAAACGCGAATTTTTAATTATTAAAATTACTAATGACTAATAAATAAAAATAGAAAAAGGATTGTAAAAAAAAAAAAAAAAAATTCAATACAACTAACCATCTAACTGCATATCCGAGGTCCATAAGGTAAGATTGTCCCTGAGCAATTGCATAATAAGGGTGGAATCTTTATAACTCTCTTCAGAAAGGGTGTCGAGTTCCGCAATCGCATCGTCAAAAGCAGCCTTTGCTAAGCGACACGCTCTATCAGGACTGTTCAAAATTTCATAGTAGAACACAGAGAAATTGAGCGCTAGTCCTAGACGAATTGGATGAGTCGGTGGCAAATCCGTCATCGCGATATCACTTGCTGCTTTATAAGCAACAAGAGAATTTTCCGCTGCGTCCTTCCTATCATTGCCAATCGCAAACTCAGCCAAATAACGATGATAGTCTCCCTTCCTATTTTACAAAAACGGAAAAGAAAAAAAATTTTTAATTAATAAAAAAAAAGTTACATTTCATAAAAAAAAATAAATAAATAAATAAATAAATACTTACATTTTATAATAGAAAACTTTGGATTCGCCCGTTGTCGCACATGGGATTAAGTGCTTCTCCAAAACTCCAAGAATATCAGCACATATATCTCTAAGCTCCTTTTCTACCTGGGATCGGTACTGCCGAATCATTTCCAATTTCTCTTCTGCTCCTTTGTTCTCTTCTTTCTGTTCGATACTTGAAATTATTCGCCATGATGCTCTCCTCGCACCAATTACATTTTTGTACGCGACTGATAATAAATTCCTTTCCTCAACAGTAAGTTCAACATTTAGTGAAGCTACTTTCTTCATTGCCTCCACCATTTCTACAATAAAAAAAGAAGAAAAGATTCATCAATTTAATTCTTAAAAATTCCAAAAATCATTGATTCCAATGAGAAATATAAAAGTAACTAAGCTTTCATTTAAATTAAATTTTTTTTGAGACTTTTATTGATTTCTCATGTGAAATTACTCACCTTTAAATTATTTAAATAAATATATAAACTTTATTTGCATATAAAGTGCAAAGGCGAAAGTGAGGTGACAATATATTGCAACCCTCCCTCTCATCGGGAAATAAAAATAGCCATGAAAATGTTATGTTCGATGTAAAATATCGTCATTGTTAGTCATAAAAATATTTTCTTTTTAATTTTCCTTAATTCACTTTTCAATAATATTTAAAATTCTAAAATTTAATTTCAAAATTATCAAATAAATACAGTAATGATTAATTAGTAAATCAAAATACTTTCATTTTTATAATAATTTAGATATGAAAAATATTTTCCTCCTTTAAAATGTCTAAAATTTTTTAATGACTGAACATTGAAAAACAGAATTTTTACTTAATTTATGAAACAAAAATTTGAGCTATATTATTATATTTAGACAAGATTCAAAGTTGCTTGCACTAATTAAAATTACATTTAATAATTAATTTAAAAATCACTCTTCAAAATACAGTCAAGTGAAAATTGTGTTTTAAGAGAAACGAAAAGCAATTTGTGTCATGTTTAAAATGTACGATAATTTACAAAGTGCTTAAAACTTTATTCAATCACAAAATTACATAATTAAAATACAATAAATGTGAATACAACATGTGATAATTTTTTAATTATCTCACTGAATGCTTCAAATTAAATATAAAATATATTTTATTTAAACTTGTTTAAAGCAAAAAATTAAAAAAAAAAAATAAATAATAAATAAAATAAAAACGAATTTTTAGTTTTACAATTGATGTTTCTTTATTGATATTCGCATTGTTATAATTATAGTGAAAAAAAGCAGTACAATAAAAAATCGAGTGAATAACAAATTTATAAAATTTAAATAATGTCACTGAAAATTAGTGTAAATCGAGTATAGAAGCTTAAGTGTACAGGAACAGAGGATAGCGGACGCAGATCAATACTTTCCTTCAGCTATGACCTCCCTTCCTTCTCTCACCCTCTAACCGAGCTCACCCTTCGCCTGCTTTTGCAACCCTCAAATTTAAACCCCTACTTTTAACACCTACCACCACAATTATACAAATAGTAACAATTGTTTGATTAAATACACCTGATTTCCCATTAATAAAAACCCTGATAAAAAGTAATAGTCATTATGTGCGTTCTTGATTATGACATTCCTACTTAATCTTTTTTTATACATATATATTTTTTAAATCATAAAATATATATCTTAATTTCAGAAATATTTTTTACTTCTCTATTCAATCAATCCAATCACATTGTTTTCTATTTAATTTCCAAAAAAAAAAATATTTTCTCTATAAGATACAAATTTTTAAGTTACATTTATTTTATCGAGTTAAAATTTTTATTTATTTAAAGAAACTATATAAAGTACGAAGTTTACGGCAAACGTTAAATAATTAATAATATTTATAAAAAAAAAAAATCACATTGAAAATAATTTTATAAAACATTTTTCAATACTCAAAAAGGTTGTGAATAAAATATTTTTTCAAGTCTTGAAAAATACACCTGTTTTTTGAATAATTATTTGCCTAATAAAAAAGCAACATTGCAAAACAATTTGGATAATCGGATGACGCAAAAGAAGAAAAGGAGTGGAAACTAGTGTAAACGAGGAATGTGAGCGTGAATTTTTTTTTTTTTTTTTGCAGTGTCTTACAGCGTAGATAATATGACAGTCGTTTAAAAATTATGTGTCAGTCACGTGACGCAGTAAAATACATTGGAAATCGGCGTTACTATTTATGAATGCAAATGAAATAAGAAGCGATAGTGAAAAAAATCACATTAGAGATTAATTTTGATGAAAAAGTAGGATAAAAAGAGCGTCCTTTTAACGAAAGTAAAAAGTAAAAATTTCTGAAAGATGATTATTTTTCATGAAGCCGATTTCTTTAACGCATTCAAGGCCAGGGGCTGCAAGAGAGCACGTTACTACGTAGGTAGGTACGTAGTATGCTGGCGATCGGTGGGTGTCGTGTCTATGCGTCATTTCAATGCGAAGACTAATATGAAAGGTTCATTGGGATCCGGTTCAAAACGCTTAGCAACACTGAATTTAAGATGCGTCTATCCTTATAATATTCACAATTCAAGAATCTTATTAATAAACAAGACAGAAAGTCAAGAGTTTAAGATTGAAGTCAAAAAAATTCCAGATGAATGGAAATTCTCCGGGCAAGCTTGGAAAAAGGGAGGGTCGCTTCCGAAGACGAAACACCGACCGGCATCTCATCAGTCAAAATTTGACGTTTCACTATAAATTTTGACAGATAACACAATTATATTTAAATAAAAAAACGTTGTAAATGTGACGCGGTGAAAAATTGGCTTGAGCGATTAAAATGAAGCGTTCAATGAGACACTTTTACAGCCAAGTGGATACACCACCGATTTCAGATTTTTCAAGGAGCGGTAGGAACCAATTTTTCCAAAAAATATCAACTCACCATCGTAGCGTTCAGCCTGTTCAGCAAGCTTTGCTTTGTAAACATTGTCGTCCCGTTCCGACATCCTGGATGCACACGGATTTTTTTAAGGATAAAAACGGATGAGATATGAGAATTCACACCAGATACGCGTATATCCGAAACACAGACACTTCGTCAGATCGCCGCTAGCAAACTGCCAAAGATGGCGGCGCCCGCCGAAAGCAGTCCCTCGCGCATACGCTCCGTTCTTCAGATTAATGCGCGTGACGTCACGAAAATAAAGCGCGCGCAATTTCAAAATTTCATAAAATCAATGTCTACAAGATTAATCAATACTTTTTTTTCTCAAAGTCATTAAAATTACAAATATAATATTACAATTATTGTTAATTACTTTTGTAAATATTATTAATTAAATATGACAAAAATTAAAAAATAAATATTTTTTTAATTTCCATTTAAAACTATAATTGAGAAAAAGAAAAAAATGATTATAAAGTTAATTTAACTTGTTGGGGACTATGGAAACTACGTTTTGTTGCCCTAGAGGAGATATAAGTCAACGTAAACATAATTAATAAAAAAAATTTGATAAAATTAAAAAAATACGATTAAATTTTTCAAAAAAATTTCGCCCAACGTGGGGCTCGAACCCACGACCCTGAGATTAAGAGTCTCATGCTCTACCGACTGAGCTAGCCGGGCAATGAAAGATTTTTCGAAAATCTTCTCTACACTCTTCGATTAAAATAATAATATTTTTTGTTTAAATTATATATTAAAATAAACATTTTTCATTAAAAGTCCTCACACTATTTTATAATTGGCATTAAATTTGAAAAAATTTTCAGAATTTGTCCATAATGATTTACTTTAACACACCCTATAGTAGAATGAATGATCCAGACAATACCGTATGTTTTCAATTTGTTTAAGAACCCTGTTTATAAGATTTCAAAGAACAAAGAAAACTAAAGTCAATAATGTGTAGAAAAAAATATTTAAAAAAAAATAATTTTAAAGAATATTTTTTATTTAAAATTAATTAAAAAATTTTAATAAAAGATTTTCTTTTTAAAAATATATTTATCTTTTGTCCTTTCATTTTAATGACCAAGAAATTATTTTATATAGCTACGCTCCTGAGCGCTATTGTTTCCAGACAATATTCTCAAAACAAAATAATCATTTCGCTCTGTTTAAAGAAAGAAAAATAAATTTTGAAATTGAAAGTAACAATCATTTAAGTAATAATGGAAGATTTCGTTGAATTAGCCAGTTCATGGAATTTTTTTTAATGGAACACCGAGTACATTAATTTTTGTCTGGGAGACTTCGCAGACGCAGTTTCTGTCAAGCACCACGAACCTGACCAGTTAGTTGACCGATCTCACGTTAAGAAATAATCCATCTTTTTCTGCTTTTCCTGTCACTTGTCACCTGTACACAGGCGATTAATGGATTCATAAGATAATGAAAGAGCTTAGGAGGAAACGAAACTTCGGAGAAACCAGGTAAGTTGTTTTTTTTTTTTAAAAAACAATAAAATTGAAAGAGAATTCATTTGAGAATACGGTAGTTTTAGTCTTTAGAGCTAGAGGCCAGTCACGTGACCTCTCTGTTTACCAAAATGGTGATCCTCTCTTTTTTAAAACCATTTTTAACTACTTTAGCCATCCATTAAAAATTTCTGACACTTTAAATTATTAATTCTCAACATTAAAATTTCAAAATTTATTTGACGCATTATATTAAATGCAAAAAAACTCTAAATGTTACGCATGAATGCACTCTGGAATTTCTCTTTTGAGCGAATGTAATCTACATTGTTTCGCTTTGATTTTCTACCTTTTTGCTAATTGTTTATACTCTTTTAAAAGTAATAATTATGAAACAAGTGGAATTCGATTATGCTTGTCAGTGCGGTTAAAACTGTTTTTCATCTACGATCGATTTTCATCACCATGAAATACAAATCAATTTCAAGATTCTATTCTAATAAAAAAAAACATTGGAGGCTTGGATATAACTAGAATTCATAAAAAAAAAATTACGACCTAATAATATTGACAGGTATTTTTTCGAATTTAATTTAAAACTGCCAAATAAAAACAACTGTTGATTTAATTACAATTACTAATTTAATAATGTGATAAGAATTCTCAAAAAAAAAAATTTATTGAGATAATTTTCTTAATTGTGCAGTGAATGAAAGTGGTCTAGTTCACTTTCTAATTGTTTTTTTTTTTTTTCCTTTCTTTGGGAAATAAAATGTGTGAATATATTGCGTATAAAGTGTGCAGGTCAAGATTTGATTTTTAAAAATAGTGTTATGTAAAAATTTAGACATTTCAGTTCTAGTTTCATGCACTCTTACTTCTCAAGGCATTGTATTAAAGATGGTATTTAAAGAGAATTAAAGTTGCATATATAATTATGGCTAACGCAACATTCTTAATATAAGAAACGAGTTGAGATGTAAATTGTGCTCCAAATATAAATGTTTTAAACACACGTTAATTAATTTTTATCTCAAATTCAGATGGTGACCGAAGTTTAAGACGTCCAAATTACTTTCCAAATTAATATGTTTACTACAAAAAGGTATTTTATTTAATTTATAATTTTAATTTTGATACTATATATATATATTTTTTGTATTTATCTTGAAGCAGAAATTTATTAATATTTATTATTTTACAAAATTTTTTATCAAAAAAAAAAAATTTTTTTTTTATACTTATGATCCAGAAATAGGTGATTTTTAATTTAATCTTTTACTTCAAGATTTATTGATATTTGAAAGTGAAGAAAGTATTTTTAGAAAAATCACGAAATTTTTTTATAATACAATAATAATATACCTTTTTATAAATTTTTTTTTTTTTCATTAACTTTGCTTTAAATATTTCCAATAAATTACAAAAGGCGAGTGTATATACAACATGCAAATAATTCTCTCATCGTTTATTATATTAAGGCGTGTTACAAGTTATTTTCTCACATTATGAAAATAGATTTACGTAACATATATCCAGTATCGCAAAATGTGATTCAAATATTGTATATAGTATATGTATTTTTTTTTTTTTCTGAAAGCACTGTTATCAGTAACTTCTAAATAAATTATAAACAAGAACGATTTGAAAAAAATATTTAGCAAAAGGAGGATAATTATATATTATAATTATATAAATTAAAAATAATGTTCTGATAAAAGCGCGAATTTAAAAAGTTTTAATATTATAAAAGGATATATTTTTATAAATTAAAAAATGTTTGGGGAAATTATTAACAATTTTCAATATATCAATAATTCAGAAAAAAAAAACCTCATTACGATAATGAATGAATTTTTTTTTCTTTTAATTTACAGCTGTGACTGCAGGTGATCTCAAATGCTGGTTATCAGGAGTGCAATAAAAGGCATCTAAATGTCGCTCCACATCCTAGTATAACATCACCTGCAACGGCCAGGAGTTATCTAATCATGGCCACCAATCAAGTGGATTACCAGTGGTAGGTTTTAAGATATATGAAAGATTATTTTTAAAAGCTTTACAAAAAAAAATTAACATTCAAATCTTTGGTGTAATTTTGCAAAATGTTTGACGTTGTTTGGCAATTTAATTCTGTCAAGGACAGAAATTATATTCTTTGTAAGCGTTAAATAATAATAATAATAATAATAATAATATTCGACTTTGCAAATCCTGTCCACTCAGAAGATTTTTAAAAATACAGAATTTCTTTTTCCTTTGCACGGTAGAATAATAATAAAATGTATGAGATTGAATTAATTAATTATTAAAATAATTAATGAGATTGAATTGAAGAATTGACTGAATTAATTTTTTGTTTTAGGGCTTATTCTATAATGGACTCGTCCAGGGTATCCACTTTTTTAATATCGATACTGCTAATTGTTTATGGCAGTTTTCGATCTCTAAATATGGAACAAGAAGCAAGAGAAAGGGAAAAGGAAAAAGAGAGAAATAATCTTTTATCTGGTATTCCAAGCACTGGAAATGGGGAAAATACAGGGGGAAGTGTGCAGACATTGGATACAATGCACGCTCTTTGTCTACCTCTTGGTGCTTCCATATCGTTGCTTGTCATGTTTTTCTTTTTTGACAGTATGCAAATGCTGTTTGCAATTTGCACAGCCAGTAAGTCTTTTAATTTTGTTGTTTAAAAATGAAAAATTTCATAGAATATATCAAATTAATTTTTTTTTCTTTTCAGTTATAGCCACTGTTGCATTGGCATTTCTTCTTTTACCAATGTGTCAGTACATTATTCGTCCCTGTTCAGACGGTAATAAAATATCATTTGGAGTCTGTGGAAGGTTTACAGGAGCAGAGTTATTATCATTTTCATTGAGCGTCAGCATAGTTTGCATATGGGTATTGACTGGTCATTGGTTACTCATGGATGCTATGGGAATGGGTCTCTGTGTTGCATTTATAGCTTTCGTCCGTCTCCCTAGTCTCAAGGTTTCCACGTTGCTTCTTACAGGACTTTTAATATACGATGTCTTTTGGGTCTTTTTTTCATCTTATATATTCAGCACAAACGTTATGGTTAAGGTAATAAAACATGAATTCATCTAATGAACAAAATTTTTCATTTTTATATATTTTCAAAAACAGGATGTCTAATAAGGATTGAGAAAAAAAATTCCCTGACTTTTCCATGACTCCTCCCTGATATTTTTTGATTTTTCCCTGACTTTTTAATAACCTTATTTCTGCTTTCTTTGGACATTTGGTTACTGACATATTTAACAATAAATTAATTTCTAATGGTAGTAACAAATGGTAATAAAAACCATTCAAGTTTTTTTAGATTAAAAAATTTTTCAATTCACAAAAAATTTTAATTTTTGTAGAAATTTACAGAAATTTCCCTCATTTTCCCTAACCGTTAGACACCCTGAAAAAGAAAATTTATTAAAAATGCAAAAATTTTGTTCGTTTCAAGATGAATATCATCTTTGCCAGTTTCATTAAAATCAATCATCTCTTGCTATTTGAAATTCAAACTGGTTAAATTGAATTTTCACAGGTAGCTACACGTCCGGCGGATAATCCAGTGGGTCTAGTTGCTAGGAGATTTCACTTGGGAAGTGTTGCGCGAGAAGCACCAAAGCTCTCATTACCTGGAAAATTAGTTTTTCCATCGATGCATCAATCGGGACATTTTTCCATGTTGGGTCTTGGTGATGTTGTAATGCCAGGACTTTTACTTTGCTTTGTATTACGATACGATGCATATAAAAAAACACAATTAATACCCGGTGGTTGCGAAGCGGGCGTACCTCCACCTCGACATCTTAGTCGCATCAGCTACTTCCATTGCTCTCTCATTGGTTATTTTCTCGGTCTACTTACTGCCACAGTCAGCTCCGAGGTGTTCAAAGCTGCACAGCCTGCCTTATTGTACCTCGTGCCCTTTACACTATTGCCATTATTAACAATGGCATATTTAAAGGTAATTTTCATTCACATTTATATTATACGAAATAACAAAAAAAAAAAAAAAAAAAAAAATTCCAATGAAAATTATTATCAATTAATTTTTAGGGTGATTTACGTCGAATGTGGAGTGAACCTTTCATATCTCAAGTACCAACAAAACATATGGAGGTTTGACAGCTCTCTAATGCATTCTCGCAATTTCTATTGGACATGTTCTTATAAAGCATCTCATTCATTTTTCACATCAGTATCATTTCTACGTAAGTAAACCTGTCGTTTCATTATAGATGAGACATTTTTTTATTCTCGTCATTAAGATGTTAACGTAATTCACATCAACAGAAAAATGAACAAGGACTGTATGTAACTATAGGCATATATTATATTATTATTATTATTATTATTAATATTATTATTATTCAGTGATTTATTTAATTTAACATATAGCTTGTTAAAAAAAGAGAGTGGAGTAACAAAAAATGTGTTGGCATTTAAAGAAACGAACAAAATTATTTATATAGGAATTGCAATCTGATATAAGGAATTATTTCATATAAATAAACGATATAAGAATCATATCGTATTCTTAATACGAATTTTAAGATTATTGGAAATTTTTCAAATGCTTGTTAATTCCTTTTATTCTAGTTGTATAGAAATTAAGAGAAAAAATTTCGGGTTTAAAACCTTGTTGAATATTTACAGTTTTATGCGATCATAAAAGTTTTTAAAAACAAAAGATAAAAAAAAGGAACTATGTACAAAAGTAACATCTAAAAGAATATTATCGTCAAAGCACGATTGCGAACAATGATGGAAATTTTGTGGATATGTTACCAATTTGAAAAATAATTCCGCTTGTAAATGATCGTGTTTAATTTTAAAATCCTCTTATTTTCTAAAATGCTCCACTCTAAAAGTTGTTATTAGTCTATATATATATATATATTGATATATAAATACAGGAGATTTTTTTTTAATTTATTATATTAACAGATTGTCACCCCCTCCCAATTGTACGTAAAACATAGGATTTACTTCCGGTAACAAAAAGATTGTAAAAAAAAAAATGTTACTCGAAGAAATACACGATTAATCCAGTAAATGCAAATTTAGGTTGTGATCGTATTTTAAAGTTTGCTTTAGTTTGATACGAAGTTATATTTGTGTAAATATATTCATTATTATTTCTACATGAACAAAAAAAATCATTTGAAATTTTGGATTTGCAGTTTTCTGCAGGCAGAGTTACTAAAGGTCGAGCTTCTCTTTATTTCTCGATAAAAAAAAAGAGTTACTAGGTGGAGTTAAGTTCTACCTTATAAAGATAAAAAAAAATTTAAGCTCTACGTTATAAAGATAAAATCTCTACCTATCTTAAAGCTAAAGAATTAAACTCTACATTAAAGACAAAGAATTAAGTTCTTGATAACAGTCACAAAAATCTGAGAATTACTCATTTACATAAAATATATAAAAAAAAAATTTTTAACTTGTTAAAAAAAAGTTCTTGCTATGGATGGGATTCTTTTGACATTTTAATTTACTTGCTTTTATTGTAAGACTGAAAATATTATTAAAAAAAGAAAAAAAAAATGCCAATTGATAGAATGAATTCTGTTAAAAAACAAATTCATTTAAATATGAATATATTTAGTTATTATAAGTGTTCGATCGATAATAAATTGATCACCATTTTATATATTAATGCATTATATATGATCAATTATAATATTACAATATACTGGAATCGTAAATTTATTCACGAGTAATCATTGTCTGCACTAGACTTGCAAGCGATAAATTTTTTTGAAAAATGCAATGATTTAAAAAAAAAAAAATTATATCATTCAAGTTAAAACGATTAAATTATGTGAAAAAGATATTTCAAGATATAAAAATGTAAGATTAGATTTTAAGTCTCTATTAATTGTAGATATTCTACTGATTTCGATAAGTTTCTTCCCAATGCAATGCCTGCCCGTCCATAGCACAAGCGATTTTTCCCCGCCTCTTTCATTTTTATTTTTTTACATATGCAAGAATTAATGAACAAAAAAAATTAATTAAATTATTAAAAATAAGAAAAAATATTAAAAAAAAAGAGAATTTAATTATATAGACATTTTTTTTCAAAATTATGGTAAAATTAAATTTAAATATTATAATACAAAAAAATGTAGAAAAAAAAATTTTTTATTTTCATTGAAAAATGTCTTGTTAAACGTATATAATTAACTATTCAGTAAGTTAATGTGAACAAAAATTAAATTATTAATAATAATAATTTATTATTATGAAATAACTTTTACTATATACATTAGTTAAAGGATATATTGTTTTATACTATTATTTTTAATAGATTTATTTGGAAAAGACTGTTCGATACAAATAACATTTTTTTTTTTTTTTTGTACATTCACAGTTAAGAGGTGAAATTTAACTTTTGTACAAGAAGTTTGTATCTTACAAACAAACAAAAAAACTGGCATTTCATTATAATAATTAACGAAATAACATAGAGTTCTGTAATACAAATCTATATCTAGATTGCAGATTAAAATAGTAGAACTGAAAAAAACATTGTACAATAAACGATGATTCCTCACGATGACAAAATTTATATTTTATTTCATCTTTCTTTTTAGTAGACTGTTATTATTATTTCTTTTATCATATACATAAATCTAAAAAAAAAATATTACCTTCCCCATTTTAATTGAGCTTAGTATATTTATTTAAAAGAATTTTTATGCAAAACTATTGTTTCATTTAAACAAAAAAAAAATTCTTTTCTGTTTGTTATCTTATCTTTTTTTTTATTGACTGCGTGAAGGCTTTCAAACATTTTTTCACCTCGTGTGTATGTGTGTTATTTAAGCTTAATTAAAAATACAAATAAAGAAAAAGTAAATTTATCACAGTTTACAGTCATTTAGGACAACCTTTATTTATCTACTCATGTATTCATGAGATTTTTTTTTTTGACTATTCTAATTTTTAACGAGCATTATTTATTAATAATGAAAAAATATAGTTACTTATTACTAGACTAAAAATGCAATATATTGTCATTTTATTAATTTTTTTTTTATTAAACTTATTGAAATTAATGTATAAAATATAATTATTCCGTCAAAACGCCTATAGGACAAAAAGTCTTAAGAAAAAATTTTTGTATACTATTATGAATCAAGAAAATTGGCATTGGATTTATTTACACACTACTTTGATTGATCGTCACGTTGTCTAACTTCCTTTTTATGTTTTCTAATTCATTCATGTCCGTTACAGAAGTCTCGCACTTATAAACAACCAATGAATGATAAAAATGAACGGCAAATGCAACAAAAACAATGAGCACAGGTATCACAATTACAGTACTTGCTGTAGCAGCAGTAAATGAATAATCCCAAAATTTCACCCAACACAAAATAGCGACCTCAACAAGAAAGAGAAAAAGTCCTAATACTGTTGAAAATGCCCAGGCCAATTCAATAAAACCTCTCATTCGTTCGTGTGGTGATTCCGTAACAAGACTGGCGACTTGAAGTTTACTAATTGCCTCTACATTTGGCAGAAGATATGTGCTTATCATTAATGCGAATATATGAACAGAAACTAGTACAGTTGTACAGACGGCAAACATTACGAATAGCCATTCAGGAACTTCTGTTGGCTCATTTATTTGCAACTCTACCATAGCCACCTAAAAATTAATAAAAAATCAAAATCTTTCCTTTCTTCACCACTACCAAGTTTTTATTATTAATTCTTTAATTATCAAAAATAATTTGTTAATTCAAAGATTTATGAGTGAAAACTTAAATTAGAAAAACTCATTTTTTTTAATAATAGAAATTTTCTTAATTTTTTTTTTTTTTAAATAAAGAAGTAATCCTGGATTATTGTGGAATTATTTCCAAATAGAACTGACTCTTATCTTCTTTCATTGACTGAATCATAAAACTACTTCTCAAAATTGTAATAATCTTTTATTATACTTTTGTTGACTTCATGGCCAATTTATTATAATAGAATTGTAATTTTTTAAGAAACAATTTTTTAATTCTTCATCATAAACATGAAATTTAATGTATTTTCAAATTGTTTTTTTTTTTAAGAAACTTATTTTAAAAAAAGTATTTCCAGATAAATTAAAAAAAAAACTTATTATTTTTATGATTCTTCTTGTTTATTATTACGGATATAGAATTTATAAGAAAAAAAAAATACATGACTTTAATGATGATGCGCTTTAAGGCACAAATGATTGAAAACATGTTTGAAGTTTAAATTAAAAAGCAGCTGCATAAATCAATTTCAAAAATTCACTTGAAAATAAATTTTCCTTTTCTCAAAAAAACAAACAGTTTGGAAATATAAAAAAAAAAATTAAAATTATTTTAGTAATTTTCTGGAAATATTTTTTTTTCAACAAAGAGACAAAATTCTCAAAAAGAAAATTTCTATTAATAAAAAAACCTGAGAATCTCATAATATTTTCGATTATTTATATAATTTATATTTTTATTATTATCTATATTGTTTAATAATTATCTATTAAAAATTGATTGTCCACGATGCATAATAATTTTTTTTTTTTTACTACCGAATCGAATTATTTGTCATTTTTGAATTAAACCAATTTTCACCGCTATAATTAAATGTCACTTTTAATAATTGATGTATTTATTTTGTTTCAGTTATACTTCCTCACCATTGCAAAACCACTTAAAAGTTCAGATGTGGTTGCAGTGGCTTTAAGTTTTGCTCTACTCATATGCAATCTTCTCCATGAGAGACCTTCTGGTCCATTTTGATCTTCCAATGCATCGGGGCCAGATCCATTTTGTTTATGTGAACCATTATTACACATACAACAACAATTACAATTTTGATTATTAATTGGTAAATGATTTCCAGATTGTGAATTATTTGACATTAATTTCATCATATCAACAGCTATATATCTATTTTGATGACGATTTCTTGGTGAAAGAATTAATTCACTTTGAGCCGGTGAAATACCCGAATAATTTGAATCTACATATTGTGTTTGTCTAGATAAATGACCCATTGACAATGGTCTTGATCTTTGGCCATAAGTTGTCTTCCAAGTCGATTGTGAAATATCTATTTGCGTCGACTTGCTCGATTTACCTGGTGGATCATCCGAGGCTCCTAAATTCAAATTAGCTCTCGTTTCTTCTCTCTCAATTGAGGATTTTTCTTCCTTGAGAAAAAATAAATTTGCCCTACCCACCTCCAAATTGTCGTTAATCATCATTTTTTTTCAGATATCGTTGCTATTTCATAAAGAATATTTTCTTTTTTCCAATGCGAAATATAAATATGAGAGTATTTGATTTATCAGCTTAAATTTCAATTAGTATTAAAATATTATTTATCGTCTTTTCATTACATCTCTTCAGTATAAGATTTTTACACAATCCAGATTTACTACCTCGACATTTTTAAGACTAATATTCTTCTTCCGTTAACTAATGACTCCTTTGAGAATGTTGAAACGTGATGCAACTGATCCGCTTTCAATGAAAAAAAAATGTGATGACTTTAGGTCCTTTACATTGTTTTAATTATATTTCTTCACTAAATTTTTATTTTTTCAATTGAGAGATTCATTTTTTTCTTTCCATTTTTCGTCACTTGAAAAAAATAAACAGTTTTTTAAAACACAAGTTTATTTCTTCTTTAACAAATTGAGGAAACTGCTAATTTTTTTTAACACCTTTAAAAAGCAAGTCACTTTTGTGACACATTTAAAAAATAAATTTTTCGACACATTACAAATCCATTTGTTTAAACATTGTGTAAAACAAGAATTGTTTTTAAACGCGAAAAACTGTACTTTAAAAAAAAAAATTAATTGACGCACTTGAAGTAATATTTATAAAAATTTGTTATTAATGTTTATTTATATAATTTATTTATAGGATGCAAAGAGGGAAAAAAAAGAAACGTGCGTGAAATATAGAAAAGTCAACTGATGACTCTGAACTCTTGATAGTAACTGAGACGTTACAGCAAAGTGTATCCATTCCTATTCGAATCATAACAATAGTACTAATTGCCTTCAAGCCATATCGGACACATAATAACTAACTATATATGCACACAAGTTAATAAATGTGCAAGTATATTTTGATGTGCATAATATGCACTTTCAGAAAAGTTGTCCTAGAGAAAAATTATACAGGTGATTTATCCATAGTTGTCCTATGATGCTGACTTAATCTAATCATCTTTGTTTCTCATCTTCTATATAATCAGAATTACTCATTATCAGTTAGAAAGTGTTAGTATAGGTATAAAATTTTTTTTTTTTTAAATTCTTCAATCAATTTAACAAGAAGTTGATTTATCTTCGTTATTTGCAAAATAAATCAATTCGAATCAAAGATTAGATATATAAAAAAAAAAAACAAAAACTAGACAAAATTTTTAAAATATATTTTTATGCATTTGGATATCTTTAGTTAATTTTTTAAATTAATTTTTATATTTATTAGTTTATTTAATATTTTATTGAAATCTATTTTAGAATTGAGTTGACGAATATTTTTTGTAAACGTCAGAAGTTCAAGAAACAATTTATTGTAAAAATTTGATGACATAGCATTAAAAATATGTCAAAGTAATTAACATAACGCTGATCATTTCATAATCATAGAATATTAAATTCACACCGTTAACTTTGCAAATTTAAAATCTATATAAGACTTTTATATTAACTCCCAATATGCGAACTAGCGTGAAATGAATATTATTGTCATTAAGGAAATTATTTAAATCATTACTTAATAAATTACATATTAATTAATTAAAAACATTAATCATTTTAATTATTGATTTTTAAAAATTATTTATTTACTATTTAAAAATTATCTTTTATAAATTTAATAAATTTTGTTTATTTTAAAATTAAAAGTATATTTATATTTATATTTTATATTGATTAATTAATTTATAAATTAATTAAATTTTTAAATTCAATTGTTATTTAAATTATTAAATTTACTTTTAACTAATTTTTTTTGCCATCAGTAATTAGAAATTTTTTAAAAAAATATTACTATAAAAATGAATGATCTTTTTTATTGTTTCAAGCTTTGATTTTATTTATTTATTTATTTATTTTTAATTGACACTGTTTCTGACATTTTTGAGCGTTAAAATATTATGAGACACAATCGTAATAAAATTATTTATGGTAGAGTGCACGAGGTGATTGCTGGAATAACATATTGTGCAATTCTTACTTTAAGGATATACTATATGTGCAAGTTGTCTTTTAAGTCTAATATATTTGATTTATTTATGCATATATGAATAACATTTCTTTTTAGATTCACATGAACGATTCTTTAATTATTTTTAAACGTATTTTATTTTATAAAATGTAATTACTAATTTCATATAAAATTTCATCAAAAATTAAAACTTTTTATTTTATATAAAATATTATTCATTATTATTATTATTATTATTATTATTATTATTTAGTTTATTTTATTTATTAATAATATTTATTGTTAATATTATTTACAGACAATAGGCAATAAATATTATAGGTATAATAAATAGTAGTTCTTAATAAACAATAGGTACTAAATAATAGTTAATAACATAATCTCAAATGAAAATTCACATTTAGGTAATTAACAATAATTTTTCAGAATCAATTAAGTTGCATTTTTCAATTTGGAAACAATGGAAAAAGAATTTTGAGATTGGAAATATTGAAATGTCTTTGTTTTTTCACTGCCAATGTCGCAATTATTTATGCATATTCAAATGTATACATTAATTAGTCAGAAAAAAAGCCTAACAAAGTTGAATGGAATTCCCCCAATAATTAACATTTTCCTTTAAAGGAAATATATTTTTTATATACTATTATTTTTATCCATGATTTTAATTTGTTTAATCATTAGGTGTTTTAATGTTGTAAAAAATCACACTTTGAAAATTAATTTTTTAAATTCAAAATACCATTCAACTTGCGTCAATATACTTTTTTTATCATTCAAATATAATTTTACTTTTAAATAAATTTAATATAAAAAAAAAATCAAAAAATGATTAAAACATTTTATTAATTAAAAGAAAAAATTTATGAATTAAATTATAAATAATTTAAGAAAAGAAGAACAAGATTAGAAAAGTTAAATAGGAAGGAAATGAATAAAAAGATAAGGTTGAAAAACAGTTTATTTATGGTAGGATAGAAGATATGAGTGAATTTAATAAGAAAGATTATTTATTAATTAAATAAAAAAAAAAAAATATCCCAGTATTATTCTTTTTCCAATTATATACTGCAACAAGGATTTATGTCTCTAAAAATTTATATATTACTCTTATAAATATATATGCTAAAATCATTTCTACTTATATGGAAAATTATGTTAAGGTCGCATCAATATTAAATTTCAAAATTTTTTCAAGTCTCTTTAAACAAATTGTAATAAAAAAAAACAAAAATGTAATTTAATTTTAACTATAATATTTAATTAAACTGATTATGTTTTAGAATTATTTATTTTATTATAGTTTAATTTATTTTATTTATTACCTTTATAATATATTATATTATATTTTAATTATTTTTTGCTCATTATTATTATTATTATTATTATTATTAAATTATTAATTTAATTTTTAAAAAAATAAATGTACTTTAATTTTGTTTAAGAACGTTAAAAAAATAATTGTTGATAAGAAAAATTTGAGTAATTCTGATAATAGATTTTCATATATTCATAACCTAACTAGTTTAACATGAGTGTAATGTAGAATGCCTACAAACAGGGGCTCAATTGTTTCAACATTAAACTTTTATTATTTTATAAATTTATTTTTAAAATGTTAATAATCAAATTTCATTAAAAATTAAATATACGTCAAATTACTCTGTTATAAATAGATGAATATTAATTACAATAAATTTCTGATTGTTTATAAATAAAAAAAAATAGTATTATACTTTTTATGTATTATGTATAAAAAAAAGTCATTTACACCTAAATTTTTAATTGTCATTTAAAAATTTTAATTTTTCTAAATTTTTAATGTTTTAAATTTTCCCTGTCCGAACATTCGACTACCTAGCCATCTATCGACAAGATTCATATATATTAATTGCAAATCGTTTGTTGCCGGTCTTGCCACGTATTTGTTCCGTGGTATATTACGGAATTATTTCAAAATCAAAATGGTGTCTTGTTCAATACGTATGATGATGTGAATGTGATTATCGCGGTGTTTAAAATCTTATTAAAGAAATAGTGTTTTGTTGTTAAACATAAAGATGAGTGATCCAAAAATACAACACGGCTCAGGCGAGGTGAAGGGTTGGCTATTCAAATGGACTAACTATTTGAAAGGTTATCAGCGCAGATGGTTTGTCCTGTCAAATGGACATCTGTCATACTACAGGTATTTTCGGACGTGATATGATTTCGTCAATGAAACTAACGATCGCAGCCCTTTATTTTGGAATTGTTCCAGCAATTTTCTTAGCATATCCATTTCCTCCCCTTTATTTAGATCCTTATAACATGTAAAAAAAAAATAATAATAATAATAATCCCGCTCCACATTTGGAGGCGATGGATTGGCACAGATTGCCAAAAATTGTGCATTTTAATTTCTCAATATTTTTTTTTTATATCATTTTATTAAACTAGATTTCATTTTTAGTTTATTTTTTTTTTGTCATTCATTCATATACAATCAGTGATTCATTGTCTCTGCTTTTGATAATAAGAAATTTGATACTGAAAGTTTTTCTCTCACATTGACTGTCATATAATCATAATATAAAATTTTTTTATTTTTTATTAAAGGCTCTTTTTAATAAATAATTGTTATTTAAAATCATGGAAAAAAAATATATATATACATATATATATAAAAAGAAATATTTTCAAGTAAAATTAGGTCAAAGCTTATGTCAGTACATTCATCTTTTCAAAACAACGTTAAATTTCCATTGAAAAATAATTTTAAAAAATGTATAAAATTTCTAAACTAAATTCATTTTCAAATATTGTATATATATTTTTTTTAATAAAATATTTATATTGCAAAATTTGACAATTATTAACTATTAGTCAGCAAATAAATAAATTTATTATCAACTGGAAAAAAATTTAAACCTTTGTTTTTAGAAATATTGTTTGGCAGATAAGATATTTTCTAAAATTAAATATTATCCTGGCGTTAATAATGACTTTACTTTGCCAGCTAATGAGTTATAGTTATGAAAGTTGCAAATTCACATCTTTAATTAACATATAAGATGGTCAATATGACCTAAACAACTTTATCTACACTGCAAATCTTGAAATATCCTTCTTTGCAAATAGTGTCACAAATAAAAACAAGTAAAAAATGATCTCTAGTTTTTTTTATTCTGAATATTTAGAATTTTTTTTTTTTTTTTTTTGAAGAACTTTTAATTGTCAAAGATTTTCATAAATGACAAAGTCATTATGTAAATGATGTATATGTCATATAATTCATTTCATATACAATTCAAATCTCTTATTTAATTTTAAACTTAACTTTTGTCCTGTTTTTTTGTTTGAAAAAAATAATAAATAAAATTAAATATATATATATATTTATTATTATATAAAAATTATTAAGATTTTATTTAATTGATAAATAATTAAAATGAAGTTCCAATTTTGAAAAATATTAAACGATTTTCTAATTATTAAGATGTTAATTAAATAAAAAAAGTTATTATTTCTATTCAATTGAATAATTCAAATAGGAAAAGATAAAAAATTGTAATATATGAGTAATTTGTTTAATTAATTAATCTGGGTAATTTTTTGAAAACAATTTTTCGACACATATATATATACATTAGCACAATCAAATTCAAACATTAAACATTTAAATCATTTCTTTCAAAAGCATTTCATATTTTTGTAAATGATATCTTCTATATTAATGTGCACGTCTAATAAATGTACTACATATTTTCAGATTCTTGAAGGCCAGAGTTCTCTAAAACTATTAATTATGAACTGCAAAATTTCATTTTTAAATCAACTTTATTTGTAAAATTAATAATCGAAATAAATATTTGTTTTCTCGTGCACAAAAAAAAGCAATTTTTATAATTCTAAACAATTTTTATAAATTTTCTTTTTAAAAACTCTATTTTTAAATTTCTTTCTTTATTTAGTAGGTACTATTTGTCCATTAATTATAGTTTTATTTTGTAGATTTTTTTTTATCTCTTATATATTTTAATTTTACATCTTTTCCATTTATTTGAATTCTTCTCTCAAATGAAATTTTTTCTATATTTTTACTAATTATTTGAATTTTATCTATACATTCTTTTAACAATCAGACACAAATTTCTCACAATTTTCTAATTTTTCAAAAATGAAGTGTTATTCATTTTAAGCAAATGAGTATTATGTAAAAATAAAAAAAAACCTGCTAAAATCATTTTTCGTTTTTTTTTTTCTATAGCAAATATTGAAAAGAATGAATATTTCAAAATTCCATGCAAACAAAGTATACACAATGAATCTCTGATTGTAAGAATGAATAACATTTCACTGAATGAATTAAATTTAGAGACAATGAAACAAAAATACTTTATCATCGAGAAAAAACGTCACCTCAATATAATATTTTTGTTTATCCTGATTAGATAAAATTATTAAAAAACAGACAAATTTATTATTTTATATTTTTTTAAATTGTGCACAATTTGTGAACAAGGGCCTATTTGTTTTATGGACTGTTTAGGGCTGAACCAACAGGGGGGCCAAAGATATCTACGCGACGCAAGCGGAGGGCTGGCAGAGCCTCCGAGTAAGTAAAAAAAAAAAAATTCAATCGCCGAAATCCTGACCCTCCTTCAAAAAAAAAAAAAAAAAAAAAAAAAAACAACAACACAGAAAGCCTATTATAAATATTTTTGTCCAAAAAAATTTTTTAATCCTTCCACTTCTTGTTAAATACGGTAATTAATTTCTCCGGCGATTTAGTCCTCGTTATTTCCTTTTGGTTTTGTGTAAATTATTGTCTGCCTTCAAGATTTTGTGTCCAAATTATTTTTGTTAATGTTTCTTGTCCAAGACATTGTCAGTCTTTCATTCTCTTTCTCTCTCTCTCTCTCTTATTTTTTCCCATTCTATATCATTCTTCAAACTCCATTCGTCATGTAATGCAGAATGGTAATTACTTTCAAATCTGTTATGTAATCCACCACTTTGCACCTGCATTTCTATTATACAGTCATGTAGTTATATAAACGTAATATTTGAAATATTGTTGACAATTTCATTGGGGATCAAGGTTTCGAATTCTTTGTCGCTGTTGACGAATGCTTGCATCAAATTCTTCAGCTTGTGATTTATATATCAATTAATTCATATTTTTAAAGAAATCTTTGCATAAAACACCACATCTGAGAGTTTAAATAAAAATTCTCTCTTCATTTTTCACATGATTAATAAACATAAGGGATGAATAAAGTTTTTTTTTTTAATTATTCAATATTGTAAATTAAAATTTTTTAAATTCGAATCTTTGAATCTTCTTCATATATATTTAATAAAATGAAACTAACACCATTTTATCGCTTTGTTTTAAGAATATTATCTATATATATATATATATAAATAATAAAATAAAAAAAACTGTCGAGCATCTTCATAGGGGTAATAATATGAGATATGAAACCATTATTTCTGTTATGACTAAAAAAACCCTCTTATCGGTATTAATGAAATTAAAAAAAAAAATTTTTGTGTTAACAGCAAATTATTTAATTCTAAATTGCATGCTATTTTATTTTGCGCATGTTAATAATTTCTACAAGAAGTATTGTATTATTTTGTGGGTGTAAAATGCTTTGAAAAAAATTTATAAAATAAATTATTATGTAAAAAAATGTAATTTCGCTATAATTTGTCTAAGTAAATAATAAAATAAAAGCAAAAATTAATTGAAAGAAAAGTATATTGTTTCGAAATTGATAAAACATTTCAAATTAAAAATTAATAATTATAAAATATAAAATTAAAAAAAAAAATTTGCTAATTTTATCAATTTGTGAAACTTCTAAATTAAATAAAACTTTTGGCTTAACGTGTGATTCTTGATTTTAATGCTCCATTATCAATTCAAATAGAAATTTAATGAGAAATTTGCTTATTCAGATTTTCATTTAACTTTTATCGATCAATATAATCTTGAAATTGAATTTAACTAATAAATAGAGAGTTAATATTATAATAATTTAATGACGTAGAATAGGAAAAATTTGTTTGTTTTTCTCTGTTTAGACATCCTGCCGAATTCCCTCACACATGTCGAGGATCAATATCTTTACATGGGGCCTTAATTCACGTAGTGGACGCTTGTACATTTATCGTGAGCAATGGTGCTACTCAAACATTTCACATTAAAGCAGCTACAGAAGTTGAACGACAACAATGGGTCACTGCTCTCGAATTGGCAAAAGCAAAAGCCATTCAAGCCTTGGAATCAGGTATTTTATATGTATATTATCGTAAAATTTTCCAAAAAAAGTTTAGAATATAAAAAATTTTCCATTAAATGAAAAATTCTAAATGAAAAATTATTATTTCAGAAGAAGAGGAAGAAGAATATCAAGGCAATACTAATCAAAAGGTGGAACAAGTATCAAGTTTAAAGGACTTAACTGAAAGATTGGAACACTTGCAATCATGTAATAATTTATTAATAAATAGAGGGACAAATCTTCAAAAGTGCATAACTGACTTAGGTACTCAGGAACCTATTTCTCATGATTTATCTACAAAAGTAAAAAGTCTTACTGAGGGAGCTGTACTTTTTCGTGTTGCTGCCACTGAAATGCTTAATGTATGATTTCGATTTTTTTTTTTTTTTAACAATCTCAATGAACGACAAGAAAAAAATAATTATTATATTATTAACATCAAATTGAAAATATTTTGTAAATATCAATTAAAAATATTATTAATGTTAATAACTTGCGAAAAAAATTTTTAGGCGAGTAACGATTATTTACAATTGGCGCAACAGCAAGAACCAAAATGGAAAAAAATGCTTCAACATGAACGAGACCAAAAAGAAAGAATAGAAAAAATGGTTGAACAATTAGCTAGACAACATTCTCACTTAGAAGAAGCAGCACAACATGCCTTGCCATCGGACATGGTTCCTACGCCTCAAATGTTAAGTAAGACCAACAAGTAATATTATTGCACTACCTAATTTTAATATTTATTTTCTAATGTAAAGAATTTCTAATTTTTTAAACCGTATATACGACTACACTAAAAAAAAAACCATTTTCTTTGAATTCAAAAAATTGCTTTAAACAAAGAAATTTTATTTTAATTAAATACATTTTTTAACTAAAAGAAATTTTTCTAAAGCAAAAAAAAAAAAGTGATTTTTAGACTTCAATGAAAAAAATATATTTGATCCAATTTAAATAATAGTGAAGTTAACCGATTAATTGAAGCAAATAATTCTTTTTTCAATGCATTCTTAAAAATTTTTTAATTTATCAAAAGAAATTCTATAAATTAATAATTTTTTAAAAGAATTATTATAAAAAATATTTTTTTTAATTTTTCACATAAAGGTAAGTGATATAAGATTAGTATATCGTTTATCACTACAAGAACAAAATTATTTAAAGTTTAGAAGAAATTTTGATAAGCTTTTTGTGAAACATAATTAGATAAAAGTAATTTATCTCTTTTTGTAGTGGGTAAGTATATATTATAAATTTATCGTTATCTAGGGTGCGTGAATAAAATTGAAAAATTTGATAAAATATAGACAATTTAGTTTTGAATAGTAAAAATTTTTAATCAATTGTTATAATTTTATTTATTTTTAAATAAATAAAATTTGCTATAAATTTGCAAGTTTTCAAATAATGCAAATAGTGTCCTAATAATTGTAGTTGTAAAAAAAAAAAAAAATTTTCTAAAGGATCCGTGTATAAATTAATAAGTCCTTGAGGGAGTGTTTTTTTTTTTTTTTTTTTTTTTTTTTGTAGAAAATATTGATTATCTCTCGCGGTGAATGTGTCAGCGACTTTTGTTGAATAGTAAGATACCAGATGGCAGAGGAATACTTTTCTCAATGTGTGCTTTATACAAACTGGTATTCGATTCAGTGGAATATAATCATACCCAATCAGTGTGTAGAAATTTCTTTAAGGTGTATGTGTTATGCGTGCTAGCTTTGTCACGAGCTATTTGTCGTTACATGCACAGGTGGCCTTGCGAATTGCCACCACAAATGTTTTTTTATTTAATACGTTTAAACAACGTCTTTTTCAATATATATCTATAGTTAGTTTCAAATTTTCTAAGTGAACGTTGACAATTATTCGGCCAAGATTTTAACAAGGTCAAAAAACGAAGCAGACTGTCTAAGAATTTGATTCGATTGTCCAATGATACAAGAAATTAGCATCTTAACAAGGTTTATAAAATTTATTTACAATTTAACTAAAGGTTTCTGCCCCTTGACTTTTATTAAATTTACTTCATGCAACTCTTCATGTTCAATAGAATTCTATATCGTCAGCATCATATGATATAATTGACAAACAGGATGTGTCACTATCACAAGTTTATGTTAGCTTACAATCTCTTGCTTTAGAGTCTGCCAAAAGATTCTTTTTTTTTCCCCTCAATTATTTGCAAATCAATTTCAATTTTTTTTTCCGAGTCATCAATCAAAAAGAATTGTAATATATCTGTTTTGTAAAATTCTTATGATTATTAACGATCGATATTTATATTTATATTTATTTAAAATTATTTGATTTAATAATTGGTTTTTAATATAGAGAGATTTTGTGCGTTTACTCGCGACGATTAACAAATGTGATGAATCATTTCCTATCTGGATTTAAATATTTCAAAAGAAGATTATTGAAGCAAAAATTCAGAGGGCAACGTTTCATTTGATAAATTTTTTGCTATATATATGTATATCTTATTTGACAAAGAATTCTAACCTACTTTAATTTATGAACGTGCCAATCAAAATTTTCGTGAAATTTTTCGGAGCAATTTATACAAACTTTTGGAAGATTTTCACTATATTTAATCAAACAAGTTTGTAGATTTAATCTATATATATATATATCTTGATTAAACTAGTTTCTAATAATTTTTTGAGTAGTTTTATCAATGATTAGAAATTTTTGAACTTTGAAACTATATCTATTTTAATTAAAAGTATATAATAAAACTTTGGGTTATTTTTTTGTCGTTTAAAAAAAAAATTCATTATTAAGTCGTTTATGCTATATTTAAATAATTTTAGCTCTTATCTATAATAGATAAGAGTCAGTGTGTTCGGTATATATTTTTTTAAATTTTAACGTCTCATTGAAATTTTTAGCATCTGGTGCTTTGATCAGTTTGCCATCAGAAGAAGACGAAGATAACGCAGTTTTCTATGATGCACAAGAGAATGATTCCTATACGTTAACATTTCTTAATTCTCTATCACGTGAACGTGACCGAACTGATTCTCAAGGAAGTGACGATGGTTCTAGTTCAGAATGTGATCCAACAGTCACTGCTGATCATACAAGAAATGACACTTTTCTCATCGTGACCGACTACGAATCACTGCCAAACTCACGTGTTAAAAGCACCGAACTGGAGAAGGTAAGTTTTATTCAAAATAAAAATTTTATATTATTAATTATCAATTTTTTGTCACATAAACCTTTAGAGAATTTAATTATGGCAAGAAATTGTACTAAAAGATATTTAATATTTAGAAAAAGATTCAATTTCTATATCCAAAAGAAGGGAAATACAATAAAAATATTCTATTTCGAAAAGAAAGATAAAATTTATGGAACGTAATTAAAGAAAATATAAAAATAAAGAATAAACAGGAAAAAAAAAATGATAAATAAAACAATGAAAATTGTCACATTCCGTTTAACCTGAACCTCTAGACTTTATGAATAAAAAATAAATTTTCAAATAGAGAAAACTTAGGAAAGTAAAGAAACACTTCCTAACAAGAGGCTTGAAGTGTCTACAATATTGTACCTACATGTTCTTTGTCAGTTCTTGGATTATAGATAAGACGATTAGAATTGTAATTGTAGGCGAGATTATTAGTATTTTTAAACGCTTACGTTTTTTTTTTTTTTATAAATGATTCAAGATATTATCATTTATTAACTATGATTAATTTTTATTGTTGGTTTTATAATTTTGCTTTTTAATGACTTTTTTTTAATGTTAATAATGTCTTAGAATATTTATTTGTGAATCAGTGCGGAAGTTAATGTTTTTGTAAAAAAACAAATATTTCAATATTGTTCTTAAAATTTGATAGAGTACGAATACATCACACTCATTTGTTAAAGAAAGTATGATAGTACATAACATTTATTTTTAAACATTGAATGTTTAATTTTAAGAGATAAATATTCATTTTTATACAAAAAAAAGAGAAATGCAAATATTCAAGGATATTTAATAATAAAAATTTAGTAATTAAATAATAATTATACGCAATAATAATAATTATTATTATTATTATAAAAATGTGCATTGCATCAGAATATAAATGTGAAAAAATATTATTAAAATAACGATAAATTGAAAATGTTTTTTTTATTGGAGTATTATATCTGAAAATCAAGATACAAATTTGAGTACTTTGAATTGTTTATAAATAAAATAACACTTAACGTTTTCCGTATTTGTCAAGTGAGAGGATTTATGTAATCGTTCCGCCTAATACAATTATCGCCAATAAAAGATCTAGAGGTTAACGAGTTTTACGAAAAAGTAAATGTTATATCGAAGCCTTATATATTGAAGGTTAAATTTGTCTTTCGTTTCAATCATGATGGATTAATGCAAATTTATTGCTATAGTTTTTTGAAGAAGAAGAATTAAAAAAAAAAACTCTTTCATTTGTTACAGACGGCTTGGCAAGCAAATAATAGTAGCAGTAGTAGCAGTACCGGAATAACCACAATGCCGAAAAGAAAACGTAGAACACGTGTTGCTGATAAACCAAATTATCCCCTTAATTTATGGAGCATAATGAAAAACTCTATTGGAAAAGAATTATCAAAAATTCCAATGCCAGTTAATTTCTCCGAACCTCTTAGTATGCTCCAAAGGTTAACAGAAGATTACGAATATGCTTATATTCTCGATAGGTTAGTATAAAATTTTTTCTTTATTAATTTTATCTATATAATCCATGAATATGTGAAAGAATTTTTTTTTCGAGAGAGAAATACATTTTATTAATTAATTTGTGTTTTTTTTTAGGGCAGCAGAATGTACAGATAAATATGAGCAAATGGCGTATATCGCTGCGTTCACTGTATCAAGTTATTCCACAACAGCAAATAGAACAGGTAAACCCTTTAATCCATTACTGGGCGAAACGTATGAATGTGATAGAACTGATGATCTTGGCTGGAGATCAATTTCGGAACAAGTGTCCCATCATCCACCCATGGTAGCGCAATATTGCGAAGGACGAAAATGGCGTTGTTGGCAAGAATTTACAATGGCTTCCAAATTTCGCGGAAAATACCTCCAGGTAATTTCAATCATTTTCTATATTTGAAAAAAAATGTATTTACTATTTTTGTTCTATTTCAATGTGAAATTAGAAATATTTATTTGGAAAACAAATTTCTAAAAAGATTTTTTTTTTCTAAATTAAAAATTGTTCATAAATTTACAGGTGATACCACTTGGTACAGCGCACCTGGAATTCAATTCGAATTCGCAACATTATACCTGGCGAAAAGTAACGACAACAGTTCATAATATAATAGTAGGAAAATTATGGGTTGATCAAAGTGGAGACATGGATATCATTAATCACACCGATGGAATCAAGTGTCATCTTAAATATACGCCCTATTCATATTTCTCAAGAGACAGTCAACGAAAAGTTAAAGGTGTCGTGATGAATTCTAATACTAAGGAAGTAAAATGGGTCGTCCAGGGTACATGGGATACAAAAATAGAAATAGCTAAAGTCACTAACACCACAGGAACACCAGACAATCCCGTTTATAAAACTGGTCCCTATATTCTTGCCTGGAAACGTCACATGCCACCGTACGTAGTCAAAAAAATTTTCATAAAGATCATAGTAGTTAAACAAAATTTGAAAAATAATTTTCTTTACTTTTTTTTCACAGACCAGATAGCGAAAAGTTTTACAATTTTACCGAATTAGCCTGCCAACTTAACGAGCCGGAAGAAGGTATTGCTCCTACCGATTCCCGTTTAAGGCCTGATCAACGATTAATGGAGGAAGGACTCTGGGAAGAGGCGAACACTGAAAAACTTCGACTAGAAGAAAAACAACGAGCAGTACGACGAGCACGCGAAAGCGAAGCCGAAAAGGCTACTGATCAAGGTGAGTTAGAAAATAAAATTGAATTTTGCAATATTAAAAATATAAAAGAAATAAATTATTTCTTTGATTATTTTTAAACTTGCAAATTTCATTTTGAATATTTTATTTCATAAATTAAAATTTTTAAAAATCAATTACGAAACAATCTCAGAAGACAATTTTTCTAATGTTTTAGGTATGCCATACGAGAGTTATGAACCACTTTGGTTCAAAAAACAAGAAGATCCATTTACAGACAGCCTTTGTCATATGTACAATGGAGAATATTGGGAGTGTAAAAATAAGCAAGACTGGTCGCGATGTCCAAATATATTTTAAGTTTATAATCGAACGATAAATCAGACCTCAGCAAATTCTCAACAAAGTAATCTCTACTAAAAAAAAATAACAAATCGTTTACAAGATGATTATTATCCGGATAAAATATAACATTTTATGTCAAAAACAATTGAAAGATACATTTCCAAAGTATCGAATTATTCAAGCACAAATCGATAAATAACTATTTCAAAGATTCATCTTTCGCACAACTATGGCGGTATTTTTTTTACTACTACTGTAGTCGTACGAAAGAGTTAATCGTTGGCATTTTTTTTTTTTTAATTACATTTTAATTTAAAACAAAAAATAAACTTCCGTTCAAATCACTCTGAGATTGAATCTCAATTGTGCTTTGTAATTAAAATTCCTATTAATTAGAGACAAAAGCGAGGGTAGGGTATATAAGAAAATAATTAAAGAGATCGACAAAATTTGGAGTTTAACTCGAAAATTATGTCGTCTCGTTCAAATATAATAAATATTTCCTGTCCATGATATACATTTGCTAATATATATATATATATACATATATACTTTTATTATTATTAATAATATTATTATTATTATTATTGCAAAACGAATCTGATTGTATCAAATGATTTGTGTTGCTCAAGAATAGTCTACATGAAGTAGATATTCGTAAAGAGTCATTTTCAAATGTAATGCACATATTAGGAGCTAATTAATTACTGGGCGGAACAACTAATTTGCATCGAAACATTTACATTAATTGCAGGCTGTACTATAATTTATATGACATCGCTGTACACATATAAATACAGAGTAATTATATAAAGATAAATAAGATAATTACATAGATATAATTATAAAAAAAAAAAATTATACGACTATAAGAAAAAAAAAAGTGGAAACGTTAATAAAGATAAATAATATAATGATTAATAAATTTAGTAGAGATGCTTGTAAATTAGTCGCTCGCTGAGAATTAATCGCTTTGCTACGGAATCAATGTAATTTTTGTAGGTTATATTTAACGTGTTGAAAGATTCTTTGGTAAAACAACCAGGAGATAATTGATAGTTTTTAATAAATCTGTTATATATTTTAACACCAGTAGCAAAAAAAAAAAAAAAAAAAAGAATCGTTTTTGCATTGTATGTAAGTATTGTAATATGTATATAATAATTGATTTATAATTGTAAAAAACACTTGTTTGCTTGTATAGCTTGAGGTAAAACAAATGTTTTCATTTCAATTTTAGAACAATTTACTCCATTTTCGGATTATTATTCAAATATTTGATAAACATATTTAAAACACTCTTAAAATTTTTTTTTTAATTGTCAAATTTCACGTTCATCATTATATTTAACACATATTTGATCAAAAATTATCCGAATATGGAAATAAATAACTTTAGCAAAAGACTTTTAATTAAATACGTTCTTTCCAAGAGAATTCGATAGAATTTTTAAACATTATTCTAAAGCTTAACTTTAGCCAATTTTTTTCATTCTGATTATTAATTAAAAACAAAAAAAAAAGAAATGTCCAATCATGAGTAGATAAAACGAAGCAATGAGAAAAGCAGACAAAAAATAAAACAAAAGAAATGAAAGTCTATTCAATTGTTTAATTTTTCAATAAATTGATAATAATTGACTAAAGTCAAGCAATTTAACAAAATATTAGCTTTATGTAAAAAAAAAAAATAAATTTGTTAATATTGTTTTGGCTGCAGTTTAAATTTATATTATCGAAACGTGTATTAAAATTTTTTTTAAATTATCCAACGTTTATTTAAAAGACCAAATCAAATGTAAAATTGAAAATTATTTTATGAAAATATAAAAAAAAGAAAGACGAATGAATGTAAAAAAACAAAGGTCAACGATAAATTAATTTCAAGAATAGAATCTGTAACATAAAATAGGTACTAATAATATTAAAATAGGCCTTAATATATGACACGTTCGACTAAATTATTATTCGTCTTTTTTTTTTAATTTTTATGATTATTTAAAAATCTAAAAATCCAAAAATCAAGTTTTTATTACAATTTAATAGGAAAATTAATTAAAAATATATGTTATAATCAACTGTTAACTTTAAAGAGTTTAAAAATACTTTATACATATCGAAAATAAAAAAAAAAAAAAACAGTTTTCCGTTAATATTTTCCATTGAGAGAAGAAGACGTTACATTTGGAAACAATATTTTTATATTCCCTTTTTAGTGGAATGTTAAATCGAAACTATTCATTGTTCTCATATATTATATTCTTATTTAAAGATTTTTTTCATATTTTAATGACTAGTTATTTTTCAAAAATTGAAAAATTTTGATTGTCAAAAATATATGACATTTGTATACTTTAAACTGTAGCCATTTGGAGAATAAAAATAAATATATTATTAGATTTAAATATAAAACCTGTTATTTATTTATTTCAAAATGTATTAATTTATTTTTAGCTTTAGTTATAATGTAAAATGTAAAATTAAATATATCGCGATTATGTGATTATCGAATTTTTTTGTATAAACAAACAAATAAATGAATTTTTTTTCAAATTTTTGATATTTTAGGTATATACGTATAAATAATGTAATAAATTATAAAATATAGAACAAAATAATGTTTCTGAAAGAAAAAATAAGATTAATAAAAATAGAAAAAAATTTTATCTCACCGATGAATCATCTGAAAGTAATAATTAGACATACATATATACAAAACATTTAAAAAAATCCCCAATATAAAATTACTGAACAATATAGTGACCTAAAACAACTCACATACATTTAAACGCAAAATTGATTCCGATTTCCCTACCTATTTTTCAGAAAAATAACGATCCCGACTTTCCTACCTATTTTTGGGAGTAATAACGATTTTCATTCACATACACAAAAAAATCTGCCTACCTACACCTGTATACTAAAAAAAAACCCTAATTCTCATTTACACCAATAAATAATATATAGGTACATACATTCATAATATAGACTTGAAGTTCTGATGAATATTGAAATAATCAAATTTAATTTAATTTATAATTAATTGTAAATTACAATTAATTTTAATTCAGTTTAATTTTATTGAATTTACAACAATGTAAACAAAATATTCCGTTTAATATAAAAAATCTTCTTTGTAGTTTAATTTTTTATTTTTAAACTCGATTTATTTATATTTAATTAAAAAAAATGAAAGCATTCTTCAGAACTTCAAGTGAAAGTTGATATAATAAATATTAATTTTTATTGAAACAAAAATTAATATTTATAATATTATGTCTATATATTTATTATAATACAGAAATAATAATGTATATCAACAGCGTCACTATATTGTTTAATAAAAAAGAAACTCACCGATCGCGGATCCTTCGTTGAGATTATGTATATGCGCCGCACTTGTTCCTCCTCAATCTTCAGAACCGAAAGAGCTTTCCTAGCGTCGCGCATTCTCTGCTCATACTCCTTTCCAATTTTCTTTACACTTTTCTTCATATACTGAAAAATACAAAAAAAATAAAAATATTAATAATTAATCAAATAATTTTTTTTAAATTGTTTTATAATTATTGGATTCATTGAAGTTAAATATTTATGTTCAGAGACAGCAATTATAAATTAAAATAAATAATTAAATGTGAAAAAATAAATTTAATCAATTGGTTATTGAAATTAAAGTTGTAGTTAAATTATTTTTCATAATTCGAAAAAAGAATTATTATTCTTACAATTAACTGCGACTCAGCTATACAAGATCTCCTCCAGGAGCTGCTCCGCTACAAACTCGAACATTATAATCCTTTAGGAATAAGCACACACAACACAAACACTTTTAAACACTCCACTATTTGTTTGCACTATATTATTTACGCAACAACTGAAACACACTATTTTTCATTTTATTTAAACGATTGTTGAAATGTATAAGAATTAGTTCACTATAAAATTACGAATATATATTCACACCGGCACTTATTAGTTTTATTAATATTAACGGCAAAAAAAGCAATTTTAAAGACACTCGACAATACACAACGCGTAATAATAATAAAATTAAAAAATATTGGGACCGGTTAACTGCAAGAACTACAATGTAAAAGTAGCCATCTTGCGTCACTTTTGAGAAACTTCAGACATACATAAGTTTTACTAAACAATTCCGAAGCTATATAACTTTCTAGTTATAAAAAATACTTTTCACCTAACCATACGACACATTAAATTAATAAAAAAAACTAATATTTAAAAAGAAACCAAAAATATTCAATACATTTTTTCTAGCATCACATTCACATAATATTCTAGACACCTTTCTTCACTTTTCATTTACCACACTCACACTCAGACAATGACTATTTTAACCATTTTTACTATATAATACCGAAATACTTTTAATTTTAAGTAAATTTTCTGGAAGGGAGAGTAAAAAAAAATATAAAAAGCTCCATAGGAAAATAATTTACATTCGGAAGTTATAAAGTTATTTGTAGACTAAGTGAATAAAATAGGAAACTATTTAACGATTTGTCGTTCTAATCATGATTATTCATCAATTCAATACACTGGAATGCAAAATCCTAGAAAATTGTTAATTAAAAATTTTTGACGTAGAGATCCTCCCCCTTCCAGAAACGACGTTGAACTGAAGTTTTCACCCGCTGTGCAGTATTTATATGTGGCTGAGTGAGACAGGTCAGTCGTTACCCCCACTTTCTGCCACAACGCTCTCTCATTGGCTGAAGTGGACCGGAGTGGGGGGCGAGACTCCACGTAAATACTGCACACTAGTGGAAGAAGCACAGCAGTTCGCTTTTGTTAACGAGGGGGCTATATTTAATTTTAAAAATATTTTTTAATATTTTTATTATTCATAGTATAAATATCAATGAATATTATTGAAAATAACACAATCGAAATAAAATAAATTGTTAACATTCGCGAAGACAATGAATCGATTTCATTTGTAAATATTAGAAAATACAAAAGAGGCAGAATATTTTTAATAAAATAATATTACTTCTATTTTTTTTTTAAATTTAAATAAAATTTGTTGCTTCAAAAATTTTGAAAACAAGCCTTTAATTTTTAGTTCTTCAAGCTAACACATGAGCGCTTTCATATTTTTGTTGTCGCTAGGTTCTTGTCATGTTCTTGTTATGTCGGCTGCTAAAAAGTCTTTATTGTGCATTCAGCCGGATAATATTTAACACGCTGTGTTGTGCTTTCTCTTAACTTTTGTTGCTAGAATCAGTTGACAAAAGTAAAACACCATGACCGCTACTGCTAAGGAATCAACATCGCGTTTATTATCATTAGCTAAAAAATGTAATTGCTTCTACTTGTCAGGTAAGACAAAACGCTCAACCCGCAAGGGTGGATATCGATCGCAAACTCCTTCGCCATGCATCTTTTTTGCACTATAAATGAAAAAACCCTGACTTTCTGATAGCTGTGCACCAAAATATCGATTTTAAACAATGACGTGTCGTATATTTTCTATTTTTTTTGTATTTTAATTTGTTTAGTAGAAAATTTTATGTTTTTCTTTTGATATTTTTAAATATTCTGCTTTTCAAGCTAACGCTATAGACAAAAACATATTTGACAAGTGACATATTTTATTTATAAAATGAAATTTTTTTTATACAGTTTAGATAATTTTTTTTAAATTTCTTTTAAATGCGATAATTAGTAGCTTTGTGGTATTTTCATTTGCGGTTTTGTAATCAAATAGAAGGTGGGGGGAAAAATGCATCTGTCAAATGGCAGATGCTCAATTGTTAAATTTGTATATGAAAGGTATACAAAATAATTACCTTGTCTTTGTATGTTATCTACATATATGAAAATAATTCTTAACTTGAATATTAATTGTAGAATATAAATTACTTTTCTGTAGTTTTATAATCTTGCCTCGTGGTTTGTTTGAATTTTGTTTGTAAACATTTCTTCTCTTTTATCAATTAAATTTCTTTTTGGCATAACGATAAAAAAAAATTTGATTTATATGTAATATTAATTCGAATTTAATAGATGTTATAAAAAATAACGAAATTTTAATATTTCTTATCATTTTTATAAACAAAATTTTTTTTATTATTATTGCAACAGTTTTTTTTCTATTGAAATAGGCGCTTTGTTTACTTGTTATCTTATAACTGTCTTTTTCAAGATAGATAAGATATGAAATAAACCATTATATTTTAGTTTCTATTATTTCTATTTTTTTAATGTAATAACTAGTGGATTTTATGCAAAATTTGAAATATTAAAAAAATTTATTTTTTTTTTTTACTATTTTAATATACAGTATTTCTTAATCAAGGAACAATTTCCTATATCATGTGTCGTAATCACGTGAAAGAAATATATTCTACATGACGCATACTGATATACTATAGAGAAAGCTTTAGTTGGAAATTCAGAATATAAAATTTATTACAATTTACTATTTAGCATAAATTTGTGAAAATAATTTTAGTTTTTGAATTTGTTCTTTATTAGTATTATAATTTATTCTATATTTAATATTTTTTTTCTTTATAATTAAATATTTATAATATATAATTTTTAATTGAATTTAAAAGAAAAAATTTTCTTTTAATTAATTATTTTATTGTGAGAAATAATTGTGAAATTACAAAAGAAAAAAAAATGTTTTAGGATTCCATTCAGGTGAATGCAGAGCATTTGTCGTCGATGGGCAACAAGTGGGACTTGTGAGGCCGGATGTGATGAAAGAACTTTTAAAATATCCCCAGGTAATAAAGTGGGGAAAAAAAAAGAATTATAAATGATATCCTGTAATTTTGAAAACAATGTATTTTTTTTATTGTTAAAATGACTTGATGCCATTTAATTCTAATTACCAGGTATTTCAAGTTCAACCAGAATACGTTCAACTGAATCCTGCCTTTAGAGATTACACAGAACGGAGTGAAAGGGTTGATCAAGTTTTAAGGAAATGGAAGGAAGGAGGAAAGTTCGTCACTTTGCGAGGTTGGCGAGAAGAATATTATGATGTTCGAACTCAATTTAATACCCCACCTTTATTTAAAATGGATCGTTCTGCAACTTGTAAGTGATATTTAAAAAGAATTTATTTTGAAACATTTTAAATATTTTTTCAAATATTGAAAATTATTTTTAATTAAAAATTTTTTAAATAGGTTTATTTGGAATTCGAAAATATGGCGTCGATATTAATGGATATGTAATGGATCCTGTAAAAGGACTTTCAATTTGGGTACAAAAGCGAAGCTCAACTAAACAAACGTGGCCAAGTTATTGGGATAATTTTGTCAGCGGTGGTTTAAGTGTTGGTTTTGGTATTCATGAAACTGCTGTTAAAGAAGCTGGCGAGGAAGCTGGAATTCCGAAAAATTTGATTTCCAAATTAAAAAGTGCAGGATGTGTCTCTGTATTTTTTGAATGTGAAAGAGGATTATTTCCAAATACAGAATTTATATATGATTTAGAATTGCCACTTGATTTTAAGCCAAAAAATGGTGATGGTGAAGTTGAAACATTTGAACTTTTACCAGTTCAAGAATGCTTGGAACTTGTTCTCTCGCCAAAATTTAAAACAACATCCGTTCCAGTTGCTTTGGATTTTATGATTAGACATGGATTTATAACATCGGAAAATGGTGAGATATTTATTTTATTTTTTTCATCATATATGAAAAATATAATTGTAAATTAATAAAAATAAAAAATTCTTTCTAATGTTTCAGAGCCGAATTTTATTCAAGTCGTAGAATTATTACATGTACCATTGCAAACGATGTTTAATCAACCGCAAAGGAAATATAAAATAGCTGCCAATGGAGAAGCGAACGATGCGATAGAACGAGTTTAAATGAAAAATAGGTACTAATTCCAAAAAAAAAAATTAAACTATTGCGATTTGGATAAAATGTCAAAATTTCAGTTCCATTATTAGAGTTTGGTAGATAGCATTTTTCACTTTTCAATTTATTCGTTCAATTTTTCTATTGCGAAATGTAAGATTGTAGTTTTTGCAATTTTTTACAAAAGTCAAAAGAGAAGGCCGTAAAAATACTCTACTCATTTTACGAAAACTTGTTTTCTTTTTTTTTTGAAAATTTCATTAGTTAAATTATTGATATTCTAATAATGAAATTAATTTAGTTATTTAAGTAATTTCGCACAAAAAAAGTATTCATTTTTATTTTACTCTCCGAGCGCTTCCAAGCTTCTAGAGATGAAAAATAAAAAATAGCCACTCGTTTGATTTGAATAACGCACTTCTATTAAAACTTTTTTTTTTTTTTTTTTAATTAATTTATTAATATTGAAGAATAATACCTTCCTAATTCTTATTATGTGACCCTATGCTGTGGTGGGTGTTATTTGAAAAATAATTTTGAAACCTTGATTTTTATATTATATAATAATATGACTGCAACAGAACTGAAAGTGAATTTACTGTATTAATTTTGTTAAATTAGAGGAAGTTTAGATGTTTTATCTTTTACTGAAATTTATTAAATTGAGTGTTTTTTATACTGTGAAGATATTCTCAATATTGCAAAAATATTCGATGTAGAATTTTTTGCTAAATAGAAAAAAAAAAAAAAAACAATACCGTGTTAGAAATATCAAAATTGTAGATGAGAGAAAATTGCCTAAATGTGAATGATATTTTGAAGTAGGTACAATATATTTACAATTAATTTTTTTGTGATGATATTTTTATCATTTAAATGAATTTTTTTTACATTAATTTCTTTTAAAATATTTATTTTATATTTTTAAAATACATATTTTAAAAATTTATTTAAAATTTACTCCTGTTCAAAAAAAAAAGAATCTATTGGAATTGAATCGTCATTTATTTATTATTAATGAACTTAAATTATAAAATATTTGTTTAATGAAAAAGAAATGTTAAATGTGTCCCATTTTGGACAAAACTGGTATGCTATTTATAATAGAAAAAAATTAGGTAGATTTTTTGAAGGAAAACTTTTTGACTAATGAAATCAAAGATATTCAGAAAGTCATTGAGTGTATTTCGTTAGCATGGATGAAAAAAAAATTGCTATTACATATGCTTATTCAGATTTTTTATATGTTGCGTGAAAAAAAAAAAATAATTGGACTAATGTAAATTCTAATTTTTACTCATGTTTGAAATTCATTCTCGTGAAAAAACTCTATTTGGATTATTGTACTTTTATTAGTATTTTCAATTATTCTCCGATAAAGTATGCAAATTTTTATTAAAAAATATTTTCAAGTTAAAAAGAAAAAAATGATTAAACAATAATTGTTTCAAGGGAACTGAACAATGAAAAAAAAAGTATTTTTTGCATACTCTTTGTTATTCTTATTTTTTTAATTTGATCACAATAACTTATTTCAAAAATAATAAAAGGAAAAAAATGAATAAATTTTTAATATATTGGCTGAAATTAAAAATTAAACGTAAAGAAATTAACATTCCAAGAACGAAATTTGTTCAATTAGCAAAAAAAAAAAATAATTTTTTTGTAATTGTTTTCGAAATTATTGAAAATATAATATGTGAAGCACTTGTGCATTTGTTTAAGAGAAAAAAAACTTGATAAATTAATCAGCGTACTTGAATTACGAATCATATTTCGTATCATATACGTAAATAGAAATATGGCCTGAAGTTGTTAATTGATTTTTTTTTTTGCTTGTCACTTTTGTGTCTTAAATACTATTGAATATTTGTTGAATGCCGTTGATAAAAATAAAAAGAGCTCAAATTTTCTTTGTACTTCGTGCCTAGTAAATAATTTCTTCGAAATTAATAGTTTTTATCAATAGTTAGATTTTTTATAATCAAATATAGTTACAGACTGTTCATATTATTATTATTATTATTATAATTATAAAGACTGTATTATTCGTTTCATTTTAAGTGTATCAATTGTTTCCATTAAAAAAAAGTATGTACACATTTTGAGATTCTAAAAAGAATTTAATAGTTAGTGTATATAACGAAGGATTGGCAAAAGTCTTCATCTAGATTTTAAATAATAAAAATTCATATTTGTTGATTATGCAAATAAAGAAATAAACAGCTGCTCACATCTATATATATATACATATATATTGATCATTCTAATTTAACAATCTTTTTATTCCTACATCGAAAATAGAAAATTTTAATTAAAAATTAATTTATCACTATAGTAGAGATGATAAATTTTATTGTCAGACAAAATATTCTTAATTATGAAAAAATATTTCCTATAAAAATTATTTCAAGATCACAAGGTATACAAATTAATAAGCCTCTCTCTCTCTCTTTTTTTTCTATAAAAAACGTAGTCTTTATTTTGAAAAAAATACCTTCGGTCATTTCTCTTTTTTCTTTATCTAAAAAAAAGAAGCTTCAGCGTGGCGTAAATATATCAACAATGCGTTATTTATTTATTTATTTATTTTTTTTAAAAGCACGCGAAAGAAGCTTATGAAAATTCACAACATCGAATTTGTTTCGTATATTATATATATATATTTAGAAATCTCATGAATCAAGTCCTGAGAAAGTCTTTGATGAGATTCAGGATGTAGATTCGATCGTCTTTCCTTTTTTGTTTTAAGAACTTTCAGACTTTGTACTCTATAAGAATTTTTGTCTGCGACTTATTAAATATATAAAAAAAAATGATCAAGATTCAACTTCCGTTAAGTTGTTCGCGCGGTGTGTAGTTGACTAGATGACTTTACGTATCTTCCTCTCTGGAAGCATCGAAGGGCAATGCCCTAATTTTCTTTTCGTTTTCTTCTTTCTTTTTTTGGAAAGTCACGTCTCAAAATACTTATAAATACTGGTCACATAGGTCATAACCTGCTGCCAGTCGGGACGTTCCAATTGGCACATATCCCCTATATTCTACAAAAAAAAAAAAAGAAGAAAAATTTAATATAAAAATTTGTATTCTAAAAATTTACAATATTTAAAATTGAAATTTACCAAAGTCGTTGGTATCCCAACACATTCAGCGGCAGCGAATGCAATTGAGAAATTTCGTTTCTTTTCAGTGGGAGTTAAAGAATCATAAGGAACTTTATCGGGTAAATATGTATGCAAAATTGCACAGAGAGCGAGTCCATCATTCCAAGAGCTACTGAAATTTGTTATATCGATATTACGATATCCTATTGTTTTGTTCTGACACCATTTGAGCAGTGCATTTCTTCTTGAGCCACCGTTTTTTACAAGGCCACAAAGCGGATCCTTACGATCTGACAAATCGGTAACACTATTTCTTCTAACAAAATCTATTGTTTTGGCATTGATAGCTGCCGTATCGAGCAACTGACTTGGACTTAAAACCACTGGTCCCGGTGGCTTTGATTCTATAAAAATTTTTACTTTTTAAAATTGTAATTTTTTTTTTAATTTGTAGATTTTGAAATGAAAAACAATTACCTGGATATGACTTTTTTCCATTTGGAGATTGATTTTTATTATTATTATTAGTAGAATTCGTTGGACAAATAAGATTGGACATTTGTTGTTGATCACGAAGTGGAGCCTTCAAAGATATCACATCATTTGTTCCTATAGAATTAAGAGATGAGGTAGAGCTACTCCTACTTCCTGGTCCTGTTAAATAGCGGAAAATTTAGAAAAATTTTTATTATTTCAAAAAATTGAAATGAAAATTAATTTACCAGCTTTCGCTTGTTTGGTTGCATTTTCTATACTTTCTATCAAACATTTCACTGAAAGTCTCGAATCTTGTCGTGATATATTCGCCTTTCGACTTCTTGCAATTTCCTGTTGTACATTCGTCAGTACGCATTGTTGCGTTTCAGTTGGTGTTGTCGGAAACCTCGAATTTTGCGTCACAGTATTCTTTTGATTCGCTATTAATTAAAATTAATTTTTTTTTTTTACTAACTTTCCTTATATTTTAATAAAAATGAAAAAAGTTTTGTATTTTCTTGCAAAAACTCACCCGAATCATTAAGTTTATCCAATTGTGCTTCTAATGCTCGTAATTTATCCCGTTGAGCTTTATTTTCCATGACAACTCGTTCCAATTCGGTTTGCGCTTCAGTTTTAAAATCATTTGCAACTCGAACTGTCATCAACAAATCAGTTTGAAATTGTTCCCATTCGGTGTTTTCCTCCTGTCGTAATTTTCGTTCTTCAGCCAATGCACGTTCCAATTCAAACTGACGATTCTGCGCCTCTCGTTCACGTCGTTGTAATTCACTTAAAGCCGCTTTCAATTCACGTTTATCTTCTAAATGTCGTTGACATTGTGCTTGAAGTTCGGCAAGTGAATCTCGTACCAATTGTAATTCTGCATTTACAGACAATCGTTCGTCTTTCACTTGATTCAATCGGTATTCTAAATCCTCGACTACAGATTTTGAATTATTACGCGCCACCTTAAAGAGACAAAATTTCGTAATTATTTTAATTTAAAACTATTTTGAAAATAAAAAATAGAAGAAGGAGAAAAAACCTTGTACTCCTCTTGAAGTTGTGAAAATTGATCTCTCAATCGGTCATGATCACAATAAGATCGTGCTAATTGTTCCTGAAGTGCTGCGGCCTGTGTTTCTAAAGTGTCTTTTTCTTTTCGTGCAGCATCCAATAATTCATCTGCCTCACTTTTATTTTCCAATTGTCTCGATTGTTCAAGTTCCTCTATTTTGGCTCTCGCATTTTCCAAAAGTGTCGCTAGCCTATTAATCTCAATTCCTTTGTTCACGCCCTCTTGTTTCGATTCTGTTAATTCAAGATCTAAAACTTTTTTTTCTATGTTTACAGCCTCAATAGCAGATTCTAGAAATTGAACACGTTTCGTTAAACTATCAGCTTCCGAAGTAATTGTTTCGACAGTTGCTCTAAAATTCTTTAACTCGGAATTCAATTCCTCCTGTTTTTCCAAAAGACTTTCTCGTTCTTCTTGAGCACTCTAAAAAAGGAAAATTTACTTAAATTTTAAATCTATGGAAAAGATGTGTAAAATATTGACACAATTACCTTAAGAAGATCAACGAGTTTTTGTTCTCGTTCTGTATTATATCCTTTCCATGATTTTTGTGGTTGCTCTTCACGAAGAAGAAGTCCTTGTAAAGTGTCAACTTTAGAACGAGAATCTTCGAGTTTCTCTGTTTGTCTACAAAGTGATTCAAGTAATACACCTTTCTCTTCATTTAATCTATCATTGTCTGCTTGAAGTTCAGATAATTGTGCCTAAAATTTTTTAAAAAAAATTATTAAATTTCATAAAACAAAAATTAAAAATAAAATGCTATAAAGATTGTATTTACTTGCAAATCACTAAGTTCTTGAATAGTTGCTTGTAATTCTTCATTAGTTGAATAATGTGTCTCTTCCATTTGTAGAATCCTGTCCTGTAGACAGGTAACGGATACTTCAGATACTGATGATCGTTTATCCCATTCAGGACCACTGTTTTCCTTCTTTTCTCGTGGTACATTTGTAGATACACAATTCTCTGCTTCTTGATGAATGACAATCGAAGCAGGAGCAGAATTATGAGGTCTAGTCGCATCCAACAACTGCTGTTTCTCCGAATCGGATAACGGAGAGTGAGAAACGTCTCGTAGTCGAGCTCGAAGAATTTCGTTTTCTCTGGCTAAGCGCTCTAGTTCCGAATTATGTTGATCCTATATACACACACAACATTAACAATACAATTAATACTTTTTCTCTTATATGCGAATTTCTAATTTTAATTACCACTAGATATTATTATATTTCAAATTCAAATAACTAAAAGTAATTATCAAGTAAATAACATTTTACAAAAAGATTACAATATTATTCAATGAAATAAAGAAAAAAAATCGTGTCTTAAATACCATGAAATTCCAATGAATTTTTGCAATATTTTCTGCTATTCAAAGCGCTCTTTAATGATCAGCTTGCAAATTTTTGCAGACTGCGGAGAAAAAATCGTGAAATTCAAGGGTACAATACAATATATAATTATATAACGAGAACGTAAACTTAATAAGCTTTGGAAAATCCATACTAAGACCTATTATAACATGTACAACTTTTTTTCTCCAAATAAATTACCTTGCAAATATTAAGATTTTAATTTAAATTTCACTAAAACAAATATCATTTTATTAAAAGAAGAATCTTTCCAAAATGTTTTTTTAAAAAAAAAATTTACAAATGAACCTAACCTACATGATGTATACATTACCATTAATGGATCCAAATTGCTTTTTAACATGTTCTTTTTTTTTAATTCTTCTAATTATTTAAAGTTTATTTTACACGATTAATCAACATTTAAACGTTAATTTTAATACACGAACACTTTGTTTTAAGAACAAATTTCCCCACTGTATGAATTTTGCTGCAGTCTCCACAGCAGAAAAAAAAACGACGGAATTACCTAACATAACCTCTAAAAACTTAGTTGAAAACGGATATGTGTGCGAGTGATATACTGAAATTTAATATTTTTACTCAATTGAATTTACAAGTTCTGCAATTATTGTTGTGGTTTAGATGAAAATTTTAATAATTTCAAAAATGTTTTATTAATTATAATGATGAAATCATGAAAAAATTCAAAATAAATGACGAAAGAAATTGCCGCCTTTTTACTTTGTTGTCATACAGAAAAGTGAGTATAGAAATTTAAATATATATGTATACATTAATTAAAAAAATGTCATTATTTACAAATTATTCAATAATTATCTCTGTTTACCTGTTTTTTCGCTTATGTAACAAATGCAAACATATTATTGACAAATGAGCATTATTTTTTTTAAAGCTTATGACAGATGTATATAGATTATGAGGATGTTTTTTATTTTTATTATTTGTGACAATTGTCGACAATTTTAATTAAAGGATATATTTTGCTTTAAAATTACCTGTTTTCTTAGGTTATATCCATAAATTTGTTTTGTATCTATACAAATTTTTTTTGTTGGCATCTATTTTGAAAATTGAATAGCAAAAAAAAAAAAAATAATAAATAAATAACTACGATGTATTATACCTAAGGCATAAAATTATTAAAATTGAATACCAATTTCAATATTTACGTAATTATATGCCAAGGATTTATATTTGCGTAATGATACCAATAAGTAATAATATCTATACATGAATCAGTCATCTCTCTGCATTTTTCTAAATATAATAATAAAAAAACGAATATATTACAATGTCCCTTTAAATATTACGCAAAGACATCATAAATCATTCTCTTTTAGAAATATTAGAATATTTTTTTGAATTCTGTTTTAGAAATATTAACAATGAATATTTTTCTGAATTCTTGGATTTTTTTAAAATGTTTTTTTTTCAATATTGGAGAAAAAAATAATTGAAATTGAGAAAGAAAAATAGTTTTGAAAAGAATTGAATTCTGACGATGTAAACACACTATCCTCGAGTTGAATAATATATATCTATATATAATGCGGTCATTAAATCGCGTGCATCATGGAGCGAAAAGAACTACTTCCAAAGGAATAACGGCAAACTTTCATAATTATTTTACCTTGAGTAGCGCAAGTTCCGCGTGATGCTCATCAAGTCTCTTTGGATCACAAGTGGAGGGATTTCGTATATTGACATCAAAATGTGAACGTTCCTTACGTAAACCATTTTCACGTTCAATTTCTTGCATCCTTTCATAGGAGCCCTTTGCCAAGGGCGCTCCTTTCATCATTGAATGTTGATTACGTGATGTATTATTTGTACCGGTGACACTGACCGATGTTGGCACTGTTTCACGGCCCACCATCGATGACGATGATGACAGCCACATATCCTCGTGCGGCGAACCGCTCGACGAGGCTTGGGTCGGCGGCGCCACTTGTTGCTGTTGCAATTGTTGTTGATTGTGGTTGTTACGGTGACGATGGGGCTGTTTTTGCTGAGACTGATGGCTATGATGTCCTCTGCGAAACAGCGACTTGAATTTCATCATTGTCAATCGATCTCTTGTCAATTCTCAGTGAAACACATTACTTATTTTTGTTTTTTTTTGCAGTAATTGAAAAGGATTTTCAATCCTCGAGATTTTTTTTTTTTTTGCTTCCCTTCTATGACCTTATCGTGGTCCACTTACTCCGGTTTTTTATCCCCTACTCTTCGGTTTCTGTACGTTTATAATCTCGCTTATCTGATGATTTGAATCATCTCCAAAGATAGTTGAGTCCTGATAAGATAGACTCTAGAATTTTTCACGCGATTTTCAAATGAAAAACTTTTTGTGTGAAAAGAAAAAAATTCTCCCAAGAGGAAAATTTACACATTTTTTTTTTTATAAAAATTTTATGCGGATTAAGGGGGACAAGGAAACTTGGATGTCATCTCTCTGTAAGACAGCGCGGTGAAAGCCAAACTATGACACATTTCGTTGAGAAAGAAAAAAAAAAAAAATTATCTACCACCAGTGTCTTTGCTCTCCATGTGCAACCAATCGTTTGAATCTTCGACCACTTGTTGCGCCCATTAAATATAATCCAGTAGCGTACATCTGCTCTTCTTTTGGTTCACTTAATAAAAAAAAAAAAAAAAAAAAAAAACCCGTTATATACTTCTTGTCCTCGGTTATAAGAAAATAATTTCAATTTTTGTTGTTTTTAAATTCTCTATTTATGTCAACTTGGATCTTTAATTGAACATGAACAATAATTTTCATGAGGGAAATGGGAAAATTTGTCTCTGTAGAAATTCATCTCTATAAGAAGAAGGTCGATCGAGGTCAGAAAAATGATAAGAACGATATTCAAAAATTTCAATCATTCTGTGTATTTCTGACAAATTTGTCAATTTCAAAAAAAAAAAAATTATTTTTCTATCATGAAATTTTTTTTTTTTATTTTAATTGAATAATTTTATTTAATTGCATTTTTAATCACTTGATCAGTACACGACATATTGAAAAAAAGGACGGTGCGGAGACACGTAAGCAATAATCAGTCAACGACAACCAAACGCATCGACAAACGGTGTATCGGTAACTGAAAGGCCTCTCTTTGGAAAAGATCAACGGGGCCCCGAGCCCCGAGCCTCACCCAAGATTCCTTTACTTGGAAGGAAGGCTATACTACCTCGATTGAGAGAGTTTTTTAGGGTGTGGGGACTCTTAGTGCGAGAGCGGGGAAATAAATGACGTCATTGCTTTTACGTTTATCTCACTTCAATGAAAGGAATTTCAACAGGTCTGTCTTTCTTTCTTCTTCATGTAGAAGTTTTTAAATCCCCCTTTTGACAGCTGCGAGGCACTTCCCGTATACAAAAACGGTTACGTTAGATGCCTTCGAAACAAATGTCTCTAAAAATGCAAAAAAAAAAAAAAATTTCACTGAAAAATGACTCCAAAACCCGTTTTTTTTTATACAAAAAAATAAAAGGATTATAAAAAAAATCCAAACCATAGAATAGATTTGAAACATTTTTTTTTTTTAAATTCAAAAACAATACAAATTCGACTAATTAACAATTTTTGTTTTCACAATATATCAAAAAAAAAATTTTCAAGGCTTTAGAAGCCTTCTTGGCACCAATATTCTTTACAATATTCATAAATGTCTTAATTGTAATATTATGTAATAATATAGTATTACTATATATAAAAGATGATATAAAAAAAAAATCACAGTCACAATACAAAAATGAATTCACCGTTTCTATTCGTTATAAAATAAAATATATCTATATACAAACAAGATAAACATAATATACTCTAAGTACAAGAAAAAAAGTTATAGCACCTATTTCGAAATTATTTTTTTTAAATAAAATCTAATATTGAGAATCTTGCTTTTTATACTTTGTTTAGAATATTTTTCCTAAATTTAACATGATTAATTTTTTTATATTTTTAATAATATCGATTGGTAATTTGTTATAAATCCTCGAAAGAAAGAAAAAATATAAATCTATTAAATATTCTATACTATTTCTTTCTTAATATATTTTTTTTTCCCCCTAAAGATAATTCTTAATATAATACAAAGTAAAGAAAAAAAATTATTTATCACTATCACAATATTTTAGAAAATTTTCTTTCTACAATATCATTTTCAATAATTTAATTATCAATTCCCCAATTTAGAATGTAAATGTAATTCAGGTTGAACAAGAAAAGCACCCAATACTTTACCACAATTTGAAGTATCCTCGAGTGATAAATAATTTTTCATTGGTAATAAAAAATTTTCATATGGATCAGTATTAAGCTGATATTCTTGAATTGCTTTAAATGCAGATTTAAACGTTGGTTGTCTTTGTGAATGAAACATACCTCTTGAACCATGTAATACAAATGCACCTTTTTTCTCAACATCATTACAAACTGACATATACATACAATGATCTGGTCTATAATTATAACGACAGGAATAAACGTACAATTTTTCAGGATGATAATAGAAAATAATATTAATTATATCCTGATCACCCCATGTTATTTTCAATTGATATTGTTTAAATATTGGCACAACATATTCTAACCATCGAAAATTTCTCATACGCGTCAAATTCATTAGCATTACACCTGAATTAACACCAAGTTTTCCATAAAATGGATGCTTAGCAAATCGATTATACCAACCGACATTTGGATCCTCATGTTCTGGACTTAATGCAGCTAATTGACTTGAATTCATATTTTGAAATTCATCCCAAACTAATTCTGGTGGCGAGAGGAACAATGTATCTGTATCCATGTAAAGAACGGAATCCGTATCATTGAGCAAAGTCTGAAATATTTTTTTTTTTTTTGACAAATAGTAAAATAAAATTTGCAAATTTATTTTAAATTTCACAGAACTTTCTTAAAAAAAGAAAAAAAAACTCTTCCTTTTAGAAAAGAAGTTATCAATCGTTTTTATGTAATTTTCATGCTTTCTGCTTTTTCATTAGCATTCCAATGCGAGTTCTACTTGAGCGATCATGAGATTCATGACACTTACAATTAAGTAATTAGAGAATTTTTTTTCAATTATTTTTTGTTAATAATTGGAATTTTTTTGAAATAAAAATATTTTTACTTACTGGAAGAAACAATCGTTGAGCAGCACATGGTTTAAATAGTTTCCTCCATATAACATTATCACCAACAGGAAATTCAACAGGTCTAACGACAAATTTAAATGTTTTATTATAAAATTCTTGCCAATCGGACAATTTCTCTGTAAATGCTTGTATCAAATTATTGTCAGAAATAACAATAAAACGAAGCGTTCGTTTAGTGAAGATTAAGGCAGATTTCATCATTGTTAATGATTCTTCTAATCGATCTCCACAAGCAACAACACATATTACAACTTCCTCGTTCTCTTGGATTTTTTTTTCAAAAACAATAGTCGATTTTGAAAACGCTGTGCTTGGCCTCGTTCGAATGTCATAAATTCTCAATAAAATTAATAATGTCACAAACGCAAGGCATAAGCAAAATGCTCTGTATATCGACTTCATTATTTCGTGATACTTCCATGTATCTCATTATTAACTAATGATGATCTTGTAATTTGGCTCCAAATGACAGTATGACATATTTAATCTGTAAACAGGCTTTTTATTGAGAAAACAAATTTCACATAACCTCAAAAAAAAAAAAAATAGACAAAATTTACTCTTTTGTCATAAAACAAAAAAATAGTGAAAGCAATTTAATTATAATTAGAAACAATGCAAATTGTCATACTGTTTGACGTTTATATTAAACAATGTCAAAAATATGTCAATAAAACAAAAAAGTAATTTATCGCTAAAAATTGATATAATTAAAATATTCTTGATATATTCGTAATAAATAATATAAAATACTTACGAAAAAGAGTAATTTAATTCAAAATTTGTAAAAAAAATATCAAATCTCAAATTGTATTTGTTTACAAATTGGCATATTTGTTAGGAAAACATTTCCAAGCAGCATTATTTTCTTTATTTCTCACCTTATAATGCAAATCAAACTTTTGTCTCGTTATAAAAAATCCAAATCATTGTAAATGAGGAAGAGAATTAAATTAAAGCAATAGACAAGAAAATTAAACTTCTTGAGCAAAGTTTACTATACAGTTCACTATAGTTTTACTCCTTTTACTGCTTCTCTATTTTCAGGGGCGTAGCTATAGACAAATTTTTCTGGTATTTAAAAAAAATATCTATTATTGAAACAAAAACCACTTGATTTTTTTTTATTATACACAAAATTAATAATACAAGGTAATTATTATGTTCCGCACTCTCAAAAAAAAAATTTTTTTTCTTTTAAACAATTCGGAACATTACTCTATATTTTTTTTAAATACAGAATATATTTTTACAAAAAAATAAATAATATAAAATGAAGTTTTTGTTTTTGTAAATTACTAAAAATGTAAATCTAAAATAGTGGTAATTAAATTTATCATAAAAAACACCTCTTTTTTTTACAGAAACGAAACTTCTTTGTTAAATTAAAAAAAAAAAAAATCACGCAATATAAAAAGTTCGAAACTGCAGGAAAAAAAAAATTCACAAAATTGCACATTCATTTTTAAGTCATATGGCTTTGTACAAAAATATTTCGTTGCATAATCCATTCTTTTAATTACCTGAGTTATTAAAAAAGCTAATTATCATTTTTAATTAATCATAGTCGATTATCGTCTAATTATCATATATAAAGTGTATAGTACAAAGTTTTTTTTTTTTACTGTAAAATTGGTCACATACTGTTTAAAAAAAAAGGAGAAAAAAATGCTAATAGTGGAAGTAGTTAAAAACTTCACATTTTTTTCAGCAAATGTTACTTAAAAAGGACTTTTCTTTTGGCTTTTAGGTGAATGATTTTCAGACTTTATAATTACAATGAATCATGCGCAAAAATAATTAGTCTTTCTACTCAAAAAAAAAAAAAAAAAATTTTTGAGTTTGTCGAAAAATAAAAATACAATTTCTAACTACGAATCGCCAACATCCATTTTATCTTGATCTCTATCACCAGAATAATATTCATTGGCAGGTTCGACAATTTTATCAAGATCTTGAGGATTTTGTCGACTATCGGGATCTGGTTCAGGATGACGATCTTCTTCTGGCGGCAATGCATCGCAAGGAACATCTTGCATTTGAACACTCGGACTATGCTGCACCATCTTCAAATTGTCATAAGTGTGTTTCACGATTAAATCCAAATATTGTTTACTATTGGCATTCTCCTGTCGTGTCACCACTTCTGGATGCAATGTGAAGTCTGGTGCGAAATACTCTAAGTACTCAGTGTAAGGAAGCTCATTGCTTATTTGTTCATCAACAAGTAATGATGTCTCATAGGTCCAACATCGTGCAACATTGCGCAATGTATAACCACCACCGCCGACAGCAAGAAGTGGTACATTTAAATCCCTCACAAATTTTACACATTCACCATGTCCTCGTGTACTTAAACTGAAACAACCTAATCTATCATTTGCCAATGAATCGGCTCCACATTGTAATACAATTGCTGATGGTCGAAAATATTCCATCACGTGTGATATACAAGGTTTAAATACCTAAAAAAGAAAAAAAAATTTAATTTTCTTCACAATAATTGCTTTTTTTTATTATAATCGAAAATTTTAAATTTACCTGAACATAAGACACATCATCAATGCCCTCTCTCAATGGAACATTCACCGAATAATATTTTCCACTTTCAGAACCAATTTCATACATATCGCCCGTTCCGGGGAAAAAATAATTTCCATATTTATGAAAAGACACGGTCATAACTCGATCGGTCATATAAAAAGCCTCTTGTACACCATCTCCATGATGAACATCAATATCAATATACAATACACGAGCATGATATTTAAGTAATTCTAAAATTGCAATTACAATATCGTTAATGTAACAAAATCCTGAAGCTTCAAATTTTTTTGCATGATGTAAACCACCACTCCAATTAATTGCAATATCACAGACATTATTATTTAATTTCATTGCCCCGTCAAGTGATGCTCCAGTGTACATTGAACAAAAATCAAATAGTCCATCAAAAACGGGACAATCATCTCCTACATTAAATTGACTGAGGTATTTAGTATAACCTTGAATATTTTGCGGTGTCACCCTTTGAAGAAAATCAACATATTCCTCAGAATGAAAACGACACATGTCGTGTCTATTTGCACGATATGGCCTATAAGTTTGCATTTTTCTATGTAATCCATAATTAATCACTAAACTGTGAATAACAGATAGTCTATGGGGTTTCATTGGATGACCTGGTCCATAATGAAAATTTCCAACATCAGGATTATAAAAATAAGAAACTGTTTTATTGAAGCTACTCATGATTTTTGTATATATAATCTTCGGATGTCAAATTTTTCATCAAGCTCACTTTTCGGCTTATGAAACATGAACTTTCTGGCTACTTTCTAATTAGTATTACGTATTATTTTTGCCTTTTTTTTAAATAAAAAAAAAAAAGATTAAATTACTTTTTTTTTGACGCACATATTTTTTATAAACTGAATTTTTTAAGGTTATATTCTTGGCGTCTTGTTTTTCATTGTCAGTTTGAAGTTTGTCGATAAACGATATTCGATTTATTTCGATTTTATTGGGAAATTTGAAACATTTAATTTTTTTTTATTATTTCTCTAAGAAGAATATTATTTTTAGTAAAATTTCTTTAAATTACTTATTATTATATTGTAATTTGATATAAACAAAAGTATTTTAATTATGTTTTTATTGCAGAATTTAAAAAAGTGTGTGCAGTTAAAGCAATTGGTAACCCTGGTGGCATTCTGTCATCGTTTTCAAATTTGGCAACACTGGTTACATTGGGGATGTGGTTTCTTTCTTTCGGTGACTGATTCTACGTGAAAATGGTGAGTGAATTTTTATTTTATAAATCTATTTATTAAACATAAATCTTATATTATAATAGTGTAGGAGAATTGTTAATGTATAGACTAAAAATTGTAAAATCATTGTATGTAGATATTTTATTGTTTAGGATTAATTTAATATAGGTTAATGTCAACCTGGTGTTGATTGTGTTTATAGGTTAGGATTGTTATAGTTTATAGCAAACTTATTTTTTTACTTTGTTTATTGTATTAACATACCTAAGTGTCGTTATTTATTTATCAGTTATTATTAATTTTATAACAAGTTCATTAAATATTATATCAAAATATATTTTTGTATGTGGAATGTTACATATTTGATCTTGTTTTCGTTTTATATACTACATATTAGTCCGTATATTTTACTTGAATTATTAATTATTATTATTAATTACTATTTTAACAATACTTAATTTTTATTAATAAAACATTAAATAAACATTTGAATAATTTCTGTTTGTATTTTAACTTTATAAGTTTACAATTTTTACAAAATGGAGTGTTAAATAAATTTTTTATTGGTTTTATTTCTATATAATAATTTTAATTATTTTTATTTAAAGTGGAAAATTATATATTTGATATTAATAAAATAATTTTTTTTTTACAGACTAAAGGTACCTCAAGTTTTGGTAAACGTAGAAATAAGACCCATACTTTGTGCAGAAGATGTGGTCGTAGTTCGTATCACATCCAGAAATCACAATGCGCTCAATGTGGATACCCTTCAAAAAAGTTACGCTCGTGTAAGTAAAAATATTAACAAAATGTTTCGATTTATATATATATACATTTAATGAAAATTCACTTTTTAATATTAAAGAAATGCTAAACTAATGTATTTCTCTCAGAGGAAATTATTTTACTAATTTTAATATTATTAGTTTTTAAGATTTAATTTCTTATTATTATTATAGATTAATTTTTTTCTTATAGACAACTGGTCGATTAAGGCAAAGAGGAGGAAGACTACCGGAACTGGTCGCATGCGTGCCTTGAAAATTGTACGACGTAAATTCAAGTAAGTTTAATTTTTTTTTTATCTAATTACATTAGTTATTTTCAGATATTTTGTTTATATTTTAATTTTTGTTGGAAATTTTAATTTATTTGTAATTAAAAGTATTTTATTGATATATTTAAAAGCTATTAATGAAAAGACTAATATAAAGAAAATTTTGATTTAAAAAAATAATATTATTATTTGTTTCAGGAATGGATTTAGGGAAGGCGTACCAAAACCAAAAGCAGTCGCCGCAAAATGATTGTATGGAGTAAAGATAAAAATAAAATAATTTAAATAAATCAAATTCTTGAAACTTGAATCCCTTAAGAAATTTCAGGTATGTTTAACAAAAGAAAACTTTTTTTTTATACTTCAATTAGTATTTAAATTTGAAAAATAAAGTATTCAAAGACAAATATTTTTTTTTAATAAAAATTGTATTTAAATCTTAACAGAGTTGAATACATAATATTCAGTATGATTATATGTTACTAGAGATTAAAAAAAAAAACTAGAAAACAAGTGTTTCAATAGTGACTTAAATAGACTCGTAGATTCTAATTTATTATATACAAAGTAAAACTAGAAATTTTTTTTTTTTAGCTTGCCTTTTAGGAACAAGTGCAAAAAAACATTTATAAAAATTGTTTAAATTTAAAAATTAGGATTGAATGTCTTTAAAAATTAAACTTAATACAAAATCATTATAGATTTTAAATTTTAGCAATAGCAACTGCTATTTGGATCTATAGGCTGTGGTTCATCCACTAATTGGATTCCTTTTTTTCCCAGTCGATTTCTCGCTGCTCCATTTTGAATACCGTATGAACCTTTTCCGTAAGCTTCCCATAATCCAGGAGTTTGAATTATCTAAAAGTATTTTGTTTTTTCTTAGTAAAAGCATAAATAGAAATTATTCAAAAAAAAAAGAATTAAAATTTAACCTTTCTAACAAGTTCTTCAAAGCAACATTTAATTCCATCAGCTGTTTTTGCACTGCTTTCAATATAAAGTGTTTTATGCCTTCTGGCAAATTGTATACCTTCTTCCTTGGTAACTTGTCTATCAGGCAAATCTATTTTGTTGCCAACAACCATTTTAACAATATTGTTTGTTCTACAATAAGTTTCTAATTCTTTTAACCAATTTTCAAGTTTATTGAACGTTTTTCTATCTGTAACATCATATACTAAAATTGCTCCTTGAGCATCGCGATAATAACTTGGACTTAATGTTCGAAAACGTTCCTGTCCAGCTGTATCCTGAAATTAAATTATCGAACTAATTGTAGAAATTAGAAAAAAAAGAAATTTTATGAAATAAAAAGAAATTAATTTTTCTTACCCATAAAGCAAGCTTTACTAAATTACCATCAACATCAATTTCTTTTGATTTATAATCAACTCCAATTGTATTTGGCATTTTCTCATTAAATTCATCGTCGACGAATCTAATTAAAATGCTGTAAAAAATTTAAAATATATATAATTAGTTTTTGATAAATAAAAAGACAAAATCACTGTCATAAGTTTTGAAACGTCATATTGTTAATTAATTAAGTGACATCATACGTATTGTAATAAGGCGTAGTTGTAACAATATTGATTTATCTTTACTTATTAATTTATTTTCTATTGACTTATTGAATTAAATTTTTATCATTAACTTTTCATAATGTAAAAGATAATAAAATAAATGGTAAGAACAAAAATATATTTTAAAATGTCGAGTCACAGTGATAAAAGAAAAATTAAGTACCTGGATTTTCCTGTGTCTGTTTCTCCAATAATTAAAATTTTAAGTGACGTTAATATTTCATCCATCTTTAATTAACATATATGAATAAATAATTTTACAAAAATTGTCAGCTTTAATTTTTCTTTTTTTTGTAAAAAAACAACAATCTGATAATCAGGTTAATAAAAACATAAAAAGTCCAAAGGCACGGTTGGAAAACATTCTGAATTTTTCAGGGATGGGTAGTTTAAAGCGAGGAGCAATGATCAGTGTATGTGATTGGCTTTACTAAAATTTCCCGTAAAAATGGAACTTTTATTAGAGCCAATCACATTCAGTGAATTTTCACGGCCGTGAAAAACTATTCTGTTGATTCACTTGTTTTTATTCCTACTAATATTTTTAACATTGAATAATAATGCAAATAAAACTACACAATCTAGAAAACAATTATATTGTAATTAATTTTTTTAAAAAAAGGTTAAAGAAGACATTTGACATTTGAATTCCAGCGCCATAATTGTGATTTGAAGGTTAGGTTTATGAATTCGAGAAGTCGTCTGCTATTTTGACAGGTGCGCAAGGTGATAATAAGGGTTTGTCAGTCGCTCAATGTTGAAATGGCAATTTAATCAATTCTGTTACCGTTATGTGAACAAAAAGTTGTGAGTCATGAGTTAAACTCAATATTATTAAAATTCGTGAAAGATAAAATATTTGTTGTGTTACATTTTATAAAGTGCATTTAACGGAGCATGGAAGCGGAGGTGCGAGTGTTTATTCAAGTTTTTCGAGTTGATCACAAATTAAAAATTTGTTACGGATCTTTCTCATGACGTAAATAATTTGATCAAGCATTGCCAAAAAATTAATACCACAGTGAAATTTCGTAATTCTTTATGTACAAATTTAGAAAGATCACAGAAAATTACTATTGGCACGTTTGTTTGTTTTTTTTTATTAATTTAGTCTTGAGACCAGTATTCGCCTTATTTCAGGGTGACTTTATATATATACATTTGATATTAAAATAAGCATTAATGGACAATTTTAATAAGTTTGTATTATATATCAATTTTTCTTTGCTTCTATAATAAAAATATATAGAAGACAAATGTGATGTCAAATACTAAGTAAGTAAATAAAGAATACTTCCATAAAATGGATAATTTCTATAAATGTTTTATCCAGCAATTTATAATTGCTCGAAATATTCTAGTCTAAAAATGTTCTCAATACATTCACAGATACTTAAAAGTATACAATGTGATAATATTACCAAAAAAAAAAAAAAATTAAGTCACAAGTAATCAAAAATAATTGTATTTAAGAATAAAGAAAAGAAAAAAGGGAAATTTGCAATAATCTAGTCATATCAATGAAGATTAAAATTTGAGAAGAAAACTGCAATATATCAATTCAATTATTATAATAGTTTTGCGACAATGGATAATTGTAATGAAAATGGCACAATGGGGGATAATTCTTTGAAATCAAAGCAAAAGAAAAAATCTCTTTGTCAAATTTTAATGAATAAAAAAACAAAAGTTGGATGTTTAGAAGCATCAAAAGACGGTGAACAACAGAGAAGTTCAAAAATGGAAAATTCACATCACAGCTCAAATACAAGTACAAAATTGTCACTTTGTTGTGCCATGACAGAACGAAGTAGAACACCACCACAAAGTTTGACAGTTAGTCGTCTATCACCAACATTGAGTAGAACTTCAATGAAATCTGAAGAAATTATTTCAGTTCATGAGGAAAATAATCAGACTGAAGCGTTAATTGAAAATGGAGCATCATCAAAGGCAATTTCCACTCCAGTTAATCCAGAATGTTTCACAAGAAGAAATAAAACTATTTTGAATAAAGATCGACATAGCGCTTGTATAGAAGGTGAGTTTTTTTTTGTAAATATTATATAAAATTAGATTGTTTAAAAAATTTGTTACATTTTAGAAACAATACGATAAGATAAGAATAATTAGAATTTGATTTTTTTTCTATAATCATTAATTACGAATTAATTTAATTTTTTTTTATCTCATTTGAGTGTGAAAAAGACATTAAAAATTTTATTTTTTTAAAATTATTTTTCCCCACCATTTTTCATATTGCCCCACACTGCTCTGTAGTAAATATATATGTGAGCGTTATATGGGAGTGTCTTAATTCACGCGTGCCTATAATACGTAATCGACTTGGAAAAAGAAGTCAGAAAGCATATAAAGTTTCAGCAGTTGTTGCTCTTCTTTTGTGTTGCACAGTTCAAAATGTGTGTCGTGAGTTATTAACTTAACACAAAAAAAAAAGAATAGATACACATATTTAAGTAAACATATGTGAATAATATTTGTGTAATACAATTTTTTTACTTCTATTATTCTAATATGAGTGATAAAGAGAGATCACCAAAGAAAAAAAAAAGAAATTTTCTCTCTCGACTAGCTCGTTCGTTTAAAAAAAAATTTAACAATGATAGTGATAATTGTCAGTTGGAAAAAAATGAGAAACACAAAGATGATATTGATGACACATTACAAGAAGCCTCGTGTTCTAATGAAAAAATGACAAGTTTCAGTGATAATGAAAATAAAGTTACGCAGTATTCAACAAATAATAAAATCGATAATAATCATTCAAATAAACAAATGACAATTGATATTTCTAATCAATATGTGGAAAAATTAGATTTTAAATTAAATTCATCTCCAAATATTGATAAAAAGAATGGGAAAAAAATAAAAAAATTTATTTACAAAGAAATGAAAAATAATAATGATGATAGTAGTTCAGATAGTGATTATTCGACAACTGATACAAGTGATTCAAGCGATGAAAATGAACAATTTTTGAATATTGAAAAAAGCAATTTTTACTTAAAAAATGATTATTACACTAAAGGAAAATACATGAGTTATTTCTTTTTACAAATGGAAAAAATGAATTACAATCCATATGATGTTTATACTATAATTAAATATCACGATGTTGAAAATTTAGGTGAGATGAAAAAAATTGATTAATTAATTTATAAATTATGTAAATTATAAACAAAACAATTTGTAAATTAATCAATTAATTAAACAAAAATAGAATTACAAATGAGAAGATATGTATGGTAATTAGCATACATTTAAAATTGATTCTCTTATCTTAGATTGGCCTATAATTCAATGATGAACAAAGGCCTTGAAATAATGAAAAGTCTTTTTTCCTTTTTTATGTTGAAATATTACATCATTCCATAAAATATATTTAAAAGTTAAATATTTTACTAGACATAAATTTATAAAGATCACACATTGGGCAATAAATTATTCTCAATTTTTTTTTTTTATCGATATCTTTGTTTCGAATCATTCTCATTAAAAAATCATTATTACTACTGTAAAAAAAATTTTAAATTAGAAAAATCAAATCTTATTCTCGAGTAATTGAAGTAATTTCGTTTTTATTAGGATTAAGTGACACAATGACGAGTGCTTTTGCAAAAATAGATTTTAATGATTTTGATTTTTTTTTTTGCAGAAAATTCATCATCTGGTTCGACATCTCCGAATATTCCAGCACATCTCAGAAAGAAGATTTTGCATCGAAGATCAGTGGATAATTTGGTTGTCAAATCGCCTACAAATTCGGCTCGTTATTCGAGTCCAGAATCAATAAAAAGTGCTCCACTTCATCAAAAACCAAGATCCACATCGCATGATACATTGACGGGCTCAAAAGCTCGTCGTTTAATTCAATCTGATGGAGCATCCATGGATAGTCTCGCTAAACAAGCTCTACTTGCTGCTCAGGTTTTGATTCCAATGCATAAAGCCCGAGAAAGGTAAATGGAAAATTTAAAAAGCAATAATAAAATTTAATAAAAACATTTAATTTCTGTATTTTTAAAATTGTTTTCACTTGGGAAACTAATATGTTTTTTTAATTTATAGAAATTATTTGCATGGGAGAATTGCGGCAAATTCACTTTTGGGACCAGTTGAATTGGAGAAAGTATTGCCAAATAGAGAGATTAAAATTTTCATTGGCACATGGAATATGAATGGTCAAACACCGCCAAAGGAATTAAATGATTTTATGTTACCACCTGATATTGAAACAGTTCCTGATATGCTTGTAATTGGAACGCAAGAATCATGTTCAGAGCGAACAGAATGGGAGGCATCGTTACAAGAAACATTGGGACCATCGCATGTATTATTGTCGAGTGCAGGTCTTGGTACATTACATTTGGCACTATTCATTCGTAGGGATCTCATTTGGTTTTGTTCAATTCCTGAGGAGGATAGTTTTTCAACACGAACTGGAAGTGCATTTCGCACTAAAGGTGCCGTTGCATTGGCATTAATAATTTTTGGCACAAGTTTTCTTTTTGTCACATCACATTTAACAGCACATCAGGATAAAGTTAAAGAAAGAGTCAATGATATTAAACGCATTGTACGAAATCTTGATCTACCAAAAGATTTACCTACACGACATAAAAGTAAAGGTATTTAAAAAAAAAAATTTTTATTTTGAAATAATTTGTAATTAGATTTTTATTTATTTGGAATAATTTTTTTTTAGATGTAACGCAGAATTTCGATTGTGTTTTTTGGTGTGGCGATTTGAATTTTCGTCTTGCACAACCGAGAGAGGAGGTGTTACAATGGATATCGGATACAAGATTTCCACGTGAGAATCCAGTGAATTTACATAAGGACCAATTGCGAAATACATTACACGAGGGATCGGTGTTTCGTGGATTTGAAGAAGCGCCAATAACATTCCCTCCAACATATAAATATGATCCAGGAACACAAAATTTTGATTCGAGCAGTAAACAAAGAACACCCGCTTACACTGATCGAATTCTTTTCAAAGGAAAAGCGCACACACGAGGTTATATTAGAAGACTGAGTCATGAAAGTACAGCAGCACAAAAAGATGGCACTATCGAGTGTTTGATTTATGATTCTGTACCGAGTATATGTACCTCGGATCATAAACCCGTTTGGGGGGTTTTTAAAACTACAATTCGTCCTGGAATTGATACGTAAGTTGAAAATTTTTGAATTCTAAATTATTAATTTATATTTTTACTTATTTATTTATTATTTATCTCAAAGCGCTCTTTATATCTTTTAAAAAATTTTGTGCGAATTTATTTAGAATCCCATTAGCGGCTGGACTTTTCAATCGGGATATTTATTTGGAAGGTATAAGAAGACGTGCGGCTGCTTGGGACGATCCACGAGGAACATCCAAGGTTTGCTCCATTCAGTGATGAGAGAAAAAAAGAAAAACATTCCTGGAATTGTCAAGTATATTTTTTACATTTTATTTAATAATTTGCTAATATTAATAGGAGTGTAATAATTTAGCTAAAAAACCATCATAATTTATTTGACGATAAATAATCGTAAATAATGAAAATAGAAGCTTTATATAGCGTGAGGAAAATGCAATTTTTAAAAAAAAATTGACAAGGCCTTTATTAGATCTTTACTGCCAATTTTTGAAATATTTTTAACAAAATTTGTTTTTATTAAAATTAACTAAAAAAAGGACGGTCAATTTTGAAATTTAAAAATTCAATAATTAATAAATAATTAATATTTAATTTAAATTTAACAATTTAACAATTTTTTTATCTTAAAAAAAATAGAAACAATAATTATTTTGCACTCGCACGTAATTTAATTAACACACTTAATTTTAAATAACAAAATTTTCACACATTTTTGGAGTATACAATATTTTTAGTCTTCAAAAATGATGAGCAGAACTTTTGTTTTCTAATATTTGCAGTGCTATTTTATTTTGATAAACACAAATACGTTTTTATAGAAAATAAATTTTATCAATGGCGCCAAAAAAAATTACGTGAAAAATTCACGTAGAATAATGATCTTAAATAATAAACATGAGGTTCTAAATTAAGAAAAAAAAACTTGGCTCTAAAACGATAAAAGGCCTCAAATTCTCTATATTAATTTGTTTTCAAAATTTTCATAAAATGATTTAAAAAAAAAAATTGTGGAGTATAAAAAAAACTGAACGTAATTTTCCCGTTGAATATATAAAAAAAAAAAAGATTCACGAGATGTGTTCAACATACAGCACAATTTTGTAATATTATTTTTTCTATTTACTTTTGTACTTGCTAAACAGCAAATAATTCTAATCTAATGCATAAATCTAGTCAAAGAAGGAATATTTAACACAACTGTGATGCACCAAGAGTTTTTTTTCTATTAAGTTTGTTACTTTAAAAAAAAACAGATTACAAATGTAGCCTGTTTATGTAGTTTTAGAAAAAAAAATGCACAATATGGTATTACAAAGAATCTGAATATGACAAGATAGTACAATTAAAAAACAGTATTGATGTATTAATTAGAAACGCGAGGCAAGCGCGTAAAGAAGAAAAATGAAAAGTCGAGAGAGAAAAGATTTAAATGGAAACTTTATTAAAATATTTAGAAGAAAACTTGAAAAATAGAAAACACTTATAGAATCAAATATTCAGAAGAAACGTAATAATTAAAAAGAAATATCCAAACAGGCTAAAATATTCGAAAATAATTTTCAAATAAATTGCAATAAAACAATGTGATTGATTTATAGTTTTCAATTAAAATTAGTATTTGTAGTAAATATTTTTAATTACTTATATAAAGAATAATGAATTTTGAATTTTTCAACACTTCAGGAATTGCTTTTTCAATGAGTTCTGTAATTTTATATTTTCCTTTTTAAACAACTTAAATATTCTAATATTACATTTGAAATTTTTCACATCAACAGTAATTTACACTTTTACGTGAGTAAATTATTTCAATATTTTGAATTTTATTTCACAACTTGGAAAGTAATATTAAAAATATTCTCGTCTTCTTAGTTCTTATTTCTCGTTTTTATTTATTTATTTTTTTATTTTGTTTTCCTATCTCGTATCATTGTTTTGTTCTATTATTGTGTTTTTTTCGAAAATAATCTGATAATTTATTGCACATTGAAAATAATAGTGATTAACAAAGAAAAACTGGTATTCGTATTCCTATCTTAATAATTTACAGGTGCGATTTAAATCGTCCATGATAATTAATTAAAGGCTTGTGTATAAAAGAAACTGAAAGAGCAATACAAAGACATTAGACTAAAAATTTTTATTTTAATAACAAAAAAATTATATATATACAATAATCTCAGTTTCGTAAACATTATTTTTTTTTTTTAATTGATTGCCCAAAGGAAATATTTCTATATATAAAAAATAATAATAATAATTGTACTAGTAAAATATATGAGACATTATAAATTATTAAATGTATAATGAATATTCCAAATGAATTGTAAGTGTCGTCCAAAAAGCGAGATATAAATAATAGTTGTTAATCTTGTGTCAATAAAATATGACACTTAGTTTCTTATAAAGAAATAGTGTTTCATAAAAAAAAAAAGTAGAAAGAAAGTCTGAAAAATGTTTTTGCTAAGTTGAATTTTTTCGGCTAGCTTTTTAGTCTTTTTATGGACAGAATATTTTTTAAATAACAGCTTCCGAAGCAAATTTTTTTTTTAATGAAAAAAAATTGCTTAAAATCCTTAATGATAATTTAGTAATAGAATAATGGCCTCTTAGATTTGAATTTCAAAATTATTCTTAAGAAATTGTTTTTTAGAAGAAAAAAAAATGATATAATATATAAATAACTAAAAAATGAGATTTTTCTGCCTAAAATTAAATATTGTTCCATCCTTTATAATATAGAAAAAACAATGTGAATGAAAGAAAAATTGTTTGTAAAAATAATAACTTACTCGAGCAGAGCTTTAAAAAAAAAAAAACAAATTTTATGTTTCTAACATCAATCTATATGTGTTTATAAAACTGATATTTGTTAAGCTATTTGTTAAGCTGCCTTACTCTGCCTTATCTGCATAAATACTGTCGTATAGTAAATTATTGGGGGAAAAAAAAATATATTGTCCTAACATTCTCTTTGTGATTTGAAAGTAAAAATAATTCTTATAAATGATTAAAGATGAAGTTTTCACATACTAAAATATTTACACATAAATATATGAATTGTTTTATTATTTATTTGTTTTAAATTTTATTGAATATAACAATTTTATCTTGTCTTTATCACAATTTTCAAATGAAGAAATTAATAAGCCAATTAATATAACGTAACATTGAAAATAAAATATTAAATATTCCCCCTGAAAAAAAAGTTGCAGGGAGAGAGAAATAAAAAAAAAAATATTGTTCTTTTTTTTAAATTTGCGAAAAGCTTATAACCATGGGTGCCAATAATATTATTAGCGATTTTTCAGGGAAAACAAATTTTAGAATCGCGTAATAAGAATTTATTGTGCACAAGACTGTAACTAGTGTATTGGTTATCTTGGACACATTCATTACACTGTGATAAGTTACTAATATTGACATGTTAGTGTTTAATAAAATGGAATAAATTTTCAACTTAAAAAAAAAAACGTTCCTGTAATAAAAAGAACAAAAAGACTTTCGTAATAAATTTACGATTGTATTTTTCTTTGGAAAAGGCAGTGTAGTGATTACTTTATGTAATATACCAATAGAATTTATGTATATTAAAGTAAACCAACAATATTTTAAATTCTATTTACTTACACCCAATCATATGAAATTAAACTAAATAATAATTTAATAAAACAAAATTTCAATTAGGAAAAATTATTATAATAAATAAAAACTAAGTTTTTTATTATAAATTTATATTATCATATTATACAGATTTACAAATTCACTGATTTTTTATTTACAGTTATGGTTTTCTTATAATTAATTCATTGTATTGAGTTGGAAATATTTCAATGAAAGAAATAATTTGTATATATATAAGTAAATATTTTATTATCCTACAAATTTATATCACTTAAATTTTTGAAATTTACAATATATATTCATTAATTTTGTAAAATTCACTGAGACAAAAAAATTGACATATTCTCAAATGAATTTTAACAAATATTTCACAACATATTATACAAATTATATATTTTTAAACAAATTCACAAAAATAATTGCACAATATTTAACATTTTTTTTGTTTTCCTTGAATCTTTCATTATATGTATTTAAATTGATTTTAAAAGGGAATTTACGTAATTTGACAAAATTTTCGGTATTAAAAAAAAAAAATTCATCAATTTTATTGATACGAAATATGCAGCATTTAATGCTGTTTTAAAAAATAATTTTCTGACATTTGTTTAGAGTAGTTTTGTGATATAAAATAAATAAACAGAAAAAGACGATAAAAAAACAGAATAATTTGAAAAAAAAAATAATTTGAAACAAAAATAAATTAATTCTAAGACCATTTTTGAAATACTTATTGTCACTATTTAACAACAACAATAATAATAATAATTTTTATGGAAAATTTTCTTACTATTTCCGTCCAAATGCTTCTTATATATTATTGGAATTCATAACAGTGATATCTTGAAAGAATAAGGCAAATAATTCAAATTAATTACTATAAAAATTAATAACAAATCAAATTTTTAAATAATTATTAATATTTTTTTACAGAAAAAATTTAAAAAAATTTTGTAAACTTACTTTTATGATATAGTTGTTGTTTACCAAAAAGGCAAACGCCAAAATAAAACAGCTTTCAATATCAGCTGTCTTTTAAAACTTCTTTGAGAATCGATCCTGTATTTCTTGCAGGGACAAAATCGGGAAATGTTGGCAAATTAATATTTGACAATAAAAGTGTTGATTGCGTTGATGATGTTGAATGTTGCCTGCTGTGACCTGGTTTTGTCAATGGCTAGAATAAAATGATAATTTCATTATTAATTATTAATTTTATCAACTCTAACAGTATAATAATTATTAAAAATCTAATTTGTCCACTCAATTAAAAATAAATGCAAAAAAAAAAATAATATTTAAATAAATAAATGAACTCACAGTATTAGAAATCGGTAAAGCTGGTAATTGAGGCTTTGGAGCTGATTCACTTTCCAAAAATTTGACAAAAGCCGCTGACAGTGAAGCTTCTGTGTCCTGAAAAAAAAATTATTAAATTGAAATATTAAAAATTTTTAATTAATTAAATATTTACATTTTTTATCATTAAAAAAAAAAACCTTACTTTGCTTGGTACATTGCCTCCACTGTGTAATAAATTTGAGAACCAACTATTTTTTCCAGCCGAACTATTGAGACCAGTTCTTTCCCTTTCCGAATCGTTGAAATCCAAAACTGTTGAAAAAACTCTCATCACGGAAGTTTTATCATTCGCAGATGATGTCAAATAACCCAAAAGCAAATTTTTCACCAATGTTCTAGAAAAAAAAAAAAAATTATTTTTTATCCAGAATTAAAATTCTATACATGTATAAATTTTGCTCTTACTTATCAACTTTTCCTTCTCCACTTTTGTTTGCTTCCTGAATTCTTTCATCAGCAGTGTTCACCAAAAGAGTTAATTGTGCAACTGCAAAAAAAAATTAAGATTAATATAAATATACTAATAATTATTAAATGATTATTAATTATTTAATTATTATTAATCAATTACAATAAAAATTTAAATCAAAGAAAATAAATTTTTAAATAATATTTTACGTCGCTTAAAATAAAAAGTTTATAAAATGAAGATTTTTCGTTTTACAGTAATTAATTCGAAGGTTGATTTTTTTCATTTATAAAAATTATTGCTATCTTAAGTCATTTTCAATGACTTTTGAAATTCCAGAACTTAAGCGGTATAATTTTTCTAAATACAAAAGTTGCGTGTTTTTTTTTTTACAATAAATGATATAACAAGGAAGGATGTATTTTAAACGCAATCATATTTGTGTAGGTATACATTCTGATGGTGTAAAGTTGCCAGGCAGGTAGATTGAAAAGACAAAAGCGCAAGTATAACACAAGCACTGGTAGCTAAGATTCTACACCAGTACCTGATGTAATACTCACACCCACGTCCTGTTTTTTTTTCATGCTGCATTCTTCCTATATATATATATATATATATATATTATCATGCTATTTTTTTGCAAGAAAAAGAAACTAACGATTCTCACATGCTCTTCAAAATTATATTTTTCTATTATTATATAAATTTAAAACAAAACAATTAAGCTGCATTGAAAAAATTCTATATTTTCACCAGAAATTTTTAGAATTTTCAAAAATTTATTTTAGTCAGAAAATAAATTTTAAAAAAAAATCTTTTTATATTTTATATTAAGAGTTTTGAATTATATATTTTCAAATTTGTGATAAAAATTTATTCTTTGCAGCTCAATAATTAATTACTATAATAATTCTAAAATTTCGAAAGTAAATTAATAAATAGTAAAAAAATGAAAACAAAAATTAAAAAAAAAAATTTTCCTATATAATCTTTTTGAAAAAGGGATATTCTAATTAATTTCTTCTAAACTTGCAGGACAGGGGTAGCGGGTGGGAAACCCCACGGGGTAATATGAGCTTCTGAAATTTATACGCTCACAGTTACCGCATGAGATTACTCACTCCAACACTACCAAATTTTTGTTTTATATGTTAGATGATTATTTTTTAAATCAAAAAAAAAAATTGCTCCAACAAAAATTTTTATGAAAATAAAAAAAAAAAAAATTTCGAGAAATTTAATTACTATTTAATATTTCTATGTATCAATAAAAACAAAAAAAAAATTTTATCACTAAACTTATAATATTAAATCTACTTCATGCGTTCGAAAGAATTTCTAATTGTCTATATAAAATATAATTTTTCGTTTATTTTATTTAAAATTATATAAGAAAAATATTCGAGATTTACAAAAAAAATTATTTAACACTGCAAATCAGTTTTTTTTTTGACAAATATTTGTTTTTCTTTCATTTTTCCACTCTTTTTTCAAAGAAAGAATTAAAAAAAAAATGAGAAAAACAGAAAGAATTTGAAATTTCCACATGAAAAAATTTCAAATTCTACCATCTAACATCGTAGTTTCATATTTAATTGTTTTGCAAAACAAATCACTCAGAATTTCAAAATTAATTTAAGTAAAAAAAAAAATATTAATCTACAAAGTGGATAAAATGAAAATTTCAATTTGAATTTGCAAGCACACACAATTGAATATAAAGTCACTCAATTTTCAATGAAAAGAAATTTTTTTTTAACTTTCGAATTAGATCTTAATTTAAATATATTAGAAAGAATAATTAATTAATATAAAGAAAAGGTTCATAAAGATTTAAATAATATATAAATTATCAAACGTAACTTTATATTCTAAATCGAAATTTCCATTAATTACAATGCATAATATTATTTTTCAAACCAAAACAATAATTCAATATTTTTTTTGTTATAAAAAAGTACAAAATGAATAAATAACAAAGTGAATAGAAAAGATGTTATAAAAATGGTGCTTTTAAAAAATATTTCATCAGTATTTTTGTTTCTTAATAGAAAATAAAAATGATATATTTTTTTTGTAAAAGTGATTGTATTATAAATATATATAGGTATATAAATATTTAAAAAACCAGCACCAAAATGTCAATGTGTGAATCAGCCGAGATGCAATTAAAAAGTGTGCAAAGGCGACGGTTCAGTTCGTAGCCTGATACCAGCAAGAATCCTGGGTTAATGTTAAAATCCCAGAATTACCAGCTGATATTGGACTGCAAAACCGAATAAAATGTGCATTTGCATTGTTTCATTTTTTTTTTTTTTTTTTTGGTCAGATTAGTCACAGGTCACAGCCAAACTCTTGATTATATAAAATACAAAATTATAGCCTCCTAGGTGTTGAATTCCGTTCACCCAGCTTCATTATTAAAAAATCACGCTTCGCTTTTTTTTTTATATTAAATAATAGAGAAAAAATAATTTTCTTTTAACACGCAGTATTAATTAAAAATAATAATATTTTTATCAATTAAGAAAAATTTTAAAACATTTTTTCTTTAATTTAAATGATTAATTTCATTAAAAATATTAATCGTTAAAATTAATTTATATGCATTTTTTACTATATAAAAAAAGTATAACTTAAAGCGATAAAAAGCAAAAAATATTTCCCACTTCCTGAATATAATTCGTGTTTAATCAATTTTTTTTAAATTTGTTTTATGGTACACAAAAAAATGAATCGTTTTTTTATAAATATGATTTGTTTTATGTGTTAATACTTTGAATATAATTTTTTTTTTTTAATTCTAAATGAAGATTGTATGTTTTTAATACTTTCTGTATTGTTTTTAGAAATTTTTTTTTTTTATAACTACTGTGCAATGTAACACTAAACATGCAAATGAAAAAAATCAATGTGAGCCAAAAAAAAGTGCAAAAGCAACAATTTTTCTGTTATTAATATTTTTTTTATTACCTTCTTCATTTAGTTGTCCAATTTTTTCACTTTTCTTATCCAATTCTTCGCTTAATCTCGAAGCTGCCAGCAGGCATTCTTTCGCTTCTGCTAATTGTTCCTAAAAAAAAAAAAATGGGAAAATGTAATTTTTAATCAATAAAATCGCCTTGAATATAATTTTTAGTATAAAGAAAAAAAAAACAAACTTTTAGACTTGTAATTTGATTTGATAATTCTTCCTGTTGCCTGTAGGACTCGTTAAGTTGTTGTCGAATTTTCTCTGTCCCTGCTTGAATATCTTTTTCTTTATCTGCAATTATTGAATTAGAATTTAATTTATTTCTTATCACTTATATTATAATTAACAAAATATTTAAATTAAATTTTTGAAAAAAAAAATATATCACCTCTTTGAAATTGTTCGAGCACAAATTGTAAATTCGTCAACGATGCTGTGGATGAGAGTATTTTATCCTCGGCTGTTGATAATTTATTTTGAATATCATCTCTTTGCTGAACAATTAATGCCATTTGTTGTTGCATTGTTTCAACTTGTTGATTTGCTCTAATACTGGCCGATGTATAAACTGTTGAACTATTTTTTACTTTTTCCTCAGCTTGAATTAATTTTGCCTCTAAATCTCTTCTAATTTCTTCAGTTTGCAATAATTCTTGTGTATAACTCGCTTCTATTTCCATTAAATGACATCTCAATCTTTCTAAATCTTTACCAGCATTTTGCTCTTTATTTTGTGTATCTGTTAATTGATTTTGAAGAAGACGATTATTATTTTGCTCTTGTATTAATGCGGCTTCAAGTGCTTTAGATTTTTCAATAAAAATTGCCAATTGAGCTATTTGAACGGAATGTTCGACAATTCCACATTTTTCATCTTGATTTGTATCTTCAAAATCTTTTAATCTTTGCCTAACAACTTGCAATTCATTTTGTGCCCAAAGAATTTCGGCTTCTTTTTCTTTAATTGCTTCTAAACTCACATCACGTTCGGCAATTAATTTATGAATACTAATTACTTGCTCATTTAATAATTGATTTAATCGTTGAATTTCATTATGATATTGAATACTCTCGTTGTGTTTTATTTGAACAAGTTTCACTAATTCGTCTCTTTCTTTTTTTACTGATGACAATTCATTTTCAACTTCATTATTCATGGAAGAATTGTGAGTTTTTAATTTTTCAATTTCATCATCCTTATCGCGAATTAATTGTGAGAGACTTTCAATTGTTTCTCGTGCCATTGTTGATGATTCTTTATTTTTTTCCAATGAATTTGTCAATTTTTCCTGAATTTCAATGAGTTCATTTTTCAATTCTTTATTCTCTTGATTTAAAAGGATATTATTTTCATTTTCCTTATCGTTTATTTCATTTTTTTCCAAAATATTCTTAAGTTCAGTTTCTATTTTTGAGGAATGTATTCGTATGGCTGATAATTCTTCTTCTTTAGATAAAATTTGCGCTATTTTACTTTCTAAATCGTGACACAATTTTTCCTTTTCTGCGGTAATAATTTTTAATTCTTCCTCAAATTTTACCGCATTTTTCAAATCAATTTCTTTATTTTCACAATTTGAGTGTAATTTTTCAAAATCAATTTTCAAATTTGTTAAAGAATTCTCTAATTGGGATATTTTTTGTTCGGCATTGATTAATTTATTTCGAGTTTCGTTGAATTCAGTTTTATCATTGTTAAATTCTTCTTTTAATGCCAAATGTTCTTGTTCGAGTAAAATTTTTTCTGTATTGAGAAGTTCAACTTTTTCACTTGACTCAGTTTGAAGGGATGTTAATTGATCAACAAATGTGTTGGTCTCTTTTTTTAAATTATCATTTTCAATTTGAATTTTTTTATTCTCCATTTGTAATTTTTCAATTATTTGATGTAAATTTTCAAGTTCGGATTGTTTAATTTCTAATTGATTTATCGCTTGATCGAGTTCTTTTCTCATATTGAGAATATCATATTCTAAATCATCTTTATCACTATTTACTTTATAAAGTTGATCGCGAAGATCGCTGAGTAAATCATTATCATCACTTTTCTCTTGTGCTTCCTTTAATATTGACAAATCAGATTCAAGTCTTTCAATTTCTCGCGATAATATATTATTATCACTTTCCATTTCTTCCTTAGATTTTTGAATGTCTATTAAATTATTTTCAAGTAATTTACCATGAGATATTGATGATTTTAATTCACGTTTAACATTATCTAAATCAAGTTTTAATTCTTCAATTACTTCAATATTCTCGTCGAGTCCTTTACATTTTTCCAAAGACATTCTCAATTGCTCTTGCGTTTGTCGTTGATTATTTTCAAATATTTCAATTCTTTTTCTTAATTCCTCATTCTTTGCCATTGACATTTCCAATTTTTGTATCAATTTTTCTTCATCTGAAATTCAAATTTTAAACATTAGTTTCAAAAATTCAGCTCAATAAAAATTAAAAGAAATTACTAGCAAAAAAAAAAAGGTGAATAAATAAAATATATAAAAATTTTCTACCTTCATCTCGTGGTGTTTCATTTTCAGGTTGTTCATTAATTGTTTGAAGTTCAGTTTGAAAATTAATATGATTTCTATGTGTATTTTCAACATCTTTCCTTTCTCCTGTTAAATCCGAATTTTTTTGACGCAAAAGTTTTATTTCTTCTTCGTATTTTTTCAATTCAACTTGAAGTATTTCTGTTTCATTTTCAAGTGAAGCAATACGTTCCTCGCTTGCTTCTGGTATCGAGGGTAAATTCGATTTAAGATGTTGAATTTCAATAATAAGTGATTCAATGTTTGTCTGCATATCATCACATTCCATTTGTAATGATTCTTTTATATCTGACGTTTGTTTTAATTCACGTGTTATTTCCGTAAGTTTCCTCTCTAAAACATCCTTTTTCCATTTAATATCAACATATTGTTTTGCAACAACTTCAAATATTGTTTCATCATTTTCTACATTTAAGGAAATATTTTTGAGAATATTTTTCACTTTTTGTGTAATATCAAAAAATGCATCATCAGATATATTGGCCTGAACAGAATTTTCTTGGACGGCTAATGATTCCGTTTGTAAGGCAAGACTATTTTTTGTCCGTTTTTCATCAGTTTCTATTATTGTTTTAGATTTTAAAATTTCACATTCATTTGATATTTCAATGAAATCCACATATAGTTTTTCATAGGCAGTTTGAAGGCACTGATGTTTTTTTTGGTGTTCTTCTTTTAAGGACAAAAGTTTTTCTGAAACAAATAAAATTCAGTGTGTGTAAATTTTTTCATTTTTTAAAAAATTTTTAATTTTACATTAAATTTAATGAAGAAAAATAAATTAAAATCTCACCAATTGATTCTGAATGTTGTTGATCTAATTCATCGATATTATTACATAAAATTTGGTTTTCCTTTTGTAATTCTTGAATTTTATTATTTAATTCAAATTCTCTTTTCTTGAATTCCTCTTTAATGTGGGTTTCTTCAATTTTTTGATGAATATTTGAATTTTCCTCATAATCAGCAATTAAGGGTACAGCTTCAAATCCATCGGAATTTAATTTAACTAATTTCTCTTGAACATCGGATTTCTCTTCATTTTTGGTTATTTTCAAATTTTCATTTTCAACTTCAAGGGCCAATAATGCACTTTTTATCAATTCTAATTGTTCAGACGATTTTAATTTAGACATTGCTTTTTGAAAATCTTTTACAACTTCATTTTTTTCAGTCCTCTGAAAAAAAAGAAAAAATATTTTTTAAAAAATAATATTAAATAAATTAAATCGAAAAAAAATCAAATTGAGAAAAAAAGAGAAATAAAAAAGTTTGTTTAAAATTTCAAAAACTCAGCTTGTGTGGAATTTCATTCTTTGAGAATTTTTGTACCTTTTCACCCATTTGAATAATACGATTCATTAAGTCTTGTTTTGCTCGAAGAAGTTCCGTCTTTTGATGGCCTTCAGCGATTTCTTCTTTTATACTCGTTCCATTCATAGTATTTCCCTAGAAAATTACAAATTGTAACAAAATTATTATTAAACTATAAATAAATTTTAGAAAATAATTGATATTACATGAATAAAATAAAAATTAATAAATTAATTATTAAATTGAAATTTATAAATTAAAATTAAATAAATATTTAATAAATAAAATAATCAAATATTTATTTTTTATAGTTTAAAAATTATTCTTACATTTTGTAAAAGTTTCAGCTCTGATTCCAATTCAGAAATTTTCATGGAGGCTCGTGATAATTGCTCCTGAAGTAATCTTGATTGTTTTTGACTTTCTGATTCTCGATTTTTAACAGTTCGAGGGTCCCAATAAAATCCTCCACCATCGTCTTGACTATCTTCATTCTGTAACAAGAAGAAAAAACATTGATAAATTAAAATTATAATTCACATAAAAAATTTTTAATTATTTTTATAATTTTTTTTTTTTACTCAAAAAAAAATTATAATTTTTATGAATTATATTAAATAATAAAGGTTTTTTGTTTAATTTATCAATGATTGAAAATAAAAAAATATTTAATAATTTTGAAAAAAAAAATTAAAAAATTTTTTTTTTAATTTTGAAAAGTTAATGTAATAGATGAAAACTTTTTTTTTTTTTTTTTTATTTATAAATTTACATTTTAAATTTCAGTACATTTGTTCAAGGGTCAATAGTTCATTGATTATGAAACACACTCGACTACCCCGTAAAATTTTTTTTCCGAAGATTAAAATGCAAAAATCTTTTGCTTCTCGCACGTTTCTATATGGCTTTGTTTTTTCGAATACAATATATAAAGATATACAAGAGTTCAAGTACGAAGTGAGTATATTGTAAAACTAAGTAATAGGATAATAAAATAAAGTAGCTAATTTCAAATATAAATTGGTTAATAAAAAAAAAAAAAACAATATAATAATTTTATAATTTTTCAGAAAATAATTAATTACTTTAATTTATTTTCAAAGACTTTCTCCTAATAATATAAATTTGAATATTTTTCGTTTTCTCTTTGAATTTTTTTGTTTTTAATTTTTTTTTTTAATTTTTATCTAATAATAAATAATAATTTAATCCAAACAATAAGTAACTTGTGATTATTGTTATATGCTCCTTTATATAATTTTCTCAATACACACACGCAAAAACCGGAAAAAAAAACACTTACACAATTCAAATTATAATTCTTCGACTCATGTCTTTGAGGAAAAGAAATTACAATGAGGACTTTTGATGAAACGTTATCATTTTCCATAAATGCATTGAAAATGAGAAAAGTACAATTCACACTATCCAACACTTTAAAAATTTTTGTTTTTTTATTGATTATCCAATAATAATCGTTGACATTATAATTTATTTAAAATTTAATTTCCAAAATTTTAGTCAATTTCATCGTTTGCCTAAATTTGAAAATTTAAATTTGAATTTCAACTATGCGCAGTAATCATGCGCTGTAAAACAACAGTGCTACCAATCATAGAAAAAAATGATTAAAAATTAACTATACTAAATATTTAAAAACTTAAAAAAAACAAACAAAATATTTACTATTAAAATTGTTTTATTAATAAAATATATTAAAAAAAGAATAGAATTTTCTTTAAACAAGAAAGATAGAGTTCTTTTTCGTTAAAGTATTATTTCTCCTCTATTGGCATCATTGTTATACTTGCCGGTTTGTCGGTGAGACAAAGTTTTTTTTTCAATCAGTGAATATTCTCATATATATTGTGTATTATTTTAAAAAAATATATATCAATACACTAAATTCAGTTGAAAGGTAAATAAAAACTATGAAATTGGAGTAAACTTTTCAATGAGTGAACGATATTGCTGAAAATGTGAGACCTAACCTAAAAATCACAACATGGAATCAGGAATCAAACTATTGAATGTTTTTTTATCGAGATTTTTTATCATATTCAGGTACATTTTTAAAGGTATGTTTATTACTTATTTATATATTTAACAATAAATAGAGAAGTATTTGATAATGAAAATAATTTTTTGCATTTCAATTATATTTCGAACAAAATTGCAAAAGGCATCAATTTGCCAATATACACAACAATTCTTTAATTTTTCAACTATTTCATTATCAATTTCTTACTCATTTGAAATTTTTTTTTTTTTTTTAGAAAATCCATTAAAATTAAATCTATTTGAAAATACAAATTCGAATTTGTCCTTCTATCCAAAAATAAAATAATTCTCGAATCATTTTACATGTCGATGCAATCATTGCGTTTTGTTTTTTCAAATCGACTCCGGGGCACTTTTAAAATGCTAATGAGTATAGCTGTTGCATATTTCACTGTCAACAGAATATTTTGAACTTTTATAAGATATATTTATATATGTATTGTGTATAAAAGAATAGATTTGAAGAGTTTTTTTTTTTTTTGAAGAGGGAATTTTGACCGCAGGCGGCAAACAACGATCGTCCAGATAAATATATACAAAAAATTTGTTTCCTGACCGTATAGATCAGAGATCAGTTCAAATCGTTTTTAAAGGCCTTTTCATCCGTTTAAGGGATACACAATTGTAATGTTTCCACCATATATGCGTTATGCAAACTCAATAATATGCGACTTGGTTAGTGAGTGACTGAGAAAGCTCGATCGCTTGTGTGTGGTCCAAAGCAAAACGATGCTAATGAATATGAAAGGGGATTTCGTTGGGTCAGGTCAAGGAATAATGTATCGTTTGACTTGCATGCAAACGCGTGACAAAAGGCCGGGGATCTATTCGTTTTACCTCGCACATTCGTCTCCCTTTTATTGCCTGTAATGAGGTTACATCGAAAAAAAAGGACATTCCACCTAAAGTTGTTCTCAACAATTTTTTTTCTCTTTTTGAAAAATCGCTTCTGCATTTCTTTGTATTCGTTTTTAGAAGAGAATTTTTGGTACATATTTAGTTATATTAAAATATATATTTGTGAGAATTTTTTTTTTTTTTTTTTAAATTAACTTTATATCTAAATTATAAACGCAAGGAAAAATAATTTACAGACAAAAAGAAAGCTTTTTTGCTTAAGAAAAATAAAAAAAAAAAAAAAAAAAAAAATAAGGAAAAAGTACATTGCATATATAGAATTTATGAAATTCAAAGCACGTTTCCTTGAAGTGATTTCCCCAGAATTTATTAACATGTTTAAGTAAATGTAAAAAAAAATGTCATTGAATTTTCATAGAAATTATTTAGTATAATTTTTCTGTGAGGTACATAATTTTAAATGTATGGAAATTCTATGAGGAATTTTTCTTTTTAAATAACTGACAAATTCTATTGGATATATAGAAAGTTTTAATTTCAATATATTTAAATCGTAGTATTTAATTTAAGAGTCATTGAATACAATATTAATTAATTAAATGAATTCAAACAAAGAAAAATGAATTTCTTTTTTTCTTATTAAAAAGCTGAATCATTGAGAAATTTATTATTTTAATCGCTATTAAAATTTAAAAAAAAAATTTTTTCTCAGTTTAAAAATAATATAAAAAAATTTGAAAAAAAAATTTGCAATGAAAGATAATGGTAAAAAATTTATTTAAAAAGATGTTATCTCCAGGTGTTTTTAAAAAACAAATGAATATTATCTCAAATGTTAATTATTTTCCCCTTAAATGAAAAAAGCAGTTGCATACTTTTTTTCTGTAAAATATAAATTTTTTTTTTTTTCACAAAAATTCATAATTTATTTTTTATTAAATATAAATTAAAAATAAAATATAAATTAATAACTTTTAATTATAAATTAAAAAAAGTTATGTCAGGTTATAAAAGTTGAAAAATTATTATAGATTCACAATATAAAATCATGTTTTTTGTATAAGCATTTGGAAAATATGTGAATAATAATAATTTCGAAAAAATATTTTTAAAAAATTGAAAAACTAATATTTATTTTCTCAAAGTAAAAAAAAGATATAAATAATTTATGGATTTAGAATGAGAATTTTTTTTATTCTTAGTTTCATCGTTAATTTATACTTTTGCATGAAAATTAAGGTTTTTTCTCTATAAACGTCTGTTATGTTATAACTCTTAGAAAGAAATAGAATTACAATGACGTATTACTAACGAATAAAAAAAAAAAAAAATTACATCTCCGACCTTTCACGTGAAAGGATTACAATTTTCTCTCAAGTTCATCCTTGAAATTCATTTTCTCGTGTGTCTTCCTAGCCATTTGTATTAACATTTTCGTTATATAGAAATAAGGTCATTTAAAAATTAACAAATTCTTCTATTTTGCAAAAAAAAATGTTTCCTTTTCGGTTTTTTAAAAATTAAATTAAAAAATGATAAAAGTTAATAGAAATAGAAATAATTTTATATTAATTATTATTATTTATTTATAATTATAAATAAATTTAAAAAAATTTAAAATATAAAAAAAAATATAAAAAAAAAATAATAAATTATAATAAAAATAAATATAAAAATATAAAAATTTTATAATATAAAATTTATTTTGCAAATAGTTTTCTTTTTCCATTAAAAAAGAGTTGAATTAACATTTTACTGGACTTTATCAATAAATGTTTTTTGGAACAGTAAAATTCCCAAGTCCTGTGAATTTTTGTTGATAACTATATATATAATGTTCTTCACTATTCTTGATAGGAACTTCCTTTCCCACGTTCACTATCAGTATATAGTGTATTACCTGTAATATTATTACATTCGTGACAGACAGAGCTTCCGATTAGTAATTTTTTTTTTTCTCTGTTTTTCTAGTATAATTTTTAATATTCTATATATAAAAATCGAGGATTTAATATTATCTCAAACTGGGATTATAGCTATTTCATTTCTTTTTTTTTAAAATCTTTAAATAAATTTAATTCTAATCAGAATTCTGTTTTTAAAATTAAAGAACACTTTCAACTATTCCAGGTTTCACGCGCATAACATATAAAATACGAGTGGCATGGGAAAAATTAGCATACATTGCACAAGTCAAAAGAATCATGCGGGTCTTTTCAGTATAAAGCTTTTGCGTATTGTCGCGCATATTACGAAGTAAAAGTTAGTGAGTTCTTTTTTTTTTTTTTTTTTTTTTTATTCCATGTCTGGCGCAAACCAATGCGACTCGGTTCATTTTTTCTATACCTATATGCATTGGTGCATTGTAGATTGTATTAATTCGCAAACAGTACAGCATTTTATGAGTTAGGTGAAACTGCAAACAAAAAAAAAAAAAAAAGAAAAAACAGACCGACGGACGGACAAGGAGGTCACGATAAAGAAACGGGTATCGGTTCTTCATATATATACACGTCATTCTTTATAGGTATTATCAGAAATAGAGAAATAACAAAGCGTATATTAAGAATCGTAT